CTGCCAGGACTTTCCGGGCCCCGTGCCGTTGAAGAAGCAGGTGGTGAGATGAGGGGCATGAACCGGGAAAACGTGTGCAGCACGCGGCACGGCTGGGCCAACAAATGCGACAAATGGGAAGCCGGCAAGGTGCAAGTAGGTCGGATAAGTGAGACATCGTGGATGAGCAGTGGCATGTTGGCTTGCTTGTACTCACTCACCCGAGGGAGGATCGCGGGCTGATGAATGTCTGTTCTGGAAGGTGGTGTGTCGTTCGTTCCTGAATAGGTCTGAGATCACCGTCAGGAACGTTATGACTACGAGATGGTTCACAGCGGCTTGGTAACACGATCGGCGTGCTTTGGTCATCTTCATCGACTAGTCCATCCTATCGCCACAAGACCTGTCAACTAATCAGCCAAAAGAGGCGATGCATTCTTGTGACGGAGGGAGCCGAGGTTGAAGGCGAGATTCTGGGCCCTCGCTGGCACGAAGTTAGCCCAAGAATAGTTCTTGTTTCCTGCTACTTGAAACAAACGAGTATGTCCAGACATTTGGCACAGAATCATTGCCAGCAACGTTGTGCAGACAGCCAACGCGAAGCGGAATTGGACAAGTCCGCACATGCATTGAGACTTGAAATCTGCCAAGTGGCGGAATGTGGAGTCTCTGATGTTGGGATATCTACTTCGTAGAAATGACACGAACATGGCAAGGATGCATGACCAAGGACAAGGTCCAGCCAGGTCTGAACGCATCTTCTGCAAGCCGCAGGGTGTGGCGGAACTCCCCACACCCAAACTCAAGACGCTTTAGCGGAGCCATTGGCAGAGGCGGGGTTTACTTTGCTTGGAGCAAGTCAAAGACGAGAACATCATTTTCAAAAAGAATTTGGAAACCAAAACGGGAATGTCCGGACTGAGAAGGTGATAGCACATGATGAGCTCGGACGAGAGCAGCATAGTCTCCAAAAACCAGCGTGGTTTAGTGTGCCTGAGTGGGTGAGCGTGAAGCTCATGCCGCCATGTGAAATCGTGGCAACAGGGAAAGTGACCCATGGCACACCTGCACGGCTGAATGAGCCGGTCTGTGCATATGCATCAACATTTATGAACTACAGCACTTGCTCGCCATGTGTCTCTGTAACGCTCTCGATCGTGTGAAGGTGTGCAGTGTGGCATGGAACACCGGGTGTGGGTGTAGGGAGGGCGTGAGAGCATCGAGAATGCACAATGCACATGCAATATGCAGTGAGCTGTGTGGGAGAAACCAATCCAGCATAGCCTTTTCCTCCCTTCTTCCCATGCCAGTCCAAGAACGGAAGTGCATTTTTCGGCCAACGACAGCAAATTGACCCGTTTGGGTTGCTGGCGTCATAGAGCGTCGCATTGCTTGCCCCAAGACACGCTCGATCTGGAGTCTTGAATAAGCAATGTCAGCGCTCCGTCATCAGTTCGTCTGCCCGCCACTTTGTTGACTGGATCAAAAGTCTGGCAGGTTAATTGCTTGCATAAGCCCAGCGAGTAGGGCCACTTGCTTTGTATTGCAGATAACAGACCACTTGGGAACCGGGTTATGCAATTTGAGGGATTCTGTTCGCCTGTACAAGGGTTATCGAGTGGATGTGGGCAGCACTTGGGATGAACCGACCCAAAGCGAGCATTGCATTGCCATTCTCGACCGTGCCTTTGAGTCGGCTTTAGGGCTGCCGAGACTGCTCGGCGAACGTTTGCACACAGCTGCAGAGATAGACGGAGGGTAAGAAGCCCTTAATTTCATCCATCGCTGTAAATGCCGGGAAAATGTGGCATCGTCGTGATGTTAAAGAGAGCAAAAATCAAATACAAATATCTGGTGCTGCTACACGGGGTGGTTTGATCGGAGTGTGCGCGGAGACGACGATCAGAACCGCTTCTTGGCTACCCACGAAGGCAACAGGGATATCAAACATAACCGCCATGTTAGCCGGCCTGGAGATGCAAAGTTGTGGCCTTCTAGAAAATTCGAGACCAGGTATGGCCACTGGAAGTGTCGTACCCCCAGGGTGCTTCCCGCAGATCAGCCACGATCTCGGAGACCAGACGGCTAAGGTTTGGACGAGTTTGAGGGTTGACCAGGGGCGTCAATGGACGGCATGACCTTGAGAAACTCTGAGTACATCGCACAGGATTTGTCCTAGACTCGAAGATTCATTCCGCAAAATCATGCTGCAAGACGTGGCCGTGAAAGATGCTCAACACTGGAGGCGTCAGCTTCGGGAAACCACATTCTGCCTGCTCAAGTCGATCTTGACAGCTGAGGTGCAGTGGCGTGCTAGCCGCCGGTGAGACTGCGCAAGAGAAGAATTCATGGAGCGTGAAACAAGTTGGCGCCAGACTCGCCCCGGGATGGACAAAGATAGAAGGCCTGCCTCTGTCCCGAGATTCGCTTTGTCTGGTCGTTGAAACAAGATGAATCAAATTGTCGCACCAGGGCTCTTTTCGGTTTCCCTTTTGGTATCTGCGCTGGTGGCAGGTGGGCCAGAGGCTCCCCGATTGGGAAGGGACAGACCCGGTTGTGGTGCGGCAGGCGAGACCAGACAGGTGACAGCGTGACAGGGTGCCTGTGCGACTCTGAGGGTGTGTGGTCAGCGCCAGCTAGCCCCGCCTAGAAATTGCCAGGTACGCCCTATGAGTGCGGGCTGAAGAGAACCTCAGGAGGGTGTTTTAGGCCTCTTGCTCCAGATTTCCAGGCATGTTAGTGAGCATGGGTCACGTCCGTCTTGCAGGTTGTGGGGAAAGAAACCGATCTAGAATTGAGCCCTCTCCCCAGCGCATCAACAGATTTGCGAACCGAACTCTCGCATGAGGTCCTATGTCTCGTCTCTTGACCCAATGATATCATACGGTGCGTAGTGGGGGACTCTCCTGTCTGCACACAGGGCATCGCCAGGATTCGCTCGCTTCGTCATGCGAGTGCTGCCTCGGAGCCATGACTGAAATTGCTCCTTCACTTATCAGGAAACGGCACGACGTAGAACTGGATTTTGCCATGTCTGAGCGCAATAGCAGTGTCGCCTCTGGGCGTGTGAAAGAGGGACGCCAGGTGACTGTCAGCGTCTGTCAGCGTTATGTCATGGCTGCTGATCCAAACCAGGAACAGGGTTAATGAACGGCCTGCGCCATCCCAGCCTTGATCTGCTGGGCCGCTCCCATTCTAGAACGACTGCGTAGGGCCGCTCTGCCGACAGCAGGTCCTTCTCCAGCTCGGAGCTTCTCCAACAACCCCTGGGTCGGAACATGCCTGTCAGCCAGTGCGACAATGCTGGACCATGACGGCAGTGTGAAACTGGGGAAGGGATGATGGAAGCTTTCGAAGATCTCGAGGACGCGCACACAAAGCTTCGATGCTACGGGGAATGATCAAGGTCCGGCCCTAGCATCCTCAATCGAAAACCCCACTGCCTCCATGATTATCACTCATACCTGGGATGTGCAAATGGCGCATAACGTCGCTTCTCGCTCTTGTGTGTCTGATCTCCTCAAGCTTAGTTCTGCCGAAACTCCAGGTTCGCGTTTTTTTTGTCAGCACCACACCACAGCAGACGCCGTGGTATACGGGGTGGGAATAGCAAGTTATCAGCCCATCGAGCCTTTTCTCGAAATCTAGACTGCGTAGGACTGCTCTTGGGAGTTGAGGACTCCTGTCGACGGAGACCCTCCGGCCGATGGGCTGACAGGACGAGCGAGCTGCCAATTTGCAGGCATAATCCGTCCTTTCCTGGAGCTGGACCCCAAGGGACTATTTCCAGTAGCAGATCTGTCTTAATTGCCAGGTCGTATCGGCCCTACCTCAGGATGTGAACAATGGGCACCGACCCCGGTATTAGCTTCATTTATGGAAATAAATTGGCACACGCCATATGGCCTTGACCGCGACACAGAAGCGGATGTTGATATGGCAGTCCCTTAAAAATGGCTTCCCCAAAACCAACATGCAGACTTGTTGACACGGTGCGAACTCATCTTGGAGGCCATCAGGACCGCGTGGTCGAAAGGATGGGCGACATGAGGTGCATTAGCGGCGTGGCAATTGCTGTACCTGAAAATCGGCCATGTGGACGCACGAACACCCATGAACTATGTGTGTGTGCGTGTGTGCATGTGTGCATGTGCGAGTGTGTCTGGAGCCTTTTGACGTCCCCTTACACGTCTGGGTGGCGGGGCCCCTGGCGTGAAAGTCGCTTCGCAGGCCACGGCCGTGGTCTTGCTGCCAACGACGAGGCTTCACGAATGGCCATGAAAAAGTTGGGGTGATCTGCTCTGTGGTCCATCTGTTCCCAGACCACTCCAGTCCCGCGCTCGGGCGGATCTGATTCTGAGGGATTTTCACTGTTGCTCCTAGAGATCAGATCCTTACCATCGTAGATTCGTAGTGGCTTGCCGACCTGTGATCTACTATCTTGATCCTTGGCTGAGCTAGGTGGAAAAAACTACCACTACGGAGTAGGTAGGTTAAAGAGGCATCATGACTTGATGTCCTTGGATGCGGTCCTCGCTCGGCCTCACGACCGTTAGCGCGCCCCGCCCACGACGACATCGATGAAGCATGATGAATCTCGCCTGGACGTCCATTCGAGGTATGGCTTGATTCGGAGATTTGTGCAAGAAATTGGAGGGTGCATCGGCAGCGCGAGCGTGGAGAAGCCGTCTTCAGGAAGCTTGCCGTCTCAACATTCAGGTCGAATGCCAAGAACAAAATCCCCGGAGTGCCATTCCCGTCCTGCTTCTTCCCAGGGACTGCCTACCACACAGTACCATCTCCAGAAATGCTGTCAACCTTTGTTCCCTTCCCCGCCATCCCATCATCTCCAGCCAGCCGGCCAGCAATTGCGGGTGGCGGATGACGGATGGCCTGACCCGGGATATGTCCGTTGCCGGGTTTCAAAACCAAACCTGGGCGGCTTGGGGTTGTTCACACGTATATCCAGATCAGACGAAAAGAGCGCCGCGCACCGGCCACACCTTGCACAAAACCAAAGCATGAATGCGAGTGCTGTAAGATCAGACGCTTTCGGCACCGCCGTTTATGCTGTTGTCGAAGTGGCACCCCGCACAGACGGATGGGGTCCGGAGAGAATGCAGGAGGAGGATTCCCTCACACCCAAGATGCCAGACAGAGGATCTACTCAGCATCTTGTCGCTGGCGTGACCAAGGAGATGGAGATGAAGGGAAAAAGAAGCGGCCAGGTACCTCGAGCTTGCAAGTCGGTATCTGAGAGCGGGATGATGGGCCCAGGAGCCAAGACCTTTGACCCTGGTCATACATGGAAGCCTTTCTAGACGGAAGCCCTTAGCACCGTTGCCCATGAAACCCTGCCAGGTCGAAAAAGTACCTACTGGAGGTACCTTTGACAAGATTTAGTCCTTCTCTCGCTCTGTCTTTTGGTCTCTCCTACACAATTTCCTTTGGCGATCCTCGGCTTCTAGGCATTGATTCTTTGCCTTTCATTCCCCAACAACAACAGGAAAATAAGAAGGAAAAAAAAGCAGCACCAAACGTTCAAGGTCCTTCAAAGTCGCCTGACCGGGCTGCTGTCTGTAGGGCCAGGCAAGTGCGTAGCAGCTGTCAAAATCTTGGTTCGTCTCGGAAGGCCGCCGGAAGTACAGGTACCCTGGACCGCATCCCGCTCCATTTAGCCAGACAAGCGCACCCTGGTCCTTGAAAGTGCCGGCTACCACCAGCCTTTCGACATGATTGTCACCGCCGCCGCCGCCGCCACTGGTGCCAGAACGCCTCTCCCACCACCCAACCCATTTGCGAGCTGTTCGTCTCAAGCCTCCTGCTGGCAGGCTGACCCGCTCCCCATCGATCGTAAACCAGGCCAGCTGGTTCTCGGTTACGCAGAAGACATGTCAATACCCTGCCTCATGCAAGCCCTCAGCGGCTCACCTGGCGGACGGTCTTTATTTTAAGCACTTGAGCAAACAACAGAAAGCAGGAAGAGCGGCAGCAGCAAATCGAGGGTGCCTCTTTCCCCATCACCTCTCAATTGGATGTTCCTGCCCTCGTAAGATTGGGTTGTTCTTGTAGAGGAGAAAAGCCCATCTCATCCTGGTGGGTACTAGCAGCTCTGGCCGGCTTGGACCAAGCTCCCTCCTCCCCTTGTCCATCGCCTTCTTCTTCTCTTTGTTCTCTGTTTTACTCTTATTCTCGCTCTAGCCTGCTTTACCCACCCTACCCTGTCTGCATCGAGGTTTGGTACTTCCGATCCATACAGATACAGGGGTGCAAGGGGTTGTGCCGCTCCAGAATTGTAATCTACGAAGCCGGACACCCTACCTACTTCGAACCTTTGCGTACCTTAGTAGGTGGCTACCTACCCTGGTGTGGGCTCTGCCGGAGGAGCCTTTCCCAGGCCACGGCCGAAGGACCCTTGCGCAATGGGGGAGTCCAGCAGCTCCTTGTTCATGCCTGGGATGCAGATGCTCGAGCCTATGGGGACACACCCCCCCTCCCCCGGTCACAGCAAGACATCATCGTTCACCAAGGCCGCTCCCGACTGGCTACTGCTTGTCAATCATATCAGAATCCCTCCAGTCTTATTATCGCTGGCTGTTGCTTGTCCATTGCGACTCTCTGACCTTCCTTTCCTCTGCCATTACTTTGTCGTTAACAGGCACTTATAAGCTATCGTTTTCCCACTCGTTCCCCTCCTCCCATCCCATCTCGAACTCGTGTGACCGGTCCCAGGATATCTTGCTGCTCAACTCGGACCACACCTTGCGGATTTCGTCATCGGGCGCATCGGACGTGGACAGTGTTATCAGTATCTCTCGGAGCATCGAACTACTCGCCGCCACTTCTCCCAGTGTGTGAGCGGCTTCGTCACTATCTTCTCTCTGCCCCTCAGCCACCGACCATATGACCAGTCACCCTGCATCCATCATCCCGAACTCTTTGCTTCGCCATCCGAAGCCAAACCACGGTTCCTGAGAAACTTAAAATTGGACCACCTGCGTGCGCTGCGGCTCTGGGAGGAAGCAGTACCCACGCCAGCCGGAGCTAGAGATCTCGGGGCCGTCCTTGGAGAAGGTCTCCGAATGGTCTGGCTGCCAAAACAACCCACGCGAATTTGACGCATCAAGGCGTCTTAGACACCTAGAGATCTAGCGCACAGCCTGACGCAGACTCACGCTTCGGAGCAGCTTTCTCTTGGCGGATACGAAAGAGTCAGCCGCCTCGAGAGCATTTGGCAGCCCAAAATCTTCTCAAAACAGCCTCGGTACGCACTGTCGAGGACGTGGCCAAAAGCCATCCATTTTGCCATACGGAAGAGGCTATCTCTCGACCTCGGATCCTCAAATGTGTTCCCTTTCTTCGCTACCATTCAAAAATCCGACAGCCAACCACAGGCTCAACTTCATCACGAACAGCCCCAGACTCAACTTGGATACTGACAGCTACAGATTCAACTTCAAGACCACCACCAAAAACAGACTCAACCTCAACACGGACAACGACAGACTAAACATGTTGCACGATCCGAATGAGGATGACTACACCCTCCACGTCCGACAGCAGCCCCTCACGGCCAGGGTCGTGGTGGGCAAGGACAAAGGTGAGAGTTCAAAACGACGGGAACATCTTTTCTTTCCGACTTTTCTTTTTCTTTTCTCTCCATGCCAGCCCCTCCCTCTGTTTCTTGTCATCGCTGTCAAGGCAAGGACAAACTGACATTGCTTTCGATGCAGACCGGAAGCCCGTCGATCCTCCACCTATCATCCAACTCGAAGTCAGCACCAGAAAGGATCCTGCCCAGCACTTTCTTCAAAGTCAGTCCATCTCAGCTGAACCTAACCTATGGCGGAAAATGGGCCCAGCGTCTCTGACACACTGATCGCCACAGGTCCCTACTACTTCATGTCGTGCGCTCTGGTGCCTGTCGAGGGCGGTCCCGATCCAAAGCCCAACCCTCTCGTGGGAACTATTGTCTCCTCTCTGCACCGCCTCAAGGACACCAACAACCAAGACGGCGGCTTCTTCGTCTTTGGCGATCTGAGCGTCAAGAATGAGGGCACGTTCCGACTCCGTTTTACCCTCTTCCAGATGCAGAACAACGAGTGCCTTCAGATCACCAGCATAACCTCTAATCCGTTCGCGGTCCATACCGGCAAAAACTTCCCCGGCATGTCAGAATCAACATTCCTCACCCGGTCCTTCAGCGACCAGGGCGTGCGGCTACGGCTGCGCAAGGACTCGCGCAGCATGACGACCCGGAAACGAAACGCCCAGTCTGCCGACCTCTCGCGGGCAACAGAGCGCAGGAGCTCTGAGCCCAAGGACACTTCTTCTCTCCAGGCTGCAACCTACTCGCCGCTGGGAGCTCGGCAGACCAATGGGCAGCAAAGCCCCGCTGACTACTACACCGGAGCCCAGGCCTATCCTGACTATGGCGAGACCCCGCAGAAGCGACAGCGGACGACGACGACGACGACGGCCGACCCTGGCCACAGTAGCAACATCTATACAGGATATAGCCTGCCCCAGTATGACGCTAGGAACTACACTGGCCTCCAGCCGAGCTACTCAAGCACGTCCATCCCGCAGAACATAGCCCTGACGATGCCCCCGAGCTCGGGCTCGCCGTACCTGCAAGCGGGCCCCTCTGCAGGATTCATGTATTCGACTGGCTGGCCTGACCCTGCAGAAGAGCAGAGGAGGGGATGGGGAACTGAGCGGAGTTGAGGAGCAATCTGCACTCCTATTTTCTTAGTACGACTTGAAATGCTGGTTGACTTCCTTGCTTGGTTAAGACCCGGCACTCTTATTCATGTTCGCACCTTGACTTCTTGGTGGCGTCCTTTGCTGAGGACGAGACTCTTCATCTTGTTTTCTCGTCTCGGCGACTTGCTGACGGATGTCATTGACTGCTTTTCTTCTCTTCTTCTTCTACTACCTCCATTCTTCAATGCTTTTGGGTCTTGAACACCCTTGCTTGCTTTTGTTTTCGACATTGACTGTCCAAGCAGGGTGCATTTGGACTTTTATTGCATTTTCTTTCTTTTCATTCTTCTTTTTAAGACTTTACTCCTTTCTGTTCTCCATTTTCCCCTTATTTTCCTTTTTCATTTTGTGGCTGCTGGCACTATACCCCTTTCGTTGCTTGCGAGTCCCATTCGGATTGGGAACTCTTGTCGAATTGCATAGAACAAACAGTTCAGTTTCGAATATGACAGGCGCGTGTTCCTGATGCTACGATTTCCTTACTTTCTTTTTTTTTCTCTTGCCCTCCAGAAGGGATGGAAAGGGGCGTTGGTGAGCTTGTTATATGTGCGGATCGTGCCCTCATCTTGGATGGCAGAACGAGGACTTGGGGCCAAGGGAAGCAAGGGCTCACGACTGGCCGGAAGTTGGGCGAGGACACCAAACGAGAGGATGATAGAGGATGATATCGAGAATCAGCTTCTTGTTTGCGAGTCTTGGGACTAGCGTCGCGAACCGGGAAAGACGTGGTCGGGCCCAGCAGCCTGGCAGACCTGGCATTGCAGCCACCGTCTCGGATGCGGGCAGGGAGGGTGGGCTCCGATTGGCAAATGGGAAAGGATAAAAAAGGACTCCTCCCGGTCATCTTGCCCATTGGCCGGTAAGGGAGGGTCTACGGTGGCTACTTTGGCCGGCGTTCGGGTGTGGGTTGGTTCTCACGTCTTTGAACATGGATGCCGTGCGCGCCATCTTGGGCGTCGCGATTCAGGCAGGTCTCATGGGGCAGAAGGAACATGCGGGAATAGAAGTAAAAAAGTAAGCCTATATACTTGAAGCCCAAAGCTATCAAAACACTGCCGTCTGCGTGACCGATGCCCAGTTTTGCTCGCCGTGTGTTTACTGTTTTTGGTGGTCGTCAGGTACGGAGCATGACTTTGTGATGGACTCGGCCATGTTTCCCCCGGCAAGCTGACTGCTGTTTTGACCCAAAGCTCTATCTTGTGACTCGAGCTGCTCGTGCGACTTGTCCACTGGCTGTGCTTTTTGAGATGGTCACTCGGGTTGGCGGAGACATAGCACAGATGCTGCTCGCTATCTGGCCAGGCAGGATCTCTATGGAGTGCGACCTTTAGACGAAAAAGAGGCTTTGACTTCTTAGCTTGTCATTGAATCAAGGTTCTGGGTGGGCGGGCGCGCATCGTTCCGCTGTCAAAGACAAGCCCAGGTCCAAGTCCCGTCGCCGCCACCTTTGAAAAGCTCCCGCGAAGTCAGCAACTAACAAGACAAGAGACAACACTGGGACTGTTTTCTTCATGCAAGCAGGGTCCAGGATATCTGCATCTGGTGCGCCAGAGTTAGGGTGCGTTCGGAACTTAATTGCCCTATCGGCTCGGCACCTTTGCATGAGAAGACCCTGCAGCAGCATCAACAGGGTGGGTTTTCATCTTGGAGGACCGACCTAGGTACCCTACGGAGGGAGGTTTTTTTTAAGTTTGGGCCGCTGTGGCATGTATCTCTGCCTAACAGATGAGCTGTGGTTGAACTGAAACTTGGGGGGATTACTTTTTAGCTCTCTGCTCAGCACCCACCCCATAGCGGCCAATTAAAGTGGTGGGTCCGGCACCCTGCCCCCGCGAGATTGGGGATCTGATGCTTCCAGACTTTATCTCCTGATGAGGTCGCGCTACGGTGACCGTCCCCCTTTTTTTTTTCTTTCTTCTTCATCATTCGGCGCGCCCACACGACAGCGAGTTGGCCAAACCGACGATGGGTTCAGGTACCGTAATAAGAGAGGCCGAAGGCCAAGGTTGAACCATCGCAGCAGTCCCAGCGGCCTGCCGTCTGGTTGGACCGGCATTTCGGCGTTGTGGGCCATGACTCGAGCCAGCTCCCACAAGCTTTTCTAGACCGGCATCGCCGGGCCAGTCCGTCAGGGCTTGACTAGGTGGCCCGGGATGCGGCGGTGTGAACTGTGCTTAAACTCCGAAAGCAGAATCTGCGCCTAATGGTGCCATTAATCAGCCCTGCCCGACACAGTTCTCTCCTTAAATAAGCTCTACCTCCCACCCCCGGTCCGGCGTTAGGAGAGGGGGCACCGGGGAAAGGAGCGATGCTTTATATCTTTTGGCATGCCCACACACCTATCCGGGTACAACCTTCTTTTGACATGCTCCTGTTGCGTCCGTCCCCCCCTTTGCTTGACGACCTTTTCTTTTCCCTTCCTTGGAACGCCGCCGTTGTCGCTGTCGTAGCAGGGGAAAGAACCGGACCAGCGGCAAGACTGACTTGACCGCATAATTACATGTCCGCCTGGCTCCGCAGCCCGTTCCTGGGCCGGCCGGCTCGCCCGGACTCCTCGGCCCCCGACTCGGATGACGCCGCCGCCGTAGCCGCGCCGGCGGCAGGCGAGACGGCGGCGCTGCAAATCGGCCCGCTGGCCCCGAGCGACTCGTTCACGGCGCACCAGCTCTTCTACGTGTTCGGCATCGACGGCGTCGGCGCCATGATCCTGTCGGGGGGGATCAACTTTGGCATTGCTTGTGGTATGTTAGGCTCCTTATGTCTTTTCCCCCAAGCTCAGCATGCCGTGTCTCCTGGGACAACAAAAAAAAGGAAGAGATGCAATGGGACTGACTCGCGCGGTGTGTGACAACCCCCCTCGCACAACAGCAATGTACGCGAACCAGGACGTCGAACGCAACCCGATCCGCCTCTTCCAGCTGCCCAACACGCTCGCCGGCGACGGCGCCGTCACCATCGTCGTCCAGTGCCTCGTCACCTGGGTCATCGAGCTCGTCCTCGTCACGCGCGACCTGCGCGCCGGCGGCGTCCAGCCCGTCGGCTTCGTCCCGGCGCCCGAGAACCCGGGCTGGCTGCTGCGCGCGCTGCTCGCCCTGCCCGAGGACACGGACACGGACCCCGACGCCGCCGCCGCCACCACCACCACACCCGCGACGACCGACACCGTCGAAGCCGCGGCGGGCACCGCACACCAGCCCACACTCGGCGGCGACAAGTTCTGGTCCGCCCGGCGCTGGGCGGCCCTGCTGGCGGCGCAGGTCCTCGCCGCCGTGGTGCCGAGCTTCTTCCTCCTCTGGGCCCCCGCCGTCGGCATCCTGACGGCCGTGGGGCGGCGCCGGTTCGACGCCGGCTGGGGGTGGGACTGGTACTTTGGCCGGCGGTGGGCGCCCGAGGTCTTCAAGCTGCTGTTCGGGGGCCTGCTGGCGCTGCTGACGACGCCGCCCGTCGTGCTGTTCTGGCTCGTGCGGTGCGGCTGGGAGGTGCGGGCGAAGGAGCAGGTCGTCGTCGTCGATGGCGACGGCGACGGCGACGGCGGCCGGTCGGGGTCCGGGTCGGGGTCCGGGTCGGGTGCTGCTGTTGGTGGCGGTGGCACTGCTGAAGAAGCTGGGGGGGACGTGGGAGGCGAGACGCAATCATGATTTCTTAATTTTCTTTTCCCGGTCATGAACGATACCCCCGGTTGACTGTTGGGCTCGCCAACATCCAACCCCGTCCCCTGTTGGAAGCGGGCTGATCAAGACCTTACAACATACCATATAATCGCAGGCTCTCTGGCACGAGCCGCTGCCTTGATAGACTCATGGGTGCAGATATAAAATAAGAAGAGGATCATATAGATATATCTTTCTCGGCCATGATATCATGAGGAGTTTGGAGAGGCGAGCACCAGCAAGAACTGAGAAAAGTTGATGATTGACACATTAAAATGCCGCGCGACGGCGACATGAACTACATATTATATATATAATGTTATACCAAGACATATGGCCACCGCTCCTTGCCCTGTGCGAATACCCACTCCTTCATTTCCCTCCATCGTCTCGTCAAAGGAAAGAAAAAGAGGATGCTGTTCTCCGTGTGTTGTGTAAGTGTGTGTGTGTGTGTGGGTGGTGTCGAGGTGGAAGTGACGTGACTTGATGGGATGTGTAACTAGTAACTAGGTGTTGGTGTGTATGTGTCTTTTGCCGGCCCCCCCGGGAAATACAAAAAAGGTATCTAAAAAGAGTCAAAAAGGAGGAGTATTAAATAAAATACACAAGGGTTTTGGTCAAAAACTCTTTGGCGCCTCGCGGCTCTTTGCGGTGTTTCGGTGGTATAAAACTGCGCGGAGGGAAAATCAGACCCAGCAAAAGACCCATTGGCTTCGAGTAAAAGGCAGAGAAGAAAGTATAGAAAAAAGAAGAAGAAAAAAAGAAGCAGAAATTAGCAAAAGGGGCAGTCGTTCGTAAAGAGCTCTCTGCGTGTGGTGGTATAGACGTAAAGTGTGAAGGTGTAAGTGCGTGCATGCGTACGTGCGTTCGTTGTTGTGGTGTTGTGTGTTTGTGTGAGTGAGTGAGTGATATGTGAGTATATGGCTCCGTCCGCCAACGTTCGGTTGCACATCCACAGTCCCTGTTTGCCCTGTCCCGTACCCGGCTCGTCATATGTGTTGAGTGTGAGAGAGAACCTCGACCTCCCCCCAAGTCTCTCACACTGTTCATTAGCTGTCTTCGCCTGGGACTCTATAACCCAGCGTTCATTACTTCCTCACACCCACCCGTGCTCATTCTCCCGTCACGTCATCTCTTTTCACATCGGAGACACATTGGCAGAAGAGGCAGCAGCAGCTTGCTGCTCCACCCTCGACACGCAGTTGCGCACGTCGGCCGAGTTGAAGCCCTCGGGGTACCGCCTCTCGAGCTCGAGGCGCTCGGCGCTCTTGGGCTCGCCGTCGCGGATGCGCACCTTCTCGAAGAAGACGTAGGCGGCGTAGAAGACGCCGCTCGTCGACCCGGCCGTGGGGCCCTGGAGGGCGAGGAAGCGCGACAGCTGCGCGCCCTGGAAGCGCCGGCCGTCGTGGAACGAGGTGGCGATGGCCCGCAGGAAGGCGGCCTGCGTGATGCCGCGGTGCGACAGGAAGGCGCAGATCTTGGCGCGCACGGCGTCGCACGTGTCGTGCACGGGCACGCTGTTGGTCTCCTCGCCGGGCAGGTGCACGAAGCGCACGTCGAACGGGTTGGGCGGGAACGCGGCCGAGGGCGACGACGCCGACGGCGTGGGCGACGAGGACGACGGCTTGATGCTGAGCCTGCCCAGGCTGTCGAGGTCGCTCCGGCGGCCGGGGGCGGCGGCGGCGGTGGCGGTGAGGGGACCGCGGCGACTTATGCTGCTGCTGCTGCCGCCGCCGCCGCCCGGCCCGCCACTGCCGAGAAGCTGGTCTTGCTGCTGGTGCTGCTGCTGGTGCTGCGGGTCCTCATCTTGCTCGAGCAGGCCGCCGTCTGACCTCCGCGGCTTCTTGGACGGCGAAGGGAAGTAGGTCTTCTTCTGGAGCTGGTGGGCGCCCCAGTGCTTGAAGGGGTCCGACTTGCGCTTGCGCGAGGTGGGCGACAGGGCGTAGTCGACCTCGATGTTGGCGGACAGCGTGCGCTGGTGGTGGTGGTGATGGTGGTGATGATGGTGGTGGTGGTGGGCGGCGGCTGCTGACGGGGCCAGGGCTGCTGCGGCCGCGGAGGAGACATGCAGGTCTGGCGCCGCAGGATGATGCAGCGAGGAGGAGCCCTCTCCTGCATGCGGGGATCCTTCCAATGGTGAAGCAGCCAAGTGGGACGGCAGTGCTGCGGCCTGGGGGACGGCCGGCAGCGCCTCCCGGGGGCCGAAAACCTCGCGGAAGCTCGGTAATGACTAAAAAGGCGGGCGTGTTGGTCAGGTTTTGTCTATATAAATAGATGGGGAGGCGGGCAACGAAAGAAAAAGGAAATCGCAAAAGAGAGAAAGGGGTGGGCCGGTCGCGGAGGAGTAGCTGCAATGTATGCGCGGATGCATGCATTGTCTGCAGGGCGCCGACGACGAGAATAGATCAGACGGGAGCCGAGGGGCGCGGCGGGCGCGTACGTACCTGGTTCTTGGGGCGAGACTCTGGGTCCTGGCTGGGGTAAAAGGTTTCGAAACGGCCTTGGTTTGCTGCATGCTCCAGGTGCAGGCTGTTCAAAGACTCTGCGCGCTTGTGGCCGGACATGAGTCCGGAGGAGGGGATGTTGACCGACAGACTTGTCATGGGAAACCGGTGATGGTGGTCGACCATCCTCGGCGGCGCGGTACGACTGGACAGGCGAAGGCGAAGGTCTGCCATGCGTCGCCGTCCGTCGGTGGGACGAGGATCCAGGCAGGTTCACGTCACGCAGTCGCGAGTCGTCGGCAGGGCGGCCGGACACGGAGGGGGAGGGGGGATGGGGTGAGAACACACAAGGGAAAAAAGCGCGGCGGCTCCCTGTTTCGAGTGCTGGCTGGCAGCAGTCGGGCGGCGCTTCCAGACTCGACGACGATTTTGGATGTTTTGCCCCGGCGCTGTCGCCAACCGTGAGTGAGGGGACCTTTGCTTGGGTTCGTTCGTCGGCGATCTCACGTGAGCTCAACGGTAGGAAAGCAAGCTCCTGATGAGCTCAGCTCGTGATCCCTGGAGAAAAAAAGGCCGGAGCAGGGATGGGCGGCGGCGTCACGCGTGTGTGGGCTGGGCGACCCGCGGCTGAGGAGGAGAGGAGACGGAGCGCGGGAGAGACAGAGAGACAGGGACAGGAGGGAGAGCGAGACAAGAGACAGAGGACCGCGTCGCACGCTCACACAAACACGGCGGACCAGGTACTCGATCAGCACCGGAGTCGACGAGGATGGTCGTCCTTGTCGTGTCGTCGACGTCGTCGTCGTCGATGTCGTCCAAAGAGAGGAAGTGACAGAGGGACTTGGTACCCGACTGTATCATGCAGACACTTTAGGTAGATTGGAATGTGGAATGAGCCGATGCATGCAGCTGTGCTGCAAGATCCTTGGGGTCGGGTGCGGCAACCCTGGGGGGGCTGGATTGGTGCGATGCAGGGACAGGACCAGGACAGACAGATAGACAGGTCGGGGGGGTGTGCAGTGGTGTGTGTGGTTGGTGGGAGCGGGTGGGCATGGAGATGGAGTGGTGGCATGGGTTGACGGGTGGATGGGGATGCGAGTGTGGATGGATCGACGGATATGAGAGGCATGAGAGACATGAGAGACACGACAGTCAGTCATCATCAGTCACCTTGGGAGACTACACAGCAACCAAAAGGCAAAAGCAGGCGGATCAGCAGCCAGCATCAACACCATCCCCCACAGGACTACCTCGTAGATGGCTAGACTTCGGCCAGACAGAGAGGAGCCGCGGCGACGCTATTCCCCTTGTACAGACCGTGTACAATAATTTGTATACAGATGGGGCATCGATCGTCTTCCTAATTTCGTAAATTGGTACAGTCCCCTCTCCAAGCGCCTTGGTGCGCCTGGACCCGGACGGCGAAACAGCAGAGTGGCCTGTGCTGTTGTATTGGATTTTTGGTTTTAGATTTGATATGATCCGCGATATTGTTTCTCTCGTGTGTCTTGTCTCTTGTCTCTCTGCCTCTCTGCCTTTCCACCTTGCTCTCTCACACACGCGCATCTCCCCCATCTCTCGACTGTATCCGATGTCCATGTAGTTCGTTAGCGTGGCGTGATAGATGATCGGTACTCTAGCTAATATCCTCTCTCTCTCTCGTATGGGTGTGTACCCGCGTCTCGACTGGCTGTCTTTCTTTGCTTTTGTCGATCTCTCTGGCATTAGGCCCGAGTGAACTTTGGAGTACGTACTTTGTATGCATATCTCTCTCTCTTTCTCCTCTCTCTTCCTCTTATCACACACACACTTCCGTTCCTCGTGTGTTTTCTTCTCCCACTTCCCTTCCCTTCTCTTCCCTTTACTGATGCATGCCTATTTCACTCGACTGTCCTGTCTTGCCGCTGCACCTCTCCCCAGAGAAAACAAACTTTCCCTCTCTCCCTTTTTTTCAGCTCCCAAAGCCGGCATCCCTGTCTCATTACCCACCCGAGCCTCCACTCACACGCACCAAGTGACCGATTTATTGCTGGTACCTGCGCCGGACCATTCTGACGGGCTCCACCGGCTCAACTGTAAACAAGTTGGCGGATTATTTAGTGGCCGAGATACCCGCAACCGGGGCCGCCCACTGGCCCCTGCGCCTGAAACACGGCGCCAGCAGTGTTTGAGAATCACTCCAGTGCACTCAGGGCTGATCACTGGGGGCCCAGAATGCTGGGATTGATCACTCATCATCAATCCTCTCATCCTCAATCCTCACCACCAACCACGACAGTGGTTCCTGTTCCTGTAGTTATGCAGAGGGACTGCTGCGATCATGGCGCATTGACTGGATTCCTTGCGTGCGAGTATGCGCGTGACAAGTGGTGTTGAAGGCTTCCAAGGTTGCTTCCAATCCTGATGCGTAGAATCAAAATCACTCAGGGGAAATGGGCATCGAAAAGTGTAGTTAGGGGTGTGAATGCTCAACCCTCATCAGGAGAGTGATCCATCATCCTCATCCGTCATGATCCGTCATCCTCTACCGTCCGTCACCGCCATCCTTCTGCGTTCATGCATCTCCTCTATCTGAAGCATACGAGTTGCCCGTTTCGTTGATCACTGCCGACCTCGACTCCAGACTGCAGTGCCAAGCCTGCGAACCCATCGACGTCCTACACACTAACTGGCCTAGTCCGACAGCTCAGACAGGTCAGACAGGAGCCTAATGATCCCAACTGCGTCCAACTGTGCGTCCAACTGCGTCCAACTCCACGCCCTGCTGGTCCTGCCCAGAGCCTCTCTCCGCCAATCTGCACTGGCACCTCATCTCGACCACGTTTCATCCCATCTGTCTGTTTCAGCCCAGATCTACGCATGGCCTGTCGACCATCAGGAGATCACCCGCTTTCCATCGTCCTTCTGTGCTGTCTTCTCGCCTTACCATGCCTGTCCTCGTACACGACCCCTCGTCGGCCACCCCTGCGCGGTGGGCGCCTGTGGGTGTGTCTGTCGCCTCTGTCGCCTCTTCTTGCCATCTTCGAAGCACGATGCTGGTTTGCTGAAGACTGTCTTTGACCGTCATCCCTATCCCATCCCTGAGATGTAGTCCACATCTTGCCGCCGCCCATGCTCCTTGCATATTGGCGATCTTGCTCTGCCCACGACGGCCTGTCTCGCCATCTTTCCACCACCCCGGTACAGTCCACTCATTCTTCCACCTCTTCCCAGTCCGGCCAATGTCCGCGTTGTGGCCGTGAGGCTCAACCCATGGCAGCCCCCCTGCCTTTGTGCTTCTTCCAAGCCTATGGTTCATGAGACGACGGGAAGACGTCCCGACAGACATCTTGGCCTTGTCCACTTCGTCCGGAGGTCATATCCCAAGTGGAGATGTATACGGCGACCAGACGAGATGGCGATGATATCTGGACCCAGACTGGTTTGTATAAAGGTCGAGGAAGTCCTCCTCCCCTCGACCGTCTCCTTCTTGCTCTTCACCTTCATTCTGCAGCAAAGTCTTACATTCTTTTGAGCTTTCATCCCTTTCATTCCTTTTCTTTGCAAACCACTCGCTTCATTGACTGAAGACGCATCCGCTTCTTGCTACCCTCTTTCGTTCGTGATCTTCAGCCAAAAAAAAGAAACCGCCAGCCGGGACCAGCTCATTCTTGCCACCCTTTGCCTCTGCAAATCGACAGTCTCAACAAACATCCCTGCTTGAATCACCATGTCTTGCACGACCATGTCCAAGACTCTCCTGGCCGCCCTCGCTGGCGCTGCCACCGTTGCCGCCCACGGCCATGTGACCAACATCGTCATCAACGGCGTGTCCTCGGAGGGCTACAACCCATTCTCCTTCCCCTACATGCAGAACCCGCCCACCGTCGTCGGCTGGACCACGACGCAGACCGACAACGGCTTCGTGGCCCCGGACGCCTTCGGCACCAACGACATCGCCTGCCACCGCGGCGGCAAGAACGCCGGCGGCCACGCCGTGGTCGCCGCCGGCGACAGCGTCTCCCTGCAGTGGGACACCTGGCCCGAGTCGCACCACGGGCCCGTGCTCGACTACCTCGCCGACTGCGGCGCCGCGGGCTGCGAGAAGGCCGACGTCGCCTCGCTCGAGTTCTTCAAGATCGCCGAGGTCGGGCTCGTCGACGGCGCCAAGGCGCCCGGCCGCTGGGGCGACGACGTCCTCATCGCCAACAACAACAGCTGGATGGTCCAGATCCCCGCCGGCATCGCGCCGGGCAACTACGTCCTGCGCCACGAGATCATCGCCCTGCACAGCGCCGGCCAGGCCAACGGCGCCCAGAACTACCCCCAGTGCGTCAACCTGCAGGTCACCGGCGGCGGCTCCGACAGGCCCGCCGGCGTCAAGGCCACGCAGCTCTACAAGGCCTCCGACGCGGGCATCAAGTTCGACATCTACAAGGACAACCTCCAGTACCCCATCCCCGGCCCGGCCCTGTACTCGGGCGCCAAGGCCATCTCCCAGGGCACCTCGGCCATCACGGCCAGCACGACAGCCCTGACCGGCTCGGCCACTGCTGCCCCCGGTAATGGGAACGGAAACGGGAATGGCGGCGGTGCGACCACCTCCCCTGCCGCTCCGGCCAAGCCTACCAGCGGCAACGGCAATGGCAACGGAAACGGCGGCCAGGGTCCCCGGCCGACTGCCTCTGCTCCGGCGTCTAGCGTCGCTCCCCAGCCTGTGCCTACCAACGGCTGTGGCAGCTTCGCCCGTCGTCACCCCCGTGACATGCTTGCTCAGTAAGCATGAGGACGCGCCAGTTTTCTCGAGTCGCCACACCTTCCCTGCATCTGTCATGGAGAGAGTTTTTCTACTTGGGCGGAGATCACTTTTTCAAAAATTCACTTCTTCACATTCTTGCTGTAGTTATATATATAAAACAAAAAGGGCTTTCATCTTTATGTAGCACACTTTGTCCATGAATCAAGAGTTCCAGCGGGGCACTTCCCCGCTGCTTTTTACAAAGGGAATATGGCCGGTCTGTTCTTTCGTTCCCCCCTTCCATAGTGACTGTGCTTCTTGCTTCCGCTCTGACCAGGTAGGTGCCCTGCCCTTGGGGAATTCAGCCCCACCTCGCCTCCAGGGCGCCGTACAGCGTCGCGTTGATGGGCAGCACGCTCCCGTGCCGCAGGTTACTCGGGAACCCGCCCCTGCTGCTCGCGGCCCACGCGCCCCCTCCGTTGTTGCCCGGCCGCGTGCTCTCGTACGGGCGGTAGCCGTCGGCCCCGTAAAAGTCGAGCAGGAGGTGCGCCTTGCCGTCGACCCGGTTGTCCCAGTACGCCGCGGGCCCCTCGACGCCGCTCTGGATGACGGCCGCGTCGCCGCCGGGCCGGGTCCAGGTGCCGAAGAGGCCCGTCGTCGAGACCTCTACGAACACGGTCTTGCGCGTCTCGTCCTTCATGAAGCGCAGGAAGGACTGCCCGCCGTTGCCGTTGCCGGCGTCGTCGTCGAGGGGCAGGATGGTCAGGTCGATGACGTTGGTCGGCGACTTGTCGATGTAGGTCTGCGGCCGCGTGAAGGTCTTGAAGTCTGCGGTGTGGGCGTAGCGGATGCGGATCGTGCTGGGGTTGCCCGTGTGAGATGGGTCGGAGGCTGGATACTGTTGTATTACGAGAGAAGTTAGATATCATTAGGTTTACCTTTTCCGGAGAGGGTGTCGAAGGGGGTTATTGTTGAAATTGTATGTGACGAATGGGCCGGGTGAGTTTTGAAACCTACAAATTTCGAAGCCCAAAACACCATGTACTGATCTGATGAAAAACAAGGTCAGCCTATGTCAGCACCTCAACTCCACCAACGCTGTCCTAGCCTCGCCAGGAAGGCGAAGGTCCAACGAATAACAACAGAAAAAAAAGACACCATCCCAAACTTACTCCTGCTCGGATCCCAGATCGCCTCGGGCGCCCACACCATCCCGGCCGTCTCGTCCTCGACCACGACCAGCCTCTCGCCCGTCCAGCGGACCAGGTCCGCGCTCTCCCAGACCAAGATCCCGCGGGACCCCGTCCGCTGTGCCGCGTCCCAGTTAGTCTTGCCGATGTCGAGGTCCGTGCCGACGAGGTACCACTTCCGGCCGGCCTCGGCGGCGCCCCCGCCCTGCACGACGGCCGGGTCGCGCACGCCGCCCGTGCCCTTGGTAGGGCGCAGGACGGGGGCGGCCCGGTTGAGCGCCCGGAACGAGGTCGGGTCGTTGCCGTTGCTGAGGTAGAAGTACACGTAGGGGTCGGCGCCCAGGAAGAAGGCGCCGAGGTAGCCCGTGAGGCTCGGGTCGGCGCGCCGGGTCAGAGCGGCGGGGCCATCCTGTGCTACTTCTGCGCTGCCGATCGCCAAGGCCGAGACTTGGGCAGCGAGGAGCAGCGTGCCGGTGATGGCTGCTGCTATTCTTCCAAGGTTGGCCATGGTCTCTTCCGCAGGAAGGAGGAATCAAGAATGCAAGCCAGATATACCCCGTATGGTTCAAGTTATTGATAACGTCAAGGAGGGCTTCCGGGATCCGGGTCACGGAGACATGGTAGAGCAAAGCGTGCGGGCTGCGTACAGGTTGATATAGACCTCAACAGATCTTGGGTCTTCTTTTATCGGGTGACATCAACAGATCCCATGTGCCCCTGCATGCCGAAATACCACACCAAGAGCCGGCTGGAATGCGGAGAACGTGGGAGAGATTTAGCCTTCAGGATGTCTTGATATACCTGGTTAAATCGCATATAGGGCAAGTCTCCATGCTCTAGCAGGCACTACGCGAAAAGCCTCTCGGCCCATAGCTATAGAAGCCGCACCTTCTCACATGCACACGGCTCTCTGAACACAGACATTAGCTGGTGGTGCTACTCCGAGCATCATCGAGCTTACCGCAGTGCCGAGGCGTTGCCACGAGTCGATGTCTGGTCCCCGCACGAGCGGATGACGGTAGCTCGGGGATGCCGGCTCCGTGCGGAGTGTTGCATCGGCCGGCCGGGGATGCCCCATCAAATAGCTCTTGGAAGAAGCCATTCCGTCACGGTACCTGAACAATGTGGGCACCAGTTGGGGTCTGCTCGGGTCATCTACGCCCGTGACGGTGTGGACTTGAATACTGGAAGAGACTTGCGTCGCATCTTCAGTCATTACCAAGTTCCTGTTCCGCATGCGTGTGATTGTCCGTTGTGGACAACAGACCAATGGGCTGCCAATCATCAGTAGTCAGATTGGTTATCATGGTCCTGTACGCTTGGTTGCGTAGTTCCAAGGCAAGGTCCGACGTGGTGGAGCTTTGCGATTCCAAAGTCGTGTCGTCAAGGTCCACACTCAGCGTGACCGCACTCTGATGCCTGGACGACACTGGAGAGCTGGTGGGCAATCCGGAGTGGGCAACAGCGGCAGCAGAAGGAGTCTCGTTGACCCGATCCACAACCTGAAACCCATCCATAGCATCGACACGTCGCCGCGGACCCAAGTATTGTTGACTGCTGGACAGGTCCTGCGATTCGGAGGCAGTGCTTGCTTGGCTTTCGTGATGTTTCTTCATCTCCTTTTGTTCCCTAGCAATTTCCTGCATGACAATGTCATGCATGAAGGTGTGTCCCGAGCAATACCGGCCAAATAAGCCTGCAATGTCTATGCCTAGAGTGTACGTAGGTGGTCAGTCTTGGACTTTGCGCATTCGGTCAAAGGGACTCACCGCTAGATGCCCATTCTACAGGATTGACAGTACACGGCCAAACGTCCTTCGGTCTAAAGACCTTGACCAAATCACAGAGCTCGGGATAGGACGAGTGGCGTGAATAAGGAAATCGCACCTTTTGACCCAAAACCTCGGGTGCTTCCGTGGCTTCTTTTCCTGTGCCTCCTTTGGTCTTTTGTGCGATAGAATGGATTGCAGCCGCAAGTTCTGTTTCGTTCTGGTTGCCGAAAGACGAAATGTCAATGTCCAACGAGATATTGCGCCCATTCGTGACCGCTTGCAAAAGAAAGGACTCCATGCGAGCCTTGACATCCTCTGTGATGGTGTCATTGGCCCATATCCTTTGAACTGTCAGTTCGCACTCTTGCCTCTCGATACGGTCCTGCTTACATTTCGAAGAAATCTTTAATCTCCCCAGGGTTGAGATACTCAAGCTCGGCTTCCTTCTCCAGGTCATCGCCACCGCCCCCAACACCGATTTCTGTCAAAGTTTGCCCATTGGGTAGGCGTGCAATTATTGGCTTGAGCCAAACGACATTGGCATTCTGCATTGTCTGGCAGGGAGCTCCTTTCTCGCAACTGTGCAAACGCACACGCTCATCCGAAGTGAGGCAGCCTGGGTGTTCCTTATTACCGCACTTGAAGCCGACAAGCCTGGCTGCCTCGGCGGATAAGTACGCAGGAGGATCGGTTTCGCTGTTAGATGGTTTGACCACAAGGGATTTGTACAGGCGCATCTTGTAATTGTCAACGTGGATCTTCGAATTCAGCGCCTTGGACAGGGCAACCCAGACATCTTCGTAGCCAAAGGTCCATGCCTGTAGGTGGAAGACTGTGTCTGCTGGATATCGAGAGACCGCCTTGACCAGCTCTCGAATCCCTTCGGCCTTTGTCTGAAACCAGACATCTTCCGTGAAGGAGGTGTCCAGATATATCATGTCAAGGGTCTTGATGCCGCTGGAATATTCGATCAAACAGGGATTGCGAGCAATGGAGGTGACAAACCACGGCTCAGACCGAATGTCTCCCGTGTACAAGACTGCCTTGCCCTGGCCCTCAAAGAGGAACATTACGGCTCCAGGGCAGTGGTTTGCATCAAATAGAGTTACCTGGAGGTGGTTGCCGGGCTCTACCTCGAGGACGGTCGGTGTCTCGAGGGGAATGGTCTTGAGCAGCCCTTTGAGGTGTCTGTATCTCTGAACTCTGGCCTCGATGATTCCTTTAGCATAGTTGATGCGGCAAGGGTATCGCTCCAAACGCAGCAACAGTTCTCTTGTGGCCGGAGAGCAGTAGATAAAAGGTGACCTGAGTGTCTCCAGGCCGGCAAGATGGTCGCTGTGGACATGGCTCAGGAAACAGGCGAGAGGCGGCTGGATGCCCGGCCGGTTCCTGAAGAAGTCGACTCTGATCTCTGGGAATTCGTGAATTATCCCATTGAAAGTCGACATGACGACATCGCCAACCAGGCTGGTGGGGGCTGTCCAGGTCTTTGTCAAACAGTAGATCACATGCCTGTTCCTGTATTGATTATGAGCCAATGCCAAACGAGGTTCGCGTTGAGCAAAGTGCACGAGAGCTGCATGGCGGAACTGAACCAATTGTAATGTCACGAGATGCAGTGGTGATGCAGGTTCGCTCCTGCTTAATGGCGGCGATCCAAAAAGCCAAGTTTAATCCATGGTTGCCTGTCGAGATGGGGAAGGGGCCACTAGAACCACAAGGCCGCAACTTAAAAAAAGTTCGTCAGGCGTCGCTTCAGCGAGTCTCACAGCGGAGCAGTGCTAACAGACCAGCCTCGCACAGAGGGAGAATGGGGAAACCATACACCAGATTCGATCTAGATGGCACAGTGACGACAATGATTGGCTCTGGAATCGTCACGGCACCTCGTACACCAATCCTAAACAGTCGATCCAGAAAGTGAGCACGGGATTCGGCGCTGATCTTGAATTCCACAATCCCCCCCCTGGGCACTTCTTTGATATTATTGTTTTCCCAACTGGACTAACTAAGTAGGCGGATTTGGGGGCTGGGCCGCAGTCCTTCCTGCATACAAGAGACTGCTCTGCCCCTTCTCGTGACACATCTTGGTCAAACTCCATACATAGGCCGCTGGTCCCTGGAATCGACCGAACAAGCTGTACACGAAGAATAACACAGAGTTTTGTCTGCCGGCTAAATAACAATCGGCCGGACTAATCAAAGAACCTCCGGTTCCCTTCCGCCTACCAAGTAGACCGAACGCGGCCGGTCAGCGAACATGGCCGACTCAGCCCCGGCCGGCAAGACCAAGGTCACGCTCACCGGAGCGCAAAAGACACTTCTTCTCACCCTATACTCCAAGCATTACGACAATACGCACGCTCCAGACCCAATCCTGAGCGACAAGTGGGCGACACATGTCTTTGACCAAATCGACTTTGACTTTTCCACCCTCGGCATCCGCGCATCTTTCTGCGCGTATGTATCACTGCGTGCCTACTGGCTGGATCAGTGGGCGGTCGAGTTTCTCGATGCGCACAAGGACAGCCCGGCTGGAGCAACGGTGCTGCACTTAGCATGTGGTCTCGACGCACGATCTCTTCGTCTCCAGGACCGGTACGAAGCCAATCCCAAGATCCGCTGGGTCGACGTGGACGTGCCGGAGGTGGCCGACCTCAGACGAAAGGTCCTTCCGGATCCAAAGGGGGACTACACCCTGCTCGGGACTGATGTCTCGGACAACACCTGGTTGGAACGTGTGCCTAATGATAGGCCGACGCTTGTCATCATGGAGGGCCTGACGCTGTATCTGACTGAAGAAGAAGGCCACAAGCTGCTCCGCAGCCTCGTTGAACGGTTTCCGCAGGGAGGGCAGATCATATTCGATGCCTTTTCCACATGGGCCATCTGGGTCCAGAACTACACGGGACCTGTGCAGAACACGGGTGCGAAGCTTCATTGGGGAATTGACGATCCGCGTGCACTGTTGAAGTTGCACGAGCGACTGAAGTTGCTTGACGAACAGTCCGCTATCGACCTACCTGGGACAGAGAAGTACCCGTGGTGGGCACGTTACCCGGTATATGTGTGCGCATACGTTCCATGGGTGAGATATGTTGTACGATACTTGAGATACGGGTTTTAGACTTTTCTTCTTGAGGAGGACGGCGTCAATATTTATATAATACATCCTTGGACCATTCAGCTCAACACTATCGCGTCCGTCACCTTGGCGTGCTGACGCACAATTCCCTCATGCAGACGCATCTTCCTTCAATGTTGTTGTGCAACGGTAAGCGGCCGCCGCACTGCCATCCGTGACATGCGCGGTCAACCGGGATACTCCATGCTCTCTGTGCATGCGCTCAACGAAGGATCTACAAAGCCAAGCACCAACATACCGGGTGCGCCTGGTGCAATGGTACCTTTCTAACCAGTTTGTGGATGAGCTTTCATGGCACTCGTGGGCATCGCCCGCTTTGTTCCAGCCTTCTGAAACGTCTACCCGCCCATCCACTCAGGGGGGAACAGCCCGCTAAAACCTCGGAATCCTCTTCCTTCAATGGCTGGAGCATGCCGTGAAAGTCCAGGATTGTCGCCCTATGGGGATAAGACCGGCTCTCAAGCCGCCCCAGGGGACCAACGCCAACACCACTAGTGCGCCCAAGCACGGCTCTCAGGCAGTCTCCTAGCTGCATCCGGACAGAGGATGCAGGCCGTAAGCCACGCAAACCTACCCTGACCAATATCGTCATACATAATTGAAACGTCACCGGAAGCACTGGAATCGCCGAGTCACCGGCGAGGCGGACAGAAATGAAGCCCGTGGCTATCTGGCTTATCTATTTGTGTCTCACTGTGAGAAAAAAAGAAGGCTGCCCCTTGCTCTATGATTAAATATAAACTTTTGACGCGTAACTGGTAAGATGCGATGATCAAACATTGAATGATCGTTTCTTCTTGGCAACCTTAAGAGCAGAGCTTCTTGAATTCAAGTATTTAGTCGATTGGCGAGCCCGAATGATGATTGCATAGCGTCCGTTTCGGCAATGGCAGACAGTAGTAGCAACATCAGCCTGACCGGGCAGGTGCTCGAGAGCTTGACAATCAGCCGGGTCGCAACGGCCATCTTCATCTTCTTAACCGCCTCCTTCCTCGTCGACATCTCCCTGAAGCCTCGATATCCGAAATCCATTCCACGGGTGGGATATGGCGACAGCTACATCGCCACCTTGAAGAACTGGATTGGCTATGTCGTCTACTTTGGGCGTTGGGTAGACGAAGGCTATGTCAAGGTGAGATTCCACAGACGCTCATTCCCCACGGGGCCTGGCATGCGATGCTCGCACGCAATGATTTCGCTCTGTCGTATGCTGATCTTGTGAGACTCCACAGTACTCAAAGCACGATCGCGCCTTTGTCGTGCCCTCTGCGGCGTCCAGACCACAGGAGATCGTAGTGCCTCGGTCTCAAACAGCGTGGATGCTGGAGCTGCCCGACAGGATCCTGTCTACGCACCACGCCCACAATGATGTTCTGTACAGCGAGTACAATTTCCTCGGCAAGGCCTATTCGGACGACGTCTTCCACATCAGGGTTGTCCATAGGAACCTCGCCCGCCATCTGCCCGGCCTCATACCTGCCATCCAGGATGAAGTGCATTCTGCCATTGATGCGGTCTTTGGCACCGATACCGTGGAGTGGAAGTCATTGAATCTCTGGGAGGCATGGCTCGGCATCGTGCCCAGGATCACCAACCGTGTGCTTGTGGGAAAGCCGACTTGCAACAACGAGGAGTTCCTGAAGAGTATGGTGCATTTCGCCGACGCCGTGGTTACCAACAGCTTCATTCTCAACATGTTTCCCAAGATTCTTCATCCGATCGTGGGAAGGTTGCTCCAGTGGCCGAATTGGCGCCACTGGAACAGGGCGCACCAGGTTGTACAGTCTGTCATCGCTCAGCGCCTGCACGACATGGCTCGGCAAGCTGCTGGAGATCCTGCGTACCAAGACTGGACTGCACCCGAGGACTTTATCACTTGGGACATCCGGATGGCCAAGGCGGAAGGGAAGCCATTCGAGCTGGATCCGGCCTCAATATCGAAGCGCCTCTTGCCCGTCGAGTTCGCAGCCATTCACACCACGGTCATCACGGGCCACTTCTTGATGATGGACCTTCTGGCATCCGACCAGTCCCTTGGTTACATGGACGGCATTCGAGAGGAGACAGGTCGGGTGCTGAAAGAGGAGGGAGGCAACTGGACCAAGAACGGCTTATCGCGACTGCTGCGTACCGACAGCGCCATTCGTGAGAGCATGAGGGTCAGCAACTTTGCTACTTCGCTGATCAAGCGGAAGGTAATTGCAGAGGAGGGCATTACGAATGAGTCCGAGGGATGGCATGTACCCCGCGGTGGCTTCCTGATGCTCAACCTTTCCGGAGTACAGCATGATCCCGACTTGTACGAGAATCCAAACAGCTATGATGCGTTCCGGTTCTCAAGGGCTAGGGAAGAGTACGAGGAACTGCCGCAATCGCAAAAGAATAGCGACGCTTGGATGAGAGTACAGAAATTGGGAATGGTGACGACCAGTGACGCTCACTTGGCGTTCGGCCACGGCAGACATGCGTGGTAGGTTTGCAACGCTTCAATTCGAGCAACAGGTTTGCTAATCATGACTCAGTCCTGGCCGATTCTTTGTCGCCCATGAGCTCAAAATGATCATGGCATATCTCCTGAACAACTACGAGATTGAGCCATTGGCCACTCGGCCGCAGCCGCAGTGGATTGGACAGACGATCATCCCTCCCCTGGATGTAAAGATCAGGATTCGAAGGCGAAAAGCCACAGTTTGAGAAATTGCGACTTGGAGACTCCCTGATACCCCCTGCACAACAGCAGCCATGATTTCAACGAGCCGGACTTTGATACCAAATGGTGTATTGGAAAGTATGTACTGCTCGTAAGGAGCTAGCTAAATATCTACAACGAAATTAATGTCTTCAGTCTTTTCAACATGCATAGGCCTTGAGCAACTTGAAGCTCATAATCATACGCCGGTCCTCTCACAGGCATTGGGAGTAGTCTAGGGAACGTCAGCGGCGGCACAAGCAGGATTTGAGGCGACATGTTCACTTACAGTCATTCTGCTTCTGGCATGTGTAGGGGCTGGCACACGCAGTTGGTCCAGTGTAGCCAATCCCTCCGCACTGTCCCCAGTGCGGCGCAACATTCGTGCCCACCGGCCCGCTGGAAGTCGTCGTCGTTGTACCAACGGTGGTGCTGCCAACGGTAGAGGTGCTCAAGGTTGTGCTGGTAGGGGGCTGAGTCGTAGAAGAGCTGCTGCCGCCACCGCCTGGGCTCCCCGGCACCGTTCCCTGCGCGTAAAAGACACCGCGGCCGTTGGTCCCGACATAGACAAGCCCTGCCTCGTTGGCCGAGCCGGCGAGCTTGCATGAGTCGATGCTGCCGAAAGCCTGGGCGCTCCCTTGGATATCGACCCAAGAGGCGCCGTCGTCGGCACTGGCGTAGAGGCGGGCGCCGGCGGATCCGGTACCGAAGGCGTACACGTTCCAGCTCGTGCCGGAGCCGCGGCCGAGCGCGACCTGGTAGGTGTTGCTAACCGCGTTGGAGAGGGCAGAGAAGGTCTTGCCGTAGTCGGTCGACTTGAACACGCCGGCGTCGGTCGACACGTACAAGGTTCCCGCGGTCGTTGGGTGCGCCGCGATGTCCCGGATGGCGCTCGCGCTGCCCGCGGCGCCGGCCCTGGCGAACGTCGAGCCCGTGTCGGTCGAGACGTAGAAGGTGCTCCCCGACGCGCCGTAGAAGACGCTGCCGTTGCGCTTGTCGGACGCGATGACGGCCGCGGCGGGCAGGCTCGCGACCTTGGCGAAGGTGGCCTGGTACTGGGAGCGCAGGACGCCGTTGTTGGAGGTCGACCACAGCACGGTGTCGGCGTCGGCCGAGTAGGCGACTGTGCCGCCCGTGGAGCTCGTGTCGGCCGCCGAGTCGACGTTCCAGGTGGCGCCGCCGTCGAAGGAGAGCGCGGCCATCTGCTTGCCCGAGGTGGTGCCGACGCGCACGACGCTGGCGACTTTGTTGCCGGCGTAGTCTGTGGGCGTGCGGTTAGTATCCCGAGAGTAAAGAACTTGGGGGAATGGAGATGTGTTGAGGAGGAGCAACTTTTACGTACCGACGCTGGAGGAGGTGGCCCATTCGGGCGTCATCCAGTTGTTCTGCGGAGACTTGCCGAGGTCGGCCTTGCTCTTGAAGGTGAAGCCGCTGTCGTCCCCGACGGCAGCGAGCAGCTCCGATCCACCGGCCGCCGAGACGACCTCCTGGACGGAGAACTCCTCGATGCCGTCCGCCAGGGACTGGATCGAGATGTTGTGCACGGTATCCCACTTGGTCAGGTCGTGGCCTCCGTAGATCGTCAGGCCGGTCCCGTACAGCCAGTGGTCGCTGTCGAGGGGGTCGATCTCGAGCGACTCGATCATCCAGCCGAGCTTCTTGGTGTCGACGGCGATGAAGCCGTTGTACACCCACGGCGCCTTGGGGGTGCTGAGACCATAGTAGCTCTTGCCCTCGGTGCCGTCGTTGGCCCGGTCCCAGAGGCGCGACCACGTCGCGCCCGAGTCGGTCGACCGGAAGAGCTGCGCGTCGGGCCACCACGAGTTGAGCGCCGCGACGACGAGCGTCCCGGGCTTCTGCGCGTCGAGGGCCAGGCCGCCGAACCCAAAGTACAAGTCACTGCCCGAGACGGGCGTGATGTCCTTCCACGTGCCCGCCGCGATGTCGTACCTGTACACGGCGCCCTTGGTCCCGTCGTAAGGACCCGTGCCGTCGCTGTAGGAGATGTAGAGGGCCTTCTCCGAGGGCGAGAGCTTGCACTTGTGCGGGAAGTAGCGCCCGGGCTGGTCCTTGACCGCGGCCCAGGTCGAGCCCGCGTCGTTGGAAACGTAGACGGACGCCGTGATGTTGTCGGCCGTGCCGACGAAGATGCGGGACGTGGCGCCCCCCGTGGCGGCGGAGGTCGAGTCGAAGGTGATGAAGGCCAGGCCCTGCTTGTCGCTGTTGTAGCCGGTCGTGTCGGACGGGTTGGGGATGAAGGTACCCGTGGCCGTGAAGGAGGAGACCTTGGAGAACGTGGCGCCCCCGTCGGTGCTCTTCCACAGGCCGTTGCCGCTGCGGGCGCCAAAGTAGATGATCTTGGGGTTCTGGGGGTCCACGGCGAGGCGCTCGCCCATGCCACGCCCGGGCATGTTGCCGCCGACCTTGAAGGGCAGGTTGGAGAAAGACCACGTTGCGCCCTTGTCTGAGCTGCGGATGATGGCGCCGTTGTTGGGATCCCTGGGTTGCACGATGTTAAGTCTCAGCCACATCACACATTTGTCCTTGGGTGGTCGTACCAGGAGTTGGTATACATGCCCACGGCGGCATATACCTTGTTTGCATCCTGAGGGTCTAACGCAATAGCATCAATGCCCCAGTTGTGCCTGTCAAGGATCCCTTAGCATGTTGTCTCCAATGAACAGATCATCCCAAGCTTACCATCCAGCCTGATCCGTGATCTGATCAGTAATGGGTGTCCACGAGTCGTCAGCGTTCAGCCTGTAGATGCCTCCGATATCCGTACGCGCATACGCTACTCCTTTCGTCTTTGGGTGGAAGACGATGCCCGGAGTGAAGCCGCCTCCGCCACCGATGCGGACGTTCTGCCACGTGAAAGCGGCGTGTATCGGAGCCGCCGCCGCGGCGAGGAGGAGCTGGACTGCCTTCGAGTACCGCATGGTGCCAAGGACTGCCGGGAGAGTGCTTTGGGTGCGACGATCCCGTCAGAAGTGAGATGACGAATGACGCCTATAATGGAGGCAGCTCGCCCTTCGATATATACAACTTTTACACTCATCATGGCCATGTTTCCAGTAGGGCCGAAGGATATTCGCGACCCGTCGGGTCGCGACGAAGTCTCCTTCTTGCGGCCATGGAACCGCAACGAGCGAAAGCTAGCGGACCCGGGTGCATCTTGGATTGGATTTCCCACAAATCAATCAGGGCTGCGATCGCAATCCCGGGAATGTTTCCAGGAGTGAGTGTCACTGGGGCCGTCGCTGATTTACCCTATTTGGGTATCAGTGGAGGCAGAGCTTCCGCTCCCGGGATGGTGGCTCGAAACGCCGGCACCAAAGGAGCGACTTTGTAGACATGTCAGGAATACCATGTTGAGCAAGCATTTCGGGCATTGAAAGGAAAACTTACGCTCAGCCTGAACGACAGATTGGTAGCATCATTGGATGGAGTACAATTATATGTAGAGGGCTCGTCACTCTTGGTGCCGGATTTGCAAAGATGGCAACTCAATGCGACCATAGATGCAGGAACAGCAATATTCAATCTACAAATATGACATTCGCCCCTAGATCTCACTGCAGTCTCAAGCTAGGACTCTCTACAAGAGGGAAATGCACTCCTTTCTCCAATTGGTGGACCGAGATTCTTCCAACATGCCTCTAAAGGTGCACCATAAGGCAAACCTGCCACCCCAACTACAACTTGCATAAAACCCCAGAAGGTCCGCAAACTAGTCCAGAATGATATCAAAGGAGTACTCCCGGTCCGTCCTCAGCTCGTACTCCGGGAGCGTTGCCGGCCCGCAGCTGCCCGACCCAATCCCATGGTGCGCCCAATCCAGGTGCACGACCGTGTCGTCCCGCTTCCGCGGCTTCAGCTCGTACGGGTGCCTGCACTCGTCCAGATCCTGGGCGGTGTAGTGCATCGCCTGGAAGTTAGCGTTCTCGAGGTCGCCGAACCTCGCGCGCAAGAGACGCTCGCCGCCCTTGCCCTCCCCATGGCCTAGGAACTCGACCCAGCGGACGTCGGTCCGGTTGCCGCCGTCCTGGGGGTACTCGTAATCGACAAACAGCCCATCGACCGAGTTCTCCCAGTTGCCGAACTGCTGGCTCAGCTTGATGTCGTTGTAGCTTTCGCCGGGTCCGCGGCCAAACCAGCGCACAGCGTCGACATCTGCGAGGGCGAACTTGAGTCCAAAGCGTGAGAAAGTCCCAGGAAGGAGCAGGCCCTGCGGCTTCGCATCTACGTGGATCTTGACCACGGGCCCCTTGAACTCGAAGGTAGTCACCGTGTGTACCGACCAATTCAGCACCGGAGGTGCGATCCGGGCCTCGATGACCACCTCGACAGCCTTGCCTCCTTGCGTCTTCTGCCACTCGGCCTTGACAAAGTGCGTCTTGACCTGATGCACTCGCCTGGCCTTCCATTCTTGCCCAAACCTCCCGCCGGCATCGTTATCTGTCAGTGCACGATAGAGATCATACGAGATCGGCTCTGTCAGGACGTTCCTTGAAGATTTCGGACGCGTCCAGGAGACCAGGGCACCTTGGCTAAGGTCAAAGACATATGTGTTACCCTCATCGTTCTCGATAGTGATCTCTGTGGGAGATGTCTGCTTGACCGTGTTGTGGGCGTCGCCCTTGTTTAATTCAGTATGCAGAATCGTCTTCAGGTCTTGCGGCGGTGAAAGCCGGAGCTGGCCGACAGCAACCACATGCCCGGCCCTAGCCCACTTTGTGTGTTTTTTGAGCGCAAAGGTCAATGTGAGATACGACCCAGGTTTGACACTGCGGGGCAGCTGCTCGATATGAAGCTTTGCAGTTGTGTGCGGTTTTACGCCTACGATTTAGTCGGTCAGCAGATGCGAGTGTGGTGCCGCCTAAGGAGAGAACCTTACCCTTGGGGAGTGGCACTTCATGCCCTTCAACGACCTTTCCATCCTCAACGATGGACCACTTGCACGAGAGATGCTCGAAGCCGGCGAAATCGTACCTATTGATGACCGTCACCACGTCCCCGTCAAGCCCCAGGGTCTGCACAGGCTCGATGAGTTTCTTGTACTCGGTCAGCCCCGAAGTTGGCGTGTGATTGGAGAAGCAAAGCCCGTCCATCACGAAACGGCCGTCATTGGGATCATCGCCAAAGTCTCCACCGTACGCCATGTACTCCTCCCCATCTTTGGTGTACGCACGCAGACCCTGTCAATCAGTCAATCTAGGAAATTCCTGGTACCGCTTGGGTTACAGGACTGACTTACATGGTTGGCCCATTCCCAGATGAAGCCGCCCATCAAGCGAGGGTACTTGTAGAACGTTTCCACGTATTCCTTCAGCCCACCGGGGCCGTTGCCCATGGCGTGTGCGTATTCGCACATGACCATGGGCTTGTCCCAGTTGCTTTCCTGGCCAATGCGGGCCATCTCCTCTTGCGACGTGTACATTACGCTCAAGACGTCCACTGACTGCCCTCCATGATCCGGCTCGTAGTGCACCGGCCGGCTCGTGTCGACAGTTTTGATGAAGTCATACATTGCTTTGTGGTTCCTCCCGTAGAAGGACTCGTTGCCCAGGGACCACATGACGACGCTCGGGTGGTTCTTGTCGCGCATGACCATCTGGTGGGCGCGGTCGACGTATGCTTCGGTCCAAGCCGGGTTGTCAGTGGCAAAATCTTCGGCACGACCACCTAGGACGCCAAGCCCATGACATTCCAGGTCTGCCTCGTCCAGGATCCAGAGGCCCAGTTCGTCCGCCAGGTCATACAGTCTCGGATCGTTGATGTAATGAGATGTGCGGATCGCGTTGATGTTGTGGTGCTTCATCAAAAGGAGATCGTGTTTGAGGAAGCTGTAGGGCACGGCTCTTCCTGAATGAGGGTGATGCTCGTGCCTATTGACTCCTCGGAGCTTGACTGGCTTGCCGTTGACCGAGAATATGCCATTGATCAACTCGACGCGGCGGAAGCCCACCTTTGCATGAGTCGCCGTTCCGTTGTCGAGCGAGAGGAACAGCTCGTACAGGTACGGCGTCTCGGCAGTCCATTTGTGAGGATTCTTGATGGACAGGTTAAACACGATCTTTCCGTGCTTTGACTTGACCTTATCACTGGCGACAAGATTCCATTCGTCATCATAGAGCTGCAATTTGACCGCGGTGTCCTCGTTGACGCTGACGTCGACTTTCAATGTGGCATTGCGGTAGTCATCGTCCAGCAATGTTTGCACGTGGAAGTCTTCAATATGAGTCTTGGGAAATATGTGCAGATAGACATCGCGGATGATGCCGCTGATCCACCAGTGATCCTGATTATGATCAGCGCTTCTGATACAATCTGACCTGTCTCAAGGCAAACCTACCTGGTCCTCGAGATATGTGCCGTCACAGCGCTGGTAGACTTCGACGGCAAGGGTATTGTCGCAGCCAATGTCAATGGCGTCGGTCACGTCAAACTCGCTGGGGTTTCTGGCGCCTTGCGAGTAGCCAATCTTGTTTCCGTTCACCCACACGGAGAAGGCAGAGTCGACGCCCTCGAATCTCAATCGCAGTTGGCATCCTTGAGCCTCCTTTCCAACGTGGAAGGTGGTCACGTAGCGGCCACACTCGTTGTCATCCAGCGGGATGTTGGGCGGGTCGGCAGGCCACGGAAAGTCGAGGTTGGTGTACTGTGGACCTTTGCCAAACCCCTGCAATTGCCAAATACCGGGAACTGCGATGTCGTCCCATCCCGAAGCATCAAAGCCATTCTCGTAGAACTCGACTGGCCCCTGGAGCGGTGTCGACGAGACGTGGAACTTCCAGGTACCCGACAGCAGTCGGTACCTTGGCTCGTGCACCCAGCAGCCAGTTTCACCCTCTGGGCGATCATAGAAGACAAAATTGCTGCGGGGTTTGAGGGTGTTGCGATGAAGGACCTCGAGATTGCTCCAGTCCGGGACACCCTTGGGATAAGTATGAACGCCGGAAGTGTCCTGACTTGGGGCTCTCTGGCTCTGAGGAGCAGCTCTCTCCCCACCCTCTGTCGCATGGGGATCAAGTCGTCCTTGAAGGCGGAGGGCCAGGTGGAGCTTGCTGGAGCTAGGCAGAGTGGTGTCCATCTTTCCAGCTGGTAGACTCGGTGCTGAACGTGAGGACTAAGCGCAGAAGTCGAAGTGCGTTCTTTGAGCTGGAAAGACAAGCTCGAAAGATGAGGCCTTCTCTCCCTACCTGCAATAATGGACCTGGCTGTGAGTTTAGGACTGGTGTGAACATGTGCTGATGATGTCGTTTGTGTGGAGGCGGAGGCGCTTAGTCTCACTGGTCCGAGGAACCGTCGGAACCGTCAGCTGGAGCGATCGTCACTAGGCCCCCAAGACAGTGGATTCACGAAAATGCGGGGAAATGCATCTTTCAGCATCGGGAGCAGGCAGATCGCATCAAATGAACATGTTCCGGATGCGACTGCTTGTTACACAGCAGTTGTCAACCGTAGCATCACGGCGGTGTATGCTGACGGTACACTCACTACCATCCAAATGTCTCAGTGTGTAATCTGACCTCCTGCTTCCGCCCCTTGATCACTTCACCCTGCATCGAGGCAACAACGTTGCTCAAGTCAACCTTTAGACTCTCCGGCCCGCATCCGAGCACGATTGACCTCCCTGCTCCGACTACCGCGGGCATCACTTCCGCCAAGGCTGGCCGCTGACCAAAGTGGGAGACATGGACAAGGGTATCTTCTTGACCTCTGTTTACGACCTGCGCCTCCTTGTCATCCGTCGTCTCGGTCGTTTCACCAGAAGCATCATTCTGATCCGTAACCCAAACATCATATGTGACTGTGCCGGGGCTGCTCTGCTCCTGAACCGCCCTCACATCCTCTGCGGCCCAGGACAGACAGTTTGCTGTCCTCACTGCCCACACCAGGTGGACAGACTTCAACGACGAGCCTTCCTTGCCGATCTGGGATGCAAGGTGTTCAAGCCAGGGCAAAACTCCCGAGATGCCGCCCCCTCCGGCGACCAGGATGGCTTGTTGGTATCGAGTCTCAATACGCGGGCGGATGACCGTGCCGTAGGGGCCATCGACACAGACGCCAATGCTTGTCTTCCTCTCTGCCACTGCTCCAATTCTTTTTGTGACGCCATCATGGGGCCGTACAAGAAACGTCATGACCGTCCGCCCATCCTTATGCTTTGGCAGGTTGCAGACTGTGAACGGATGGTTGTCCAGAGGCCGCAGGCCAAGGAATCGCAAGAAGAAGTGCTGCCCGGGCTCCCATTTCCATGTTCCCTTCACAGACACATCTAGGCACACCATATTGTGCGGTAGTTTGGTCATGACGGCCTGACTCTGAGAGAACGGCCCCCGGATGGAGAACAGCGACGTCTTCCTGGTCATGCGGACCATCAGCGAGAAGAGCCAGATACCGACGGTGGCCCAAAGATAGTTCCAGGAGTCCAGAGACTTTGCCGCATGCCAGAAACAGAGCCCTAGAAACGCAACTGCTAAAGCCAGGTGAACCTGCACAAAGAGTTCGTAAGCTAGACGGCGCAGCGGTGGAAGGGACAGCAGAACGAGTCCAACGAGCATCCCTAGCGGCGGAGTGCCTGTGAACTCCATCCCTCCGGCTTTATAGTATTGTTTGTGAAGTGCCGAAGGCCCTCCTTCACGTAGTGGCTGGACGATGAAGGGGACAGTATGGACGACGCTGAGGAACAGCACAGCCCAACCGGTCCACCGATGGATCACATTGAGCTTCTCGTGGCCAATTCCCGTCAAACACGTCACTGGATTGACCTTGACATTCATAACGGTCAGTTCTGCTCGGTATAAAAGAGCGCAATCCACACACCTTGCCCGCAAGGGCCAGCTCTAGAGGTATAAGCGCAAAAGCCATCAACCCCGTACGTACGCCCAGCGGTGGACTACCATAGCCTCTCTTTCCTCTGTAGTATGGATGTTGTACGAAGGCCATGATGGTCAGCCCGGCAAACATGAAGATCATCAGAGCTAGCACTCCAAAGGATGGAAGAGCAAAGAACTGCGCAGCCCTCCCTGGTATGCGTCTGTAGGTGGCCTTTCTCGCCATGGCAATAACCTTGTCCCAAGCACTGGTTCGCATCGAGGCATCGAAATGTCGTGGCATTAGCGAATTTGCAGCGTGAGCTAGGACAAAGAGGACGATGACGATCGAGTAAGCCCAGGCGAGCCACCAGCCGTATCGGAATTGTGATTCAAAGCTAATCTGGGCTTGGGAGGCCGTGTGAGCCTGGTGGTAAGCCGTGCAGCTGTCGTTGTTGCATCGTGGGTCCGACAAAGGTAGATCTGCAAACCAAGGTTCGACGGAGGCGTCGCCTCCCATTGACATTAACATCGACATGATGGGAGAATAACAACTGGTGGCATCGATAGTATATCTTGACTCTATGCCTTTTGAGGATGAGATATCTTGCGATGTAAAGTATGTCGACCCAGGAGTGATATAGAAATGGCCAGTCTACAAGATTGTGCAGTGCCGGCAGTCATAAGGTTGTACCGGCCATTCGGCGCCGATCAGACCCCAAAGCCGTAACAGTAACCGTGACAGTAATAACGGCGTCGATTTATGAATCTGAATCATGGCAGTCTTGACCGATGTGGTGGATAGATGATACTTGCGCAAACCTGCTCACTCGCTTCGCCTTTCGGGTGAAACCTGGACTCCCATCCCTGGAATGGTTTAATTGATTGCCCTCATTAAATATTATTTCTCCACAGAATAACTGCAGTTTCCATGCGAGGAGTCAAGGCTCCGTTTCCCCAGGTGACGGGTGCATGGCCGGCTAATATAAAGATGGGAATGGTGGTGGGTTCAGCACCATGTAGCCCGGCACTCGGCTTGAAGGGGCAGTATGAACGCTGAAATGGGTATGGGAGGCATGGCGGCGAGTGTAGAAGCAAAGGGCCACACTACCGAAGTTTTATTATTCTAATGCGTGCACGCTCAAGTACCTGGAGGTGAACGAGGACCGATGGTGTGGGTCGAGAAGTGCGATGGAAGATAATATAGCACAGATAGCCATCTCTCTCGTGACGAGGCTACCTAGATAACGCAAGAGATTTGAAAGATTATTTATTATTTCTCAGTTCCTCAATCTATGTTGTCTACAAATGGTATTATACAAAGTGAATAGTCTATAAAGGGGAGTGAATCTGTTGCAATAGAGACCTAGGCGTCACTGAACATTTAGTCGAACCGCGGTCCCAGTTTCCGCAGCCGCTCGCCATAACGATAGAAGAGGATAGGCACTGGGAGAAAAATGAGGCAGACGAAACCCAAGACAGAGTTGCCCCATCCGAGTCCAAGATTCTTATACATTGCCGGGGCAGCCAGCGGCAGGAATGCGCCGGCAATGTTCCGAGCCATTGTGTTGGCGGCAATCGACGACGCCGCGGCTCTCGGCCCGAAAGCATCGACGCAGTATATCTGCGTGGTGAAAATGACAAACAGGGAGCCAAATCCAACTAGGAAAGTACCCAGGATGGGGACAATCCAGTGGTTCTTGTGATAGGCAGTCCAGCCGTACCAGAAAAAGCCGGCAGGGATGACCGGTGAGAACCACATCATGGGAATCAGCCGCAGTTCCGGGCGAGATTTCTCGCCGGCCTTGGGCTCCCTGACGAGCTTGTCGCTGACGAGACTGAAAATAACGACGGCGCATGCCATGCCGATGCCGACGCCCAGGTAGCAGAGACCAGCGGTACCAGGGCTGAAGCCATACTGCTCCGCGAAGACCATGGGGAAGGTGGTGAAAAGAAGAAAGATGAGACCAAATACGAATGCGCAGTAGATAGACAGCAGAGTGACCACGGGGGAAAGGAACAGCATCCTAGTCGGACGAGAGACGCCCTCGAGGAAGAGCTGTGTTGGTGTAAGGTTCTTGTGAGTGCGAGCCCGGAGTTTGTCATTGCCAGTCGTTTTGCGCATGTGCTTTGCTTTAGCCTCAAGCAGGGTGGGTTCGTAGGTTTCTCTGAGGACAACGACCCCCGCAAGGCTGAAGATTCCTGCCTGTAAGACCATGAGTGTCTGTTCCTATGATTGCGAGGTATATCATTGTGCCGTCTTACCATGATAACGATGATTCTGAAGGTCCATCTCCAGCCAATGCTCTGCGTAATGAAGCCCCCAGCAATCGGTCCAATAACCTGCACATCATGGGTTTAGTAGATGCACTCTATGAGCTTCAAAGAGACCTTCTTGCTTACCGGTCCCAGAAGAGGCCCCAATCCATAGATAGCCATCGCCTTGCCTCGCTCCTCAGGAGGGAACATGTCAGCGAGCGTGCCCGCGCCGACCGTCATGGGTGCCGAGGCCGCACATCCACATAGGAAACGGAAGATGAGAAATTGTACATCGCTCGTCGCGAACGCGCAGCCCAGCGAGAACCCGACGTAGAATACGTCGCAGACATGGTAGATGATGAGGCGACCGTAGACTTCAGACATCGAGGAGACGACGAGAGGGCCGATGCAGAAGCCGAGAATGTAGATGCTGACAGTGAATGTAGCCTCGATAGTGCTGGTGATATGGAAGTCGTGAGCGAGGGCCAATGCTCCGGGGGCGTACATGGTGGCGGCAAGGTTACTGTGCCCGGCTCGTGGTTAGTGTGCACGGCAGCAAGAGGGCAATTGTTTCGCTAGGGGGTTGCTCACGCGGTAAGTGATAGAGCACTGACTATAGCAACATTGGCGAACATGAAGCTTTTAGACCAGTTTCGAGGATTCTTTGGGTCGTCGGGCCCATCCCAGTCGACAATGTTGGGATCCGCAGCATTTGCTTTCTCCGCCTCGCCTGTGTTGGGGTCATTGCGAGTTTCGTCGGTATCGATCGTGCCGGACTCAAGATCTCGCTCCGACGCTACCATGGAGTTGCGCCGTATGATTCTTGAGCCGGTCCTCGTCAGCTCGAAGCTGGGTTGTGATGACATTTTGTGTCAGGGAGACCGTATTGGTGGTAGAGCTGAAGGATGGTTTAAGATGTCGTTTGACAGCTAAGAATATTACTTGACGGGAGCTGCGTTGGAGCCATGTATGCTTGGCACAGGATGTGTAGAAAGCAGAGAAGCTACAAATGGATTCCTTTTAAGGTCGAGTCCAGTCCAAAACATTGATTCTCCGGAAGCTTCTCGGTGCCCTCTAAGTATCCGATGTATGTCTGCTACGGACACCGATGCCCCGTCCGGGCCAGGCCCAAATAAAATACGATGAAAATAGCGACACATCAGTCCACTACAGGGCTGAAAATCAAAGGAGTGCCACTGACTCGGAGCTCGTGCTTGGATCTCGAATCTGCGGCGCAGCATGTTAGTGGCCAATTGCCCCGAATCTTCGGAGACTCGGAGTGACCGATCGGAGCCGACCCACCAATCACGATTGGCGTCACCCCGGTCTCGTCATGTCCGAAGCCGTACCTTGTAATGCTCATCCAATTGTATCCACTTCATTGTGGTAGCTTTTTGTGAATCGGCATGTTCCCAGGGACTATTCTAGATTATCGACAACCCTATCATAGGACTCCTCTCTCAGTCGCCCGGAGCTCCAGACGTTGTCATAGGCAGCAAGCGGCGAGACAATCTGTATCATCAACCTTTCCCATGCTAGATACCGTCATAACCCAATGTTGTGCATAGTCAACCGGATTCTAAACGATGGTAACATCCTGGACTACCAAGGCCTGTTCCAGCACTTCCATCTCACTCATGGAGGAGTAGAACTCCAGTACGCAGCCAATTCTCTCAAATTCAGCGGTTGAACAACCATGCACCCTTTTCAAGACCAACCCGGTCCAGCCACAGGCATTCAAGCCGTCGGCGGCTTTTTCAATGTCGTAAACCATCAGCAGAACTTCCTCTCCGGACGCAATGAAGTCACCGCCTTGTTCGGTGAGGAGAAAATCTGGACGCATTGAAACCATCATGTTCTCAACAATGATTTGTGGGCTGTTTCTTACTTTCTTCACGACGACATAGCTGGGGACCTCGACGTAGGAAGCTCCCTTCTCGGGATAGACAAGCGTCGCGTGCAGGCATGGTCCTTTCAAAACCAAAGTCGCGGAGAGGGGTGCCCCATAGGGATTTGCACCGTCAACAACAGCGTGGGAGACGATTGTGATCAGAGGTTTGGCTGCCCTGGGAAGGAAATGTACGGCCTGATTCGCAGTAGCCCAAGACCAGGAGGGCAAGTTGCGCGGAGTCGTCCGTGGCCTGATATCGCCAAACCCTGTCCACATCAGCTGCAGTGAAGAATCTTCGAGCCATATTCCGGCAATGTATGTCCACCCGCACGTCTTTGCAATGCGGCTTGCGATGCCTGACAAGGCAGGAAGCCTGTCACTGGGCTGTGAGAGGTCAGTCTTGGTGTAATCCTTCACCAGACTAGTCCACGGCACATCTCGCAACTTGTGCCATCCATTCCTTTTCATCTTCAATATGTGCTCCAAACCCTGACACTCGCACCACCAAGCTGCGTCACATTCCCAGAGGAGCTCAGTATCTGTAAAGTAGATTGTTCGGCGAGAGAGCAATCGTTCTTGATAGACCCATCCTCTCCTCATTAACGGAAACTCATCGCAGGGATTCATATCTTCAGGCCGTGTAGGGTCGACTGGATGTAGCTCGTCCTTGCACCATACAGTGTTTTCGTCTGGCCGACGCACTCCAACGGGGCGAAAACGCTGGTGAGGTATGCTCCGGCGAAAAATGCGTTTGTTTTGTGATGTTACATCACATGATAATGCAGATATAGTCAAGATCGCGTTTTCGTATATCTGTCCCATTTGTGCTGCTTGTATATGCCAATCACGTAGATCATCATGATCCTGGTAGATGCAGAAACAATCAACCCAGAGATAGCGGAAGCCCAGTCGAACCGTGGCTTCGACTGCGTCCTGTACGAGTGGGTAAAGCCTTTCAACTGGGATTCGCTTTTGAAATGCCTCGGAGTCCTTGCGGTATAGTTTGGCCATCTCCGTCTCAGGAAGCCATCGGTGGCTCAAGCACACGTAAGGTTGTGAGTCGAGTTCATTCGCGTTCTCAATGAGTCGTACATTCGGCGGGTTGGTCCCCTCAATGAAAAGGATTCGCATTGGCATCGGCCTGCTCTCTGACGTTTTGGGGCAGTGCGTGTGTTCTGATTCGCATGTTTCCAACCAGTGGCGTAATCGTTGAAACGCTTCTTCGCTGCCAGTGTCTTCTAAGGGGACTTGCCCGATGTCTATGGATGGATGGAACATGGGAGGGCATGTTGCAGGATCCTCAACGAACACCCTGATGTGAATCGGTTCTCTGGACAGCCCGATCACAGTAACGCCGCCTATACTCCAATAGAACTCGACTGATCTATCCAGCTTTCCACGCCCGAGAAGATAAGAGCAAAAGGAACATCCTCTCTCAGCATAATATTGAGGAGGTTTTGTACTGGATGCGTCAGGAATGGTTTCCAGATCAAATAAAATATCGAAATCATCGTGCGGGATATGGCTTGCAAGTTCAAGAAGACAAACCCCGCAACGCCATCTTGTGGCACCCGGGCCGTCGTTCTTGTCAGGCGAATGGCAGAGGGTCGGTTGTTGCCTCAAACCAACACATTCTCGATCTGCACTGGTCCAAGTCTTGCCGTAGGATGTAGTGAGGATGCGAAAGATTTTGGGAGCCATCAGAACTTGTCATTCCATGAGACCTGAAGATTGTTGGGCACTAGAAACGGTTTGGGCAGCAGGGGCTTGTATTTATGCTGGTGCTTCGTTTGATCAGGCGCCGGTGCTGCTCAGCCACTCAGCCTGACGATGCAAGTCGGAAAAGGGCACAGCCCCGTTCACATGCATGTCTGCCTAGCGAGATCATTTGATTTGTTGTGAGCTCCCCATGACACCCACGCCGAAAGTTCTGGTCAAGCTCACATGGACTAAAGAGGCTTTCGACTTTCTCAAAATCGTTGCTTAGGTGTACGCTTGAGCTATTTGCCCTAGCCAGTATCTAAACTGGCGATCTACTCCCAGGAAACTCGCTTCTCCCATTTTCTAAATCTTCACTGCGCCTCTTGCTCCTATCGTAGCTAGGCCTCATCCACGACACTGCATTCCCGCTGCCCAAGCTGAACTTCCTCGCTCCCGGCGCTCGCGTCGGCGAAGGAAGCGTGCCCAGCCCATGGCCTTCATACGACTTCTCATAGCTCACTCCGCGGCCGAGATACCCGCCCTGCCGGGCTCGAACTCTGCCTGAATAGGCGTCGTCTGCGAGCGAAGGCCGCCCCCTAGACGACGGATATGCCTCCAGCCTTGGACGCGACGGCTCCTCGGGGAGCAGCAGCGCCTCGTCGACCGTCCGCCGCTTACTCGTCTCGTCCCTCCGGAACACAGCGTCCTTGACACCGAGAAGCACGCCCCGCACGGCGTCAAAGATGTCGTTGACCGTGAAGGCCATGGCGACGAGCGGGATCGAGATGCCGAGGCCGATGCCAAACATGTACTTGGACACGTACGCCAGCGTCAGCCGCCCGTCGTCCCACTCCCGGAAGTTGATGGCGAAGAAGGCGGCGATGAAGGACATGGGCAGGAAGACGATGGTGACGATGGTGAAGACCATGATGGTCTGGCCCTGCCGCGCCGCGATCTCGGCCTGGTCGCGCGCGAAGCGCGCCTCGAGCGCGTTGGAGTGCTTCTGCTTGAGGTCGAGCAGGTGCGTCAGGCTCATGTAGATGCTCTCGGCCTGGCGGTCCATGCGCTCGACGTCCTTGCGGTGCACCTCGAGCAGGCGCTTCTGCTCGCGCGACCGCTTGCGGATCTCGGCCGCCACGGCGTCGACGACCCTGCGCGTACCGCCGCCGCCGCCGCCGCCGCCGCCCCCTCCCTCCGTCCGCAGCTCCTCGACGACCTGGCCCTCGAACTCGTGCAGGATCGAGCTCTGCGAGTCAAGGATGACGGCGATGATGTTGAGCTCGTCACGGATGTCTTTGATCTCGGCCAGCAGGGCCGTCTCGATGCCGATGTCGAGGAGCGCGTCGAGCACCAGGGGGTCCTGCTCCTTGATGCGCCCGCCCGTGTCGCGCGAGAACTGCCGGGACGCGCGTCTGCGGTGCCGCCGGTTGTGCTGCAGCAGCTGGGCTGAGATATCAGAGGCCCTGTTGAACCTCAAGAACAGCTGGCTCTCCCTGTTTGTGACATGCCCGATGGAGCTCTCAAACATGTCTAGGAACTGGTAGTCCTGGTCGTCCAAGCGATGGCGGTCAAACATGCCAGAACACCGGTTTGTGATTAGCATCGCTAGATCGTAGACAGACTGCATTGGCGGCCTGGTCTTTGCGTTTGTTTCCTCAATGATACCGTCCAGGACGTTCAAGGGGTCCTGTCTAGGCTGGTCCCAGCGTTGAGGGAAGCAGGTGATGATCAAGTCTAGGAAGTGCCACTTGTTAGTAAGAAACAGGATCGGTAGAGACAACTTCGTATTCTCACCTCGCCCAAGGACCCATAACCAGAGCTGATCAACCATATAAATTTTGGGCTCCACGTGATGCCTCTTGCAAAAGCGATAGACAACTTGATCTCTGTCTCTCGCTGTCGTGTCTATGCCATGGTAGAAGAACTGATCCAGTGTCCTGCGGGGATGCAAGGGCGGTGAGTTATTCAGGTATGCATTGATGAGCATGAGATCTCGAGTGGCCGTGTCCGGTAGGTCTTCACCGGCGCGCACGCTCTTGATCGCATTGCTCATCCTGGCGCGTCTCTCGTCCGTCTCAAAATGTAGGAAGGGCATCTTCGGGTGCATTAGTGACAGAGAGGGGTTCTCCGGAGGAGCGCACAGCACGTACAAACAAGACAAGCTTCCCGTTGGAAGACGAGAGCTTGCTGATATTAGTATCCCACGCGACCTGAGCAGGGCCCTTGTTCGCTGCTGTTTTGTTATCCTTGTTCTTCGGCGGGTTCCCGGGGGGACCCTTCGCCCGCTTCGAGCGCTTCGGATGCCTCTCGGCGATCTGCTCCGACTTGCTCTTCTTCGAATCGGGCTTGGGCGAGTCATGTTCGTGGCCGCCACCACCGTGGCTGTGATTTGTCCGCGGCGTCATCGCACCGCTGTTCTGGCTGGATATCGTGCTGAGCTCGGACGGGTCCTCCATCAGCGAGGCGAGGGACCTCTCCTCCCGATCCCTGTCCGGCGACTCGCCCTGCGAGGCAGAAATGCGCTGGCAGAACGTCCGCATGAAGTGCGCGTGGGCCAACGGGCCGCGGTGCTCCTGGTCGAAGCACTTCTCCAGGGCCTTGAAGGCCTCGATGTCGCGGTGGCCCCCCTCGACAAAGTGCTTGGCGAGCAGGGTCTCGACCCAGGCGATGTTGTTCGCGGGCAGGTGGATCCACCTGAACGCCGGCTCGTACTTGATGTTGCTCGTGCACGTGTTGATCTTTGGCTTGTCGGTCTCCCTGTCCCAGCCGTACAGGAGATCGTGGACCGAGTGCTTGAAGACGAGCTGCTTCCTGCCGTGCTGGAAGTGGCCAAAGTCGACAATGGTGGCCTCGAACGACTTGCAGGCGCTCTGTGCCGCCGCCGACAGCCTGTCGCCGGCTCGGGCCGGGGACAGAAGCTGCACGATATCCTTGTTGTACGTCTCGGCGGCGCAAAGCATGGGCGTTCGGTCGAAGCTGTCCTTGGTGGTCAAGTCGGCATCGGGCCTCGTCAGGAGAAGTTTCACCACCTCCTCGTGCCCGTTGAAAGCAGCCCAGTGCAGCGGCGTCATGCCGTTCGATAGCTCGGCGTTGACCTTGGCATTAGCATCCAGCAGGAGCTTCACGACGCCGAGATGGCCGCTCTGCGCCGCATTGTGCAGGGCCGTCCAGCCACCGTCGCTCTTGGTGCGGGTATCAGCCCCGTGGCTCAGGAGCAGCTCGACCATCTCCTCGTGGTTCCCCTCGGCGGCCAGGTGCAGGGACGTGCGGCCGCGGTTGTTGGCCGCCTGGATGTCGGCCGCCTTGCCGAGCTCGCCCCTGAGCAGCGCGTCGACGAGGCGGATGTTGCCGTGCGTCGCGGCCCACAGCAGCGGCGTCCGCTCGATGTGGTCCCGCGCCTCGATGTCGGCGCCCCCGGCCAGCAGCAGCCGCAGCGTGTCAAAGCTCCACCGGCCGGGCTTCTCGGCCGCCAGGAACAGCAGCGGCGTGCGGCCCTCCTTGTCCCGGGCGTCGACGTCGGCCCCGGCGTCCAGGAGCAGGGAGACGACGGCGTTGTGCCCGCGCATGCACGCGGCGAACAGCACGGGCGCCCCGCTGCGGCCCACGCCGTTGGGGTCCGCGCCGCGCCGCAGCAGCTCGGCCGCGAGCTGCGCGTGCCCTGCCTCGGCGGCCTTGGCGAGCGCGCCGACCTCGCCGTCGCGGCGCGGGTTGACCTCGGCGCCGTGGGCGAGCAGGAGCCGGGCGACGGCGATGTTGCCGCGCGCCGCCACGCGCTGCAGGGCGCTGCGCAGGGCGTCGCGGTCGTTGGGCGTGGCCGTCCACGACTGCTCCTCGGCCAGGATGTCGCGGACGCGGGACTCGTTGGCCTGGGCGGCGGCGGCGAGCAGCCGGAGGTGGCGCTGGTCCGGGGCGCTGCTCGCTACGCTGGCCATGGTGCGGAGAGTGTGGGGGCGCAGGTCAGGAAGCTTGGCCTAAGAGCTTCAATCGCCGGGCGAGAATCGCATGCTTGGCATCATTTTTTTTGGCATTCTTGGCTTTGATGATGAATTTTCCAATGCTGTACGAGGTCACACCCACACAACCACAACGCGTTTTTTGCTCGCATTCAACTACCGACCGGGGGCTGAAGATGCAATTTCGATATGAGTGGGGCAGCAGACAATGGTCCTATGTTAGTGAGACGACGATCTGGAAGCTGCATGGGTAGCCTGTTCTGGCCCGCAGATCTTGGCGGAGCAGAAATAAGCATGTGAGTAAGCTTTTTGCATGGCGAGGTTGTATTGGCTATCTAGTCTAGTATGCAAGATTGAATGGCTGTTAAGGCTCCAGACACGAGTGAACAGCATGACGCGTGGTCCATCACTGCTGCTTGGCCATGATCATCTGGAAGGTGTCGTTGAAGTCTTGCTTCCACTCCTTCTCGCCCCGTGTCGGCTTCCAGCCAAGCTGTCTGGCCACGTTTGCGACACCGCGAGAGTTGCTGGCAAAGGCCAACTCGGCGAAGTCTGCGTCGGCGAATGGAATGAGCTTTTGAAGAAGCTTGGTAAACTCGTCTAGTTCGACAGCATGAACCAGCTTGTCCGAGATTTTGCCAGCGTCGAAGGCTGAGTCCGCGGCCAGCTGCGCAACCTCCTTCCAAGTGTGTCGGCCGTTTGCAGTGAACAGTATGCCGTTGGCGCCATAGGGCACGTTCTTGGCCCCATCCTCCAAGATGTTCACGAGCACGATCTTGTAAAGATCGGCGACGTCCTCGATATGGACATGGTCCCACTCAGCCTTGCCCTCGCCGACGACGATGCCGTGGCCAGCAAGTAGAGTAAGCTGCAGATAAGCCGGAACTTGGATACTGAGCTTGCTGAACAGACCGGTGCCGGTTCCAAAGGTGGTAGGGCTCGTTATGACGACCGTCTTGATGCCGAGCTCCAGACCCTTGCCAACAACAGCCACTTCCACAGCCCGCTGGGCATAGTTGTTAAGGGCCTCACGCTCCTTGTGGTACTCGTAGAGGTCCTCTTTGGCATCGTCAAACTCGCGGTCGCCGGCCTTCTCAACGTACTTGCCGGTGATTGGCTGGTCGGAGAAGTCAGAGGTGCCCGAGGTATGGACGAGCCAGGCATCGCGGCCGGTCGACGCCTTGCGTTGAGCCAGACCTTCGAGCAGGTTCAGCGCAAAGGTCGGGTGGAAGCCCGGTGCGGAGTTGATGATGATGTCGTACTGCGCAGCGGTAGCCGTGACGGCCTTGGAGTCTTCGAGATCCTCCAAAAATACCACCTGGACGCGGTCGCCATAGGCCGCCTTGAAGGCAGCGACGCGGTCTTGGCCGCGGACCAGCGCAAAGATAGGAGACCTGCTTAGCACGGGGTCGGAGGCGCGAACCAGGGTGTTGAGGATGGTGCCGCCGATGTTGCCAGTGGCAGCTGTAACGAGAATGCGCGGCGAAGCAGCCATTGTGTCAAAGTATGGGTGATGTTGCTTGGTTTCTAGAGATATGTGTAGATATCTTGTTTAACTGATGAGTTGAGATGTGTGTTGTCAAGAAGGTATGAACAACATCGACAGACCGTGGTCTTTGTAGCGATATATATACACATCATGTTGACGAGGTTTGATATGGTGATTACCTTTGGACATTCTTAATAATGGTGAGAGAGATGATGCTTAACTAAGGTCATGCGGCTGTATTGACTGCAACTTGGTATTTTGAAGAGTCGATGCAACCTTCGCCAGGAGAGGAGCTCCACTGATGTGAAGGCATGCAGTCCTGAATAATCAAGCCCAAGGAAGTCTCAACTTGGGAGGCGCACCAACTCGGACGAGCTCGCACAAAAGCGGGGCCACGTCCGTAGGCACCTATTAATTGATTGATACGGACGGACCTCCAAGATCTTCACGCCACGATAGAGTCTTGCAGGCTGTGTCCCTGATCTCTGGCACTATCTTGGATGCATTGTCTTCGACTGTCTGGCGTTTTGGTGGACAGCTTGCTGTTCTTTCAAGATATAGCAGTGCTCTTTGAGGATGGCATGACCGGATTCTGCAGCATGGCGGGGCAAGAGACACTACGGTTGGACTCGACAGGAGCGGCATTCATCAAGTCAAGACACGACTGTCACGAAGCATGCATATGGGGAAGATGGCAAGCAAGAACAATGTGCCGAGCATACTGATATTGAAGGAGTGGCTACATGAGCAGATCTACTTCCTTGCACAATCTCGGATTCCAAAAGAAGCATGACCAACTACCGTCCCCATTCAGTCTCGAAATACCACCGGTCCGCAACCACCCCGCCAACCGCCGCTACGCCCCGAAACTCATCATGGTCGTGAAAACTTGAGGGTGTAACATTCGGGAAATGGTGATACAGTAAGGACTGTGTTCACAGGAAGGAAATGGTTGGTGTTGCTTGGCTTATTTGCCGCAGCCGCTGCAAGTGCCTGGGTGGGAAGACCTGGGTCAGTGCCGAGCAGACAGAGCCGGCGGAAGAGGGGCAATACTCACATTGGCCGCTTGCGCAAGTGCAAGACGAGGCGCCGGAGCATCCGCAGTCACCCTTCATGATGTTGGATTGATCGGTTGGTTTTTGGATGGGGAAAATATGAAGTCTTGCTTGTAGAGCTGATGGATTGCAGGTGTGATTGTTTGTCTTGATGAAGAAAGGGAAATCAAGCTTCAGCGAGAGGGGGAACTGACGTCGACTTAAATACACCAGCTTCTTAGTCGATGGATACCGTTTCGGGTACGTCGATGTACACTGTTAGTTCAGTGGCGACCTGTCGAGACCCTTAGATTCGCCAAGATTGCGTGGTTTGTGCCGATTTCCCCAGCGGAAGCGGGCGAATGGCCTGCATGCAATGCAAGTCACTTTCTGCGCACAAACCGCGCACTAAGCATGCTAGCTGCAACAGGTGACTCGGGGTCGCCCGATAAGGAAGGGCAATCGCCTGGTTGCCCGGCATTAGTGGAGGGTGGAGGTAATTTTTAGCGGTCACAGCGACATCATTGTCCAACGCCAAATATCGATGCGTCGCGCGGGATATTCGCCAACAAGCCCCCAGATTACTGATTCTAGAATCTAACTACTCGATCCGAGCGAGCCCTTTGTGCCGGTACACCTCCACATACCGAGAAGCTTGCTCAGCCTGGCCAGCGGCAGAGGGCCGGCAATGTCCGCTGTCTCCTGCGGGGTTTGCGCCGGACCGGGTCTTCTAATGCACTTCAACAGACAGTGTTCTTCGAGCTCCATCAAGAAGCTTAGCAAAGCTGCCTGGGTATTTACGGGTCTAGGAGACTCGGTACACCGCCAGTTACTCCCGTCTCGGCACGGATATCTGATGACCAAGTGCAACAGAAAGGATCAGGCTTCGACAGCAGTGGCGCCTGGTCTTCAGGTCGTTGACCAATGTTGATGTTGGATGATGTCCTTACTTGGCCCAGGTCGGTGCCGGAATGCCTCATCCCACGTCGTGACGAAATCCCAACACACCTCTAGACCTTGAAGAGATGTACAGCTTACGTATTAACATATCTGTTCACTTTGTGTTAATTATGGTCCGCGGTAACCTCGCCTACTCAGTTACTCGAACACGGTAACTTTCAAATCCTGCGGCGCAGCGGAGCATCGGCATCTGCAGGCAGCACGCACACACACAACCCAGTCAAGTTTTCTTGCTCTCCTGCCAAGACCAGGCTGCCTACGAGCTGCACCGCAACCCATCCTCCCCACGCCCGGGGCCCAGGGATTCCGGTACCGGTGCCAATGGCAGCGCCGCGCCCACCAAACGCCGGGCACCAAGTGCATTCTGGTTGTATCACAGGATTGGTCCTCTGTGCTCTATCCCGCGTCGAGTGGCGCATCTTGCCTTGGGACGAACTGCATATATGACTTCAGTCGGGGTCAGCAGCGAACCAAAACTTGCTCATAGTAAACAGGCCATTGCATCTCGATCACTTCTCTTGCTCAGGCTGCCGGGCGGAAAGATGTCTTCGCACAGAGCCCTTTATGCATCCCGATTACGAATGACTTGCTGTGTTGGGCATGCAAGTGACAGTCAGATTCATGGACGGGCTGGTAATAGAAGTGGTTCACCACCCATCATCCCCTCTAGCTCTGCATCTCTAGGCAGTGGGAAAGCCCGTTTGATGGTGTCTCTTGACAAACTCACACCCGTCACCTATTGTGACCCCCCAGCTTCGCATGGCTCACCGCTGCGCCTCCTGGTTCGGTTGAACAGACCGGTAGTCCGGATCTGCAATCCCTCTCCAGTGACAGGGTAACAGACACCATGTATGTAGCAGTTATTGTAAGCGACTGCACAGATTCTGCTCTTCTTTGAGTTCGGTTGCCGATGTGTTGATCTTCAATCGTATGTTAAAAATCGCGATGACAAGGGATGAAACGGTTTCAACATCACAAAATGGCACCATCTACGAACGCACTGTCCACTGCCGAGAAGATGGGATGAAAATCGACAAAGGCGTGTTTTTCTGATTTATATAAAAAAAACGACAAGATCAAATGCATACTTGCAATGAAAATACCCCTTCTCGAAGCTGTATCCTTTTCTCTTGTTGACATTGCTATCCTCTGTTCTGAGCACCCATTTGCGTCTGCATTTCCACCTCCTCGCAGCGAAGTACGACTTACACACACTCGGCATCCCGCCATGGCCCAACCAGCATCAACCCCAGCACCGCAACACCAGCGCGCAAACTCGACGAACCCTCGGCCAGGGACCAGCGCGTTCCCCAGAGCAAACAGCCAGTCCCAAACGCGACCGCAGCAGCAGCAGCAGCAGCAGCAGCAGCAGCAGCAGCAGCAGCAGCAGCAGCAGAACCGCACCCGCTCCAAGCGGACCACCGGTGCCAGGTCTTCGACCGGCAGCGGCACAAGCGCCACGGCGGCGCCGGCACGGCCGCCCGCGCCCTCGACCAAGCAGGTCAACCAGACGTTCTCCATCACCATGATGTCGAGCCCCGTGAACCCGGTACCGTTCCCCTTGCCGATCCCGCTCGGCATCTCCATGCTCGTCATGCCCACTGGGGGCAAGAGTGGCAGCCAGTCCGGGCGAGGATAAAGGGGAGTTTGGCGTTGGGAGGGAAGAAAACATCATTGCCAACGACGGATGAAGCCGGTACGGGGTCGACCGACGTGATCTAGGAAACAGCAGGGCACAGTGCCGGCCATGGCTTTTGGATGTAAAATATACAATTCGAGCACGCTAAGAAACATGCTCGAGGGCTGGGGTCAATATTATCACACATAGACGCTGTGTAGAGAGAGTACAGTCAAAGGATGCACAAAGCACCTTGCACACGTCAAAACATAGACAATACACGGTGTTGGGGATAATACAGATATGACGATGACGTGCTTTGCTTTTGACATATGCTACATTATATACTACAATAGCCGTTCTACAACAATCTAGTTGATGGAGAGCGAACCTCTTCGCAAGTCGGTACAGCTCGTTCCTTAGTGTACAGGATGCCACACTCTCCAACACAACAGAACACGAGACCAAGCCAGTTCTCGATGCTACACCTGGCCAGTAGCCCACCTCTTCTCGATGGGCTTGCCGTAGCCAGCCGTGCCCGTGACGGGGAGATCCCGCTTCTGGAGCTCCTCCACGATGACCTTCCACCGGCCGACGGCCTGCTCCTTGTCGATCGGCGTCACCCTCCGCGCGTGCACAGTGACGTTGGGCAGGTTGACCAGCTCGCCGTTGGCGATGATCTCGTCGGCCAGCTTCTTGGGCTTGGGCGGCGCGATCAGAACGCCCAGGAGAGCGCCGACGTTTCGGACCGAGGCGAGCTTGGCGTCGGGGAGAAGGTGGCCGGTGAGTTGCTGGATGCGCTTGGTGACCTGCAGTACAAGTGAGATGTCAGTTTGCAAATTCAATGCCGCGGGCGAGCTTGGGGTTGGTTGGAGCGTACTGCAAACTTGAAAGCCGGGTCCTCGAGCGATATCCGCTTCCAGCTTGCATCCCACGACTGTAGCAGCTCTTGTGCCTCACTGGCCTCGATGCCGGCCTCGGCAGCAGGGCTTGCCTCCGCCTCGGGGTCCCACGTCAGGCCCTTCACCACGCCCTCGGCGTCGCCCTTCAGGCTGGCCGCGCCGTTCTCTGCGACCTCAATCTGTAGACCCAGGGCCTGGGTCTGCTCCTCCTGGCCGCCTCGCTCCCACAGCCCGGTCAGACTAGGCTTGTTCTCGGCCGAGGCCGCAGAGTCCCGCACCGCAACCGCCTCGACAACGGCTCTCCTGGCGCACACCTGCAGAACAGCCGGGTCCGTCACCTTTGCGAAAGGTCCGAACCCTCTGATCTCTACGGACGGGTTCCAGTGCTCTTGGGTCTCCCAGTAGTCGGCCAGGCCGCCGACCTCCTCCAGACCCTCGGCGTTGTCTGCAGGCACGTAGGACGAGTCGGTGATCTCTTCGGGCCGGGGAGCCACCATGATCTCAGGCGGCAATTGGAGCTCGGTCTGGATGTCGACGGGCTCGGCATCGTATTCTTCGAGCGCAGCCGACTCCTCTTGCGCCGGCAGCTCCTCGGTCTGTTTGCTGTAGAGAGGGCGATAGGTAGAGATTGGTCTCCTGAGGCAGACGGGGGCCGTCCGCGGAGAGGCATTGGAGACCGACATCGACGGTACAGTCGCCCTGGGGCGCAGAAGCGCCGACGCTGTCCGTATCCTCGCTATCCGCCTCATCGTATGGAGTGTGTGGTCGTGGAAGCACGCGATTGCTTCCTTTTCATAGAGTGCTGGTCACAAGCTGCAAGTACCTGTTCATGAAAATTTGGGGAAGCCAATCGCGCGACCAACGATCCGAATGGCTGTGTGGCGCCCAGCAGCAAAATAAAACTGGGGCAGCCGCATGTGCCACGACTGTGTGTGGCTAGTGCCGCTTCTTGAACTTGCAGCTGCTAGCGACCCGGCACGGGCCAAGCTAACACTTCTCCAGACAGACAGAGTGCATGCATCATCAACGAGCCTAAGAAACAGAGCAACTTTCCCCTTTGTTGATACGTCTCTGCCGGCATCAAGATGGCGCGAATACCTCTCCTATTATTTCTCTTTGGCCTGATGGCCTCCATGGTGGCAGCATGTAAGTCACTTGTACACACACATACACCCATCTGCCTATTGCCATCCTGCTAACATCTGAACCCTTCCGCCTAAGCGGCACCGACCTTCTGCAAATGCACCTGCTTCCAAAACAGCACCATCATCCCCCTAGGGCCCCAGCGCCCCGGCGGCGGCGGCGGCAGCGTCCCCAACGCGCCGCCCCCGCCAGCGGCCACCGGGACGTCAGAAGCGACACCGCCGGCCGCCGTCCCCCTCAAGCGCGCCGCCTCGTCGAGCTGCTCCCAGTGCAACCGCGCCTTCTGCCTGCAGTACAACCTGCCCATCTGCGAGGGCGCCGAGGAGACGGACGTCGTGACCATGTGCTTCCAGCGCGACAGCCGCAAGGACCAGATCATCGTGTGGGCCTTCATCCTCGGCACGCTGGGCCTGCTGGCCTGGGCCGGCGCGCAGCGGGTCATGGAGCTCCGGGAGCAGCGCAAGAGCCACCCCGGCTTGTCCGCCGGCAACGGGCGGCTGCCGGGCTCGGGAGGAGCAGGAGGAGGAGGAGGCGGCGGGCTCGGCGGACTGGCGAGCAGGATGGGCAGTGCGTTTGGCGGCGGAAATGCAGGAGGCCTGAGGAGTCCGAGGGACGAGGCTGGTAGAGGGGCATACTCACCTTTGGAAGGCGAGACTACGCATCGCGGGATGGGCTAGGCCACGGTTGGGAAGACGGTGCATATGCATTCGTGATAGTGTAACTACAACTGACAGCGGAATATATTTTGCAGACAACCTCCCGACCGACTCTACTTGTATGACTTGGTGATCCGACACTCCTGCTGTTCGCCAGTGAGCCCCAGCTGTCAGGAATTGTATCGTCAAGATACCATGATACTACATTCACCTTTGTTTCAGTCATGTTGCATGGGTCGTTAGGACAGGGTATGGAGACTCCAACCTATGTGGATAAGCATTCTTCCGGCTGACCTCTTATCTCATTTCAGTCTATGAAATTATGCTACGCCCAAAACTTTTCCCAAATCCCAAGAAACCAAGATGTCTGAAAGCTCCATGCACTGATATCGAAGAACAAACATTGAAAAGCTCTGGCCAAATTTTGTTGCTCGTTTAATCCTCCTCAAGAAGGGTGGCCGGGGCCTCGGCATGCTTGCCGTTGGGTGAACCCCTGTGCTTCTCCCTCCTCTCCCGGACGGCGCTGGCAAGATCCTCGAGGACAGTAACGGTGCTCTCCCAGTCGATGCAGGCGTCAGTGATACTGACACCCTTCTTGAGCGCAGCAGGGCCCTCGGCAGGGACCTTCTGGTTGCCCTCGTTGATGTTGGACTCGATCATGACACCGATGATGGCCTTCTCTCCCTCGCGCAGCTGGTCACCGACAACCTTGGCAACCTTGGGCTGGTTGCGGTGATCCTTGTTCGAGTTACCTGATGGAATCATGTTAGTACGACTGCAAGTCACGCCAGCTCAGGCTGGGTTGGGGCAACATACCGTGTGAGCAGTCGACCATGATGGCCAGCTTTTGGCCCTTCTTGATCAGCGTCTCCTTTGCGGCCTGAACATTCTCCTTGTCGTAGTTGGTACCCTTGGAACCACCCCGGAGAATGACGAAGCCGTGCTCATTGCCCTTGGTCCGCGTGATGGCGGCAAGACCCTGCTTCGTGACACCCATGAAGTGGTGCTTGGCCGCGGCGGCACCGATAGCGTCAATGGCAACACCAAGGCTTCCGTCGGTGCCGTTCTTGAACCCAACGGGGAAAGAAAGGCCGGAGGCGAGCTCACGGTGGAGCTGGCTCTCCGTCGTGCGGGCACCAATGGCACCGACAGAGATGAAGTCTGCCAGGAACTGCGGGGAGATGGTATCCAGCATCTCGCTGGCGATGGGCATGCCGGTGCTGGTCAGGTCGCTGAAGAGCTGGCGGGAGACCCGGAGGCCCTTGTTGATCGCAAAGGTCTGGTCGATGTCGGGGTCGTTGATCAGGCCCTTCCAGCCGACGGTGGTGCGGGGCTTCTCGAGGTAGGCGCGCATGATGATGCACAGGTCGTCGCGGAGCTTGTCGGAGAGGGCCTTGAGTCTGGCGGCGTACTCGAGGGCGGTGGGAGGGTCGTGGATGGAGCAGGGGCCGACGATGACGAGCAGGCGGTCGTTGCGGCCCATGATGATGTCGGCGGCCTCGCGCCTGCCTTCGACGACGGTGTGCAGGGCATTCTGCTTCATGGGGATCTCCGAGATGAGGAGCGCGGGGGGGATGAGGGGGTCCTGGCCCAGAACTGCATTGAAGCGCGGGGTGCTGTCAGCGTTGGGCTCATGCTTTGCAAAGCTCCTCCTTCGAGGAGGTGCCGGCTGGACTTCTCGTCCGCGCTGGTGGGGGTTCTCAAAGAGGTTCAAGATCTTGGGGGAACAAAGACGAACGAGGGAGGACATACGTCGCACATCATCCGCTACGAGCGGTGCCATATCGAGTCCGGGCATGTTGGGTAGCTGTATTGTGCGGCGGTGGGTTGCTGAGAATGGTGTCGAGCAGGAGAGTCGAAGATGTCGACAGAGCCCTCGTTTTATACTGCGCGGAGTGGCCTTTGCAGAAACCGATGCCAGGATCGCAGTCGGTGAAGACCGAGTGTAACAAGGTGAGAGAAGAAGGTAAGCAAGCCGTAGTCAGAGATGCAATCTTCGACAAAGCAGTGATTGTAGTGTAGAGGTGACGAGGTAAATCTCGCGGTGGATTTTTGCAGGTGGTAAAAACGGAGCAATGGATGATGTCGAGTAACCCCAGACTCTGAGTCAGAGAACGCCCACGCCGTCTTTGACGCCAAAACGCCAGCTATTTCGCTGCAGGGGAGCAATTGGTTTCGTTTAAGCACAGTAATATGCACGTCTGATCTCAGACCAACGGAATCTACAGCATTGGGCCGTCCCGAAGCCTTCTACATTTTCTATCGATGCTCACCGCGTCAGGGCTTCCGAGGACCGGGAACACGCAGAAGCAGTGAGAAGCCATGACATGGAAGGCCTCTGTACTGTACTGACAACGACCCCTCCAAAGCCTGGGCCAATCACTGGAGGGGTAAAAATATTTTTCAGGGCGCAAAAGCCGTCAAGCTAAGGTAGTGCTACAGATTTGTGCACACCGCCCTTCTGATAACGCTGCGATAAGGGATTTCGCCGAGGTCCTAAGCAAGCCCTGTGGCACCACATGTCTCCATCTTCAAGGGACCAACCCGTTGGATCCCGCCGCTGCAAAAAAGAAGAAAAAAATCACTGGCGGAAGAACGATGAGAAACAGAGATACCACAGACAAAACATGCAGAGATGACGTTTTGTTCCTCTGCACGAAAAGGTTGTTATCTGCTGCCCTTGGAAGGCGATTTTCTGCTTGTCCGCGGAGCATGCCGTGCTGAAATCTCGTCATCACATTTCGGTACACAGGTAAGCTTTCAAGGGTCGTCCTGAGCTGGAATGTGCCACGGAAGCCAGGAGCCTAACCGGGAGAAACCAATTGGGACTAACACGGGGTCTACCATTCATCGTATGATTCGCTGAATGTACATGTATTTTCCATGCATTCTACTTCGTAGGCCGGAATATATCGCTTCATAATCGACGAAGGGAAGTGGGTTTGTGACTAGGGTCAAGGGTCTTGCGGTTTGTCAGGTCAAGCAAGACAAAAATAAGAGACTGGCTGGCATATTCTGCTGATCTCATTCGTCGATAGTATCGCCGCCCTTGCAAGAAAGTGGTGGACATCTCCAAGCCTCGACACCTCTGAGGATGCAAGACGATCTCCACAGCGGTTTCGACTGCACAGCTGTTTCCCGGATATTATTACAAGTACAGAGAAGGGTTGCTGATCGTCGTTATTTTACCCGCTTAGCCGATGGCAGCTTGGGGTATTGGCGAGCAAATTTGCAACCGCGGGCTTCCACTCTCAATGAAATGTTCTTCAAGCTACCCAGTCTGAGGGATGACGAATCATTGAGAGATTAGAAGATGTCTACGACAGTACAGCATGTCCGAGAGTGTGCAGGTTTAGGATGTCAGATCGACAGGCCAAAAGAATCCGAAACTGCAACGGATCCCTCGGCCCTAGAGGAATGTTCCATTGGTGGAGGCGGAGGGTCACCACGGATGAGGATGAGGATGACCGCGTAAGGCGGTCGGGCGACCAGATTTGTTGATTACTTGGAGACAAGCTTGCCGCAACCCGCTCAGTCTGCCTTGGCCCCCGAGAAGAATTGAATTGAATGGAACGTCTCTCTCAAGCCCCAATGCCTTCTTCTTGGCCGCCTCAAACAAATGGCACGGCGAGCACGGGGAATAGCCCCCAAGGTGGCGACTAGACTTGTACGTACCTTACCTAGGGACTTACCTTACTTACAGTCAACATCCTTCATAGCGATACCCGCCCACGACCCTTTTCTGCGGCACATCTCGAATTTGGCAACGTTCCACAAAGTTTCCAGCAATAAAGTTGCGGGTGTTGGCCTCTGTGAAGTGCCCTAGCTGGTCATGAAGCACTCCTGAAACCGAGCTCCTCTTGTCGCTTTTGAGCAGATCCCAAACTGTCGGGCCAGAATGGTGGTGCAGTGGCCCACATCCCATGGATGGATGCGTTACGCGCACTGGAGACGGGGCGAGACAGGGCGCGCGCGTATGTTGGCAGCTGGGAAACAAGAACTCGAGAACTGCAAGTCCCTGGATGGATCCCTTGCAGCTGACCACTAAACTCAATCTGTTTCACAGATAAGTGGGGAGCAGCACTACGTACCTTAAGGCAGGTACAGCAAAAGCCAGCCAGGACCAAGCCAGCCCCCAGCGTCTCTGCCTCTCCTCTCAGGCGGGCTGGAGCAAGCGGAGCAGCGGGAGCGCTAGCCATCGTGCCCGCCAGAACTACCTAGGTAGGTACCTAACGTACCACGGCTGGAGCCCGCCATGCCCGCCGTGCCTGCCTGTCTGCCTGCCTCCCTCTAGGGCGGGCTGCCTGCCATCCATCAATCTGTGCCGCCTGGTTCAACCTCCTCCTAGCGTTGGCTTCCCCAGTCTCTCATCACCACCCAAGAGCTTCTTCGCCAGATCATTCTCCTGTCTTTTCCTAGGTTTTGCTCGCTCCAAAGAGCCCATTCCCACTTTGTTATACCCTGGGCTTCCTTCTGAGTCCCCTTTTGTTGTTTGTCTCTGGGAGCCTTTGTGCTGGATCTGTGTTGCGCTTCATTTGTCACGTCATCCTACCACCGATCGCCGTTTCTTTCCCTGCTCCGGGCCTTTGGATCTTCACCAACAGCCTTGGACTGCCTGGTCTCCGCCTTGCAGCGCCTCGCGCCCCCTCACCTTTGATCCTGCTCCTGTCCTTTCTTCCCATGATTCTTCCCTCTTTTCTCCTCTTTGCGTCAGAGACCTGAGCCGCTCTTTGACGCTGATTTCTGTGGTATCGACTGGTTCGGTCTTTCCTTTGCGACGCGTGCGCTCTTCTCTTTGTTGTACCCCGCGTCCAATACTTGCTTTTTCTTTCTTCTGTTCCTCTCTCTTCAGCTCACATCACCTTAAGGGGTTGGGACTACTTCATATCAGCCATCGATCCAGCATTCTTCCCGTTCGGTGCCCCCAAGAAGCAGTTCCAGATCGACAAGAGTACAAACGCAAGGCCTGGCCTACCTGTCGGTGCCGCATAGGTCTAGCGACAGCACATCGCGCCTCATCAGGGAGTTTGCAACAGGGCGCCCGGACCCGTTCGCTGTTCGCATCATGTTCGCTCACCCCAACTCATCGCCAGGTCCGCACGGTGGCGGCTTGAAGCGCCTGCATGAGGATGACTCGGCAGACCTGACCAACAGCGGCGCCTGTGGCTTTGGTGAGCATCGCAATGTAAGTGCCGAGTGTTCTGGGCGGTATTCGGTCTTGATGGATGTTAACATATGAGCTAGAAACGCCATCATGCTCTTCCACTCCGATCCTCCCCTTTGGCCAAGCGATCTTCGCCGCCACCAAGCTTTCAACCCCTCTCGTTCACCCAGTCGCCGCACTCGCCGCCTCGCAACATTACACCAGTGTCTGACACCGAAGGCACGGTGAACAAAATGGACGGCTATCAAGAATCTTTCGGACAAGCTCAGAATGGTCAGGGTTGGACGAACCAGCTGCTGCAGTCGACAGAAATGGATACCGATATGGGAATGGCGGGCGTGGAGACAGCAGAATCAACGAGCCCGAACCACCTCCGACCTGGAGCTTTCCAGCCAGATCCCATTGCGCCCACCATTGCCGGCAGGATGCCCACGCCGATCCAGCCGAGCTTTGCGGCTCAGGTTCGAGGAAACAATTGGGGTGGCGCTGCCGGTAATATCATGCAGACCAGCTCCGGCATGCAGCATGGTCATTCGCAACAAACGACTTCCAGTGAGGACACTGGGTACCAGGGTGCAGACGAATCTACGCCTCGAAGTCTGAACCAGGGCAGCATGTCTTCGTGGAATCCGATCCAGAACAGACCCCTGCCCTCTCCAATCAGTGAAAGTGGTGGTGAGGATGTGGGCAGTCCTGATATGATTCTTGACAATGTCTCACATTTTCGCGCCCAGCATGCCGCTGCCTTCTCCAACATGCCACCACGTTCGGACTCAACCATGAGTCTTCCATCGTATCTACATGATGGTGCTCACGACTTGGACCACCACCACAACAACACGGAACATGGAAGCCCGCCAGCAAGCGGCGTCAACGCTATGGAAACTGACTGTCCCACGACGCCATCCCCTAGGAAGGGGCACACGCGGAGCAGGCATACTCTCAACAATTGGACCATCCAGCCCGGCATGAAAAAGTCATTCAGTATAGGGTACCGAGCAGACTGCGAGAAATGCCGCAACAAGGTTCCTGGACACTTCAACCACATCATTGTTTCTTAGGGAGGGCAATCATTCCTTGTTAGTGAGCCAGGTTAGGAGACGGTTCTGCCCCCGGCTTATCGAGCACAGTACGAAGCAGCCAAGAAGACCAAGTGGCTGCCGAGTCTCCCCGGGAACGACGAAGGCCCTGCACCCTCTGGCAGCCATCATCCTTTCCAGGACCCTCTCCGAAGTGCAAGCCTAGCATGTGTCGTGTCCGATGTGATATCACCAATGCTAGCACTCAGCTGCCAGTAACCCGCTATTGATTAGCTCCTAAAGGCTCAAGAACACGTCTCTTGCTGTCGTTGCTCTTTGCTGCTATGGACGTCGTTGCAGATCCTGGATTTGCGACCATTGCCTTTGATTCCGCAAGCACAACTGGCCTCGTTCTCTCTTGTCTTTCTTATGTCTACATCATTGAATCCATGGTCTAGCATTGTATCGCCGAGTTCGGATGAAACTCGAGCATGGTCTGGTTTTTGGAGTTTTCCGGCGTTTTTGGAAGGGGACAGCGATGTTTTCAAGTTGATCCTTCAGTACATACATCAGATCAGAAAGATTTTGTGAACAGCGAAAAAGACTCCTAAATGATACACATAGCGTAATACACACGTCGTCCTTTGTTCTGCCGTATTTTTAGGTGCAAAAGGGTGAAAGAATGGATGGTTTTAGTAGAGACTTGAGGAGCTGATAATGTCTAATTACGAGTACACCCATGTGTCCTGACGCCGTTCTTCATGCAGTATCTTGCACTTCTGCAACAATATAATACAGTCTTTGGATGAGTCTCCCGCCGGTAGTGGATCCCCTCATCTTAGGCCCCTTCGCGGGTCGAACTCGTCAGCCAGCCCGTTTATAAATCGCCTTTTCAGAGGGCACTTAGAATATCCACCACTTCTTGGCCGGCTTCTCCGCGGCAGCAGGCGCGGCGTCGATGCCGACCCGGTCCAGCGGCCCGCCCTTGCGCTGGTTCTCCTTCTCCTTGTCGAGGGCGGCCCTCGCCTTCTCCTTGAGGTACGCCTGCTTGTCCTCGATCGCCCGGATCACGTCGCTGTCGCGCACGATGGCGTTGTCGTCGTCCTCGCTCAGCGACTCGTAGCCCAGCCGCGCCTCGGACGTGCCCACGTCCTCGCCCTCCTCCTCGTTCTTCAGGTTGGCGAATATCCAGGACCGCCACGAGCCGGGCTTCTGCTGCTTGGCGGCTTCTGTCGTCGCTTGCTCCTGCGCCGTGATTGCTGCTTCTACTGCGGGCGAAGGTATCGCTGCTTCTGAGGAGGAGGAGGAGGAGGAGGAGGAGGAGGAGGTCAGGGCGCCGGGCATCTTGAAGATGTGGCTGCCCGAGGCCTCGGCGGCGGCGTTGGCCTCCTCGACGAGGGCGATCTGCTCCTCGGTGGCGTCGCCGCGCATGTAGGCGAGGCGGGCGGCCTCGAGCGAGTCGGCGTCCATCTTCTCCTGCGCGGCGAGGAACTCGGCCTTGCGCTTGCGGTTGTACATGATCATGTCGGCGGTGGTGTAGACGGTCAGGAGACCGGCGACGGCTGTTCGAAAGGGGGCGACGTATCAGCAAGTTTGAAAGCAAGAGAGAGAGAGAGAGAGAGAGGCGGGGGAAAAAACGTACCCGTGAAGCCGATCAGCCCCATCACTGTGGCCTTGTGCGCCGAGTCAAACAGCCTCCGGCCGCTCGAGATGAACTTGTCAAAGGCCGACACCTCGGCGTTCTTGGCCGCCAGGTGCGCGGCCCGCAGGCGCGCCACCTTCTGCTCGGGCGTCTCGTTGAGGGGCGCCGCCTCGGCGCTCGCCGCTGCCGCCGCGGGCGAGGGTCTCCTCCCCCTTCCTCCGTCCGCGGACCGCGCGGTGCCGGACGCCGCGGCGGGCGGGAACCTCGAGGCGGCGGCCTTGGCCTTCTTTGCTGCTGCTCCCGCGGCGGCGCCCGGCTTGGACGTTGCGTGCGGCGTGGTCTGGGTGAAGCGCGTGGCATCGGAGACGGTGCGCGCTGAGCCGCGGGCGGCGAGCCTGGGGAGCGTGCGTCTCATGGCGGAGCGACGGGGCTGGGCTGTGAAGGGGACAAAAGGAAACGGAGAGAGAAAAGGAGACGAGATGCGAGAGCAGAGACAGAGTACGCAGTGGCCCTGTCTCAATTGCTATTGACCTGCGTCTCGTTTGCGGTGGTTGATCCCGTAGCTGGCGTAGCCAAAAGGTGGGTTGCTGGTGCTGGCGGTGGTCTGTCTCGCTCTGTGCAGGTCAGGAGATTTTTTTAAGAGCTGACTGGACCTATCAATTACACCCATGCTCTCTGCCTCTATCCATTGGGGAGCGTAGCTCTCGTCTCAGTCCCTTAGGCCCGCCGGGGCTCGGGGCCAAATTCAATTCTGAGTGGAGAATCTGATGCCTCGGATTGGTGGGCTAGTACCTAGGCCGGGCCGGTGCCAGCTGCGGACTTGGGACCTCGTTCATGTTGTTCAGCGCCCTTGATTCCGTGTATGAGATTGGCAAGGTGTTCCAATTTGGCCATGCGCAATGCCAGACATGGGAAGTAATGTCAGGCTTCAAGGACTGTTATTATGCTGATCACTGTTGTGTCTCATGAGATTGAGCCACACCTTTCCCCTTCTGTCCATACGCATCCATCCACGATACTTGCTGGTTAAACAGCATATTGGGAAAATAATATTTTACGTCTAGCAAAACCTCCAGTAACAAAAAGTATATTTAATTCCTCTTTGAACAATGCCATACATATGGTGCTCAACCGCTTTCACCTTGGAAGTGAAGTATTTGTTGAGGCAGCATATTGATAAAAACGCGTCTTTGTGAATCTAAATCTAGTTATCCTGAACTCACAATATCACATGAACACTTGTCTATCTCATCTTGAAGGCCTTATAGAAAGTGCAAGAAGCATATATTACAACGTCCAAACTCAATTGTTACTTTCTCGCCGTATCATGGGCTCCATAGACATCTGTATGGCAGAAGCTGTAGTAGCGATGATATCAACACCGGCGACAGCAGCAGCAGCAACAGTAACATGATGTAGCGAATAGAGGGAGATAGAGATGATCGAGCTTGATTGGATCAGAGTTTCTCAGACCAGAGGCCTGGAAGGCTCTTTGTTTGTTTTTGCCCTGACAGCTTTCGTTTCAAGAGTCAGAACCAGACAGCAGGTTTCCCATGGGCATGCAAATTCCACAACTAATACTATTTTGAAGCCAAACATGGTTTCCAAACGTAATAACTGGTCATGAAATCTCTGAGTGACTCTTTCTGTATTGGGTTGTTACTATTTTGAGTCCGGCGTCATTGTGCTTGCATGGCTCGATTCATTGGTTGATACGTTCAGGATTGCTTAACTGTAAACCTGATTGTACTGATGCCTGAAAGTCTTTTCACTCTTGTATTCAGACCAAATGTCTCCCACCCTTTCAGAAAGAGCTCGGCCAACTCGGCATCCACACGGCACTGCAACAATCCTCAGCAACAGTATGATATACCAGTATATAAACTTGATACAAGTGAGTTGCCACTGGTGCTTGGGTACAGTTTCTCATCACGGACGAAAGAAGGCAAGATTGCAACTTGACGTATTGGTGATGATGGGGGACGCTGGTGAGGCTCGAGTTGTATTATTGACCTATCATTATTTTTCCTTACCCTCTGTGAATGTACTTCAAAGCAAGCCAGCATTGGTTTACTGCATTGCATTGAAACATAGTGCATTGCATGTATTGGTTTGTGAACTCCAGGCTAATGTGTGGTTTTGTGTGCTAGTTTGATCATATCATATACCGTAATTGAGCCAGACCTCGTGAGGGAGGTCAATATTTCCTAGGTTTCATTGAGGTTGGTGATGGTGAATGACGCAGCTGCGTCTGTGTTTACCTTCTCAACGAGTTCACCACCTGACTCACCATCTCCCAGTTATTCACAGCTAATTCCGAAGTTCTACCGTTATTTGCAAGGAACTCCGAAGATCTACCACCGCTTCTGTTTTATAACCTTTTGATCGAGCCTTTGTCTCTAAACTCCTTCCTTCTACCCACATCCAACCATCATCAACCAACGTGCGCACATTCATCGCCATCAACCCATAAAATACACAGAGGTTCAAAATGGCAAACATCCCCCCTCAAGATATCAACGAGGCCCGAGAGCTGCTTGAGGTGGCCCGAAGCTTCGGTGCAAAGCCCAGCCAAGTCCGGGCTGCACTCGCACTTGTGGTTTCTGCGCGGCGACCTATTTCAAAATGGGTTCAAGAGGTTAGAACACTCCGGTCATATCTTACCCCCTGACAGCTAACCTGAAAGTTTAATCAAATTTAGGCCAGGCCGAACTACAAACTGGTGGCACGTCTGCTGAAGAATAAAAACCCACACAGCGCACATGACCTGCCACGGAGGATTGAGAAACACGCAGCCTCCATGAGGAAGGCGATTGAGGCAAAGGATCCCGACACTGCCGAAATTCTCAAGAAAGGACGCATTATTCTCATTAAACGTCCCAGTCTGGGACAAGAGGAGGCGAAACAGGAGGAGAAGGCACAAGAGGAAGGACAAGAAGGACAAGAGGTGGAGGATGAATATAGCTCTGATTCTTGCTCTGAGGATGAGATCAAGATGGAGGATGAAGGACAAGAAGAGGCGGATTCCACTGAAGATGAAGAGTACGAATACGATTCTGACTCTGAGGATGAGATCAAGATGGAGGAGGGGAGTCAGGAGGAGGAGGGTCAGCTCATGGAGCTTGACGATGAGGCTCTCCAGGCCAACCTCTCTATTTAGGGTGTCGGAGTATTATGTCTAATAATACGTAATGCAACCTAGAACAGGTACACAGGATACTCCTGTCTGAGATAGGTGCTATTCAAATTTAATTATTTCATCATTTTGATTGCTGTGGAAGCTCGCACCAACATGCGACCTAGTTTCTCTGACAGAACAGACTCGACTTGTTGGCCAACAAACCCGCTTAAAGTTTATTTGCCTACCCTGTCCAACTTAGTCTACTGCTTGTTGCTACTGTGTCTTCCTGACCTTTGTTACTAAGCTGTTCCTGCCTTCGAAGCTATTTTGGAAACACTTATGTTTGTGACATCACAGACCTGACTCATCGTAATCTCCAAACTAGCTAGCAAATTAGGCCAGCATGGCGTGATTGCTATTGCATTGGCAATACTTAAATGTCTTTTGATTCCGCAGTTTTGATCTTCCTTGGCTCAACATGATGTGAGATGCTTCTGATGAGCAGAGCTACTGTGTGTAAACTATTATCCGGCTGGGAGTGCTTTGCCAATATCTATACATACTTACATCTCATTTAAAATTCACAAGATTTCTCCTTCAGACTTCTCATCCGCCACCGCTTTCAATTCATACGATCGCTTCCTGGCCCCAGTGCCGCTTTCTGTCCGGTCGATTCTTGCCGCACCCTTCAATTTTCATCACGGGCAGGCAAATCCCTGGGTAAGCAAGGATTCTTAAAGCTCATGTCAGTGCCGCAATTCGCAAATAGGATTTGACACACTCTGATCTACACACTCTATGTGAGGGTTGTATTCCACTATACTGATGTACTTTCAAGTGAGGGATCTTGAACTGGGATATTCTGTTTCTTCCAGGACGCGCCTCAAGATGTCTTTCGATTCAATGATCAAGTCTGTCTTCATGACCAAAGGCCTCGCGAAGGAACTCAAATCTTACTTGAAAAAAGCCAATCCGACTCCCAGAGATAAGCGCGGATGAAGAAAAACAAGTGTGCAAAGTAAGAAAGATCTTTCTCTCGCCCCAAGGCTCCCCAAACATGTCACATACTACATAACGTATCACATCCTTCCCAAATATGCTAATATCCTCCCTTAATCATTACCTTCCTGCGTGATCGCAGATTCAAACAGCATAAATACCTCATTAGCTCAGCCTTACTAATAAATAGTGGAAGTGTATGGTGTCTACCCTTCCTACACCAGCCCCTCGCCCATGACCCCGAGGTGTAGGATGGTCTTGGTGCTAATATTAGAGATAAGACAAGTTAGATGGCCTCGTAGAGCGCATTACCGCTTCCGGCATTAAAATGTACGACGACGTACTGCAGTCTATCAAGAGTAAGTCTCGGCCGACCGTACGGATGAGGACGGTGCGCAACCTTGATTCTGGCCTCTAGCTGTGGATGCTGCCCAGACCGTTACCATGGCCGTTGACGAGCCGCTGGCCACCACCGAGAGGCAGCCCACCAGCTGCCTCCATTCCTCAAAAACTCCCAACTCTCTGTGTTGGCTCATCTCCTCTTCACCAAAACCGCTGACTGACTGGATCAACCGAGCAACATCACAGTCCTCACCGAGGGGGAGCATACTAAGGTCGTACAGTTCCTCAATGAATTTAACGTCACAGTTCGGGACTTTAAACTTGCTATGGCAAAGCCGTCTCAATCTCTGATTCCCGGCCAACGATCTAAGAAGGTCAGTAGAGCTGCTCTTCCCACCCTTCTAGTTCCCATGATTAACTCTGAGTAGAAAACCGATATTTACGGGCCCAATCGGATCCACAAATGGGAGTTACTGCTGTCTGCGCCATACAAAACGTTCGGCAATCTTGTGGAAATTCAAAACAGCGGTCTCTGAAATGGCCTTTTCGTAGATAGCTGCATGAGATGGGCGGGATGTTATGTTACTATAAACATGAATAATGATAATAGTTGTTCATTGGCCATCTCCATCATCTCAATATTGATAGTCCGTGAAAATCTGCCTTACAAACCCCGATTACACCAAGCTTTGTATCTGGGATGGCTCAGACCTCAACATTGAGCTCAGTCCGATCATTGCCCTTTACTCTTGTGTCAGATCGTTTTGATGCAACATTTCAGGGGGCTCAGCTGAAATATATGCATGTGGCTGTGGTCCGAGCAAATGATAGGTCGTGCTAATTTTAGAACATTCATTTTGGTGCATGGCTCTTTATGATCATTGGTTGTGGATTGAATGGACTGCAGAGGGCGCTTGCAGCCTGGTGGGCTCCCAGCTCACATCAGGCTGAGCTGGAATCTTTGATATTAGACTGCGCTGTTGCAATTCTGAGCTAAAGAAACCTCAAGATCTCCCCTGACCAAATCATCCAAGAGTGCATATATGTATACAGCCCAAGGATGAAGGGATATAATTGCTCTTTTGCCGCTCGAAACAACAAGCTTGAGCCATATGGCGATGTTGCGGGACCAGGCGTAAGTCTTTTCTTTTTACAAGATATCTCATGGACCACGCTCTAACAAAAAGAAAGGTTCTCATTGGATTCTTAGGGACTGCATGGTTTGCTATTGGCTTCGTCATTCTCCATTACGTTTTCGCCTTCGATCCCGATGAAACCCCGTTTCATTCAGTTAGGCGAGCTCAAGAAGTGGCAGCCCCATCGAGTACTCGCTGGAAAGCCAACCCAGTTGATGTACTGGCAAAACGCATCATGCACAAAGCAGAGAGACGCTTCAAAGTAGCGGTTTGGTGGCCCCACGCGATAGAGATGGTAAGCTCAAATTTGGCCACCACAACACCCATATGTTAACATGATGATATGGTAGTCGATCCTGGGCATGTGCGACATTCAAATCGTAACCGGCCTTGGAATCCTTATCAGCGGCTTTGCAGACCTCTGGAACGGAATCTCAGCATATCATTTCCAGCTCGTTTCCCAAGTAGCATGGTTCTCGAGCCTTACTCATATCTGCGGACTCACAATTCTTCGCAGATACTTCCATTCTCGTCCGATCGAGAAGTGGGTACGGCTCGGGTGTATGATACTGTTATCTTTAATGCTGCTTATTGCAATAGTGCCGACTCTTTTCTTCAACTGGAAGCGAGTTGCCCAGGGCACTGCAAGTCTACCAGGAACCGACGCGATTTGTCTTTATAACAGATCTCAAGCAGTCAACTGGTACTCGGCATCCACTCATTACCCGAAACCTCTGGAAACTACACAAGCATACCAAAATGGGATAGTGTCAATTGTGCTTTTGATCATGGGTTTGGTCAGCCGCACAATAAAGCTCACTGCTTCCTTTTCGAGCACCATGATGATCTGTCGAAGATACTGTAGTGACAGATATGTGCGCTATATCTGCCGTCTGAGAAATGATGTTAGAAACACCAATGGTATGCGACGGATAGCAATCCGTCGAACTCTTCTCTATATCAACACAACCAACCTGGTAGTATGCCGACTATACTGCGACTTGCTGGTTTCGACCTTGTCAGATGTGAGTTTTCAGCCCAAGAATGTTGATGAACAGAATGAATCCTAACCTAGTCTCGCCAGGTCTATTGGCTACTCATTTCCGCATCATGGGGAACATTTAAGCTTTTTATAGCACGATCTTCAGCAAATGTTGCCGACAATGACTGGACCTTTGGCCAAATTCTTCCAGTTTTTCTTCTCCTTGGTCCGCTGGTCACATGCACTGAGGTTGCGTTGAGCCCTGAAATGGTCAGACAAAGGCGATCTTCAGCAACATATGATGGTGGTGAAAGTAACGGAAATCCAGAGAATGACCACATGCACATCAGTGACTTAAGCCAGCTCGAGGAATCCTCAGGAATGAGCCAGCTGAGTCGCCATGTTACGGCCTGTGTCAACAGAGACTATTACGACTACAAGAGCTGTTCCTGGATTCTCTACGCTATTTCTCTTCTTTGTTTTCAGATCCTTTTCATTTCGTTCTTTTTGTTTGTGATCCTGGCCTCGAACCTCTCCCCAGTGGAGTCATTCAAACCCCTGAGTTCCCTCACCTTCTTGGTATTTCTATCTGCCAATTATCTTTTCATTCTTATCTGTTTGATCTATGAAAATAACTTTTCCAGAAAAGGCCATCATTGGGTCTATGGGGGTACGATGGGTGTTGTCCTTGGGCTCTGGTCCGCCTTTTGGGGGCTGACCACCGTGAATAACATGGCAGGGGTGCTGGTTTCAATTCCCATGGTTTTAATTATCTTAGCGATCAGTGCCCCTCTCCCCTTGCTATGGTATGGTTGATGGGTACAGAATCAGGTAGATATTCTCTCAAATTCTCTGAAGAGGTCTGATCTGACGCGCGGCCATGTATCAAAGTTCTTCAAAATTCTGACTGGTCTAAAAGAGACGAATTTTTGGTACCTTCATGCTATGGCTTGGCCTATCTAAATCTGATATAAGTGGCTGGCTACTGTGAGACAATATTTATACAGAGCAAGAACCAGGCCACTGTTGAAATTGCGCTATGCCATTCAACGGGTTGAATGGAAGTTTGGGCCATCGTACGCGCGGAGCCGTTTGGTTGGACCTCAAAACTGTTGTATGGCGAACTTAGGACAATGTCATACCCAGAGTCTAGGACCATGCACAATTGATGGCGAATGACTTAACGCTCGTGAGATTGCATGAAGAGTTGAACAATCAGGCGCAAGCACTTACAAAGATCCCGGAGAAACTCTGTCGAGGTCCAAACTATTAGAGTGAGCCGAGAAATCGTTGTAGCTATGGAAGTTACCCCCAAGGGCATTCTCCGTACCTAAAGGCCGGTGCATGCTGATGCACATGTTGAAAATGTAGACCGAAGAGTGTGCGTTTGGTCGTACCTATTCATCTCTGAAGCTGAGACGCTGCCATTCGTACAATAGGAGTATTGGATTTCCTGACCGCTCCTAGCGCTCCTAGGGTCGAATTCGGCATAGGATATTCAGGTGTTGCCCTTAGGGATAGCCGCTTTGAATCTTCTGACTTGATCAATCTTCAGGTTGTTTAGCTCCCTGAGTGGATGTGTCTTTGCCCAGAGTTCGCAATCGGATATCACACTTATGAGCTGGTCTGATCTTCTCCTCGGGACGGGAGGCTTGACTGCCACCTAGCTCGGTGTATGCTTGATCATAGCCAGTAGTTGCGTGGAGAGCTGCTGGTTCTCTAAGTTGGCAACCAGACTTGGTCTTGTCGTAGAAGCTTCCGACAATGGGTTGCAGAAGCGTGTATGCATCGAATTGATTCGAGACGGATTTCGGGATTGAGGTGGACTGTACTGAGCTGTAGTTAGGGTAAGGTCAGGTCTAGAGTCTCTAGACCCACTGCACTCTTCGCTTTTTCCAGTGGGCCTGTCCTAGATTTAGCGGCTCCCTCCGCCGCGTTCCTCCAAATTTCAGCGGGATCTGCGCCCGTCTGTGCTCCGTGGGTCGGTGTGGTCGGAGTTCCAGGTTAGCAGCAGGCCAAAACTTCGCGCCCGCCTCCGCTCACGCCCGCGGCGCAGGTTTGGGACGGCGGCCTGATAACGCGCATCTGTCTGCCTGAAATCTGACACTTTGACTCCTGTCCGAATTCACGCACTGCCAAAGACCTCCGTGAACCTTTCTTTGAAACCCCATTCTCCACTCTGCGTCGGGTTGCTCAGTACATACCACCATTTGCACACCCCAGGGCAAATCGGCGCAGCGCCCTTAGTGCGGGCCGTCTCGCGGCACTGTCCGAAAGCTTGACCATGTCGCCCGAAGAGATCGAGGCCATGTTCCGGGCCGGGCGAGGCCCGGTCCACTCTGGGAGCGATGACGACGAAGAGATCACGTTATCACAGGAGGAGCAGGCGCTGAGGACCCATCAATTGAAGAATTGCCTCATGACGGCCCAGCTCCTGTGGTCGTCCGGTTCCTCTGACCTGGACCAGGTCGTGGAGAAACTGGCTGATGGCAGTCGTGATGGTGAGTCTTGACATGCTTCGGCCCTTTCAACCAAGCCAACAATTCACTGTGGCTTAGTTGCTAATGATAATGTAGATTCTTGGAGACCTTTCATCGGTTCTTCTGGGTTGTTGGATTTCCTTCTCGCCCTCAACTCTGTACAAAGCTTGAGACAGACACTGAGGATACACCTCCTGCGAGTCATCGGGAATTCTTGTGCAGACACAGGTATTCTGATTCCCAGACAAAGCTTTGCAAGATATGCAAAATGACTTATCATTGGAGACAGATGAAAACAGAGCCCGCGTTCTGGCGGCCAACAGTCTCCCCAGCATCATCAGGCTCCTGAATGATGACTCCGTTCTTGCCTTTGTGATACCCGTTCTTTACAACATCTGTGTTGACTATGGTGTGTACTACCTGGATTCAGAGAATAACAAGGGAGGATTTCTAACATATTTCTTTACAGAGCCAGCACAACTTGCCGCTTCCCAGGCCGGACTGAGCTCTGCCCTGGTCGGGCTGATATCTGGCCCACGCCTACGGCACTGTCAGGCCTTTCTCAACATAATATGCAAGGTGCTGGGCTTTGTAGCCGTTCAAGGTTTGTTACATTGGTCGAACACACTGTCCTACTTGAAGAAGATAACTTAACTTGTGTGTTTAGACCCCGAAGTCAATGTGGCCGATCCGGCAACGCCCATCTACCTCCTGAACCTCGCCACCAACTCGTCCATGCTCATCGACCTCGAGGACTTTTGTGCCCTCACCTCAGTGGCACTCGTGTACCTCGCCAACGAGAAATTCCAACAAGCCCTCATCAGCCACAAAGCCGTGCCGACCCTGCAGGCGGCCTTCTCCCGTTCGTACACCCAGTTCGACGTGGACCAGGCCGACCCAGACGAGGCCGCCCAGCTCAGACAGGTCCGCAACGCCTTCGTCCAGGTCATCGCCGACGTGTCTGCCCTGCCCGAGTTCCCGCTGGAGTACCCCCTGACCAGCACGGCCGTGCACACCTTCCGCAGCTGGCTCAGCAGCGGCTACGGCTACGCGGGCCTCGAGACGGCCGCCTGTCTCGCGCTCGGCAACCTCTCCCGCTCCGACGAGAGCAGCACCTTCCTGGTCCAGGTGCAGGCGATCCAAGACCCCCTCATCGCCCTCCTGTCCAAACCCTACCCGACGGGCGGCCTGGCCGTCCCTCCCGGCCAGCCCCCCCCGGGCCAGGGAGACACCCTGCCCCCCTCGCAGCTCCTCCACGCCATCCTCTCCTTCCTCAAGAACCTCGCCATCCCGCAGGCCAACAAGCCCATCCTGGGGGCCCACCTCCTCGCCGCGCCGCAGCACATCCTCCCGCGCCTCTGGTCCGCCACCGCGACCCAGCCCCAGACCCAGTTCGCCGCCGTCTCCCTGACGCGCCTCCTGCTCGTCGCCTGCCCCGCCAACGTCGGCCGCTTCTGCGCCCCGCTGTCCCAGGACCCGGCCTCGCCGGCCCGCGACCGCTCCAACCTGCACGTCCTGTCCAGCCTCTTCGGCCGCACCGACGCCGAGCCCACCAAGATGGAGGCCGCCCGCGCCGTCGCCGCCGTCTGCCGCGTCCTGCACTCGTCCCCGTCGTCCCCCCTGATCCCGGGCGACTGGGGCCGCCCGCAGGACGCCTCCATCCTGCAGGACGTCGACAGCGCCGGCAGCGACGACACCACAGCGATAACAACGCCAGAGAACGCCCACCGCGCCCGCTTCTACGCCGCGCACGCGGCCGACCTCGTCCGCCTGCTCGGCTTCCTCCTCACGCAGACCAAGTTCCCCTCCGTCCGCTCCGAGGCCTGGTTCGTCCTCGCGCTCATGAGCCGCTCCGACGACGGCGCCAAGGTCGCCATCCGCGTGCTCGAGCCCCTCGAGGCCTGCCGCGCCCTCGTCGAGACCGTCACGGGCAAGGACATGCTCGACGGGCGCGACCTCCAGCCAGCCGGCGGCGGGCCGGCAGAGGAAGCGAGCGGCAGCCTGTCGCTGATGCAGGGCGGTAGCGGCGGCAGCAGCGGCGGCGCGGATAGTGTCATGGCCGGCCTGGGGGGGTTGGAGCTCGAGCCGCAGCAGGTCGACCCGGCGCAGGCGGCCAACATGGCCAAGGTCGACAGGGAGAACGGCCTCGTGCTCGTGGCGCAGCTGGTCAAGGAGCACTCCGAGTACCTGCCGCCGCCCAGGTACAGCATCTTTGTGGAGATGGTCAAGAAGGGCGGAGAGATTGTCCTGCACGATCGCGCGTGACGACGAGAGATATGCCAAAGACAAACGACTAATGACGAATTGATGGTTGGAGAGATCAGGACGGTCAGGATCAAGGGCGACAAATGTCGAAGGGATGTGGAATAGGACAGGCCATAGGTTAGGCCATACACCTCACTCAATGCATCCATCCCAATCTTACTGGGAATAGCAGTCGATAACAAGGCACAAGTTCTCAAAGAATTCCCAATGAATTATCCTCAGATACGCCTTTTCCACGACTTTGATCCTCAAGAGACAAAAATGCGGGTGGCTAGCTTCACGCAGGAAAAGAAGACCCGGGATGAGACGTGCTTTTCCATTTTGCATTCATTAGTCCTTTTCTGAACGCAAGCTAGCAAATCCGTGATGCAGTAAAGTTTCTGAACCATGCCCTGAGAAAACGTTGCCCCCAAATCACACGGCCATAGGAAACCACGAGCCTCATACCGAGCAACGCGAAAGCAGACCAACCCAACGACCAGTTTTCCATGCAACCCTCATCGTCTAGTTTATTTCTTGGCCTTCTCCTCCTCGGCGGCGTCTCTCGCCCGCTTCTCACGCTTGCCCTGCAGCCTGGCGTTGGACCGGGCAATGCGGAGCTTGGTGAACTGGCTGCCCTCGGACTTGGCGATCTCGGACTTCTTGATCTCCGAGACGCCAGTGGCGAGAGCGTCGAAGGGAAGGGCGGCGGCGATGCTCTTGGTGGCGTTCTCGGGGACGGCGGGCTTCTTGCCCTTCTTGGGGAAGACGAGCAGGCGGGCCTTGTAGGCCTTGAGGCGCTCGACGTTGCGGGCGAGAGACTCCTCGGAGAGGTTCTGGCGGCGGGCGTCGACAGCAATGCCGATGGTGGGAGCCAGGAGACGGGGGACACCAGCAGCCTAAAAAAAAAATCATCCTCCGTCAGCATCCTTCCTCATTCGCATTACTCCTTCGCTGAGAGAAGCCGGGCACGCTTCTCATTTCGTTGGAGAGGCGGGATCGTTCGTACCTTCAGCTCAGTGAGGGTGAAGCCACGGCCGGCACGGACTCTCCGGTTGTACTTGATGGTCGGGCATCGGACAACGGGCCTGAGCAGGTCGGTGGGACGGGGGGCAACCGCGGCGGCCTTGGTGCGGCGGGCGACACGACGGCTGGCCTTCTTTCCGGCCTGGAAGTGAGAGAGAAAAACACAAGTCAGATCGCAGTCCTCGTTCAAAAATATCCATCGCAAATCCTCGTCCTCATCACCGGGGGAGAATTCCATCAATCGGAGCGTACCTGGTCGAAGTGGCACCGGACACGGCGCTGCCAATCCTTTCGGAAATCTGAAATACCAAGTCAGTCGCACATCCTTCCATCGTGTTGTCGATGAAGTCGTCGCTTCAGGTCGAGGGCGGGGGGGATCACGAACGGTTGTGGGGGATCTGGTTGTTGTGCTTGATCGCCTGGAGGGGGAAACGAGGTCAGTAAATAAATCTTCATGTCTTGATCTATTGATCGCCGTAGGATAGGCATTGGACGTACCATTGTGACTGCTTCGCGACCAAGGACTGCGTTGTGTTGTCGTCTGTCTCGATCTTCAACTGGGCGTAGGAAAAATCCAAGTCCACCTGCTCAGTCGTCAAAATTTCGGGAGGGCTTGAAAACCCTACCAGGTCGTGCGAAAAGCTGATTGGGCAAAGTGGAGCACTAAAATTCCTGATTGCCTGCAATGTGAGGCAGCAGTCGGGTCCCGCTAGCCCTAATCAGGCCCAGCAGTTCTTGCCCTGCTTTTTTGTTTTTGGTCTAGACTGTGGAGAAGAGAGTGACAGCTGCTGGCAGCTGGACTCTGTCATGTCAGATCATGGATACGATACAACCAACGAGCGTGCGTCACCCTCGTACAGTCTTACTGTCAAAATACGAAGGACTGCGTAAGCCCGGTGGTCCCGAATTGGCTGACGACGTCTCGTCTCACGAGAAGGAGGGGACTTTTGAAAAACTCAGCAAACACATAGTATTTTCCTCATAATATTTGACATTACACTTTCGCAATGCTCCGTCCTCTAATCAAGACGTGCCATGATACACATGCGGGTATTCTAATGAAGCACAAACAAACAGCAATGGCACGCACGACAATGCTCTGACAAGTCCCGACTCCCCGCCGCCCCAGAATATAAGAACGCCTGTCCCCGGCTCGAGTCAACGAGCAAATGCATTTTCTTATCCCCAGAAGTGCAATCCAATTCCCGAGAGCGCGCACCACTCAACCCGTCGTGTTCTTCAAGTCATCAATATAGCCGAGTCTGTCTCGGTCCTCGTCGCAAACCCTGGCGAACTCGAGCAGCACCCGCCAGGTGTACAGCAGCATGTCTTCACGGCGCAAGACCCGCTCGCCCCAGGCCTTGCCCATCTCGGCGATATACCTTGCCGCCGCGTCGCCACGTTCGTCCGCGGTGAAGTAGTTGAGCACCGCGTGCAAGTCTTGAAACGAGTTGTCGAGAGGCGCAAAGTGCAGCCATGGCAATAACCGGTCATCGTGCCACTCGGAGTAAATGGTCGCCTTCAGCGGAAGGCTCGTCGACAGCAGCAAACCACGGAACCGCGCGCTGAACGAGTTGCCATCCGCGTCCGGGATGAACTTCTGGACGTACTGCTGCGCCATTGGGACGCTGGGCTTCTCGGAAAAGTACGGGGCGAGGTATGTGCAGTTCGAGTCTCGAGGGAAGCAATTGAGGTCGTTGAAGCCGGTGTCGGTGTGGTTCGACAGCCATGTGCCAATGGTCCCCTCGCGGCGGCGGGGATAGTCGTATTTGGCCAGCGGTGCCATCTCAAACGTCTGAGCCTGGCCGTTGTGCTTCTCGATGTTTGTGACGGTGGTCCCGTTCAGCATCTCGATCAGACGGTGCCGTTGAAAGCGCCGCCAGTTCTCAGCTTTGTTTCGCCCACCCGACCCGACTCCTCGCCACACGACACCGACCTCCTTCTCTTCCCATGGCGGCCCATGGGTCTCGCCGCCCGAATAGAAGGGATCTTGGGTGATATACATGGCGCCGGGGATCAGAATCTCGTTGTTCATGGGAAGCTTGCAGCCACCAAACAGCGGGATCAGCTCCTTGGTCGTGGACATGGTGATGGGCTCGATGAAGGTGCCATGCATGCCACGCAGATGCGGCTGGATGCATGGGTCGGTGGACGCAGTGAAGTTTTTGACGTAGCCCTGGTAGGCATAACTCGGCTTGTAGTCGGCAGGGATTTCCGGCGTGCCAGAGAAATCCGTCATCGCAGGAACGTCTCGGCCAGGTGATCCTGCAGGGCAGGCTACTCTTGCGAGGTCCCAGTAGCGCGGAGAGTCGGACTTGATCCATTCCGGGTCGTACGCTGCCTTGTCGCCTATTTCCTTGTCCAGCGCCTTCAAGCCCTTGGACTTGGTCATGGTCTGCTCCAAGGACGTAATCCTTCTCTTCTGGTGCTCCTCCGTGGCGTACTGGTTGATCTCGTCCCAAGGCACAAGCAACCTAGACTCGTCCATGTAGTTGATTGGCATGTCCACATCAGGGAGCCATTTGGCCGCCTCTTTCACCAGGTCCGTCCATAGCGCCAACCACGGGACGCGGCCTTCTACATTCCCGACGCCCTCTGCTTTACCGTTGCGCACCCGGACGACGTGATGCCAGGTCGCGGCACGGAGGGCGGTCTCCTTGGGGTCACGCGCCCAGAACGGAGCGATGTCTTGGTATATGCGATCGAAGAAGTGCTCGACAAGTACAGAGTTGTGGCTCAGCGCATATTCTACCCACTTGTCGAAGCCTGGTGGTGGATGCCGCCCTCGCTTCTCCCGATATCGAGCTGCCGCAGAGGCAACGTCGCGCGACTGCCTCGCTAGCAACGAGTCCTGTACACGCCGCGCATCATCGATTAGATGGTCGATAGGGTGGGGCCTGAAGCTCGTGGGATTTTGTTGGAGGAGTTCTTCGTAGTAGGCAGGAGGGTATTTACTCGGGGCGATCGAGGGCTTCCCGAAGGGGAGCGATGTCCTTAATCGGCGGAGTGTGCCTGTCGGAGCGCGGAAGAGGAGCAAGCTCGAGACGACGATGGTGAGCAAGACGGCAACGAAGCCAAAGCGGACAGCAGCGCGGGCGTTGCCAAAGCGCAGCTTGTTCGAGTAGAAGTTGTACATGTAGCCGCCGGACTACCTGTGTCCCCTCGGAGAGAGAGAGACACGGGCGATTGGTGGAGAGGAGGAGGTGGAAAAGAAACGGGGTGTGATCTCGATGGCTTGACCAAGTGTTTTCCCATTACCAATGTGCCTCAGAAAAGGTTGACTGCAGAATGCATCTCAGCCAGGACAGCGTCGCATTGGCGAACGAGATGCGAGCGATGTGTTTGCTGTCGAGGGAAAAAGGGACGATCAAGATGCAGGAATGATTCGTCGGATCTGGCGACGCCGGCACAGGCTTTGCTGCGATTGGAAGTTGGTTGAACTGGCTTCGACGCCATGCGCAAGCGTACCATTACAGGGGCGTTTTGCTGGTCTGCCACAGTCGCACAGCAGATGCAGGGCGATTTCCTGTACAACCCCCCAAAAGCAGAGCCATCAAGAAATTGAGTGGGGGCCCCTGCACCGACAGATTGACAGATCTTTCGCGCCACCTCGGCTAGCGGCTGGTACTCTGGGCTTCGCCGTGGACTAGCCCTCAGATCAAGTACCTTCTGTTACCCATTCCCGGCACAGTGGTTGAATTCCCCCCACCCCCTTTCAATGTCTCACCAATTGGGCTTATCCGGCTTGGCTTTTCCAGAACGCTTCGATTTGATAACAGCAAGTCTCACATGCACTCTGTCATACCCGTCACTCCTGTCAGAGTAAACAGTCCAGTGATACAAACGAACAATCGCTGACTTTATCAGTTGAAGGTGTTGAAACACTTGGTGGGGCTGTCTGTTGCGTGTGTCTGATGGAGATCAACTCGACACAGCAAACACGCAGATCTGCCGCGTGGCATGATGCCTTGCAAGTTTCTCTGGACAATGACATCTGCATCTTTGATTAATCGTAGTTCTATCATGGTAACCTCCAGACACATACTTATTGGAGAACGTAAGATGCGTCGTCGTCCATCACGGGAGGAGTAACGTATGGTAGAGGAGACCCTTTATTACTGGCGATAATAATGATATCATCCGCATTAATTATCCGCGTGTGGAAGATCTGTTCATACTGGCTTGTGCACATGACCCGGCAGTATTGAGACCTTGACTTCCTTCGCGCCCTTTGGCCCGAGAGCGCCCGCCTGTTGCAGTCATGAGATTGAGACAAGCAAGGCACTTACTCTTCTCGACAATCGGAGCTGGTGCTTGCGTCATATTCTGGCTCGCTACTAAACAGTGGTTGAAGGATCGTCTGGATGTCTTGGGAGCGACCTCAAAGGCAAGAAAAAGGCCACCCTCCGGCCATATTTTTCACTCTCTGCACCTAGACGAGAATCAGTGCGAGGCTGTCTTCCCCGGCCTAACCAACGACATCAACTACAACGTTGCACTGGGTCCCTTTAAGTTGACGCTTGGTGGGAGTCTCGGCCCTCTCCAAGTTCGCATCAAAAATGGTCGGGTATGGCATGGCATATACCATGAGCATTGGTGATATGCTTCTCTTTTACTGACCACTTCCTAGCTTTACATTGCTCCTCGGAAGGACGCTGTTGCATTGTCGTCAGAATTGCTCGAAGTAGGTCAGGCTCCTCATTCTGGATCCTTTCATTAATTTGCTAATAGAGTATATAAAGGCTCAGTCTGCAGCTCTTCACCAGATTGACAGAGCAATTATCACTTCGCCAGAGCTCTTGCCAAATACGATTCTATCCATCAACATCCGTGATCAACCGTTTGGAGCTGCCTTTTCCTACGCACGGCCAGCATACGCAGCTCCATCAGCGAACACTCCGCCCGTCACTCGGGCCTTTCTGATGCCACACTTTTCCTTCTGGAGTTGGCCCTTGCCCTTCATTGGCTCCATGTCCAGAGCTGCAGCTGCAACAGACGCCATCGAACGAGAGGTTCCGTTCACACGAAAGATCCCCAAAGTTGTCTGGCGTGGCACAAGAAGCTGGAGCAGTTCATATCATCCACGCCAACGAGAAGACCTCATACGGGTTACGAAGGGTGCTCCTTGGGCAGACGTCCAACCGTTGACTGGGTATGGACCTGTGACTCATAAGACCGACACAGGTGACAGCAGGCCACATCGAGAGGATACCAGCAATGCCCTCATGATTGAGGACTTTTGCAGATACAAGTACATCATCTATACCGAAGGTGTAACCTATAGTGGGCGCCTACAGTTCCATCAGATGTGCAAGAGCGTGCTCCTCTCTCCACCGATTGCGTGGCTGCAGCACACAACGCACCTTGTTCGCCCACTCTTCTCGAGCGATCTACCATTGATCCAGCGCAATGGGACATCCAAGAGCTGGCAAGGGTCTGCTGGAGAACAGGAGGCCTGGCCAGTACACTACCGGCCCAAAGAGGCTAACGTGATCTTTGTGGCGCCGGACTGGTCTGACCTGGAGGCGACTGTGAATTGGTTGGAAGAGCACCCGGGAACGGCTGAAGGGATTGCTACGAGACAGAGAGACCTGTTCGTGGGCAGGGGGTATCTGAGTCCGGCAGCGGAGACGTGTTATTGGCGATCACTGATCAAGGGTTGGAGTAAGGCCGTACAAATCGAAGAGAACGAGTCTACATGGGAAGTGCAGAATCTCATTCCGTGGGAGACGTTCGTCCTGGGTAACCACACTTAACGAAACATTATCTCTCTTTCATTGAATACACACTCTTGATTTGTTTGTTATAAGAGAAAGACTTCAAAAAGCTTTGCTATGTGCATTACAATCACCCAAAAGCAACGTATTAGTGTAAGAACTCCAACAGCATTTCTCACTTCCCGACCACTTGTCTCGCCATGCCCTTTCCCGTGAGATACGAACGTTGAGACCGGTTGCGGAACAGAACCCTCGTGCTTGGCCGCTGAAATCCACATACACGGCTTGACTGGGTAGCCCTCTTCACACCACCGCCGAGCACGACGCCACCTTTGCTCGCCGGCAGCGCCCTCAAGCTTCGAGTGACCTTGCCGTAGTCTCCAAAGAACTCGTGCGCCCTGACGTCGTCTCCGTGAAGCAGACCGTGGCCCAGGGTGACGCCCCAAGCCCCTTCGATCATGATCGCATGCGCATCAGGGCTCTTATCCTCCTCAAGCAGCACAGAGTAGATGGACCCGGTGTAGCGCACCCTGGCCTCCGCAGCGCTGACAGGGAACAGCCACTGCCTACCTTCACCGGCTCCTACTACGCTAGCCACCGGATGCCACGGCGTTACCAGCAGCCCCCCAACACGCACCATCTCCTCGCGCTTGACCCTCGTCTTGAGCACCGCAGCCACCTTCCTCGCCCCCCTGGGCGTCACGACCTCCGTCCCGCGGCGCAGCCGCTCCACCTTGACCGACCGCCCCGACGCCAGGCGCACGCGGCAGAAGCCCGCGAAGCAGGGGTTGCTGGAGCGGTTGTACGCGCTCATGCTGATGCTGAAGCCGCCCCCGACGAAGCCGCCCGCCGCCCGCCGCCCGCCCCTGCCCGCCGCCTGCGCGGGCACGTTGCTCGGCGCCGGCGCGGGCAGGTTGTCGAACGCGGCGTCGAGCGCGTCGCGGCAGCGGGCGAACAGCGGGCTGTCGCGGCCGTACTGCAGCGGGCCCTGGTCCTTGAACGAGTTGCAGGCCTGCCGCGCGTGCGCGCCCGCCAGCGAGGGCAGGTAGTGCGCGCCCCACCGGTCCCAGTACTCCTGCCTGCTGAGCGCCAGCGAGACCTGCCCGCTCGGGTCCGCGCCCGCGAGGTCGTCCATCAGCGACGCGTTGAGCGGGTCCTGCCGCGCGGCGGCGGGGACGGCGCGGATCAGGGCCGAGCACTCGGCCGCGAGGTCTTCGGACCAGGACTTGGGCTCGTGCTCGGCGTCGGTGCGCAGGGGGAAGAGCGAGGCGAGGAAGGAGCAGATCATGGAGCGGGAGACGTGGTAGTCGATCTCGGCGGCGGGGAGGTCGGTGTCCTGGAGGAGGCTTCGCTGGTCGGCGACGGCCTCGACCTCGGGAGTCATCTGCGTGTACTCCAGCACGGCGGTCATGACGGGGACCTCGGCGCATTTTTGGGCGGCGAGAGCTGGCTTGTTGTCGTACCGGAGGTAGATGTCGCGCGACTGACCGTACTGCAGACTGCCTAAGGATATGGTCATTTTTCGCGCCAACTTGCCGTCATGATACAGCTCGACTGGCTCCTGCAACTCGACGGATTCACCGGTCGTCTGCTCGAGCAGCACCTCGCTAGGATACGTCAAGCGTAGCGTAGCCTTGTCTGCAAAGGTTGTCTGTAGGTTCGCCACGGCGTGCACGAAAACAGTACCCTGACATCAATAATATTAGTATACCCTATACCCCCCTTTCAGGAGTCCGACCAAAGTATACTGACAATCATGCCTGCGTCCGGAATGAAGGAGTAGTTACCACCTCCAAACTCGGCGATGGACTTGAGCAGGCCAGACCGCAGATTATAGCCGAAACCAAAGGTGTGAATGCTGGCAGGAAGTTGCTCCATGGTCCGTAGCTTTGGTACATAGCCCTGAGGCGGGCTCCTGTGATCACATCAGACCAATACTCTTCATAGCTGTGAGGAATTGGTCAAGACGAACATGTGGTTCGGCATGCCATCGGTCAAAACCATGAGCGCCGGCACGCTGCCATCGTTGCTTCCATTCCGGAACAGCTTGATACCTTCGAGGATCCCTCCCCATAAGTTTGTGGCATCGATAGGTGTCAGGTTTTCGATGTTTTTGATCGCCTTCTTCTTGTTTGCCACATTCATGGGAATCAGTTGCTGAATTGCCCTAGCCTGACTTGCGAAGGCCACGATGCCGAGCCGGTCACGCTGGTCGAGCGTCTCGATGATCATGCGCGCGGCGTGTTTCGTCAGGTCCAATACAGACAGACCGTTCCTTTCCTGCGGGTCGTTGGAGCTTCCCGGAACCGGCGCATCCATTCCCATGCTCCCAGAGACATCGATGACTAGGACTATATCGCATGGCACATGCTTCAACTCTGAGTTATTTGCCGGCAGCCTTGGAGGGATGACCTTGACTAGTATCCCCTCCTTTGAGGGCAACGGATGGATCTGGAGACTGCAGAGTTCCTTGTCACCGGTGCCATCTTCATCCTTTGATCTCATAGGAAGGTCGTTCTCAACCAAGGTCTTGTCATCGGCAGCCTCGTCCGAGTTGCTGGAAGACTTCCAAATCCTGGGTATTCGGACCTAGCGCATGTCAGTCAGTGCTTGATCCGGCCATGAAGAGGGTCAGCATTACACCGACCATCGTGTCGGTTGACAATTTGGGAATATCGAGTTTAATCTTTGACAACCTGAAGTGTTCTTCCCTAAAAGTGAGAGAATTGGTGAATGACCATTCCTCCCCTTAAGAATCAAGTATATGAATGGGGCAGGTGATACACGGACTTCGGCGACTTGACTCATGGGATACCGCCTTTTCATGATTCTATGTGTGGCCTCAGTAGACTTGAGGAACGATCCCCCACTAAAACGCCCCTAAGCCGAGGTGTCCAGCGCTATGGTGGACCAGCTGAGGAATAGCGTAAACTTCGCCTTGGTCTAGTGAATCAATGCGACACTCCCTGGTGAGACGAAAAACGTTGCAACATGCTCTCTCCCTCACTGCGTTTCATGATTCAATCCTGTGGATAAATTCAAGTCATAGCAAGGGGGAGTCAGTGCACCCGAGATCCAATTGCCTCAACTCTCAACCCCAGATTTTGTCTGAGTCTTTCTTGCTGTTCATTGAAAGTGGTGAAAGTGAGTACAAAGGAGAACGCCTTCCAGTCTGCCTACCTCTTAGTGCAGAATCGCTTGGCCAGCGTTACTATTTCGAGGTATAGCGCCCACTGTTCTGGAAGCATAGCCTACCTGTCCGTCGTTTAGGTGCCCAGGCTCCCAGGCAATGAGCACCCCCTATAAATAGGGGGATGGCGACCCACTAAAAGGAGAAGTGGGAAGCTCATGTGGTGCTAGTGCCAAGTCTTTCCAGATGGGGCTGACTCTCACAACAAGTCAACCATTCAAGGGCAATGCAACGATGATTACAAGGACTCTATTCGAACAATCCAGCTCAAGTATATAGGTATTGATCACCAGTATTCTGTTCCGGGGAGAGCTGCTGCCGCTGATCCTCTCTTGGCGCTGATTGAAGAGTGTAGTTGAACTGGCACTGGATGTCAACGATACCTTGATCTAACATTTAGGACTTGTGCCGCGAGACGGTTCGTTTTGTAATGAAGCAGATGACAGACTCCATTGAGTGAAGTTCGCCATATACATTTCGTGTTAGTCCCAGAAGGTCCTTCCACAGTGGAAAGACTTTTGGTTATCTCATAGTGCAAGATTCTCAGGAGTAGCGTAAGTAAACTTGATCCATCTGGTGTTCCACCCTTTCCAGGTGACGCGGATTCATGGTGTACCTGTGAAACCCAACAGCTCCTTCCATGCTCCTCGTGCAAGTTGTGGTGCGGGGCAAGATGTGTGCAATAAGGATGCGAGAAGAGGCTGGCATCAATAAATCCAGAACTCTTCTTCATGTACGTTGCTGGATATCCTTCTAATGAGAAATTCTGCCGCTGCAAGAGGCTTTTTCTGGTTATACTTAGTATAAGAAACAAAGCCGCATCTCACGAATGCCCGAACCCCTGGCTTGTTGTGAAAGTCGAAAGCCTTATCGTCTCGCCACAATGGCCTCAGCACAAGACAGCGCATGAGGCTAGATTGTGATTTCCCGCCTGCTTGTAGAAACACGGGGACGATGAAATATGTTATCGCGTTCACAAAGCGGTCGCTCTTCGCCCTGTCTCGCTCTTCTCGGCAGTCGAATCGAATCAGGATATTATCGTGGACATTCGATCTAAACGGGACCAAGTGGCCCTGCATTTGCAGAGCGTAGTTCTGAGGCGTTGTTCCCATTTCCGAACCTACCGTCCCTAGCCTAGCTGAGACCAGCGGTTTCAATCTCTCAGATGCTCTCAGCGGGATCCCATCGAAGCTGTGATGCACTGTGAAGGCGGTTGACTTGTCGAGTCTGCAAAGCATAAATACAACTCCTCCCCCGATGCTCATCCAGGACCACGTCGGTGTGTAGCAAGGCTCATCGTGCCGATCGTACCATGTTTCGAGCTCTGTATTTGGCATCCAGCACAGTTGTTCCACGAGCCAAGAGGCCATCCAGGTCCCGGCCATGAAATGTGCTTGCCTTTCGCGGTTGAAGGTTTCCGTCATTTTGGACTGGAGACCTCTTATGGCAATCTGTTTGTCTTCTGGCTTGGTCAACCGTGCCTCGGAATACTGCTCGACCAGATGCAGCCAGACGTTGACTGTCTTCAATTCATTGCCCTCGCGGAGAGACGAGAGCAAGAGGGACTTTACGTCCGTTCTCAATTCATCACTCAAGAAGGGCCCGTCTTTGGATATCACCTGAGGGTATCTTTCGGAGTAGACTCCCTCTGTGCAGACCCAATACAGCTGCCGCTGCGTGCAGTGCAGAACCGCTGGAGAAAGGTGAAGTTCCTGGTGAACCCACCCTCTTTTGAATAACTCTGAAGAGAAAATGTCCTCTTTGACTGGTTCGTGATCGTGTAGCTCGATCCATGTACCCTCGTCAGACTGGGGTTTATTCGTCTCAGTGGCCTGAAAAGCTGGTATCCATCTCGGGTCGTCTCCACGGAAGAGACAACCTCCATCTGAGCTAGACGACCCGGTTGCCGCGATGTTGAAAACGCCGCCGGCGTAGATATCGCCCATCTTCGAGGCTTCGTCCAGCCAGTCCTGGGCCGAGTCTTGAAAGATACACAACGAATCGATCCATAAATACCGCAGGCCCAAGGTACGCGTGATGAGCACGGCATCCCGAAAGGTCTTGGGCAAGCTTGAGACCTTGATACCCTGCCGCAGCCTCGCGTCTTTGCCGTCGTCTCGTGTGAGCTTGGGAGGTATTCGATGACCCTTAGCGGGATCACCCCATCGATGGCTCAGGGACACATATTCCACAGCCCCGTCTTGCGATGCGCTCTCGTAAGATTTCAGCTTGACCATATCCCCATCTTCTAGACAGAGCACGTTGGACGGGTTCTGTGTGGGGAAAGCTCGGTATCGTTTGCACTTCTCGTGATTTTGGAGACAATTCTGATACCAGTGACGGAGCTGGCGGATACGCTCTTTGCTGAAGCCCTCCTCGAGGCCTGGCCTAGACCGTTCACCACGGGGGATGTAGTCATTTGGGGCTGACACGAAGGGCCATGTTTAGTTATCGTTCAAACTCAAGTACAGTACAGTTCATCATGATATTCACTTGACTCACTTTGAAGTACGTCAATATTCACGGAGAATGTCTCGGCCAGGGAGAAGTGTTCGGGTTCTCCCCAGATATGCAGCCATAGCTTTGTTTTGTGGGCATTGGTACTGAAACTGACTAACCGTTCCTCTGCACTAGGTAGATCACCGCCGCCTTGAACATAAGCGCGCAGTACGGCCATCACTCTGGCGCACAGGAAACAGCCCTGGGCCGCGGCACACTCAAGATCATTCTCAGAGCGATTGTCGGAGGGTTCAGATTTCGAGCACAAGACCGCCATGCGGCTAGTGTGTTCCATCATTTGGGTACATGAAGCACACAGGCTTGACCGGCAGTCCCAACGGGGGACCCCCAAGAGAACATCGTCTCGGTCCGGTGCGAGGTCTGGTTCCGGGGAGAGATCTATGAGGGATTGAGCGGAGTCAGCCATGGCGAAGTCCTTGGAGGCGAAGTAGCTTATTCCTCGCGATGATGTGGAAAGGACGGGTGTTTGTTCTTGGAATGTATGGCGAAGAGAGGAAGTGCCAGAGCGCTGAGACTAATCATCCGCGTGTTTTGTGGCTGTGCATTTTGCTACCCAACACGGGCATCAAGCACAAGTAACACATGTTGATTGGGCGGCTTGGTGTCACAATGGAGCATTAGGTGATGTCAAAGCGTTATCCATCCGCGTACGTACGTCAACCGAAGCATTATTTTTAGAGGACTTCATTTCGGCGATCTTTTCTTGGCATGAGCCATTGCAAGGAGGCGGGCTTACTGAGTGGTGCGAACAGCAGTACAGTCGCCTTTGGAAATGAGAAGGTTGGAGTGTTGCCGTGGTCAACCATCGACGACAAGTCTAGGCACCTGCTCAAACAATGGCTCACGCCTCAGAGCAGTGAAGCCCTTATATTTATCTATATTGAAACTCTTAAATCTATTCTTCTTTATTAAAGAGCTTAACTTAAAGATTATATCAATCTTTTTAATTTCTATTTTATTTAATCAAAAGAGTAAGCTGCTCTTTAATAACAAATGGTTTCATAACTGCCTGCCCTCGCCCAGGCAACAACAATAACGGCACTTGCGACGGCGATCACAGCACTAGGATGTTTACCTTTTCGCATCACAAAGCGTGGATTGCAGGTTCCAGTGCGTATGGGTAATTTCTGGTACTCGTTACGTCCTTGACACGTCGTAATTTACCACCAGTCTAAGGAGAGATGACGCGCATGCCCACCATTTAGACAACATTGACGACCTAAGCAACAGATGAAATATATCCCACGATCTTTTGGTATTGAAGGTATATGGCGTAGATTCTGGCCAGTTTGACTGATTCCAAGCTGACATTCACTCTCCATCTATAGCGGACATAATCCTGGGTAGTATCGCCTCGGTGTTGCTCCAAAGCAGGCTAGAGGTGATTGCGGACAGTGCCCCAATGTACCAGGTGTTTCTGTAGCCCTGGAGCGTATCCATCTCCTTGTAAAAGCCGCCTCTGATGCTTTCTGCCGATAGCTCCATATGAAAGGGTGTATTATCCGCAAAAGCTCGAAACTGTGGCTCAGCAGTCGTATCGCTTCCGTTTGCTACGAGTAGGGTCTGCAGGCCACGAATACTCTTCCTGACCCTGGCCTCAACCTCGTTCTGGCCCAGCGGCTCGAGCGAGGTATAGCCGTAGAAGAAATGGCCGGGCGCTGCAGGAGAAGGCATGATGTAGGCCACGCTTGGAGGCTGGATGGCTTGGTAATATGCATCGGCTCCCACGCCGTAGTATGAGAACTGGGTGGGGAGACCAGTGCTAGTGATCACGCCTGTATAGAAGGGGCACCCTTCGACCTGGCCCAGTATTTTCTGCTCACGCGAGTCAAGGCCGAGAGGCTCCAGGTTGCTTGCTTGCGGAGGTGCGGCAACTATCAACTGCTTTGCGTGGATCGTCTGTTCACCCTCTGCGGTCGATACAACGAGCTTGATACCAGACGGGGAGCGTGTTGCTGAAGTGACATTGGAGCCGAGGAGGACATTCTCAGTACCGATTTCCGCATGTGCGTTCCGGAATAGCTCGCTGTTGTCGCCATTGACGTTACGTACAATGTCACCCTTCATTGCGCTGAGGACCAGACTGTTGACAAAGTTGAAGACATAAACCGCGAGCCTCTTTGAAGGATCGCCGGGAGATCCGGGAGCTTGGAAAATGGCGTGTTGCGACTGGTCGATGTTGTACTTGGTGGCATACTCGGACCAGGGCAGGAGTAGATCCTCGGGGACATCATCGGGCAGATGGAAGCCATCCTCGAGATAGGGGTATTTCCGGAGCTGGTCGGTATAGTCTGGCCCGACCATTGAGACTGTATAATTGTCGACAATAACCGGCTTGGAGAAGTCGACATAGAGGGGCTTGATTGTTGGTCTTGGAAGTGGTGCAACTGTAATGCCTAGCCGCTGATGGAATCGGCGGACGACGGATGTATTGTGGTAGATCTGTACGCCGAAATTCACAGCTTTCCCGGTGGCGGAATCGGCATATGTGTTCGTGTGCCCACCAAGCTGATCACGCTTCTCGACGACGACGACTGACTTGCCAAGGTCTTTCAGGGCGATGGCAGCGAACGACCCTGTGGCCCCCCCACCAAGTATCACGACATCACGTTCGAGGATAGTCTCATAGATTGCCATGACTGATATCGATACTGGGTATTGCGAAAGAATCACTGGGATCGTCGTGTAGCAAGGCTTGAGTGGGAAGAGCACAATGCTTCGATGCTCCTGCTTGACATGTGTATGAAATGTTTACGTTCGGACTCGATTTATCAGCATAATCCGAGGCTTCAGACGCACGATTCCTTCCTTTGCTTACGCTATGGTGTGGGTCTTTCTCCTGGGGTTGTGTCTAGGTCTTACATTCGTGCACAAGAAGGACACCGAGAAGGACTAATTGGATACCCCAGCTGCCGAACCCGGCGGACTTCGCCTAGAATCCGGCCGTTTCGAGGGAGAGTGCTGCATTGTCTTGGTAAACACATTTGTCTTTGAAGATGACAACATTTGATAGACCTGTGTTTGAAAGTTGTGTCTCTATGATCAGGGTGTGGTGTCTTCTCTTGTTTGAAATTTCCTACGCTGACGAAGCGGATACAGTATCATTCCTCTGATGACCATCTTGGATGAGGGGCTCCATCAGCAAAATTCTATTTCTTTTCGTAGTTGGCAAAGTCAGAAGCTAACGGAACAGGATCGCCCTTCCAGCTCTCCGTTGACGCCTTGATAAATTGGGCACCGGCTTGCCGAATGTGAAGAAACCATTCCAGCTTGGTAGGATCTTCTACTGCTCCGTTCCCGAAAGGATACGGCGTAGGAATCTGTAAGCCCTTCTGAAAGCCGGGTCGCTGTGCCACCTTGTCGTGCCATGTCTTCACATGAGGGTATTCGTTGATATCCACGCCACACCATGTCGCAGATGTTGTGTACAGAAAGACTGCCATGTCGGCTATGGTTAAGCGATCTCCAGCGACGTAGGGATGAGTTGACTAAGCGAGAAACAATGTTAGGCTGCGTATCTCTCTCTCATGCTTGGGAGTGATGGTCTCTTACCAGCTGCTTGTCCAAGACTGAGTTGAGACGTCGGCCTTCGGCCGTGTATCGCCAGCTGCCGTACGGTACTGGCTCATATGTGTATCGGTTGAAGTGTGTGGCCTGACCCATCATGGGCCCGTGGCTGGCGACTTGCCAAGTGAGCTGTTAGAACCAAGGTCAGACAACTGACTCCCAAATGGGACACTTCCTTTGAGGCATACCCAAGATAGCTGGGTCCAGTACTCCGGAGTTCCGACAGGATACGAGAACTTATGCTCCTTGTCGAACTCGCTGGCCATATACAGCAGACAGGCAGCGCTCTCGAAGACTGTCTGGGTCGTGCCATCGTCGCGAACGTGTACGATGGCAGGGGCTTTTCCATTTGGGTTTATGGCCCGATACCATTCAGACTGAAGCTCGCCCTTGACCATGTCCAAGGATATGTAGTTGAAGGGGATACTGATAGGCGGTTAGACCACCAACGACTAGAGGATCAAACGCCGGAGGGTCATACCCGAGCTCTTCGGCAGCGATTGTCAGCTTGTATGGATTTACAGCTGCAGTTCCGTAAATGTTGAGGCCCGGTTTGGGGGCCTTCTCAGGGGGTGCAGTGGCCATGCTGTCGGCTAACAGTTGCAGACTGAGGGAGGATGATATAGGTGTCTCTGGTATAGGGAATAAGAGTAACTGGGCCTCAACTGAGGGCTGTGAATCAAAGGAAATGTTTCAATATCGATCGACTGTTTAGCAATGAGGTTTTTATATGATGGCTAGTGAGCCGTACCAAACCTTGACGAAGCAAGTCGATCCACCTAGTCTCGCTGTCCATAAGCAGCACTGACATTCATGCTTCAATTCCTGGCATTTCCACCTCTAGTGGTTAGCACCTAGTTTCGAGGAAGGAACAGGAAAGCTTAAAAGTGTGACCTGGCGAACACCACTGGATCTTTTTCCTACTGAGGAAAGTCTGAAGGAAAACCCAGGGAGATCTCTTCTCACCACCCAATCATGATAGACCGCTTCTGTGCCATTTACCTTTTGGGGATAACAGTCCAGTGGAGATACGAGGTCTCCGCTGAAGTCCTTAGCGCACCGGAAATCCTTGTCGTCCATGCTACTTTTAACGTCTGGGCTTACGGCTAGTCTGGAGGAATTAACCGCGCGCGCACCACGTACGGGGTTTCATGCTCGAACTTGGCGTTGAAGTAGAAATATTAAGATATTAGGCTTGCAACCTTGGGTGCTCTGTACTGGCTCTCCAGTTTATGGCCAGTGACGTGGAGAATTATATGGGAACTTGTTGTGGCATTAGCCTTTTGGAACAAGCGGTATGAGTGAGGTAGGATAGCCCCTAGAATACCAAAGCCGACGTTACACTGTGATCCTTTCCACTCCTAAGCTAGGGTCCACCGATACCTCATGAGATCCTTTCGGGCCATCGATTTGTCAGTCAGTGAGTTCCTTGTGACCGGAGGCGAACTAATCGACGCTGCCGCACTCAAAATTTCAACTGAGCTTGGATGCCTATTGCATCTCCTTGTTCGAGTAGATCACCAAACCTGCTCGATAGATCCTTCTCTGGATTATCTACCGAAGTGTGTACCATGGCTCACTGGTGTCTGGAGATAAAGGCCAAACATAGTCCTTGCCCGCGGGGCCATCAGGCCACTTGAAGCAGAGCCGAATTGACGGATCGTTGTGCAGGAACCCTCATTGACCGATGCATCTGGCAGAGCCGCCGGGGACAGGACAGGAACGGCTGGTGATACAAGTAGACAAGTACCATGTTGCTGGATTATGAGGATGCATGTACCCATGCTCATAGGCGGCGCCTGTTGTGCCATACTATTGGTCTTTTAAGGTCGCGGGTCTATCTCCGACCTATCAATTCGAGCAATAACATGAGTAAGTATACCCTACGATGCAAGCCAGCTTTCAATGGGGGGTCACCCAGCCGGTCTCATGAATCAAATGTAGTGCTCTCCTGGCGCTTGTACAAATTGACGCACGCCTTGGGAACTAGTCACCCAGGTACTCCCAGAGCCTTTGACTCAATTTGACTGCCAGAGAGTGGATGACGCACGGGGAGTCCCAGTGAAAGCGTCCACCCCGTATGTTGATATCCTGTCAAACCGCTGAGGGGTTTCACACCGAGATTCCTCACTCGCTTCTTTGCGTTGGGGACATGGGTATGGCATGCCCAGCCCGGCCACGTCCGCGAGACGCAGTGGTGGGGCTTGGCTGATAAAGTGGCAATCAGCTCGTGCATGTACATTGCGCGCCTTGCATTTAACGGCACCTCTTCCCAATGGACCCAGCCCGCCTCATGTTGCCTTTTGTAACGGTCTCTATGGCCCCGCCGCAGTTGTGAAACCTGAACCTGCTCATATCCGATGCGGGCTGACTAGCGAGCTGACCGTCGCTGACATGCCTTGCTTGCTGAGCCGATTCTGGCTGGTAGTATGTGTTGGGAACGCTCTGGTTCCTCGTGTTGGCTTTGTGGCGCTAGACGACACTTCTCCTTTCTCGTCAGACCATCCTTGATCTCGGCTGCTCTTCTCTCACTTCGCTCTGCATGCCTCGATTTGGGTTATCAATGTCTCGCACTAGCAGCACTCGATGCAGAAAAGACTGGTCCAGATAAGGATCTGTCCCTCCACCACCAGCTCGCATTCTTCAACGTGGCCTCGTGTGATAAGAAGTGCCCTTGCAGCGTTTGAGAAGTATGTTGTTGAAGGCACGGCCTTGAGGGTCGTCTTGGGGGTGTGGCCCGTGTGGGAGCTCAAGTGGGACGGCATCAGCACTGTCACAGATGACTATCAAATGCGCATTTTCAGCCCTCCTTCGTGTCTCGCACTCGTTCCGCCGGCCATCGTTTAGTCGATAAATATTCGTGGAAAAGATTGTGATGCGAACCGTATTCTCTTCTCGACCGGCGTTTGAAGACTCGCCTCCCGCCGTGGAGATGCTGCTTATTGTTCCTGTCTTCAGCCCTCTTGAGTGTATTCGTTGGCTCGGGCTGCGCGTCTCGGACTGATCCCATGGCTCTGGGAAGGGTGTGCAGCCATTTGGGAAAAGCCCCGATGGGGCGAGCGTGGTGCATGGAGGCTGACAGAAGAATAGAGTGGGAAATCATTCATCGTTATCGGAGACTGGACCATGACCGAGCACACAAGACAATACAGGAATTGTGCGAGTTCCAAAGCCAACTTGATCCTAGAATCGATGAAATTCATCTTCTGAGCAACCGTGGTATATCTGCTAATTAAGTAGAACGTTCAAAAGCAACGTCGAAGACTCCAAATACACACTCGCTTGGGGGGTTGGCTGGTTTAGAGCTTGTCCTGGCATCCATGCCTCTCGCTGCCCTATATGTTGGTACCCGTTATGAGCAGAAGAGCTGGGCAGTAGAGCTGAGGTCCAGAAGCCGATCTGACGTCCTCCGGCTCTGCAATCCTCCCATGGAATCAGCAATTGTCCTCGCGCCACGGCCAATCGAAGATCGATGATGAGATCCAATCAATTAACTCCATCAGATACTCCAGCATGTCAGAAATGGGAAGTCGTTTATGGTTGGTTGAAAAACCTGATAGCCTTTCATACGAAAGCACGCACATCTCACAAGAAACCGATACTTGGAAATAATGCAATACAGAGTCGTAAATTGCTGAGGTATCTGATTATGCCAGCGCAAAAACCATAGAGAGCATAGCACCGAACTAATGGCAGCATTTTACTTATTCGCTGTTGAAAATAACTTGAAGGTTGTTGATAAGATTTCATTTATTCAGCTCGCTGAGTGTCTTGACTAGAAATGAAGAATAGAAACGCTTAATCATGGTCCTACCACCTGGCAATGCATTATCAACCTGAATTGCCATGATTGGCTGTAAGTTTTCAACGTCTATGTGAATCTGACGGCCTCCGGCAGGATCTGAAGCTGTGTCACCACCTGTGCAACCCAAGAAACGTACGCCACACATCACACGTATACACGGCATTGTCAGACTTGCAGGAGGCGTTCGGCGGTGTCCGCCCGCGACGGATAGACGAATGGATGTCCATGTCAGACACCATGCTCCCAAGGGAGGCTGACAATCGGTCATTTCGGACTTCACTCAACCCGTTACTCCGTCTGGTGGTTGCAATCGCCGATTGGAGCACGGCTATCGCATTGCAAGGGCTGAAACAACGATCTAGGGCTAAGATTCAATTCTCAGCTGAATAATATCAATGCTCGCTCGAGATTGCAAGAGATGTGCTGGATCGTGCTTTTCAATGCCAGAAACGAGGGAATTTCTACTAATCAGACCACCGCACGGTTGGTAGGCTATGAATGAGACCAGCTTCACTCCCGGTCTCATTCGAAAGGAAAACTAAGGTATTCCATATCGAAGTAATCGAAAGTCGCTCATAATCACTCAGCGATCCCGGAGTTCGTTTCCCCCTTTGTTATCGTCACGCTTTTCCATGGCGAGGCTGCATAGCCTAGACTGTGATAAACGGATCGCAGCCTCCATCCGCGAGCTTATACTCTATCGGCGGATCTATGTGATATATATATCCCCCAATGAAGAAAGCTGACCAAACAAATTGATAATCTGACTTCCACCCCCCTTTCTTCGAACCAGGCTGGTCGATTGGTCTGCGCCAACTTGTGGGAGCCCCCACGGATATGCAGGTCCGTTCCGCAGCTTAGCACAGAACCCATTCATAGGATTGACCAAAGAGGGCACTGGAACTTCCATGGGTGGGTTGATAAATGATCGGAAATTGCCACAATAGGAATGTAGTATTTCTCTAGCATGCCAGGGACCGCTTTGCTATTATGTTACTACGAGCCTCTGTCCGATCAGCTGATGATAGGGTGAAATAACTACAATGTACATATACGGTCTTCTTTTCATGCGCTATATTTCAAAAGTTCCGCCATGAGATAAGCCTCGGTCAAGCTCGGTGAGCGAATACCCACGGACTTTGTCAGAAGCAGCGTTGATGATTAGAGCCGTGTGTTGATTAGATGCCACGGCGATTTCTTAAAATGATGGTGGTGAATGAAGTGTAGTCATTCTGGAAGTTTCTCCAAGGGTAGGGCCTTCGCCAGCTGGTGTGCAATTCGCAATCAATCGCACTCCGGGGACCGGCCAAGCCTTGTTGGAGACGATTCAGAGCCCGCCGTAAGCTTAGAAGGGCGTAAGACGCAGGAATCGCACCATTCGGATTTCTTCTGTGTCTTCAAGCCAAGATACGTTCAGGTCTCGACGCACCTGTGTCACAGCATCGCACTGTACGCCTCATAAGCGGGGTTGGCTCCCTGGGAAGAGCCCTCCTTCTTATTGCTCCTTCGTCTAGGAGTGATAAGCATTTAGCTGCATAAAAACACGATCTATGATAGGTGCTGAATGCTCCATATAAGCTGAGAAGCTGATAAAGTGTTGACCAGAGAGAAATACTGAACCGTGCCTCAGCCAAGCATATGAGCCAGGTCTCTGAGTCGAGACAATATGGCACATTCAGTTTTAAGATAGGCTCTTCAGCTTGTGGACTCAGTCTTCCCTCTTATCTTTTGCAAGCAAGGCTTGAGGGTTTTTTTTTCACAAATTCCAAACCAGTTGTGACAACTTCTGCAAATTCCTGGCTACAAATAACCTTCTCGTCGAAGTACAGCTGGGCAAGTGCTATCACTTTTACAGCTCGGACCAACCCGTTTATTGCTTCTGTCAGTTCATCCAAACTGAGACTGGACATGACAGAACCGGCAACTAGTGTTCATGGGCTGAAGAAGCCGGTCGGCCGGCAACGTTCAGCTTGTGATGCCTGTCATCATTCCAAAATCAAGTGCTCCGGAGGGAATCCTTGCTCGAGCTGTCAAAGCTCCCAAAATCGTTGCATTTACAGCCCCGGAAGTCGACTTGGCCGGCCAAAGGGAAGCAAAAACAAGAGAACACTCCTCCAGGAAAGCAAGCATAGGAGGGCTGAGGAGGAGAAGCGATGCGACTCCAACGAGGCTCCCGACCTTTTCGAAGATCAATCAGAGAGCCAATTCCATCCAATGACTCTCGATTTTAGCTTTGATACTGGATATGACATGGATTTCTCAGAGTTCTTCGGATCATCAGAGAGCCCTGATGGCATTATTAGCCCCAGCATACCTTCGTTTCTCGACTCAACAGGTGCCAATTATTTCCACTCCGTAGGCGTTGGGAATGACATGCACAATCTGTTCACCCAGGTAGAGTAGAGCTTCCTACCTTCTCCAACAGAGTCTGTTATTATGTCTTTTCGGGACTAACATTGCAACTGCTTACAGGCTTCGAGTCTACTCCCAGCTTCCAGCACAAGTTCACCATGCGTGGACGGCAGCGAGTTCACGGTCAGCAGTATTAACTCCTCCGTAGACGACCTTATCCTATCACCGAGCTTGAGAAATACTGTTACTGCCGAATCAAGTCTCAAGACAACCTCTTCATCCTCTGGTCGGGAGTTGGCTGAATGCACATGTCTGCAGCAACACGTTCAGCTAGTCTTCCAACTGGGAGACCTACAAGATCACCATTTGTCGAGCATCCCGACTGCTGACCGCATTCTTCATGGAATGCATATGGCCCTGCCTCCTTGGAAGAGATTGATGCATTGCTCTCGTTGCAAGGGCTGCGACAACCAGACCGAGGTGTTCTTGCTATTTGCCACCAGCATCCGAATCCTTTTGTCATCGCTGCAGAGGCTGAAGGTTTCGCCCAGCCCGGAAAATAGTGCCCTGCTACACTGCGAGCTTCCGGTGTCTGTGGGGAGCTTCGAACTGAGCGGCGAGATGAAGACTGAGGTGATCGAAGGCGCAATCCGGCGAGGCCTTCAACATATCACAAGGGCAGTCGTCTTTCTATGGGAGAGGGTCGGTCGGCCGCAGCCCCAAGTGCAAGCAGGCAGTTTCTGCAAGAGTTATCGCTCAGATAAACAGCCATCGGAGTCATTTGATTCCCGTACAGGAAGAGTTACCGCCAACAGCGGGGATATCGAAGGACTCCTTCATTCCTTGCAGTCCACGATGCAAGCAATGAGACACGGCCTGGCGACGCCTTCATGACGAATTTGCTGCCAGCCTCTTTTTTTCTTTTTGGAGAAGGGGTTTCGTTACGCGCAATTGCCCGATGAGCTGCATACGTCAGCTGTAGAGTCTCTCGGCTTTGATTGGCATAGAGTTAGAATAGATTTCCCTGAACAATAGAAGATGGATGATTGATGACCCGAGGAGGTTGAAGTCACGGAACTCGGCATTCTAAAATTTGTCATGCATATCGGCTTCATGAGCCATTCCGTAATGTTGGCATGAGTCACTCCGCGTTCGAAAAGTCGAATTACGCAGAGAATCGGGTGGTCGTGCCGGACATTTGAAGTGGGCGAGACACCCACCCGCATTACTCTGTAGGCCGACGCGGCGCAGTGTCGCACAATTGTAGAACCGGACAACCCTCGTTGGAGCAGTCTCAAGTGCCACTCTAGTGCCCGGATTCAGCCCTAACAGTCGTAATAGTGACACGCGAACAAACATGTGTGCGAGGTATAAGAACAACAGACGACGCATGAGCAGACTCGTCCTTATGATTCCTTCTCTTAACAATCTCGCTCCTCTTTACGCATCCCTCCCATGATGGCTGAATCAAACATCGACACTGCCTTTCAGGCGGCCCTCGACGCGGGCAAGATCAAGGGCGCCGTCATCTGTGCCACTGATCGCGAGGGGCGTTTCGTGTATAACAAGGTCATGGGCGAGCGCACTCTGCTGTCGGGCGAAAAGCGCCCTCAGCAGCTCGACGACGTGCTCTTTCTCGCCTCGGCCACCAAGCTCATGACTGCCGTCGCCGCAATGGCATGCGTCGACGACGGCCTGCTGTCCCTGACCGGAGACCTCTCCTCCGTGGTCCCCGAGCTTGCCGAGAAGCAGGTCCTCACAGGGTTCTCCGAGGACGGCGAGACGCCCATCCTCGAGCCGCAGGAGCGACCCGTCACGCTCGAGATGCTGCTCACGCACAGCGCCGGCACGACCTACCACTTCCTCGACCCCAAGATCGCGCGCTTCCGGGACAAGTTCTGCCCGCCGCGCGGCCCGGACGCCCGGATGCCGGTGGAACAGCTGTTCGACTACCCGCTCGCCTACCAGCCCGGGTCGGCGTGGATGTACGGCCAGGGCTGCGACTGGGCGGGCCGCGCCGTCGAGCGGGCGACGGGCAAGACGCTCGGCGGGTTCCTGCGCTCGCGCGTCTTCTCGCGGCTCGGCGTCGCCGACGCGGCGTTCTACCCCGTCGCGCGCGAGGACCTGCGCGCGCGCATGGTCGACCTGAACCCCGAGGACCCGGAGGCCGTCGGCCGGGCGGTCCTGGCGGGCATGGGGGACACCAACGCCTGCACGCGGGGCGACTTTGGCGGCCACGGCCTGTTCATGACGGCGCCCGACTACGTCACGGTGCTGCGGTCGCTGCTGGCCAACGACGGCAAGGTCCTGCGGCCGGAGACGGTCGACGCCATGTTCGAGGACCATCTCAGCCCGAGCGCCTCGGAGAGCTTCCGCGCCGTGCTCAAGGGCCCCGGGGGCGACTTTATCTGCGTCGGTACTTCGCCTGATAACAAGGCCGGGCATGGTTTGAGCGGTCTGCTGACGCTGGAGGACGTTGAGGGGTGGTATGGCACCCACACGCTGAGCTGGGGAGGAGGGTTGACTTTTGCCTGGTTTGTGGACCGGACGAACAACCTCTGCGGTGTTGGTGCTGTGATGGCCTCGATTCCGGTCGACGGAGAGCTCCCTGCTGAGCTCAAGCAGGTGTTCCGCCGTGATATCTATCGGAAGCGGGCCGCGTGGGAGAAGGATCAGGCAGCGTGAAGAGGGGGGACGAATGAGTGTTTTTCCTATTCATCACGAAACAACTCAACTCGGCCTATCTAACTATAACAATTCATCTAAATCAAACAAGACATGCTATTACGAGGGTGTCATCAGAACAATTATCATACGGTAACATGATGACTCCAACAGAGCTCGGTGACAGGCAGTGTCGAAGTGCTATAGACGCAGCAGGCTCACTGTGAACGCACATGTGGCTCGCCAATATCTGCAATGAGTCCAGCTACAGCAAATAACACTTGCAATCTCGATTCCCTTGGCAATAAAGTGAGATCCAGAATCTGTATGTCGCTAAGCGACGGTCCCAGCCGATCTCCCCCTAGGCCTCGGCATCACCACCAGGACAGCGTGGCGCAGGAACCACCAGGGCGCTGCAACATTCAAAGCTGGAGAGAGTCTTGGGGGAGGCGAATGAAGTTAAGGCCAGGATCACGAAGTATTCTCTCGGAAAGTCTGGGGAAGCCAAGCTGGGGTACATCAGCAAGCTACCTATCGTGCCTACCTGGCTGGGTACTCTACCAAGACAATGACGTTGAAGCGGGTCAACTTCAGTGGCTAGCCAGGGGCTGTACACTCTATAAAGTGGATTCTTTACTGAATGCAGTAGGTAGGGGTCTGCCCCAACCTGACCCGGAAGGCACAAGTGGCGTGGCTCTGTGCTGCCTGCCTGTTGACAATCCATCAGGGCTTGACTTGTAGCGCGGTGGGACACCCGATCATGTGGGCAGCAAATGAGGTCACTACCTAGCGGACGAAGCAGGCAAACTCCACGCATGGATGAACGTGCTTTTCAGGACAGGAATCATAGGCAGTGAACAATAGTTGCGAGATCGTGGTATGGAGGGTGAGGGTACGGGAAGTTCGCCATCAAGACGCGGGGTGGCTCGGCTGAGGGATGTCTTGGCGGGCTGTTTTGCGTTTTACGGCATATGCAGCATCACGTCACTGCCGCACAGGGCATCCATTGAGCATCAAAAGCGGCAGGACCCTTGATCGCCGGTGCCCTGGCACGCACGCCTGGTTCATCGTTTCTCTGTGGCGGGAGGGTTTCAGCTTCATCTGGACCCTGAATCAAGGAAGCGAGCCCTGGCTAATGCCAACAAAACCAGCTCAGAGCAGGGGGTTTCAAGACGATTTCCGAGGAGCGGCCGAATTGAAGTGGTCGCACTCGGTCTTAGCTAATCTGACAGCGCCTTGCAATCACGACACGAATAAGGTTCGGATCATTGGTGGCAGTGAGTCGCAGGCCTGTGGCCTCCTCATCGGAACAAGTCGGAACAGGAGGTCGAGGCGAAATAACAGAATCCCCCTGAGCCCCCCTACCCTGGCACACTTCTCGAGATCCACGGCTGCTGCAGCATGTCAGAGAAAAAAGACAAAGCGAGCCAAAAGAACCATCGAGCCGGATGTTCCGACCAATCCAGAACTTCAAAGCTGCTCATCCCACGTCTGGGAGATGACGAGGGCAAAGTGTGACCAATTCCCATTTCCTAAGCTCGAGCGCTGGGATTGGTCCACGGCCGTCTCTAATCAGCACCCACATCCTTGCGCCTAGGGACCTAGGCGATCCTTGTCTAGTGGCTGCTTCAAGGCATGAGCTGCACGCGCTACAGCTGCAACCTCCAAGGCGAAGCCGGCTGCTAGTGGGGATGACGCAGGGCCTGGCGCTGCTTTTGCTGTTCGCGAATGCGGGGAAGACATTCAAGAAACTCAAGATGGCCAAGGAAAGTCTCGAATCCAAGGACCCTTTGGATATGGTTTGGACCCTCGTATTGGCCGGATCTACCCAAGACTACGCGCTTGTGAAGATCTGGAGACGGTGCGTCGCTCCTTTGGCTTTGCAAATTAGCTTTCCTCCACCGGGTCTCCGTCTTCCCACTCTCAAAACACCAGCCTCTTGGGGTGATCCTGGGGTGGGATCTTCGGATTGTCTTGACTCACGATGGTAGGTAGGTACTCAGGTAGGTGCCAGCTCCGTGTGGCCAATCCAGCCGTTCCTTTGACACAACGCCTTCACACATCTTACACAGCTCACCCTTATCACACAGAAGCGCGCGCTCTCTGTTCTCTGCCTCTCCCCACTCTCACCTCTCGCGGAGCCCATTCAATGAACGAGCTCTCTGTCTGCTTGTCTTGCCTTGCCGTTGATCCTGATCCCCCGTCCTCATCCACCCCGTCCTCATCCACCCCCTCCCCCGTTTTAGTTCCAGGTTGTGGTACCCCGCGCCGCGTCCACAAAAGAACTGAGGCTGATCGGCCGTGGCACGACGATCGGAAGCTTCCTACTGCCCCGGACACACGTTGGTTTCGAGTGGTCCCATTGGTGGTATGACAGCGAAGCGTCCACACCCGAACGTCCCAAGGTTAATTCTGCCCTGCGAGTCTTTGGGCGTACCTACGGAGTTACTTCACCCACGTTTCCCATGTCCGTAGTCACTGCTCGCCACTATTGTATAAAACCATCCCAGGCATCCTCGTCTCTTCCACACTTCCAGTTCTTTCTCCCTTTGATTATTCTACTCTTCCTTCTATCTTGCTCTCGATACTCGACGAAAAAGCTCTTGAGCACTTCTCTTCTCTTCAAAATAGAACAACACTCCCATTTCAACAAATTCAAACCCTTGATCTCTTCGGCCGCCATGGACTCCAGCCCCGTCCGCTCCACCACGGCCACCTTTGACAACTACCCTGCCGAGTTCTCTCGCCGCCGCAGCAGCGCTGGCTCGTCCGGCAACAGCGGCTTCATGTCCTCCCCGAAGTCCTCCATCCCGGTGTACAGCTCGGGTGCCCACGCCGTCCACTGCCACCAGTGCGGAAGCATCTTCGTCATCAGCAACACCTGCTCCAACTGCAACCACCGCCAGTGCAAGGACTGCTACTAAACGAGCCGCCATCCGAGCCGTCCTTTGACAGGACGACGACCGACCAAATCGGCACTGGGATTTTTTTGTCCCAGGCACCCGTTTGTCACGAACACTTGTCATTCAAATATTATCACGGACTCTGTTTTTTACGTCATGTTTGGTATGCTCGCAGCGAAGCGCACGCCAGTCTGGGCTACGGATCTATCGGGAGTTTTGCGTCCATGAAGAGATTTACCTTGCTTTTTGCAAGCGAAAAGACGACTTTTTTTCCTTTATTTGACGAAAACTTAAAGAGAGAGATACCCTGAAAGAAAACCGGGAGGCCGGAAACGAAAGGCACGGGCGCGCGGGTGTTTTGATTTGTTTTGAGCGGGTTCTTGAGATCGACCCGGATTCGGCATTGGGTGTACCTTGGGGGCGCAGGAAAGAGGGGATCCGAGAGAAGAGGTATTCCGTCTTGGCGCCTTTGTTTGAGTCGGCCTGTTTTTGGTGCTTCGATACCCCGGATTGGAAGCGATTCAATACGTGGTTGGCTTCATTGCTTGCTTCTCAACTCCTGTACGCATAAATACCATTGTCATCACTACTGAAGATTGAATAAAATTGATAATTACAGACCCAGGACATCTTTTCCCTGCTGCGCAAAGTGTGAACGAGTAAGCCACCCTGGATACACGCACCCTACAAGACATGTGATCAACCGGCTCTGCAGACAGGGGCCGTCCGGAGCACTGCCCAGCGGTTTTTTGGCGGTCCAGCTGACTGCTCCAGGCACCCAAATCAATGCTGACCAACACCAAGCTGCTTACTTTTTCTTCCTCAGGCCACAGGCTCTCACTTGTACATGGGCTCATAGCAAGGCCGACACGACAGCGTCGGGCACGGGAGGTGCTTGACGACGGTGCACCCAGCGATCGTGACCGGCGGTACCAGGTCTATGTCGTCGTCGTCACCGTTCTTCGCCCCGTCCCTCCTCTTCCTGGCGCCACCGGCACCCGCCTCCGGCTCCGGCCCCGGCCCCGGGGGAGGCACGCACCCTTCCTCGCGCCCGCACAGGATGACCGTCGGGTCCGGCCGCGGCAGGGACACGGGCCAGGGAGACGGGTACGGCGGGAGCACGCAGCCCGCCTTGCGCGCGCAGACGATCATGGGGCAGAACCAGGCCTCCAGGCGGGTCGTGTAGCTCGTGCAGGACGGCGACGGCGACGACGACCTCGTGGGCACGGGCAGCGGCAGGTGCCGGCGCGTGCTGCTGGTGCTGGTCGTGGTCGTGGGCTGCGGGCCCGGGTCCGTGTTGCACCACAGCGGCGTGTACGCCGTGCGCGTGACGGTCTGCCGCTGCGGGAAGGGCACGGGCGTGGCGCAGTCGCAGCCGCGCGGCATGCAGGGCGGGGCGGGCAGGGTGTAGGTGCTCGTGCGCGGGCAGGACGGGTGCGGCGAGGGCACCGTGATGGTCGTCGTCGCGACGGGGGGAAGGCGCGGAATGTTGGCGGCGGCGGCGGCCCCTCCTCCGCGCCGCTGGACGGCGCAGGCGATGGCGCAGGCGGGGTTCCAGCGGCAGGGGGTCTGCGCCGGGCGGACGGTGGCCGTGTAGCAGGGCTGGCATTCGCCCGGGCCGATGGAGGGGACGAGGAGCTGGGCTGCTGTTGTGATGCTGGAGGTGGTGAAAGGGGAGGACGGGTGCGTGTTAGTGAGGTGCTGTGGGGGGGTAGAGGACGGGGAGCAGGGGGGTTGGAGCGTTTACCTGTTTGCCAGGAGGGCGAAACTGGCGAGCATGGTGGACTTTGGGCGATGCATCGTAGGCAGATGGTCTCTTTTGTGGTTTGCACTGGGGAGGTGTGAGCGAGTACGTGCGCCTCTGTGTTGCAGTGGCGGTGATCAAGGATTGCGTGATATGCGTATGGGACGACCTGTCGACGACCTCTTTATATCAGCTCTAATAACCCCCTCCCCCAGAATCCCCGGGTCAGGTCAATTCTTCTTCTTTTTTATTCTCCGCACAGCATGCCAACCCGGAATCTGGGCTGCGGATCAATCCCGCGTTCGATCCCTTCGCCTGGCCTTGTCTCTGTGCGGAGCGTTCAGCCTATATCACGGGTAATGTTTGTCCTCCCACACCTCGATGCGGAACATGTCTCCCTGCGGTGAACGGGACGTCTACCACTTCAACTAGAGTAGGAGCTGGCTGGAAGTCATTCCTATTAAGAACAATCCAGCTATCAAGCACCCTCGCTGTCTCTTCATGCCTGCCGGATGATGCTGGGGAGACGCTGGTCCCACATTCCGGTCCCCAGATGTCGCTCGTTTCCGGAGCTCTGTGAGCCACTCATCCACTTTCTCCGGAGAGCATCTGGCATTTTGTCTCTCCCTTGGATCTAAATTTGGAAACTTTGGAGCTTGTGGACGGAGTTCTCCTGGCGAAGCCTATGCTTGGTGGCAAAGGTGGCGAGGCCAGGTGACGAGAGTTCAAGCATATATTCCGCGCTGGAACATGAGATTCAGTATGCGGCATCTCCTTTTGCTTGGTGTGACAGTGGAAGCACTCCGAACCGGTAAAGCCGGCGTTTGTCAAACAGTCGAGGGTCCTTTTCAAAAGAGCGACTGAGGACGCTGAGCCTTTGTCTCCTTATTCCATCCAAGCTCTCATAAATATGCGGTCAACGATAGAAACCACATTGAAACGGGAGAGAGTCAGACGCAGCAAGTTCTATGAGTATGGGTTAATGATTGGACGTCGTTCAAGTTCTTGATGTCAATATCGGGCGAGAAAGCTTGCCTTTCCTCCACAGCTTATTCCCAAGTCTCTCCACCGCAGGAGTTGTCCAGAAGGGCTCTACGCCCTGTGCTGTTTCGCAAAGGCACTTCAAAGACGTGAAATCCCTTTCCGAGTGCCCTATAGGAATCCCGGCCACAGTCGTGAATCGGGATTCCGTGAATGCCTTCAATGATCGGCCACGGTAACGCTTCGCATCGGCGAGCTGCATGGGCTATCAACTCGGAAATCTTTGGCCTCAACTTTCGGTGAGTATATCATGGCTGTCCTTGTCTAATCTCATAACACAGACTGTAAGAAACTTTTGATTCCTGCACATGTCTGCTTCGATTGTCGCTGTCGTTGGGTTGTGGGCCGGTTTGAGATAGATGCCAGTGAAGTTTCTCACCAATTTGCTTTCAGAAGGGTCCATGAACGTAGTAGCCACAGGCGTAGCTGCACTTTAATCTACCGTTGCGTACCTGCTATCTTTGTCATGTGCTCATTGCTATTCGAAGTCTTCATGTTACTAGTACAAGATTAATGGCGCCGTAACATGGCGCGATGATGCTCTTGCAAGTCTCAGCTTGCTTGACTACCGTCGATACTTCCCAACACGACCGCCACCCAACTCTTCTAATCCGATGTCCGCCAAGCATACCATATCTCAGTACGGCAGTTACTCGTGTGGCTGGAGGTTGGGAAGTTATGGTCTGTCCACTCTCAGATTTCACGCAACACCGGCGGCTTGGCTGAGGGTACCACTTCCTCGACTGCTGAAAATGGACATGATACCAAATCCGACGTAGAACAGAGCCTGCCGGTTGCTTGATTTAGTAACTGGATAGCAAACATGTGCGAAGTTCAGAAGACAACTTACGACTGGGTATGCAACAAGACCCCGCGCACTCTTCATCCGCCCGATCACTAGACAAAAGAAGGATTAATAAGAGATCGCGGTACCGTCAGGAGCCATACCGATCCCTCTAACTTACCACAGAACATGGCGCTGGAGCTCAGTGTCGACCAGCAGATGGCGAGCGACGTGAGCATGTAGCCGATGACGCCGTCAAGAGGCATGACCACGCCCACCAAAGCCGTCAGGACCAGCGGCAGCAAACAATATCCTAATATACTCGCGCTTCGGGAGAATGTAAGGGTGCTGCTCAGGTGACCAGCTCTGTCGTCGGCGCCAGGGTAGCCGGTGTTGGAGTAGCCGGGTGACATGTGTGACGATGCGCCGGCGTCGGGGCCATCGGGGGTCATTAGACTCAATATCGTGTGTAGAGCAATCGAGCCCATAAGGGCGAGGCCATAGATGTATCCAAAGTGAAGTTTGCCGCTGAAGAGAAGGAAGGTGCCGAACTGCAACGCTGTCAGTCTTTGTCCTCCTCGAGAACCTATGAGGTCGTGCAACTCACAAGGCCAATGAAGACAATCGGCCCTCCCAGGTCGCTGTCGTCCATAAGATGCTGATCGATTCGTCCGAAGGGGTTCAACACGGCGAGAGTCTATGCAAAAGTAGTCAGCTACTGATTTCGTCCTTTGTCCAGGATGCCAGGAGCGAGCCTCGAAGCCCATGCGAGGACCCATCCCAGCGTCCCATCGTGCAGAAATATGACAGCAGGAGGAGGCCTGCCCACCTTTGCTTTGATCAAGTCAAACGAAAAGCCAAGCTCTGTGAGCAAGGGCGGTTCGTTCTCGTAGCCCTCGGTCGAAAACGCCGCCAGCCAGCCCGTCCTCAGGCCGCCTTGCTCCCCCATGCGCCCACTGACCCCCGAAGGACCGGCACCGCCGAAGCCGGGACTGCTCATAGATCCCGAGGGCACGCCGTAGCCATATCCGCCTTGTGATGATGTCGGCTGGCCGGGAACGCCGGGGGAGTACGACGACGGGTAGAATTGGAGGTTTTGGGCGGATGCGCCAAACTGGTTGGGCGGCGCGCCGTACTGTGCCATGGTGCGCTGTGTTGCTCGGCAAGTGGTCGCTCGCTGGAGTGTACTGGGAGTGAGAAGAAGCTCGCTCAGGGCAGCTAGCTATTGGGTTGTCGATCCGGAGTTGTCGCGTCGGTGGAAAAAAAGGGCTAGATGTCGAGGGCGAAAGCTGGCAGCTCGAGCTTGGATTTCGAGGCTTGAGCTTCCGTGCTAGGCAAGCGTGCGTGGCATGTGCTGAGGCCAGTGTGCACCAAAAAAGGGCGGGGTGGGTCGGATTTAGTGATTTTCCTTCCTTGGTGCCTCAACTGGTGTGGCTCGCTCTAGTCACGGCATCGCTGATCAACCCCTGGCTTCAAGCACGCTCACCACTCATCACAAGTCACCATCAATGTGGTCGGTTAGCAGTCGAAACAACCTTGGTGGTCATAAGTGTATTTTTTGAAATGAAAAGTTAGGGCATGTTCTGACACATGCAGCCGCTCTCGGGGACAGTGCAAGCTTGCTACGAACCAATACTACGTCATCCAACCATGAAGAACACAGAATTCAAATCAAATCATTAATAACCATCCAATCCACTCCAATAGAATACAAATATACAAGATTTGAAGAAGAATCCCCGGTGTTTCTTTACAGCTCCAAAAGCCACCTAGGTATATCACTCCTCCGGTACATCGCCGGCTACCAACATGTCCATCCATGTTTATGACCCTCCTGAGAAGCTAGTTCATCATCCTCAGCCCAGAGTCTGTCTTGGGGAACGGATCAAACTCGGGGAAATAGGCCCTCCAAGCATTGCAGTTCCGGTCAAAGTCGGCCTTGTCACCGGGTGCAATGTTCTGGCGCAGGTCGCCCACGTTCTCGAGGAAGTCGACAGCAAGACCGGCCGAGACGTGCCAGGCGATATGGCAGTGGAAGAGCCACGCGCCGGGATTGTCCGTGCGGAAGGCGAGGACTACCCAGCCCTGAGCGGGCAGCATGGTTACGTCTCGACGAGCCGGATTGTTGCCGTTGAGGGTACGGGTGTCGGCGGCAGCGTTGAACGGGCCGATGGCACCTACAGCTGACCGTCCAAGAACGACAAAGTCGTGGCCGTGGAGATGGAGAGGGTGCTGTTGATAGGGTCAGTATGCCTTTACTTCGCTAACAACCGCTCGGCTCGGCTGCCACTTACCGCAATATTGAACCCAACCTCGTTCTCGATGAGCCAATAGGCCCACTACATCATCCTCATGTTAGTCTTCGTTATTACTATAGTCTTGGCCGTGGAGTCCTACCCGGTCCTTTCCATTCACACTGATGATGTTCTCGCTCTGAGGGTAGCTAGTATTGCCCTCCATGACATACTCCAGCACCGGCCTGTTCCAGTCCACATTGATGGCCGAGGAGTTGATCTTCCACACGAAAGTAGGCGCCAAGTCAAGGCTGACGTTCAAAGTGTTGTCAATGGTGGGCTGGAAGTCGGATGTAGACACAGTGCGAGTCACGACAGGAACAAGGTCAAGTTTGTCAACACATGGCTCGGGGACGACCGCGGTGCCAGGGTTCGTAGGATCGGTCTTTGGTGCTCCCTGGTACCGGAAGACGGCCGCCGGATGGGGATTGACAGACGCACCGCAGGCGCCTGACGCCTCAAATGTGACATTAAACCAGTAGTTGCCCACGACCTTGCTTGCGTCGATGGTGACATCGAAGCGTTGCCCAATAGCGACGAAGAGCTTGTTGACAGTGACAGACTGGACGGGGACAAAGTCCGAGGCGATGACGGTCATGTCGTGGTCCACCAAGGAGACGGTGAAGCTAGCGTCGGCAGAGGTATTGATGATGCGGAGCCGATGGCGCTTCCCCGGCGTCAGAGTCACTTCTGCGTAGCGACCCTGTCCAGTCGAAGGATGCTTGTTCGTGCCGTTAAACAGGATATTGTCAGCGGGCGGTGGTGCGTTCCTAGATGTGATCGCTAACAGCTCGTCTGCCGATGCGTAGTAGTAGTCTGTGATGGGAAAGACGCCGAGATCGACCTCGTAAGGCAGAGAGGCCGGCCCGTTGATGAGGATAGTACCCACAATGCCGTTGTCATACTGGGCGCTGAAGTGGGAATGATACCACGATGTACCGTACTGGGTGGCCCTGAAACGGTACACCTTTGAGCCGCCCTTGGGCGGGATGGGACACTCGGTGAGGCCATTCGCGCCGTCCTGGATGTTGCTGTTGAGCTGGCGCACACCGTGCCAATGGATTGAGGTCCTAAGATCGAGTCCGGTCAGTTCCACCTGCGTCAATGTACGATGTACTGTCCACTCACCCATTGGTCTCTAGGTTGTTGATGACAGTGACTTGGATGGTGTCTCCCCAATCAGCCACAATAGTTGGGCCGGGGTATTGCCCTAATAGAGTTCAGGTCAGTCTCCATGCTCTCAACTTTTTCTGGGAAGCGAGCTTTACCATTGACCAGCATGAACTTGTTCTTCACCACACCATCTGGTCCAACCCAATTGTTGACTTCTGTGAGGACAAAGGTATACTACACTCGTTGTAAGCCAGACGCCGAGAAGACTTCGACCACGGGAGCTGTGACATACAGATACTACTGTACCAGTTGGAGTGTTACCGGGTACCTCATAGTCAGTGTCAAGACTGAACCCGTCACACCACGTGCGCCGGTTGCTCGCTGTGTTGCAGTTCCGTCCCGCACGCTTCACCAATTCCACATCCACGGGAGCTGGAGGAGCGGCATGCACGGAGCGGAACAGCATCATCCCCAAAAGAGGAACTAGAAGGCGAGAGCAGGACCACATCTTGAAGATCATCAGATGGTCAAAGGGAGATAGAATGCGGTGCCAGGATCGTTGCTTAACGAATACAGAATCTTCCTGTTCTCCGGGAACTGTTACTTCTTTATATACTTCAAGAAGTCAGATACAGCAGCTGCCTCAACTCCATTCCGAACTCGACTTCGCCGATGTAGCTTCGACAAGAGCGACTCTGAAGTCTGGACTCCACCGCTCCATGCTCCAGAATGCCTCATCTCACCTCGAACGGACCGAGCGGACGGCTGAGCACACCCTCACGGGTGATGAAAGGGGCGATGCCGGTTCTGGGAGGGAAGCAAGTCAAACTATTGAAAAGAGAAATCATGAAATTAAGGACTTTCATCCAGGGGTTGGGTGAACCGCGGTCGAAGACGTTGTCATAGCTTATAGTGGAGAACATGCAGAACACTGCAACGTGATGGCGGCGAAACCAGGCCATTGGTGTACTTCTCGCTTGTTGTGAGCAGCTCGACATATGTGAAAGGGGATTTGTCGTGATAGCGCCACGAAAGGCGCGATTCGACAGCGAACCGAGGAGCCGACAACTCGTGTAGGAGAAACACCTATCACAGGCACCCGATACACGTCTCGGTGGCCTCCGAGTCCTTCTCTCAGCTCTGACAAAGACAATAAAGAACATCCGTGCCAGGAGCCACTGCTACTTGACGCGGCTCACCGATAGATGATGCAGCCAAGGGCAAGGACATGGTTCTCGGTCTGAGGGCGATAACATGACCTGGGCCGCACGCCGAGAAACTAATGCGGGCATACCCGACACAGAACAGAACAGCTGGTGCAAAGGTCAATGTAACCTTAGCCACGAGATGCACATGCAACCGCGAGTGACACATGCGAGTGTATGGGGACATCTAGAAGACGATACGGGCTCAGTGATGGAGGCTGTTCACAGTATACGGGATGACAAGACGTCAGCGCGCACGCATGCATCAGCAAGGGATCCACGGGAGAATAATGGCCGGCCGCGGGTCTTAACCGGGAGATAGGCGAGTGCCCTGTACATATGAATTGTAATATCGGGCATATTGCGCAGGGAGGCTCTGCAACTCGTGCAACTCTCGTACCGGGTATTCGCCTGAGTTCGTTCAGCCTTCGGATCCCAAGGATGACCTGCGTGGCTGATGGGAACTGGTGGTCAGAATCAGCACTCGCTGATTGGTATAAGTGCTTGGAGCGCTTCACGGTCTGATAGAAGCACGGACAGCCACATCTTACCGCGTCTAGCGAAAGCTGGTTGAGAATGTCTGACCCCTGGAGACCACGACTCGCAAAATGGCGTGTGCGATATTCGTCGCGCGCCTTAGGCTATGCCGCATCCTCGAGACTATTGAACTTAGAAGGCAGGCCAGACAGTGACCATGAAGTGGTGCTTTCTCCATATGCCGGTCTATCACGCAAGCACTAGGCCTTAAGCGGAGATCATGGGGAGTTGAACGGGTGCTGCAGCCGACCTGGAGTCAAAGCAATCTGGAGACTCGCTGCCGTCCAAATAGCGTGCTAGCAGGGGCCGGAAAGTCCGGATGACTCTGTGCTCGCTCAGCTGAAAACCCGTAGTTTCCAACTTGGCGAATCAAGTCGCACGGTTCAAGCAAGGACGTGAGATTTGTGGATGGGGAAGGATTATTGGAAGGACGTTGATTGGCAGAGTCAAGAAACCAATATTCTGCAAATTCCATGCAGGAACATTGCTTGCGCACGCAGCGGCCGTGAGCCGGTAGGGAGCATCCCGCTCGCCAAGGGTTCTTCACACCTCGTGCCGCGCCTGCACGGTGTGCGGGACCGGGGTTGCAGCGGCAAGCCGTCTGAAGGTACTTGAAATAGAAACGCAACCCGCTTCCTTGTCACCTGAGCCTTTACCAAATACCACTTGCCCCCTTCAGAAATGGTGTCTCAATATGACCTGATGTTGCCATCAAGGAGATTAGGATGTCGGCTGTGACTGTTGGGATGATGGTTAACAAACAGCAGCCAGGATATATTCCTCGACTCAGCAAGCGCTCTCAAAAAATGAACAGTTTCCTAAGTATCGAGTAGTATATGTGCCGTTCTAAAATAAATTCATGTCTAGCTGTCATGCTTCATTGGAGTTGCTAAGTATTATGCTTGCGGACAACTCGTGCCGAGATTCTACTTGCCGATCTCCAAGATAGAGCACGAGCTCGCGGCTTCGGCACCAGCCGTCAAAGAACTTGTCTATCATTGCCTGTTGTGTCAAATGCATGCAACATTGATCACGCCAAAGCCATGAGGAGATCGACAGGGGCCTTCCCCATTGGTTCGTGGCCATCTCCATACTCCATGCTGGGGAAACCCAGGATCGGATGTACATAGGAGAAGGTTCCGAGTAGCATTGTCAATCCATCCTTGCAACCTAGCGGTCTGTTCCCCGTGGTCTACTCTCTGCAATTTCTACATACGTATCTCTAGGCGGAAAGGTGTGGGTGCTTTATGAACTGACATCAAACGACACTATCTAGTCCTGTTTGCTGCTGCAATCAAGAACTCAGGGTTCAATGCTCAAGTTCCAAGACTTGACAGTAATGCTAGGTCCTATGCTTATTATAACTTCCAGCTGTAATCTTTGCACTAATTTGATCACTTATCATCTTTTTATTTATCAAAAGAGTTGACCAAAGGACGTGATGCTTCCTCCGGCTGGTCCTTAGGGGGAAAGTGGCCTCACTCGGGAAGAATATGCGAGTCTGGACCGGGTATTGCAAAGTGTAACTTGTGGGCCCAATAAAGTGCCTGCCACCCATCATCTCTGCCCCTTTTTGAGCTTTACTGAACCGCCAAAGCTACTGAAGTCTATTTGGAGTCTCTAGATAATTATTTGGATGGCAATGATGGATTTGGTACTGAAGCTGGCTCGCTTGGCCGATTGGCCTAGAAATAGGAGTGACATGTGTTCCAACTACCACCACGATTTGTTCGCAGCTTTTTTGAGAGACTAGATGGAACCTGTCTACCGTCGCAGTTCCAGCATCTTTTCGAGCAAAGGCACCTGAGATGTATCGGTGTTTGGATCGTGTTGATGCTCGGGTACTCCAAAGCCGAGCAAGTGGTATAAATACTCTTTACATGCATATCTCCTCGACTACCTGAGATATGAGTTACGCCGGATCAATGAAGAAGAGCCTGGATGACTTCCTCAACTTGTACTTCAAATACATTGACAACTCAAGAGACATCTTCTTGGTCCTCGTTCCGGCTTTGAAAGAGGCCTTGCCGACTTGCTCCGACACCGTCAGTCAGATGGAGAATAGCGGGTTCTCATTAGAGTCCAGCCCCAAAATACAGACATATTTGCTTGCTTGACATATCAATGTAGAGGCCGTTCTATTATGATGTCTTTTACAAGCCGGACTGTTCATTTTTCAACCCGACTTGCTAACTTCCGTAGCCCTGTGCCACTCCTCGGCCTGAGACTATAATCGGTAGCGACTTGTTCCCATGAGATTGCAACAAGGAAATAAGTCAACATCATAATTAGTTACACTATAACATAATTATCTTGCCTTTGCGCCGCGCAGATTTCATTGGCCTGTGGGAACGAAGTACTACAAGATTGAATCTGGTGCATGGTACCTGGGAGGCCTGCAGAACTTTGGAAATCCTACGGCTTTCTCCCACGTGTGAATACATCTTTGGAACTCAACATCTTCGGCTTCACGATATTTTGTGCTGGAAAGAAAGGCTGGTGATCATCTCAAACCGAGGCACAAAGGGGCACAATGGAGATTTGGTGGTGGCACAGCCACCGCCTCCTTCTCGCCCACTCTAGCCCACAACGGTTGTCAAACGTTCAGCTCGACGTCTTGGCGGCCATTAGCCGCGCAGGCCTAGCACCGTTTGATCTTAGGCTTCAAGCTATCACTCGCTCTGCCTCACTCTGGTGATTCAGGCACCATCCTGTCTGAAAAGCATGCCGAGGAACCCAACAAAAAGAGACGGCGGTCTGCCTCGCAGGGCTGACGGCCAGGTTTCACAGTTCGATAATTGAAACACGATATGTAATCCTGTACGATATAATGCTCTGTCGGAATCCATCATGAGACACCAGAGACAGAAACTTGCATTATCGTCATCAGTGATACACACGCCATATTAAACAGCTCGCACAGAGAAAACACCTCACCCGCTATGAACGGCACAGATCAGCAACCAGAAGATGTACCCGACGTGGCGCCCATATACGAGCCCCAAGTCAACTACGGCACGATGGAGTCCTCCACCGACGACGTGCCGACCTACACCGAGACAGATGAGGCCAGCCTCGAGGCGCGCATCGAGCGCGCCAAGGCCCACGAGCTCGCACCCCTCGAGCTTCCCCTCACAGAGGGCCTCCCCAGCCCACTGGGCAACATGGGCGACGACCCGTCGCCCGAGCTGAGGACCGCCTTCTTCGAGCGGTACCACCTAGCAATCGACATCATCAACGCCTTCTACGAGGCCATCCGCCTCAGGCGCGACGACCAGGTCGAGTCCATGGTCCGCTCGGGCCTCGTGTCCCCGGACGTCCGCGGCACCCAGGGCGACCGCCCCCTGCTGGCCGCCGTCCGCGCCGGCAACCCGGCCATGATCCTGACGCTGGCGCGCCTGGGCGCCGACCCGGCGCTCATGGGCCGCGACTCCTACCTCGAACCCCTGCGCGCGCCGCTGCACCTCGCCGCGCAGCGGGGCAGCCTCGCCGCCGTGCGCGTGCTGATAGAGGACCTGGGCGCCGACGACGCGCTCGTCGCGCCCGACGGCGAGATCGCGCTGCGGCTCGCGGCGCGGGGCGGGCACCGGGAGGTCGTCGACTACCTCCCCTCGCGGCGGACGGGCGGGTGGCGGCGGTGGAAGGCGGCGCACGAGCGCGAGATGCGGGTCGTGGGCGACGCGGCCATGGGCATCGTACTCTTCTGTAAGTTCTTCGCGTGGAGCGTGCCCAAGTTCGTCGTGTACACGGCGCCCAGGCACATGTGGAAGGAGCGCAAGAGGTTCGGCCGCTGGTGCAAGAGGCAGGTGGTCGAGTTCCCGCGGCGGGCCAAGAGGGCGGCGAGCGCCGTGGCCAGGGGCATCAAGGAGATACCGGCCCTGATCAAGGAGATCCCGAACATGGTGAAGAAGGCCTTCAAGGCGGTGTCCAAGGGGGCCAAGGTCGTCATCGACTGGATCGTCGAGGGAGTCACCAAGGTTGCGAATGCCGTTGCTTACGTCTTTAATCGTGCAGTGTCGTTCATCCACACGGTGGTCATGGCGTTGATCAACTTCTTCAAGAGGATCACGCTCAAGGACGTATGGGACGGGCTGGTCATTGTGTTCAAGTCTTTGTTTGTGGACGTGCCAAAAGCGATCTGGACATTCATTCTCAAGTTTGGAAGAACGTCGCTCAAGGTTCTCGAGGCGCTGTTTGGGATCATTGGCACCATCATATGGTACCTTGGTTATGGCATCTTCTGGCTTGTCAAGTTCATCCCGACACGGATTTGGAAGATTTTGTCGGCCTTGGTGAGGTTGATAGGAGAGGGATTCCATGAGTTGCTAGTCTGGTATGATCCCAAGAGGGTTTGAACCTTGAGGGACGGAAGGATTTACGGGTTGTACGAATAGCGAGACCAACATAATTAGCGACTGCTTTTGGTACGAATTGTATTTTCATCTGTGAAGATCATCAGAGCGGTTTCCGAAAGATGAGTACAATCTATACCGAGTGATCAATCATTGCAATGCCAAAAACCTGTGCTCAGGAACATTCTTTCTATTGCCCACGCTCAAATATCACAGCCAGGGCCTCGCGATTTTTATATCAAGTACAAATCTCCCGTCTATCACATGCAACATCACCAACAACCTTCGATGACGGCTCATCCACGTCACTCCCTAACAAACACACCCGCCATGCCCATACCGGTACCAATGCACATGCTCACGACACCGATCTCGGCCTGGTCCCTCTTGAGCCCGTGCATCAGCGTCGCCACCATGCGCGCGCCCGTCGCGCCGAGCGGGTGGCCCAGCGCGATGGCCCCGCCGTCGGGGTTGACCCGCCCCTGCTCCCACTCCTTCTCGAGACCCAGCTCGCGCGCGCAGTAGATGGCCTGGCTCGCGAACGCCTCGTTGATCTCCCAGCGGCCGACGTCGCGGCTCTCGAGCCCGAACATGCGCAGCACGCGCGGGATCGCGAGCGCCGGGCCGATGCCCATCTCGTCCGGGGCGCAGCCGGCGACGGCGTTGCCGAGGAACCGGCCCATGATGCTCGACGTCAGGCCGAGCTCCTCGGCCGTGCTGCGGCGCATGAGCAGCGCCGCCGCGGCGCCGTCCGACACCTGCGACGAGTTGCCCGCCGTGCTGGCGCCGTCGGGCTTGAACGCGGGCTTGAGCTTGGCGAGCCCCTCGAGCGTCGCGCCCTCGCGGATGCCGTCGTCGCGCGTCACCGTCACGGCCCGCTCCTCGCCCACCTTGTTCCCCTGCTTGTCGACCTCCTGGAAGCGCGTGTGCACGGGCACGATCTCGTCGTCGAAGCGGCCCTCGGCGCGCGCGGCCGCGGCACGGCGGTGGCTCTCGACGGCAAAGGCGTCCTGGTCGGCGCGCGAGACGCCGTACCGGCTCGCGACGTTCTCGCTCGTCAGGCCCATGGGCATGATGCAGTCGCGCGCGTCGCGCACGGGCGAGTCGCGCAGCTCGGGCCACAGGTCCACGGGGATGGCCTTGGAGCCGTAGTTGCGCGTCATGCTCTCCATGCCCGCGCCGATGCCGACGTCGATCATGCCCGCGCGGATCTCACCGGCCACGGCGCCGATGGCCTGCAGCGACGACGAGCACGCGCGGTTGACCGTGTGCAGGCTCGTGGCGTGCGTGTCGAAGCCGACGTGGTTGAGGGCCATGCGCGCCGCCTTGGAGCCGCCGAGCTCCGAGAGGACGACGCCGACGGCGACATCGTCGACCTTGGACGGCGGTAGGTTGGGGTTGGCGGCGAGGGTGGCGCGCAGGACCGTGGCCAGGAGCTCCTCCGGGTAGGCGTCCTTGAGCTGGCCACGGTAGGAGCGGCAGACCGGCGTGCGGAGGGCGGAGAGAATGACGACGTCGGACGGGCTCTTGGCCAGCACCGAGGCGAGACCCTTGGGGAGCGAGGTCATGGCTGTAATTGTGTGTGTAGAGCGAAGGAGTGCGTCAAGTGGAAGAGGCCGCCGGGGATCGAATCGGCGGCGATATCGGCAGTTGAAGTCCCGGCAGGAGGGCGTCGGGGTCGATGCTTAAGGAGTGAGGAGAGCTGGGAGTGATGGAGGGTGGATGCACGCAGCCTAGCTCAGGGAATCCCGCAGAAGGACAAGCCGTGGATTGATAGTACTTTTTGAGAAGAGAGAAAGGAAACAGAGAAAAGAAACAAAATCAATCCAGGTTCGAGCTCCCGAAGCTTTGAATCTTTTGTGAGTATTTCCCCAGTTCCTCCCAGCGTCTCAACCCCAGCTTAGCTAATTATTACAAGTAGGTAGCTTGTCGGCTAAGGGTAAGGGAACTTGTCGCCGCCAACTCATGGGCCAAGTGGGGCGGCGATAATTGTCGGGACTTGGAGCCGGGAGAAGCACGCGGGAGAAATACTCTTCCGCCTTTTTTGTTGGCCGGTGTCGGTGATGCTTCGAACACTGCCGGCTATGGTCACTCCAGAGATATTCATACAAAAAATAAAATAAAAATAAAAGCACATTGACAGTCACAAGAATCAAGATCAGAGAGCTTGTTTGTAGTTGAAGGTCGTTTCTTTCGATTCGCTTCATCTCATTCAGCTTCGTTGAGTGAGACGTGCTGGTTCGGGACTTCATCGGTCCACGGCCTCTTGATCTATGTACCTCTAGCTATGCTACTAAATTAAGTACTTGGAGTTCGAGTGGCTTTTCTCTCTGCGAGCCACAGAGAGGGAGCGAAACATATCAGCTCCTCATAATTTGCAAGGGTAAACACTCGCTATGATTCCTCTTCGAGTTCGTCGTGATCATGGAAAGGGCGCCTGACCAGACCGCCTTATGCGCAAAGCAACTCCAACCTTCCTTCATGTCTCAGACACCCTAAGCTCCATCACATTGAGCACAACTTCGTTTCGACTTTCGCACCACCCCGGCTCCTCAAGCACAAGGGTCTACTCATGACCATACTGGATGCCCAGACCGATCCGGGCCCCATCCCGCAGGCTACTGCCAACCACCCTCTGCTTCTTCGTCGGACTCGCCAATATCTCTCTCCTGGCGTCGACCACGCCCATGTCAGAGATGGGACCTCCACTGAACTTGCGCTTGTCTGAGGACATAGAGGCCTTGTTGACGCTGCCGAAGATCTTAGCCTGAAGTTTGGCGCTCTTCTCGGTCGGAACTGGCGTCACGTCACGAGAGCCACCCCGAGAGCTGGCAACCTCGAAACTCTCACGAGGGTCGCGTCGGAGCATCTGCGAAGCCGCTTGACTAGCTTGGCTCTCGTAGATCTCCTCCTCTTCTTCACTGGCGCGGCGAGCTCGGGAGCTGCGCGAGCCATGAGAGCCCTGCGAGTCAAAAGAGGATGTGGCGGCGGCGGCAGCGACCGACTCGAGAGCCTGGCGAGCGAGCTCTTCGTTATCATCGGCCGAGATGGTGCTCTCGCGGCTCTTGCGTCGTGAGCCACGTTGTCGAGTAGGTGTCTCCGGCACGTACTGTCTGCTGTACCGGTGAGGAGGCTCGGTCTGGGGTACAAGGTCGACCGACGGAAGCAGGCCTGCGTGGGGGCCTCGAGGTCGCGATGTTGGTGTGGTGGGAAGCGAGGAGAGCGACTGGGCCCCACGGGTATGCTTGGGGAAGTTGCGAGGTGCAGGACGGTGAGGGGTAGTCGGTGTTGAAGGCGCGCTGTTGTTCTCCTGGCTCATGACCTGAAGTATCATGGCGAGCCCACCGTCTCGCGCATCACGGTCGTGCGAGCGAGGCGTCTGCCGCGGGGTGACACGGTGCTGAACAGGAGTCGAAATGGTCTGAGATTTCGGTGTCATGGCAGTGTGGAAAATGCCGCCGGGGCTACAGAGCTGATGGAAATGCTCCCGGTTCTCGCGCAGACGATTCAGCAACATTTCCTTCTCTTCGGCCATGCCAATGATGGTTTCCTCCTTTTGCTGGATGACTTTCTTGGCCACCTTGAGCCTCTTGACAAGGGCATCGTTTTCTTCAACGAGTTCCTCGTACCACGATCTCAATTGATAGTATTTGGCTTGCATCGACTCCGAAACTGCACTAAGCTCGCGGCGAGCTTGCCTCGAGTGCTCCGAGGCGCGGAGGGCATCGACCTCACGGCGGGTCATTTCGTGTTCGACAGCAGCTCGCTTGGCATCGTCTTCGGCTTGCAAGTTCAGCAAGTTATACTGCAACTTGTGGTGCGCCGTCTCCATCTTGAGCTTGGCTTGCTCAGCGATACATGCCTGGAGCATGCCTCGAAGCTCTTCCGGCGACGCCTCGACGACTTGTGTCGGTGAGGGCGGCGCATACTCGGAAGCTGCTGCTGCGTCTCGGCGGAAGGTAGTATTCAGGCCGGTCACTGGCGGCGAGAGGATGGCAGATCGCTGCGAGCTGATTGCTGCCCCGTGGATCGGTCCGCCTCCATGGGTGGGCCCATTGTTGGGGACCTGGGACGAGGGTGGGGGAGTAAGAGAAGAGGGGATAATGGACGCCGGAATGCGCTCGTCTTGGTTCTCGGTCTTGAACGATTGGCCGGGCTCAATGGGCGACGCGGGCGCTTCTGTAGAGGGGAGGGTGACTTGTGAGGAAGTGACGGCGTTGTCCTGGTTCAGCGGAGTCGTCGGCCGTTGATCGATGACGCCGTTGGGCTGCCGGGCAGCGGTCTCGGTATCGGAAGACATGCTGGGCTAGTCTGGAAGCAGCGAGTGCGACACACAGAGAGAGAAACGATATGCGCAGAGAGGAGGTGCCTGGCGCGCGAGTGGGCGATGCGCAACTCGCTGGCGTCAATCTAGCTGGCAGGAAGCACGAGGTTTCCAGCCTAAGCAGGTCTGGAGGAATGGCGAGCAGCGTCGGATGGACAGGACAGGCAGTCTCGCGTGGCAGGAAGAATGGTGATGGCAGATGGTATGCGGCAGGAGACAGGAGAAATGAGAGGGGAGGAAAGAAGAGGGGTTTTATGGAGGCGGGAGAGAATGGGCAGGAGATCGCGAGAGTGGCTGCTTGCCTCTTCTTTTCTGCCCTCGACTGCGACGCTTTGACGGCTGTTTGTGACGAGATTAGGTGGATGGCGGGCGGTGGGTTTGAGGGAAGCGACGGCTAGTTACGACGACTGGGTGGTTTGTGGTTGCCGTGCGAGACGGCTCGAAAGCTGAGTGGCTGGCGCGCCTCCCTTGAGAATTTCGAGCCAGCAAGCCCAATCCGCCAGGGCGCCAATGAGCGGTGGCTGGACGACCAGCGTTTTGCCCGAACAGGTTAGGTCCGGCTGATACTGCCCACTCCCACCGCCTCACATCTCCACCTTCCACGCTGGACTTTGGTGACCAGATCACGTGCGCCTACCCGATTGCACAGTGTACACCACAGCGCTGGCTCCTGTTCCACTGCCAGTCCATTCTGTCAGGGGGTTGGTCGACTACAATTTGCAGAAGCTACCGCTGAAGCACCCACTAGAGCTAACCTCTGTTCACAACTAGCCGCCCCCACGCTCCAGACGACGAACCGGCCCGTTGGCATTCCAGACAACAATAATTGGGCTCGACATTCCTCGGTGTTGATCCTGCTTTAATTTAGGAAGACTCCGGCATCTGGATTTTCTTTTGGGACAGCGTGCCCGGCACGTTTTCAGCTAATTTCAGGGTTTTCATGTTTCAGTCTAGGCTTCGGTTCTAGTCCATTCGTCGGGAACCAAACAGCGGTCAGTCTGTCTGCTAACCACTAGATAGGTATGCGCCCCTTTGCGAGACCAGAGGCGCCCCGTCCCAAACCACATCCGATATGACGTAGCCTCGAGGTTCTCCGGCCTTCAAAGACTTCTCTTAGTGGCGGCTCGTGGGCCTCAAGTCCCCTGCGATGCCTTCAGAATGTCTCACCAGGTCCACCGAGCTGAACAGCCGGGACCAGAAACAGGGTCATAAGGAGCAGTATCCAGACCCTTGACTCCATCAACGCCATTCCTCGGAGATGCTTCCTAGTCTTCCTTATTCTTGCCTCTTTCGCAACTACCTATTGGGTCGTGCTTGTACTCGAAACCTCGCAGAAGGCCTTGTACATCTCCAGCTCCCCGTCGCCCTGTGAACAGACCGCACATTCTGCAGAGGCACCAATGAAGAAGACGTATCCTTCCTTGAGCTTCAATGCCGTAGATCCCACGCTGATAGTCCCCATTCCACGCGTCACTATGATGATGCTAGGTCCGTTGAGCGGTGAGAAAGTTACGGCCGCACCGTTGGCCTTCAAAACGCAGCGCGCCACGGCAAACTCGCCAATAGGGGGGTCGTAGAGCGTTGCGAACGATCCACTCTTACGACCTTTCGCGTTGAAACCTACATCGTCATAGTCGGTGGGATCCATCTGCTGTTCAGCGAAAGGCGTGCAGTTGTAAGTCAGCATATCTACCAGTGTCGGCACATCCTTGAATCTTGCTGTGAACCCTGCCCGCACCACATTGTCCGAAGTCGCCATGCACTCGGCGATGTCGCCGGATATGTAAGCGTGAATATCGTCAGCTCGGAGAAAGATAGCTTCTCCGGGGGCAAGGGTAACATAGTTGGTAAAGAATAGCACAAAAAGTCCCCGGTCAGCCCCGTATTGATCGTAGAGTCGACTGACTAGCTCGGAGAGTACCTCGCCTGATGTGGCAGCGACGCCACCGTCAGTAAAGCGGTCGCCATCACTCCTGGCTGACATTACTAAAGACTCTGATGCTGACTGAACTTGATCTTCGTCTGCATTCATGACTTTGGCAAAGATCTTCCGCAGTGCTTGTTTACCCTGCTGCTTTGCCTCGTCCGTGCCGTTGCTGCTGCAGGTGGTGGCTATCCTCTGGAATGTAGTGGCTTCCTCCTGGCCAACTAAGCTTCTCAGGGCCGGCACATGCTCAAGAAAATGAGAAATCTCATCCAAAGGTCGGAATCCGCAAAGAGCCTCGAATGGCGTTATTGCAATAGCCATCTCCGGTTTGTGGTTGTCATCGGGATAGTTGACCGGATCTGAAGCGTGCAACTGCTTGGCCAACGCCTTGTCCGGATGGGCTTGTATCGATAAAGACAAATTTCCAAAGCAGAGCTTCATTTGTGTGGACGTTTCGACGAGACTTACCTCAGCATAAGGTTGATCGGACTGGATTAGAAAACCAGCAGGTGCAGTTGCTGCTGCATACCTTGCTGCACAAGAGTCGATTCCCTTTTTGCCCCAATCATAAGAGTTCACTCCACAACGAAGTTGAATAAGTGAATGTGGCATTTTGCATGGAGTGAGATCCTGGCTCCTTTCACTACTGTTTTTAACCGAAAGGGAATTGTGCTCGAATCAAGCTCCAACATAGACAAGCGGACAAAAAGAACAGTATCAACTTGGGCAACTAACCGTGTTTTCACCTGGCAAATGGGTGTAGGCACACCAAGTAGTCTATTGCGATGCAGGCTTGCATGCATGCACTCTTGACGGTGGTCAGCCGAACCGCAGAAACGGGCCCCGGGCGCCGAGCCCCGGCTTCGGGTGGGTCGGTTCAGGGGCATTCCCATCGACTCCGCGTTTTGCCCCGCACGGCCTTCTCGCCTCGGGGATTGATCATTGCTCCGCCAACATCTCACTCCTTAGTCTCTGATCCAATCTTCGACAAAGGTAGGCCAAGTACGTTACCGTGCCTCTTCTCAGCAAGATGACCTCTGTAGCGAGCAGCCCGGATTCAGAGCATAGGAGTGTCAAGGTAAGTCAGCACGGCGGAAGAGCTCGTCTTAGATGACCAACGCCGTCCAGATCTTTTCTTCGCATGATCCAGCATGCGACCAGGTGAGCAAAAGCTGGTCCTCTCCGCCCGCAGTCCCCAGCTTTTGTGGAATTGGGCCAAGAGCCACCCATGACGCTAAGAATTAGCGCAGTGCAGGATCAAGAAGATTGGTTGCGGCCGTGAGCTGCCGGCCTGCTCCAACTGTGTCAAGGCCGGCGTCGAATGTGTGAGGTCCAACAAAGGCAAGAGGCCGAACCAGACAAATAAACTGTAGGGCACGGTCTATCCCTAATCGTGCGTCCACTTTTGCCGTCCCCAAAGCTGACGCGTAGTGCACAGAGTCAACGACTTTGAGCAGTTCGGTAATCGACTCGGAAGCCTCGAAAAGAATGTATTGCTCATCCACGAGCGACTGGACGAGTTTCTCAAGGGCCTGCCGAGTCAGCAGCACGGCACGCCTACCGACGATGGGCAAGACAGCCGCAGAAGGGCAACATTGGCGCCGGCATCCGCCATGCACAAGGCAATCGTGACTAGCCCAATGGGATGTGAGGATTTCGCACCGCCCGACGACGACCTGTCCCCGGATGCGATTGGCAGTACCCAGCACTACTCCGGCGGCAGTTCGTTGATGTCGTTGTTCGAGGACGCCGATGAGAAAATCAACAAGAATCTGGAGGCCTTCAGGCCCAAAGCTTCTGTTCGAGATATCCTTGCCCGGAGTCAACGGCCTCAGCCGTCGCCTCCACCGCCACCTTTGCTAGATGGCTTTATGGCCTTCAAGGCCGAGGTGTACCAAGGGCTGTCGCTCTCTGCGCATGCATTCCATCTTGATCTTTCCAACGATGGCGCTGCACTGCAGCTCCCTCCAAGACGGCTACTCGAGCCCATCATCGAACCCTACTTCCGACACGTTGCACCAGTTACCCCAGTGGTCGCCCGGAAACCGTGTGTGGAGGCTATCGACAGGCATTACTCGTCTGAAGCATCAGATCAAGACCTAGAGCCGGCATGGATCATACTATTCAACTACATGATTCTAGTTTGCTTTGTCGGACAATACATGCCCCTTGATAGGCCAAGCAGCGACCTCGACATCGTGTCCGTCACCCAGTTCGAGAAGCCATTTATAGTCAACGTTCGTCGTGCATTTTCGGGGCTTGACAGACTCCTCGCGCCGAAGCTTGTCAACCTCCAAGCACTAGTAGCTCTGGTAGGAACAAATGGACGTCATCACCCTGATCAATCATTCTAACTTGACTGTTGATAGACATACATCTCTCAGAAATATTTCTCAGAGCACGTTACGCAATACCTTCTCAACCAAGCCTGTTTCGTGGGCAAGGCTCTCGGTCTACACAGGAGATACTCGCGCGAGCAACTGACGGCCGACGAACACGACGAGAGGAGGCGGGTCTTTTGGTGCTTGTTCATCACTGATAAGGACGTTTCCCTACTGCTCGGTACTCCGCCAAATCTTCACCACTACGACTGCGACGTCACGTATCCACGGCAGATCACTCACGACTTTCGCCGCCGCATTGACTCGAGTTTGATCCTGGGCAAGGTGTACATCCTTCTCTACTCGCCAGCCGCAAGCCGCACGCTGGCACAGAAATTGGAGGACAGCATTGATGAGCTCCTGGATGATATCGACGGGTTCCAGCGAAATGTAGAGGACGTCGCCTCCAATGAAACAGATTTGAATCGACGAGCATGGCAGTACCTGATGCTCGAGCAAACGCACACCCTCCATCACGCGCGCGTCATGGTGCTGCGCCGTAGCTCCAGACCGGCTCTCTACGCACTCCGACTTGCCGAGGCGAGACAAGCTATCCAGACAATGGCTAGGGTTCACATTGCTAGAACGACAGTAGGCGGCTTCATGGTTCTAAGACGGTAACCCTACTTCTTCCGCCGAAGCTTGATTGTACAAGTGCTGACTTTCTGAGATAGTCCGTTTCAATGGCGGCCCTTTGTGTCCTTCTTCGAACTTCTCCCCAAGATCTTCACCTACCCTATCATGAATGAGCAACTGAGCGACCTGACTCTTCTCCAAGAGCTGGTGGATGTTCTTCGTATTGTCGCACCTGCGGACGGCCCCTTTTCGTACTGCGGAAAGCTGCTCCGCATCGCCGCGGGCTGCGTGACCATCGCGAGCGAGTTCTCCCAGCTGTGCCTGCGTCATCAGAACGTTGACAGCACGAGACTCACCCAGACCGTGACCAGCCCGGAGTCGCATAGAAAACGCAAGACAAGCCCGGGGGGTATTCCGGGTAGTGCCCAGGCAAGCAAGATCCGGAGCGCTGGACCCCATGGCCAACATCACGCTGATCACGGGGTATCCAACGCTGAACACGGAGTGTCCATCCCACTCGTTGGAGGACACGTGGTAGGGCCGAGCTCGATGGTCAGCACGGGGCTGCCGACCGAGTTCACGCCGCCAGCAGATGCCATGGGTATTTCTGGGACAGGATTTGATATGTTTGAAGGCAATAGCCTGACGGACATGTTCCCTGGCTGGCCCAGGCCCAATTCGGACAACTTATCATTTCTGAGCGAAGGGTTCTTTTGGGGAGATGACGACGGGTTCAATTCTCGGCAGGTTTGACGGAGAGCGACATACATACGGAACAGGGGGATTGGATGGTAAAAGCTTTAGTTTAATTAATAATGCCCCCTGATGACAGGAATATTTTACATCCCACTGGCATTAATACATGGTCAGAAAGAGATCAAAATGATTTAATAATCCCCCACAACATTCCACTGATTCTTCTATGTTTCGAGTTGGGCCTCCCAACACTTGGGGCCTCCCGTTCCGACAGATATTAGGATGAGTCAACGTGGTCAAGATGGTACAGAGGCTCCAGGCGCGCAGTCTTGTCAAACATGAAGTAGCGGCGCACAAAGTACGGCGCCGCCTTGCGGATCTGGTGGCGTATGAAAGTCCGCGTGGGCACGCCAAAAACGTAGTCGAGCTCCTCAAGGGTGCGCTTCTTGGTCTCGGGCACGAAGAAGAAAATGAGGAACCAACAGAGGACGTTCAGTCCCGCGTAGAAGCCAAACGCCCCCTTGACGGTAAAGGCAGCCGCGATGCGGAAATAAGTCAGCGACAGGATGAAGCCCCAGAAGTTGATGCTGGCCACGGCCCAGCTCATGCCCACCTCGCGATGCGAGAGCGGGAAGACCTCGGCGCTGTAGGTGAAGGGCACCGGCCCGGCTCCGGGGGAGTAGCAGATGGAGAACAGGTAGATGAAGAAGGCGATGAGTCCCAGGTGCGCATTGCTGCTCTCTGGCACATAGAAGCACATAGCCGTCGCGATGAGCATTACTGCCATGAGAGGGAAGGTGGCGAGTAGTAGGCTGCGACGTCCGAACTGGTCAATCAACTTGACGGCCGGGAATGCAAATATAAAGTTGATGGCGCCGAAGCCGAAGGAGAAGAAGAGTGCTGCCAGTGCCGATGCCCCCGCCGAGCTGAAGACGGAGGAGCTGTAGTAGCTGATGATATTGATGCCGCACATCTGAGGTTTGGGTTTCAGCTAATTAGTCTATTTCATCGGTGACATGGCTGCGTGGCAAATTTACATACCTGCTGAGACATCATGACGATGAAGGATGCCAGAGTTGCCCGGCGATTACGCGGCACAGTGAAAAGCTCCGTGAATCTCTTCAGGTAGTTGCTAGTACGCTTCACAAGCGTGGCCTCGACCTCGAGCTGTGCATGCATGTAGTAGAGATCGCGCGCAGCTTGGAGAGGGGTCTTCCGAAGACGGCAGAGTGACTTGTATGCGTCCCCGACACGACCCTTCTTCATGTACCAGCGTGGAGACTCAGGGCAACAGTAAATCTGTTTGGGGACAGTTAGCTATTTCTCCGTCCCATCTGAATAAAAAGCACTTACAAAAGCAGCTAAAGGCACCGCGGGAAGGAATGCCGAGGCGAGCTGGAATCTCCAAGCAAGATCTCCTACACGGTAGAACACCAGGTTGGCAGCGAATCCCAACATGATGCCCATGGCTGTGTACATCTGCCACGACATGACCAGACCACCACGGATGTAGTGAGGCGAGTTCTCGGCCGCGAACACGGGGATGATGGAGGCCTTACACCCCCAGCCGATGCCGAGAAGCAGTCGGCACACAAACAGCTGCTCCCAATTCTGGCAAAATGCTTGGCAGAGAACTGGAAAGATGCAAAAGATTGCCGAGAAGAAGATGGTCCCTCGCCGGCCGACGTAGTTGTTGATGGGATCCGAGAGCCAACAGCCGAGAAAAGGCGCGCTGATGTGCGGCGAGCCGTTGACGAGACCGAGCAGCCATTGGTTGCGCTCGAAGTTGGGCGTGCCGGCGGCAGGGTTGATGCCAAACTCCTTGGGGAACGAAAGATTGGCACCATTGGCGCCTGTCTGGTCCCAACCTCTATGTGCAAGAAAGAAGGCTGCGTCAGTGCCTGAGTCAGAGTGAATACAGCCATGGTAACCTACTGGACGGCGGCTCCAATGGAGCAGAGCACGATCGTCATGTAGAGACCCTTCGTTTGTCTCCATTTGTGCTCGCGCTCATAGCGTAAGGCCTCGAGGTCTGCTTCATCGAGCTCAGGAATGCTCTCAAAGTCGTGGTTCTGGGCAATGAGGGCGCCCTTGCGCAGCAGAGTAAGGGTGTCTTCCATGCCAGTGCCTTGCGCAAAAGCGTCAACTTCCTTCAGCAGCTGCTCCTTAGTAAGATGAGCGAGGGGGTTCTGGATGCTGTAATATCATCGAATTAGTGTCATTGTCATTGACTTGTTCACGACACATGCAACGAATACCCACGCGGCTGAGATGTTGTGGTTGATGTCCACATGTTGCTTCTTCTCGAGCTTCGGCTTCTCATCTGCGACCGTGGGGCTGTTGCCATCATCGTCTACCTGATCGATGGCCATCTTGTTCTCCGTTCTGCCGTCCATATGTTCGATATGCTATGATAATGGTAGAAACACGCGCCCCTCAGAGATATGTGCCTGCAGTGATCAGGTCGTGATATGACATGGTGGAGAAATATAAACAAAGCGGATAGCCTGGAAAGCAGCTCCCTCGCCTTGCAGGGGAGCAGTCTGGCACGTTGATGATTATCGGGGTCCACGGATGACGGCGTCCAGGGCCCCGACTACCACCTTACATGTATGTTGTGAAGGATGTGGCAGTCTTAGCGAGATGGCGACCCCGCTTTCCGAACTGGGAGCCATCCTGACAGCTTGAGGTGTGTGAAGTTTCGCTTTTTGCAACTACTACATGTTTCCTCAAGATTTTCTCTATGAGCCTGGGAGATAGAGCCTTCGCAGAAGTTCAGCTTGGTGACGGATAGCCAGTTGTACCCCGCATCCCGCATTACCCCAACCGGCGCCGTCATCCATCGTGCCGTGCTTGGCGTGCCCATGAGACTAGCTCTCCGGGCGCCGGGCTCCGTACTCCGTGCGTCAACCGTCACAAAGAACACAACGAGCATAACGTGACGAGCTGTATAACTCAGCGTTTACGTGTGCTCTTAAGACGTAACCCGGACCAGTGCCAAGAGCCGCTTTTGTGGCAGAAGTCCTAACCTGTTCCAGCGGAGAGGACGAAAGAAATGGCACATGGCAACGGAATTGACGCTGCAGGTGCCCCCGGCCCGGTATTCAACGTGCTCTTTGTGGGCGCCGGCGGCATCGTGTTTGGTAACGACTGGGTGCGGTGGAATCACAGTGCTCACCTCGAGCGGATTCTTGGCCGTCGGCTACGAGTTGTAGGAATCGTCGATCCTAGTCGCGAACGGTTCGAATGGGTAATGCCCCGGAAGGAAGCCTCACTGGCCAAAGAATGCTATGCTGCGACACAGCACTACATCTCGGTGCAACAGGCAGCCGATGACCGCAAGGCCACTGACGAGGACTCAAAGACTGGCCCTGTTCACCTTATCATGTTGGCGTCGCCGCCGCAATTCCGGGGCACGACATTGCCGGGGGCGGATCTGGAGAAACAGCTAGTTGCCGCCTTTGGGTCTGGCCCGGCGATCTTTGCCGAGAAGCCAGTTACGACCGGGTCAGCCGATGAGGCCTACGCAGTGGCGCGTAGCTTGAGCGCATCCGGCAACCTCGTCGGTGTAGGTTACATGCTGCGCTATCTCAAGGTGGTGCAGAAGGCAGCACGAATCATCCGCGATAACAATCTAGTTGTCATGAGCGTGACAGCGCGTTATGTGACGGCTTACGCAAAAATGCGAAAGGCAGAGTGGTGGAACAAGGAAACACAAGGAGGACCGATTGTCGAGCAGGCCACGCACTTCTGCGACCTTTGTCGCTATCTCGGCGGCGAGGTGGTCATGGATTCTGTCCGGGCCACTGCTTTAGAACACGATGAAAAGGCAGGCAAACTGAGTCATTTCACGGATGCGATCCAGGAAGATACGATACCAGCTGCGAAAAGAATTCCCAGAGTCACTTCTGCCTTCTGGTAAGTCATTGGTCGAGCTCCCCGTATGCGCACAACTAGTTCGTCGAGCTCATCACAATCATGCTTCAGGAAATATGACAGCGGTGCAATAGGAAGTCTCAATCATATCATCGCTCTCCACGGTATCACCTACTCGAACGAGATCGACGTGGTTGCCGATGGATACCAGATGAGGCTCGTGGATCTATACAATGAACCAAAGCTGTTTGTCAGGTACGGCAGAACAATAGGACGTGGCCGCAAGACAAAGCTAATTGCAAGTCAGATATCCGAGCAATGAGAAAGAGGCGGAATACTACTATTCAGGTGACGATCCATTCTACAACGAGCTGGCCGCTATTTGCTGCGCCCAAGATAGGAAGATCAACGCAGGGGAGACCAGGCCGGCAACCAACAACGTACAGGACGGAGCGAATGTTGAAGGTGATGACCTTCTCCCGAACCGGATCCTGAGCTCATTTGAGGACGCAACGAAGACATATGAATTCAGTTGGAAAATCAGGCTAGAAAGTGAGAAGAATAGACTCTAGATGAAGAGATAGCGAGATCGATTTCCTATACATTTTTGGAGAAAAATAGAAGCAACAAAAATCTGCTCAAAGAAACACCAGGTCAGTCTATCTATGATGGTGAAGAGGATTTACTATTCGAACATACTGTAGTCGACTGGATTGGGATTTAGGTGCAGTTTCAAAAGGGCGCGTGCTGTAGTGGGAAGGGCGTGGGCTCCACACTCACAGTTCAAATAGTGAACAAAGTCAATTCCTCGATGTATGATCACTCGACCTTTCTCTACCTAGTTGAAACCTGTATTTGACACCCTACTCCTGGTTGTGACATCGCGATTGACTAGGCTTCCTTGAATCTTCCGACCTGACTACGTTATGGCAGTCGACGAGCCAATGCATGCCCCTGACAAACAGAAGTGTTTGACGGAAGACTGCCAGAATGAGGCTGGCACCTTACAATGTCCTACCTGCCTAAAGTTGGGCATCAAGAGCAGCTACTTCTGCTCTCAAGATTGCTTCAAGAAGAACTGGGTATGTAGGGTATTCTCCTTCATATGCGCCATTCGCTGACTACCTCAAATGCAAAGAATGAACACAAAGCTTTGCACAAGACGGGAACTGCTGAGCTCTACAACCCTTACCCGACTTATGCGTTCACCGGATCCACGAGACCTGTACATCCACTCTCTGCAAGACGCACCGTACCCAAGTCTATTCCCCACCCCGAATATGCCAAGAGCGGCATTCCCAGCGGTGAACGGTACCTCAATAGGTCGAAAGTTGACCTCCTGGACGCCAAGGGCCAAGAGGCAATGCGCAAGGTCAGCAGACTAGCACGAGAGGTGTTGGATATCGTTGCAGCAGAGATAAGACCCGGTGTGACTACCGACTACCTTGATGAGGTCTGCCACAAAGCATGCCTAGAGCGGGACGTGAGTTCTCAACACTCTCCAAGCATATTCGTCATCCTTACCTTGGCAGTCATATCCCTCTCCATTGAACTACAACTTCTTTCCCAAGTCTATATGCACCTCTGTCAACGAGGTCATATGCCATGGTATACCTGATCAGAGGAAATTAGAGGATGGAGACATCATCAATCTCGATGTCACATTATACCACGAAGGGTATCACTCTGACCTCAACGCAGCATATTATGTGGGTGACAAGGCAAAGGCAGACCCAGACTCAGTCCGGGTAGTGGAAACCGCGAGGGAATGCTTGGATGAGGCAATCAAGCTGGTGAAACCGGGCACACCCTTACGCGAGATCGGTAACGCCGTCGAGAAATATGCCAAGTCCAAGGGATGCTCCGTCGTGAGGACCTGGGGTGGTCATGGTATCAATTCTACCTTTCATGCTTCACCCTTCGTACCGCATTATGCAAAGAACAAGGCCGTGGGTGTGTGCAAACCTGGCATGACCTTTACGATTGAGCCGGCTATCGCATTAGGGAAGTATCGGGATATAACCTGGCCAGACAATTGGACCAACACTACCATTGATGGTAAAAGGGCTGCTCAATTTGGTACGTCACGTTCTTCTCAATACTTACTCTAATGCTGACAATTGTACAGAGCACACTTTGCTAGTCACGGAAACGGGAGTGGAAGTTTTGACAGCACCTACTGAGAAGTCACCTGGAGGGCCGGTCCCCATGCCAGTAGCAAGTTGCTCATGATTAGTTATTGCAGAAAGGCACTGTATCTCAGGGCTCTGGAAATCCCTGTCAAGGATGGGTTTATGCTTGAGGTCTGGTTTTGGCTAGCCTGAGTCATCCAGCTCCTAGACACGGTTGTGTCTGAGAATATGCTCTTTGGGCTATTCTGTTACAATCATTTATACGTGAAACATTCCAGTACTTTGACAGGCGCTTCAATTTAGACTTGACATGTGACAGCTTCAACCCTTTGGTTATGGCAAGAATTGAACCAGATAAACATGGGTCCGGAGGTCGGGCGCCGTCCCCGAGTGTGCGGCGCGGAACCCCCACGCCGAAATGTCCTACTGCAGTCGGGAAAGAAACCGACCACATACTACTCGAAACGACAATTTATCCACATAGCGGCGTGGGACCATGGATCCATGCTCCCGGATATTGGTATTCGTCGGTCTGAACTTTAACCCAATAAGGACAGACGCTGTCCCCGTCTTCACGGCTGCTGATCTGACCACCTGGTGTATTTAAATCGCTGTATAACCATCGGGAGGAGAACAGATCTCGTCTCATCCCCGACCTCAGCTTACTGTCATTACTAATCATCATCCCGAAGTCACGATGGCGCCATCATCTCGCCCCAACATCCTCTTCGTCATGGCGGACGATCACGCCGCCAAGAGTATATCTGCATATGGCGCTGGCATTAACCATACGCCGCACCTGGACCGCTTGGCGAAGGAAGGCATGCTGTTCAACCACTGCTACGTCACGAACAGTATCTGTACCCCCTCCCGGGCGACCATCCTCACCGGCACTCACAATCATGTAAACGATGTGATGACGCTCGACAGCGAGCTCAACAATCGACTACCAAACGTGGCCAAGGCCATGAGAACTGGAGGATATGCTACCGCCATGTACGGAAAGTGGCATTTAGGAGAGGGAATACGACACGAGCCGACCGGTTTTGATGACTGGGCGGTGATCCCGGGCCAGGGCGAGTATTGGGATCCAGCCTTTATTACCGAGTCCGGCACGAGCAACATCCCAGGGTATGCGACGGACATCATTACCGACAAGAGCCTGGACTTTATCAAAAAGACCCGCGAGGCGGACCCATCCAGGCCCTTCTTTGTCATGTGCCAGCACAAGGCACCCCATCGGAGCTGGGAGTGTGACGACAAGCACAAAGAGCTCTACAAGGACCCGATCCGACTACCGGATACCTTCACAGACGACTACAAGAATCGCGCGCGGGCAGCCAAGATAGCCAAGATGCGTATCGCAGATGACCTGACCTACTTCGACTTGGGTCTCGTCCAGCCCGACGGTGGCTCGCGGCACGGCCTTGGGGACAAGATGGTGAACACTTGGTTCTTTACAGACCGCAAGATTCTCGTGCCTGAGGACATCACTAAGCTCAAGCTCATCGACAAAGAAGACGGTACGGTCTTTACGTTCAAGACGGAGGGCGAATTGACAGAGTTCAAGTTCCAGCGCTATATGCAACGGTACCTCCGTACTATTCAAAGCATTGACGACAACATGGGTCGGATGCTTGACTATTTGGAGGCCGAAGGAATAGCAGACAATACAGTTGTTATCTATACCAGTGATCAGGGATTCTTCCTTGGTGAGCACGGCTGGTTTGATAAGCGCTTTATGTACGAAGAAAGCTTTCAGATGCCATTCCTCATCCGATATCCGAAAGAAATCGGAAAGGGGACGGTCTGCAATGATATCATCAGCAATGTTGATTTTGCACCAACATTCCTGGATCTCGCGGGGCTGAAAGTGCCGTCGTATATGCAGGGCGTTTCGTTTAGACAGCTCTTAAACGGAAACACCCCGGCAGGATGGCAGCAGGTCGCATACCACCGGTATTGGATGCACAATGATATCATACACTGCGCATATGCGCATTATGGGATCAGAAACCAGAGATACAAGTTGATCTATTGGTACAATGAGGACTTTGGCATCGAGGGTGCCAGGCCGGCTGACGCCGATCACAAGGAGTGGGAGTTGTTCGACTGCCAAGAAGACCCATTGGAGCTGTTCAACTGCTATCACGACGCCAAGTATGCCGATGTTGTCAAAGAGATGATGGCACTGCTGGAAGACAAGATGGTCGAGATCGGAGACGTTCCCGTACACTTTGGTCACTGGACCAAGTCTAAACGTCCCCGGCAGGTGGAGGAGGCTGGATTTTCTTGCAAATATTAAGGGGCGTCTGTTTCACTACATATATTTCGTTTTTCTACAAAATGGAGTTGGTCGAGAATCAGATATCCCGTATCAAGAGACTTCTAAGCTTCCGTTGCGTGTCCCTGCCTCAACAAAGGTTGAAGAAATGTATCGATAGATCCATGAAGTCAGTCTGACTCCGGCCTGCAACGCACACATAAAGGAAAACCAGTTCGATCGATTTTGTCACCCTCCTGGCATTTTGTCCGCGAAGATTCCATACCCGATTTCCACGCCTTCTTCCATGAATCATTCAACTGATCTTCATGTACTTCGCCGCAAATTCCAATGCAGCCGTGTATCCGTATACCCCCATCCCGCAGACCACGGCCACCGCTTTGTCCTGGAAGTAGCTATGATGCCGGAAGGTCTCACGAGCATGCACATTAGAAACGTGCAGTTCCACGAAGGGGATCGCCACTCCTAGAAGAGCATCTCGTATGGCGACGCTTGTGTGGGTGAAGGCTCCAGGGTTGATGATGATGGCATCGACGCCTTCTGTGCGGGCTTGCTGGATCCGGTCGATGATGGCGCCTTCCCAATTCGATTGGAAGGCATCGAGACTGACATCGAGGTCGACAGCTTGTTTTTGGGCAGCGTCTACCACGTCTTGAAGTGTGGTATTACCGTAGATATGCGGCTCACGAGTGCCCAGGAGGTTCAGATTCGGGCCATTGATGAGAAGAATCTTGCGACCCATGATGAGATGCGAGTCTTTTACCTAAGGGAGGACTGAGTCAGAAGAACAGATATGAAGCCTAGATTTCGAACCACGAGTTGACGAAGCCTGGACTGTATATGAGAGAGCAAAGCGCATTACCGGAATGCTTGAAAGTGATGGTGGGTGGATCCGGATAAGGCTTTACCCGCCGGGCGGGCGGTGCCATTTGCTCGGTCCAGTCCGCTATCATCAGGCCAACACCGGATTCCCCGGCGAGAGCAGGCAGCCGTCACACAACGACGTGTACTACGAGAATCCGCATGTGTGCTTCTCGCTGGCCGTCAACGGCGTGCCCGTTGACTGCTCGCCCGAAAGTGGCTCCATCAAGGGGTGGCCAAACTACACGGCGGACCAAGGACGGATCGTGCTCAACCTCATTTATTTCACGGACTGGTACCGGTGCACAATGCACACAAGTTCTCGAGCTTCACACCGGCGTCGCTCGAGGGCCGGAAGCTCTTCCTTGATCGCCGACGAATTTGTCGACGACGGCGAGCTGGACCACCTGGACATTGTGGCACACGCGGTTTTGGGCAGGATGATAAGCGAGAGGAGCGATCGTCGCCTTTCTTTAATTGTTTCTCACAGGTTCATGCGAATTCTGGTCGGACCTAGGAGAGACTAGACAGGGATGGCTAATGCGAAGGGCCCGGCCATCGCGGACGGATTTTTAAAAATCGTGGTAATACCAAGTGGTCGCAGGATAGCATTTCGGTCTCGCCGTACTCGTACTCGGGTCCAGGACAGCGTTCCTGCAGATCCCAACAAGAGTGAGCCGGTCGGATTGAAGTATCAGGTGGCCACTTGCTCTTCACATCTTCACGTGCGACCTCGGAGGCGCGTCCTGTCTGATGCTTTGGTCGTACAAATCCGACCTACAAGACAAGACATTCGAAAAGGGTCGTGGGCAACTTCGTGGGTGTGACAGCAGATTGTTGTGGACTCTCGCAGCGAAAACGAAAATGCGTCCGTGGTATCATTCCGGGACCGGCCTGCTCTTGGCGCTGTTCACGACGACAAGCGTGACCGCTGCCGTCTCATCAGAGACACTTGCTGCGTGCGTGAAGCTCTTTGAGGCCTACCCAAAGCAGCTGGTCTGGGATCCGCTTGGTCCCAAGGGCATAGCTACGGTCTTGAATGCGAGCATCTACCAGTCGGCTAACACCGAGTACTGGAATGCCGAGAGCTCCAACAACCGTGCTGCTTGCCTGTTCCTGCCCGGCAATGCCCACGATGTCTCGTTCGCGGTCAAGACCCTCAATGCGCACCCGACTGTGGCGTTCGCGCTGAAGAGCGGTGGCCACAATCCCAATCTGGGCTTCTCCAGTGTCGACGAGGGCGTTCTCATCTCCTTCCGGCCCAATTCGCAGTACGCCATCCCCGCGGCGGACCAGGAGACTGTCGAGGTCGGTGCTGGTGCAAAATGGGAGGACGTCTACGCTGTGCTGCAGCCGCTGAACAAAGCGGCAGTGGGTGGCCGCCTGGGTGATATCGGCGTCACTGGCTTTACCATTGGAGGCGGCCTTTCATATCTCTCATCTCAATATGTAAGTATCTGAAAGCTTCGATGGATTGCAATATCAAAGCTGAACGCAGCGACGTACATGTAGGGGATGGCTTGCGACAATGTGGTCAATTTCGAATGTGTTCTGGCTAATGGCACCATCGTCAATGCCAATGCCACCTCTCATCCGGAACTGTTCTTCGCCCTTCGTGGAGGTGGAAACCAATATGCCGTAATCACCAAGATGACTCTCAAGACTCACAACATCGGTACTGAGGGCATGGTCTGGGGCGGCACCCGCTTCTACACCGCCGATAAGCATCCCGCTGTTCTCTCTGCCGTTTCGAACTTCACCGCCAACAACAAGGACCCAAAGGCAGCCCTGATTCCTACGTTCAACTTTATTGGAGCCGCCGGGATCGACGTTCCAGCTATCGTTGTCTTCTATTTCTATGACGCAGCGCAGCCAGCGGCTGGTATCTTCGATGAACTGGACGCGATTCATGAGCTATCAGACGGTGTGAAGACTCTCACGTACGAAGACTTGACCAAAGAGAACAACTCTGGCAAGATTGAGGTCCTGCGCTTCCAGATCCGAATGAACACCTTCCCCAACATGCCGATGCCGAAGATGTCAACATTCCTGAACGACCACTTCACTACTGTCGAGAAGGCAACCGCGACTGGTTCCTTGCTTGACCCTCTCGACCTCAGGCTGTTCACCTTTACCGTCCAGCCCATGTCTCATTTGATTGCTCAGGCCTCTCAAAACGCAGGCAGCAACGCCCTCGGGCTTGATCCCACTGCGGGCGATCGGGTGTGGATGGAGTACGATATCGCATGGCTAAGCCCGTTATGCGATGAGCATTGCCCAGGCTTTGTTCGCACAATCTCTGATTCGCTTCACAATATGCATGAAAAGAACTACCCAGGAGTCTATCCGACCAACTACAAGAGCGGCAACCTGAAGGATGTCAGTTACAAGCCAATCTTCATGAACGACGCCATGTATGACCAGAGAGTGCTCCAAAGCTATGGGGAGGAGACATACCAGCGACTAAAGGCGACACATTCGGCGTATGACCTAGCCGGTTTCTTTGCTACGAGGCAGAAAGGATTTGGGTTCACAAATTGACAGTCACGGCTAGAGTCTCGGAGAATTGAGTCAAGTCGGATGCCTTTGGGACGAACAATGCTCCGCTCTATGAACTTTTGACGCGTGTGCCGATATGTCTAATGACCATGAGGACAATCTAAATAACGCCGGCACTTTGCAAATGCTTCCATGTATGCCCATGTACAAATATCACTTTACAGCGCAAGGTATGCGACAGCACCGGCGACCAGACCAGCGGCGCCCTTGGCCGCCGCTGTGACCGCAGCAGCGCCAGCAGTGGACGAGGAGCTAGAGCCCGACGAGCCCTGTGTCTTGGAACCGCTGGCACCACTGCTCCCACCCGAAGTTCCCGCCGTCGTCTCCTTTGTGCCCGTAATAATAACCGTCTTTCCAGGAGGGTTGCTCGAGATGCCGGTGCTCGTCACTTGCGTCTTGTCCTCGCCGCTCGAAGTGCTCGCCGAACTACCACCGGTGGCCGTAGGGGTGGTGGAGGCCTGGCCAACTCCGCTCGTAGTCGAAGCCGGGCCGGTGGAGGCACCGCTCGAGGGGGTCGAGGTGCTGGCGGCGGCGCCAAAGCCCGGGAGAAAGCTGGGCGTCACCGTCGCGGTGCCCTCGTAGGCAGCGCACCCCGGGACGGTGGTCTTGGGTGGGGCGCGGCCGCCGCCGCAGTCGAGCAGGGAGCAGATCTCGCCCGTGTCGGGGACGTAGTAGACGTAGGTGTTGCCCATCTGGGTGCGGGTGCAGCCGGCGAGGTCCGTCTTTGCGACGGCCGTGCCGGCAATGAGGCCGAGGAGGGCGAAGGAGGTCGAGGTCTTCATGTCGAGAGATTCTTTGCTGTTCGGTTCAAACGAGTGTGTCGGCGCAACTATTGCGTTCTTTTCGGAAGAGAATCAGAAGAACAAGGAAATAAAAGAAAGAGCCTAGAAATGAGCTGGACTTTTTGAGTAAACAGCCCTTCACACGTCCCCAGCTTTCAAGGCACGAGCTAGTACACCCGTAACCGTTCTGGGGCTGTGATGGAAATAACAGGCCAGGCGCCGAATTTTTTAGGGTACACGTTACTTGGGTCAAAGCATGGAACCAGCAGAACATTGAAGTACCAGCAACTTTTCTCCGGAAATTTGGTTCTTGGAACCGAGAACATGTCCGTGGGTGCCTGGCTTGTCTCGTAATGACGCTGCTAGCGCGCTATTTCAGGGGCTCAGGCCCATAAATTCTTGCACGCTCACTCCCTAGAAGGCGCTAAAAAGCTTCGCCTCCAGGCCTCGAGTCCTTCATTACGAGCACATTCAAATCTGACGTCTTCCACTAAGGACCTTTCATCAACATGACACACTCGTGCATCCACGCAGGGAATCACTGAACAGCCTTTTGATCTTAATATCCCAGACCTTCCGTGCTCATGTTCATGCACAAGATTCACAGGAGCCTCCCCAGCTTACAAGTAGACATAGCAGAATGGTGACCCGCCGACCGTGTTCATCAAGTCCTTGATCTTGACAGGTCCATTGAGTGGCGAGATGTCGACGGTGTCCTCTACCGTGACATTGGGACTTGGCGGCATGTTCTGCAACGTACTGGTGCCCCAAACCCCCTGCATCGTGTGTTAGAAGGCCGCCTGTTGCCAGTGTCAAAGCGGAAGGATAGGCCATGGGACTCACCTGTCGATGTTGGAAGTCCAGCATCTGCCAGATCCAGAATACCCGGTCAATCTGTGCGTGATGTAGGTAAAACCCAGGGTCACCTGGCGAGATGAAGGGATCCGCGCCTGGGTCACCGCCGATAGTGTAGTGGCCTCCGCCGTGGACGCCGAGCTGGCCGACCACGTACCGGTCATCGGCCTGCATGATCGCCTGGAACATCTCGACGTTGTTGTTCTCCAAGATCAGCTCCGTGGTGTTGCGAAATGATGTGAATGCCGACGCCACCCAGGCATTAAGATCACGCTTGAGGCAGCGCTCGTTGCCCTCGCCGAGAGGATTGGCCGAGCCGGTCCAGTTTGGGTTGCCGTACTGAGGCATGACGACGGTGCCCAGACGAACCTTAAGGTCCTTGAAAGGGCCCGATGTGACACAGCCAGAGCCAGTACCAGGTTGCAATTTTAGGACATTACCACTGAATGCCTGAGTGATCCATAGTCCCTCGTGAGGAGAATACGCTCCGTTGCCGCTGAGTGATGTATCGCTGCCATCAAAGACAGGCGAGCCAGCTGGATTGTGCACATCGAGTCCCCATTCCCAGTAAGGGAAGGTCCCTGCAGTGACTTGTCAGCAATGTCACAGGTCATGAAGTGCTCGTCTACCTTTGTAGCCGCAGACATCTCGCAGCTTTTGCTCATATGTCCACGTGAAGTAGCGGTGCCAGGTGAGGAATGTGGCCTGATCACTTTTGTCAGCCCCCAACACAAGATGTTCCACTTTGTTTGTGGCAGAGTATTACAGTCAGATGGATGTTTCCTGTCTGGAAAAGATGGATGGCCACAAAGTCGTCCCAAAGCGTCTTGGAAGCGGGAACAACAGCAGGATCCAGGAGACTTGGTGAACTCTGGAGACACTTGACGGCCGCAATAAACGCTCTACGCTCACTCTTCGGCAGAGTGCGCCTGGTAGAATACAAGCGATCGTCAGTAAACTTGGTCAGAATCACCTTGACTCTTGAAAACGTACCATTCTCTTCGAATGCGGATTTTATCCACTGTGCAGCCAGAATTGGCTCCCCTGGCAACAAGTCTCTTATGAAGCTGCTGTGAACTTTGCAGGGCTTCTGTGCTGAGCTGTGACAGTGCCTCTCCGTTGTCTATCTGTCCCTCTGAAAAGTCGCGCTTGACAGCGGCTGCAGCACGGACTGGCGGCGCCCCGACAAACAGCAGAGCGGCAAGCAACGCCCAAAGCGTGCACAGACGGGCGTTGAGCACCACTAACATGTTTGCTTGTGTAAATGGGCTGGGTGGCTCGGGACGTTAGGTGGCTTGTTCATGGCCAGTGCTTTGCTTCTTGATACCACCAAGGGACAGGCCATGGGCAAGAAGCGGTGAATATATAAACAACATAGACTGCATGCAAGACGACGCACCATGTGGCATGCAGGGATAGCCACGAGGGATAAGACGGAATGATCATGAAAGTTGAGCTTCCGACCAGTTGTTGTCGAGCCGCGTTTACCATGAGGGATATTGTGTCCGGGCTGAAAAGCAACATCATGACATTGAAAGCCAGGGTACCCGACTGGCTGTCGCCTCTGCCAATGTTGGAAAATGCAGACTCCCATTACGCGAGAGGATTCTAGCGAAGGCTACTGGACGCGTGACGCTGCACAGAAAGAAAAGTGTTGGGAGGCATGCAATGCAGAATAAGCTTCATGCAAATAAGACAACGCACAGAAGACACGGGAAGAATGCTTTTTCTTGTTGCCTTCAGCGCTGCCCCGTCCATCTAGCTTGCGAGTTTTGGCCATCTGTTTAGCGAAGTGTTTAGCGAAGGCTTTGCTGTGCCTCTCTTATGCGACTCCATATCCAAATGCAAATATGCATTGCGAGATGTTTCAAAAGCTTGATCAGACGTATGGAAACATCCCGCGCGTCTCCTTGCAATTTATCAAGAGACCTTTTGTCGCCTGGCACCAATGACACAGCACCCCAATATTCTGGAAAGCTCGGGTCCAGCTCAGCGTTTCCGCGGGTCAAACCCGGTAGAGCATGTCTCAGCTGCAGACGCTTTGACATTTGGCCAAAATGTAACCCACGGCCACGGTTGCAGGATGCAGAGTGGCGCTGCCCACGCGGGACAGAGTGCACCAATAGGAAGCTCGGTGACCACGACGAAATAGTGGCAGTGTCCGTAGCTGAATGCCAGGTCGCCGGGGCATAGGATCAACAAGTCAACGAGTCGGTGAGTCTCTGCCTCGGGGTGACCTTACCACGTCTTGACCGACGAATCTCGCGTGCCCTGTTGCCAGCCACCGCTGTGATGTGCGGGACGCATATGCATAGACGGCATGTAGGCGCCATTAAATCAGACGGAGAAGGTCGGGAACGAAGGAGGTGGTGACACTTGGTCGCGCATTCAATAATTCGATGCAGGGCCGGGAGACTGGGTGATCGATGCATTTGTGGGAAAACCAGCTAATGCTCATTAGCTCACAAAAGAGAAACCACCTTCTCAAGATATGGCTTATCCTAGCCACTACCTTCTGACGAATGGCCCCAGCCGAGCTTTCTGCGAGATGGATGGCAGCTCCATGCCGCTCGTTTTACAGAGCAGCCTAGCAACGGAAAATCTGACACATCTACCACGCCTCCAAAGTATTTTTTGCCACAGAGTTTGTAATGTTTGTCGTACAGTTTGCTGTACGGCAAACATAAGTATGAGTGTGGTTCCCCGGTGATACTGGCCCTTTTGACATTTGGTGCTCAATAGCGGCATGTCATCTGATAGTTCGATGTACGTGAGTAGGCGATGCGGTGACCATTGAGGCGTGAATCGTACACCCTTGTGATCAATGGCTTCCAGCTACTCATAGTCAAGTGAAGTCTACAACATAAAATCATGTTTTACTCCCGCCGCTGAATCTTTGAATACTCTCTATATATTTCTTTCATACTCCTAGTAAGGAACATTCCAGAGGTTATTCTGTACTATCAACACAATGATCAGGTCCATCTTCGCTATCGTCTTCATGACCCAGGCCGTATTGGCCAGGGTTTCCACAGTAGAACTTAGCGATCCTCCTACAAAACCCGTCATAACACCGGAATTCCACTGGTCAGAACTTGAGACCAATTTCGTGGCAGCACTCCCGCAAAACAACTTCCATATCGACTCGATGGATCATTCTTGGACCACAGATGCCTGCAAAAGTTTTGCTCAGTTGGCGCGCCTGGGTGTCTCAGACTATAGGCTCTTTAACGTCACGTACGATGATTGTCCGGAGCCTTGGGTATTTTGTCATCATACTGGAGCGATGGCTTCATTGGTAGACGTTGTTGAGGTCCGCATCATGAAAGCCGTGGGCTTTTCTCTATCAGACCACTCACTGTTTACAGACCTTTGGGCTCATACCGGTTGCAATGCGGCAATATGTTCCGTAGGCAAAACACGGAGCCCAGAATTATTACCAAATCCGCCTCGAAATGATGCTAATACTGACACCCAGGTCATTGATCGTCAGCCCCTACCTAAACGACAGTATACTTGCATCGAGCTCGGATGACGTCGTCAATATTCGGTGGAACGTCAACGTTTGGCTATTTGCACATGAACTGGGTCATAGCCTCGACTTCCATCATCACTTCGTACACAGCACAGGATCGCCAGATACGGGAAAGAACGTTAGTCAAAACTGCGTATCCCACAAAACGAGAAGCCAAGACAAACAAGAGCAGGGCAAACAGCCAGTTCAGTACTCAAAGAGCGAGGAATGGCGGCGCAGCGAAAAGCAAGATGACACTGTGGTTACACATTATGCTCGGCACACTTGGACGGAGCATTTTGCCGAGACAGCAGTGGCCGCAATGTACAATGTCCTCGTACCCAACGGCCTAGCGAAGCTTCACCCAAATGCAACACAGGTACATCATCAGGTCGAGCTATGGGAGAAGATGTTTGGTCACACAGCGACTCCAGGGGGACGATGCACCGGACGGCATGCTCACTCCCGAATCGTATGGAAGGAGGATAGAAAGGCCGGAAAGGCGAGGTTGCCTGCGCATGGGTTCATCTCAGCTGTGGCCATGCTTCCTGACGCACCGGAGGGGCCTCGCAAGAGCCCGTTTGTCACCCGCGCGAGGAATGTTTAAGTACTAATTATGAAACGATGAAACTCGAGATACGCGTAGAATCATGGACTTAAGGATCGAGTGCGGAGATTACGCATGGGAAAGAATCGCTGATATCTTGATAATGTCCAAATTGAGGAAGACTGTCACCTTGCCCTCTGCTCATAGATGCTCGATTACTCTGACTATTCCAAGGCGGACGAGATTCTTTGGTGCAGTGCGACGGGCTTATCTATGTTTCCTTGATTGGTAGGGTTCACTGGGATTCTATTTCTTGTTGGTTTCGGTCACGTCTTCACACATTCAGGGATACGAGGCGAGTCTTGAAACAAAATAATCGTATTCCTCGAATGGCCGGTTTGTACATGTTTTTTTTTTTTTTTTACATTGATAAGCTTCGAATCAAGCTTCACCTTTGAATAGACTATGAACCAGCTCGAATCCTTCAGGCAGATCGCTCCTTTTGACAATACGAAGCAAGATGTATCTGTGATGCAGTGGACTCGTAGTGCTGACAACGCACCATGTACAGACGTATTTGAAGACAATAATACCCTTGTCTCATCCCCTTTGTTCTTCCTTTAATGGTCCGCGGAACAAGAAGACCACCCGAGCCCCTCAATCAAGCCTCTTCACCATGTACACCGCCAAGTCCTGGGCAAACTCTCCATACTCCTTGATCAACTCCTTGAAGGCAGCAGACTTCATCAGAACCTCAACCTTGCATACCAGATACTCCACAACCAGGTCGCGCAGGCCGTACCTCTTGCCACCCTGCCGGCCCGTCTCCTCGTAGACATACTTTGTCAGGGCAACAAGATCGCCAATGCGCTGCGGGCAGACACAAAAGGTATCCTTGAGCGTCCAGTGCAGCTTGTGCATGGCCAGCTTCTCCAGCGCCGTGATGCCGTGGTAGTCGGCGAACACGACGAGCCGCGCGTGGCAGAGTAGCACCTCGGTCCAGTCGTGTGTCTCGCCGCGGGCCGTGTACGCCGATCCCGCGGTCCGGGCGTCGAGAAACCTGCGGCAGGTGTAGGTATCCCACATCTCCTCGCTCTTGCTCTTCTTGGGTGGCGTCGGGGTGTCCCACGCGTTCTTGTTGGGAAAGCCGGTGAAGGCAGTGTTGTTAGGGCGGGGAGTGCCGCCAAAGGGGTTTGCTGCCAGAGACTCGTCCTTCTTGGGCACCGGTGCCGGCGGGTCTGTAGCGACGCGGACGGGCAGCGGAGAGATGTAGTCGCCCTTGTAGGCATATTGGCAGAAGCGCAGAAAGGTCTGCTCGTCCATCTCTCCCCATGTGACGCAGCCCTCACGAGCCTCGCGCATCTCGCCATTGATGAGTCGGTCAAGCGATCGGGAGAGCTTGGATACAGCTGCCGAGTGCATGGTGTACTCTTTCTTTTCAGGCCCGACCACAAACCGGAATAGCCGGGAGGCCATGATGCTTGAGAGCTGTCAGTTTGCTGGTCATCAAGCAAAGAGGAAAGGGATATCAAGTTCACTCACCTTTGGTAGTCGAGCGTCATGGCGGCGGCTGCGACTTCAGGAACTTGCCAATTCGGTTGTTCGATATGTCACCCGCAAGGCGATCTTGTTCCCTGCAGAGGATAAGTGTTGCTGTGACGTCCCAGTGATTTTGGGGTCACTCGGCGTTGAAGATTCGCTGACTTTTATGTGATGTTGATAAACCAACCGCACTGGAAGAAACGCAGCTAAGAAGAAGAAGCGGTTGTGGTAGTGGCGCGCCCCTTTGGTTTTCAGCTTTGTTGGCGTGGCGCCTTTCGTGCAGGGTTCGCCACACGCACTGATGTATGTTTGGCGCGTATTTGTGCAACCGCCAATTCTTTGTTCCTGTTTGCTACATCCACAAGGCCTGGATTTGATTCACCCAGCCCAGTTATGCACATCGGGCGAATAGTTGAACACCGCCATGGGGTCCATATCCATCACACTGAGAGACGAGTCCATCCCCAGGCTTATGGGATAGTTTGGATCTAAATATGGGAAGGCGGGTATGTAACTGTTTACTGCGCTCATATCAATCTCACCTGGTGCCTCATGAACAGTGCTCGGCTGGGGAGGCCGACTAAGGCCTTTGATGATGATGTGAAGGCTGCGCTCGAGGCATGGACAATTGCCCTTTCCTGTGTTGAGAGCACGCAGAAAGGTCTTGAGCGTCGGATGCTCCATGCCCTGACCGCTCTTTGCTTCTTCGAGAACGGCAGAGGCGCCAGTGTAGATGCAGTAGCCCATCAGGTAGGTGATGTTCTCAAGGCCAAAGGTGGATTCAAGTAGGAGAACCAGCTTCTCGATGCTGCTTGCGGCGTCAATGCAAGTTTGGTAGTGTGTCGGGCTGGACCAGAACGGGCGATGCGCAAGAATTGTAGTGGTGAAGTACAAGATGCTGGAAGTGAAAAGGGTCAGCAAGGCGCAAGCATGGAGAGAACATAGGGAGAGATTCACTTTTGAGAGATGATATGAGGCGGTGGGCTAATAGGTGGGAGGTTATCAGGTTCGTATTTCAAATGAACCGGTGACTGCTCCCTCCAGAGCAGAAGACGCGACTCGATATCACCCAGAGCTTCCTCGGTGATGAGCCGGCTCCGGCGTGAATATAGCTGGACTATTATGTCGTTGATGATGATGGCTAGCCGACATGAGTTGACAAAGCCAGAGACAGAGTATCCGTTCATGGACGGATATTGGCCATGAATGGGTCTGGTGAGAGAAAGAGACCCATAATTTGGACACCATGGCTCACTGTCGGAATAATCATCAACTGAAACAAAATATTAGTTCAAAGAGGCGTCGAAGGGAACATTTGAGCCATCTGCTTACGCAGGTCCAGAGTGCTCTCATCAATCTCAGTGACAGCAGGGAGTCTTCCAGTGTAGAGACTGGTTGCTCTGTTATTGTCGTCTCGTCAGCAACCGTGAAGCTTGTCAAAGAAGGATTGGGGAGATTCAGATCACTCACTTATCCCAAAAATAACAGCTCCAGTACAGTCTCCTTCTGATCTCTAGGTCTACAGGCTTCAGACCCTTGATGTTTTCTCCACCGTGTTGCAGTCCCAGATCACTTGCCATCCGGAAAGCGATGCCACTGTATATCCAAGCTTGTGAAATTGTGCCATGAGCAATCGAACGAGCACTGAGTTGTAGCAGAGCTTGGACGGTCGGGATGGAACTGGGCTGCTGGATGGCTGCTCCCAGAAGGCTCTTGGCACGTGTTATCAGAGGCTCCGCGTAGTGTTTGTCGTGGTATTTTGCAGCATGCCCGCACATGATTGTGAGCAACAACTCGGAATAGTATGGCCCGCCCATTGTCATATCACCTAATTACCCAGAGAAAGAACTTAGCAACAAAGTAGAATGGGGTCAAAGGAATGAGCAGGGCATGCCATACGGATAAAGGCTGGTCGGTACACCCACATGAACATGGGCGAGATCCAAGTCCAATGCATGTGCAACAGCCTTGCCATCAGCTGCAGTGGAATACCTGTCGATGTAGATGCGCTACGCAATGCGAAATCCTCCCATGTAGCAGCCTCTTTTGCATGTGCGGCCAAGGACGACCGCACTTCTGCTCTCGCCGAAAGAGCGCTGCTGTCACTTGTGTCTGCGGGTTCCGGCACCGGCGGATCGTGTACTGCAGATGTCGGGCCATAGTAGAGGATCTTGCCGTGTGCATCAACGCTGAGCTCAGTATCGCCAGATTCGGCGGTACGGTTCGATCGGAAGACGTGTCGGGGCGCGTGCATCGATGATCCAGTGGTCGACAAGCCCACGTGGCTCGGAGGGAGTACCGAGTCATTCCCAGGGGGTATCCCCAGGGCTCCAGTCCGAGGCGGTGGAGGAGGCATGGCCTCGCTATCTTTACGGTGCTGGCGGTCCGCAGAGCCCGAGGGAGCGGCCCCACTCTGCCGGAGCTCGGCGATGGTACGCTCTGCCTCCTCCAGGCGCCGCGCCATGGCAGTTACCTGGGACATGGGTGGAGTCTCGTCGTACCTGCATTCGTCGTTGTAGACCTCACAGGTCTTACATGTGGGCCTGCTGCCCTCGCATCGCACCTTTTCTGGGTCAGCAGGATGGCAGCATTCCGGACACAGTCCGCGGAGAGGGAGAGAATGCTCACCTTCCTCGCGCGACAATTGGAGCAGGCCACGCCGCGGGCCTTTCGAGTGGATTGTTCCCGAGTGCCTCGCGAGCGCAGGCCTGTCTTGTCAAGGCGTCGGCCAGACCGTGCCCCTGGCTCAGAATTCTCCATTCTATTTGTGCGATATGAGTCTATGTTGAACCCAGTGAGCTCGAGAAATCGCACTCAATTTCGGACGTTGTCTCTCTACAAGAATATTGAGGAGAGATTGGTAAGGCAATCGAGGAACATTGCATGAAGAGGTCCATCCCGGGGAATATTCCCGCGGCGAGATCCCGTGGAGCGACGGGAATAAGACTTTCCCAGTCACCAGCACCCGCCCCATAACTTTGGTGAGGACTACGAGCTTAGACCTTTCCTCAATTGGCTGGGTTCTCTCACAGGATCATCGGAGGGCTTGAAGACTCCCCGAGCAAAATCCTCAGACTAATCTGGTACAGGTACAGGTGGAAGATTAACTCATCATCCTTAGTAGCTTATACAGAACTACTAATGCAGTTTAAACCATACCGGTCGATATCTACCATTCCAATGGTGAATGTTCAACAGAAGTTCTGCCACTAGAGCGTTGCGTTCACATTCATTCTGAAATCAGAGTCTCGTCTCCCTCAATGTCATGAGCAGTCATGGCTTGAAGACAGCCACGGGTGGCGATTGATTGCATGAGATGAGTCAGATAGCTTTTTGCTAATACACAAGAACGAGAGACAGCTTCTACTACAAACCGCCAGCTCAGGGCTTTCTTCAATTTGAGACACCCGTATTTTGTTGAGCAAGCGTGTCCGCCTTGAGAGCAGGTCTATCTGCTTTTCCTGCAGTAGTCTGTGCTGGAGGGTCAGATATACTCTTTCCATTCGTTTGTCGGTCTCGGTAGGGCAACTTACGCCACCGTCAACAGGCATGATCAGTCCGGTAATCCAGCCCGCCTCTTTGCTGGCGAGGAACAGAATAGCTGGAGAGGGCACATGTCAGCAAGTTGATCAAGAGGAACATACGAGCGCGACTTACCATAACCAACATCCCATCCGGTTCCTTCCTTCTTCATCAGGTTCTGGTTGATCCTTGCTTGCCTCATCTCATCCGTCATACCACGGCCGCGGGTCATTGGTGTGTAGACCATGCCGGGAGCGACACAGTTGACTCGGATATTCTCTTTGCCATGGTGCGCAGCCATTGCTCGTGTCATCTGGATGATAGCACCTTTGGTAGTAGGATACAGTAGGCTGGGATTCCCGCCGAGAACTGTAAAGGGTGTCAGTCTGTTCAACTTCACAGTCGGACTTGGCAATGGTCAGCACCCACGGCCGCTAACTGATGACATGTTCACGATCGAACCACGCCGGGCTTTTCTCATCTCCGGGATGGCAAACCGACTCATGAGAACCATGCTGGTGACATTGATGCGGAAGTCCCGGTCCCACGCTTCCAAATTTATCGTAGTTGCATCTCCCATTGCACCACCCACTCCAACTTTGAGCTCTTGTCAGCAGCCCATGTATCAATGCTAAACAAGCGAAATCAAAATAAACATACCAATGTTGACTAAGATGTGCACTGCTCCAAACAACTTTACGGTTTGCTCCACTGCGTTCTTGCAGGAGTCCTCGACCGTAACATCGGCTTGAATCACCTCTGATATGCCGCCCTCCTCATTGATCATGCGCTGCGTCTCCTTGGCCCAGTCCACATTGAAGTCGACCAGAGCAACCTTGGCGCCTTGCCGTGCTAGTAGAATGGCAGCTGCCCTCCCATTGCCAATTTCGCCTAAGAAAACGTATAAGCTGTTCCATTCACGAGGAGTCAAGAAATAGGGAAGGACTACCATCCATACGGGAACCGGCGCCCGTTACGATCGCAACATCCCCGCTGAAGTCGAAAGCTCTTGGCGGAATCATGGTTCAGATGTGATTTCTTTCGATGCAGATTGAACCAAGCACGCTGGCACGTAGCTTCTAGTAATATTCGATTCCAGGGAAGCACGGAAAGGATCAAGCACATACAGATCTGTTGTAGATTCTCGCGGGTTGGAATCAAGTGACAACTTGATTCTGTTATATTTCGATGCTGCGTTCGCTGCCTGTGTTGTCATCCTCCGGTGGCGACCCGTGGACAGTCAAAGTGCCCGCGGCTGACATCCCGCGGCTGCAATGAACACGCCCGTGACATATCTGCATGCTATGTATTTGAACCACAGTGACCTGGGTTAGTGTCCAATAGTCTCTCCAGTCATCTCCATGCTCCGCATAATCGATGGTGTAAAATTTGATCTCTTGGTGCCCGGTCCGGTCTGCCTACATAGTTCAGATCGGCCGCAATGGTGAAAGTCTCAGATTAAAAATGGCAATGGCATGGTAATAAACATTATCTACAATACAACCAAGGAACATGCGTCGAGCCTGAAATATGCTACTTCTGTGACAACCAAAAATCAAACCACCCTACAATCCCATTCAAGCTCTGTTCCTTGACCCATCCTGTAAAAGGGATTAGCACGCACGGGCTATCAAGGCATTGTTGGAGCAGTTGCGTGGTGTACTCACGTTGATATGGGTCATCAGGATCACCTCGGAGAGCAAAACCGTGCTCAACACCACCAAAGAGCTGATAATGGTATCTCTTATTGCCTACCTGCAGTATGTCCAATGCTCTCCGTCTTGATGCCACGTCAAATGTGTGGTCAATCTCGGAACATGATAGAAATAGAGGTTCTATGATACAACGTGTCAGCACGAAGCCACATGCTCTGAAGCAGTTGTAACCCACTCTTGAGATTTTTGAAATGATGTTCCTTAAGGAACGCCGGGTGCGCAAAGGCTCCAACGGCAACAGTGTTCCTTGCCAGCTCGTTGCACACATACGGTGCTCCGAAGCAGTAGCCTACGCAGGCAAACTTGGTGTCGGCCTTAGCATAACGGTCCTTTACCGCCTTGACCCAGACGGGTACTGCTTCATCTGCAAAGGCAGTATGCTTTCGTTTCCAAGCATCATAGTCGAAGTCTGGGTTGCTATGATCATGTCGGCTCTTACGATGTTTCCACACCGGGTCCTGATGGGTTTCGTCAGTGAGGATTACCATATGTGCCAACAACACTTCCGAGAACATACCCCACGGAAGTAGTCCAATCCTAACGTTAGATATCCGGCATCAGCAAAGGCATCCATTATCAAGAAGCCGTTTGGAAACATGCCCCAGACATCTGGGAAGTAGAGCAGGATATGACCATTCGCCTTCCCGTCCGGCGGCGTTGCAATGTACGTCTCAACGTCCGCGATTGTCTCCCACCGCCCTCGCGCTTCTCCCTTGTGAATGGCCCCCTTCAAACAGCAAGGTCCGCTTGGCTTAGCTAGATAATCATCTGAGCCGCCAAAGGACCCCTCCTGCTGGTCATCCTTCTTTTGTGTTGAGAAGACTTGGCCCATTGTTACAAGAAACCCGAGTGCTCATAACATCAGTCCGGCAGACAAGTTCGACTTGCGTAGCCGATACACTTGCAGAAACATACAGTTATAAGAAGTCCGGACTTTTCCCCTTGAGGCTGGGAGTCGCCACTGAGCCCAGGGCCTGATCTCCGCGGCGTGTGCCCGTGGCGGCGCTAGAGTGTGTCGAGGCTTATCCAATGGTATGGTGGGTATGGTTTCGGTTTATTATGATTCGTGAATCCCCGCTTCCTCCCCACATCCCTGCGAAATCGGGGATCCTGGGGTCGGTCTGGGGGTCCTTGCATTTATAAAGCCGACGATCCTCATGCGTCGCTGTGAAGAGTCCTCTCGCCAGTAATAGGGATGAGATACATCAGATAGGTTTCTCCATTGTCTCCAGCAACAAGACCACTTTGACACACCGAAGTCATGACGACGATAGCGAAGAACATGGCCGACCTTGTCGAGGACGACCACCCGAATAAGGACATCCAAGCGATGGACGCCGCTCAGCAGGAGCAAGCTGTAGGCTATAGAGAGTACCACGAAGCTCTCAGCCTCGAGGTGTCGGACAAAGAGGTAATAGCACATATGGGTGCTTGACTAGGTGCGCGGACAAATAAGTTTGGGCTAACACTAGAACCCCAGATGCGACGTCTCCGCTGGAAGCTCGATTTGACGATCCTTCCTATCTTCTTGATCACGCAGGCATTGCAATTCATGGACAAGACATCCCTGAATTACGCCAACCTCTTTGGTTACCAGGCTGCCTTGGGTCTTAAGGGAACTCAGTTCAACTACCTGTCCGCAAGTACGGTTAATCTTGCCATCCACCAGCTGATTCATTTCTGACGATGCCTGCAGTGGTCTATGCCGGTTACTTCTTTGGACAGTATCCCTGCGGGTGGCTCATCGGACGCTTCCCCGCCCAGAAGGTCATGGCCATCAGTATCATGATGTGGGGCCTGATGGTTGTCGTCATGACCCAAGCTCGCAGCTACTCGAGTGCCATGGCCGTTCGTTTCATCATGGGCATATTCGAAGCGGCTGTTACGCCGGGCCTGACGCTGATGACTGGCTTTTGGTACACCCGCCGCGAGATCCCGCTCCGCCAGTGCATCTGGTACTCGTCACTTGGTTGGGGAGGCATCATTGGATCATATATCTCTATGGGTGTCTCGAAGCTGCCTACTACCTTCAAGCCTGAGCGCTGGGAGTTGATCTTCTACATTCTTGGTGGTGTCACAATCATCTGGGCTATTTTCATCTGGTTTGCTCTGCCCGATTCGCCATCCAATGCCCGGTTCCTCAGCCACCGTGAGCGCCTTGTCGCCGTCCGCCGCGTCGCTAGCAACGAAACGGGCATCAAAAATAAGCATTTCGAGAAGAAGCAAATATGGGTTGGATTCACGGACCCAAAGACCATTCTTCTCTTCATCAGTGTTTTCGCTGCGTATGTCTCTCTCGATTCAAATCACCATGTTGCAAATGAAATAGATATTCGGGCATGTGCTGACATCCAGAATAGTGCTATTCCCAACGGTGTCGTCAATTCTTTCTCGACAATCATCATCCAGGATATGGGGTTCAGCACCACCAAGACAACAGAGCTAAAGTCTGTCGGTGATGCGGTGCAAATCGTTGCTCTTCTCATCGGAGGAACCGTCATTCTCAACGTTCGAAACTGTATGTCTTGCCTGATCGGCATATGCTTCGTCTGGAAACTAATAGCCCTACAGCGAGACTGATCACGGCCACGGTCGCAAATGCGCTTTGCACCATAGCCGCAGCGTGCATGGCTTTCCTCCCCCGATCTAACACTTGGGGCAGACTTGTGTGTTTCTGGCTGGTCAACTCGCAGTCGGTCGGTTTCACCGTATCTTTGACCACGATCTCCTCCAACATGGGTGGATACACTCACCGTTCTCTTGCTAGTGCCGTGGTATTGTAAGTCTCGCGGTACGAGTCTCACGAGAGTTTCGATATACTAACACATTCTTAGCACCGCCTATTGCTGGGGCAACTTTGCTGGTCCATTCGTAGTCAAGCCGTCCCAGGCCCCTCGCTATACAGGAGCCACCATTGGTCTTCTAGTCGGTTATGCTATCAAGCTTGGATGCCATCTTGGGCTACTGGGTAAGTTGAAAGATACTAGACGAAGGTATTACTTTATTAACTTTGGCGTCAAGGTTACATGTACTTCACCAACCGACATCGCGACAACACGTACGGGCCCGCAGACAAGGAAGCTAGTGACGAGGCAGGTATGAGAGATCAGACGGAGTTCGAGAATAAAAACTTTAGATACGTCCTCTAGGCCAATCTTCATCAGGCCGACTGATGCAGCAGAATCATCTTCAAGGTTCAACAATCATATAATTCCAAACCATTTGAATCGAAACATCGACTTCGCAAGTGTGGCTACTACCGCGCCTTGTCAATAGACATATATCTAGCTAATCAAATACATTTTCATCCTGCGTGGTCTTCCACTCCCCATTTTCAGGATTGTACTCCAACAGGTACTTCACCTGCGTGTTTGCCTCACTACTACTATATCTGTAGACAACCTCCAAGTTCGGCTCCCCATAATGGCCCATAAACTGTAACTCCAGTTTGAGCTCAGTGCCAGCCTCAAGCTCGCCCCGAAGGCCAATCACGAAGGGCTCAGACCGAACTGTCCGCCGGTTGTACGCCAGTCTGACCTCCTTGATAAACGAGGCCGGTGTGCCGTCGACATCCACACCGCGCACGACCAGCTGCGCTTTCCCGGGCCCTGCGGCCTCTATGCCGATGATCAGTTGGCGGCGCAGAACGAAAGACGGTATCGGGAAGCCGAGCTTGTCCATCACGCGCACCATGAGGTCGTCTGTGCGCGCAAAAACGCGCACGCCGGCACACGAATCCAGGGGCGTGCTCTGCAGATTGCAAATGGCCAGACTGCCCTTCTTGGACTCGCCCACAGCCTGCGGGATCTCGTTGGCTGGAGTGACCGTGCACGAGGATCCTAGCACGAGACATAAGTCCGCCCTGCGGGCATGCTGGTGTGCGAGCCGGAGGGCCTCTTCCGGCAGGCTCTCGCCAAAGTTGACGATGCTGTCGCGCAGGAAGCCGCCGCAGAGCGGGCACTTGCGGCCAGTGCGGTGGTAGGTAGCCGGCATGTGATCAGCTGCTACTGCGCGGAAGTCTGCATCATCACGCCATATGCATTTGTAAACCATATTGTCCAGGGAAAACGGGTGTAGACATGCAGATATCGATGTCTTCGAGCTTACCCCGGAGGTACTCCTTGCCGCAACTCTCGCAGTACTCGCGATTTGTATTGCCATGCAGCTCGGAGATCATGTCCTGTAACTCGCATGAGTAGGGCGACCTGGGACGGCGAATTTGATTAACTTATGCTCACCGGTGCAATCCCGCTTCTTCTGTGCAACCCATCGCAGTTTTGGCTGACAAGGTAATTGAGGACCCCTCGCTTCTGCAGCTCAACTAGTGCCATATGGGTAGGGGTCGGAATGGCCTGCAGTGTGTCGACAGTCTTTTCCGTTCGTTGCCTCCTCTGGGCCATCAACGTCCAGTGGCCATCCGGGCCTCTAAAATCCGGTATACCTACAGCTTGTGAGACTCGGTGTTCGCTCCAGGAGGCAAAGACGCTTACCCGCGGACGTCGAGATGCCAGCGCCAGTGTAGACAATGAAATGTTTGCTCTTCTTGATCTGTTCCGCCAGAACTCCGGCTTTTCGATCAACCACATCCAATTCCTCGAATCGCTCCGCCTCGGCAACCTTGGGTGCCGTGTTGGCCATCTCAGATGGTGGTCGCGGTTTGCACGAGACGCGGGGGAAGTAAAACTCAGATGAAGAGAGGACTACCCCAGCGGCGCATTGCCAAACATACACGACTGCTTTGCGAAGGAGGAATGTTTGTATTTATACTGAAGAAAAGGGTGCAAAAAGGACATAGATCTTACCTGAGAGGTCTTCCCATGTCACCAGTTGTGGATGTGAAGGCCCGTGCATCGTTGCGTGGCTGATCCGTTCATTTGTTCACAACTTGTCACAAATCAGGCAGCAGCACATGTCAGCAAAGGTACTCGAAATGGCTCCCAGCCAGTAAGATGTTCCATGAATGAAACACGTTAAACAGCAATACTAAAACCAACCAGTCTCAAAGCAATCTCGCCGTTAAGAAGCCAAACCAACCCGTCCAACACGACCCTCGCTACGTCAATCGCCGGCTTGAAGAGCCGCTCCCCACCGCCTCCACATCAGCATCCGGATCCGCAAACGGGTTCTCGGCGCTCGGCCTCCTTCCCGACCCGGCGGCAGATACCCCGGCCTGACTGCCAGAAGCAGTAGCCATGGCCGTCTGACCCTGCTGCTGCGGCTGCTGCGGATGGCCCTGAGCCGGCGGTAGGTTCTGCAGCCCGACGCCGGCCCCATTCGCATTCCCGTTCCCGTTCCCGTTTCCATTCCCGTGCCCAATCCCGTCCTTCCAGTCCCGCACCCGCAGCTGGCCCACCAGCATATTCGCCGCGGACCCCGTCGGCGCCGTCCACAGCACGGCCCTCCTGTACGCGTCCCACACGTCGCGCGGCTTGCCCCCGCCGAAGCGCCGCCAGCACCGCACCACCGACGCGCCGAGCGCCCACCAGGCGGCCGCGTACAGACAGAGCGGCAGGCCGAAGAGCAGCAGGACCAGCGACCAGAGCAGCACGAGCGGGTGCCACCTGCTCTGCGTGTACGCGCGCATGAGCCGGCCGGCCAGGCACCGCGGGGCCCTGGCGACCGGCACGGGCGCCGTCCGCGGCCCGCAGCGGACCGCCGTGTACGCCGTGCCGAGGGCGAGGTAGAGCAGCACGAGGGACCAGATGATGACGGCTCGCTCGGAGACGCTGAATCCTAAAGAGAACAAAATCAAGAGTCAGATTAGATCTTCTTTGCTAAAAAGGTCTTGAGAACTATTGGCGGGGGCGGGCAAAGAAAGGAGAGTCTCTCACCACCCAGGAAACCACCCCCCGGAGCCTTCTGACCCTTAGCGCAAAACGGCTTCAGATCCCGCGCCGCGAGCTGCCGCTTGTACGTCTCCTGGAACTCGCCGGGCAGGCGGCAGTAGCCCAGCATGTAGATGAGGTCGTACTCCTGCCGGCAGTCGGGCGTGGCCGGCACGTACTCGTACATGCGGAGGCCCTCGTCGTCGACGGCGCCGTCCTCGCGGAAGCCCGTCGGGATGGGCACGTAGTTGCCGTCGTAGATGAGCGCAAAGTCGGGCAGGATCTGGCGGTCCGGGATGCCGAAGGAGCCGAGCTGCGTGTGCGGCGAGTGGCTCGCCGAGTACACGGGCAGGCTGTCCCGGAAGCTCGACACGGACAGGGAATGGTTGGAGGAAGGCATGCTGCGCCGTGTTCGAGGTCGGGGACTACGTTTGTTCAAAGCACTTGAGTAGCGACAAAAAGACTGCGTGAGAACAAAAATAGAGATACTGTACGAAGAAGGGCAAGGAGGGGCTAGGTCCGAGGTGGCGAGCGGTCTATCTAAAGTTTGAGAAATCTTCTCATCAGCCCATGCATCCCGGACCTTGGGTACCACCAGATCTTGATCCGAGGTCTCAAGCTCGTGGTTGGTCTCAACTACTCCTGGATCGAGATCACAGCTCATTTCAAAAGAAACACGAGTAGCATCATTAGAGTCGATATATATTCATGTTGTGTTTGGGAATGCAAGATATCTCAACAACCTGTGATGGTCAAGTTCAGACCACCCCGAAACTCCGATGGCTATGGTGCTAAACTGTCTGGCCCATATGGTCTTGGGTGTCGCAGAGTGGTATCTCAAATGATATACATGAAAGGCAACAAAACAAAAATATCTGCAGTAAAGCGAATTAGGAGTCAATACAAGATCACATCATGGGTTGGTGATGGATGTCACAAGTGACATCTGTATGCGGGTCGCCGAACCAGCTTTGCCCATTGACCGGTTCACGATACCCACTCAAAACAAGCGCTTCTCCGATTAGCTTTTTGGCAGGTGATGCGGACTTGGCTGGCAAAACGATCAGGGCGAGTCTCCATCCCCGCCACTGCCCTCGCCTTCGGAGCCAGAGCTCCTCCCTTTCCAGGCGGCCATTTCCGCAACAGGCACTCTGCCTCTGAGCCACCGCAGTGTGGCCTCCGTTCCCCTCTCGAGGACATTCCATCTCGGCACGCGGAACCTATTCCCCGTGACCTCGAGGCGCTCCAGGCCACCCGAACCCCCCAACAGGCCGAGTCTGGGGTTGAGGTGCGTTATGTCGTTGTTCATGACGTCGACAATGCGCATGCCCTTAATACTGTCGGGGTCCAAATCGGCCAGGTGGTTGTTGGACAGAAGCAGGATGACAAGCTCGGGGAAAGCCGCCTTCAAAGCACCACCTGGTGGAAGAGCTGAAACACGGTTGAAGCTGACATCCAGCTTCTGCAGTTTGGGGGCCCGAAGATGATTAGTCAAAGGCACCAGGCCGGTGATATGATTAGTGGCTAGGATGAGCTCTTTGAGAGCCGGCAGTTCCAACTCTTCTGTGCCACTTGCCCCACCAATGTAAGACTCGCCGAGCAGCTGGTTGTTCGCGAGGGAAAGAATGGTCAGAGTATCAGCAAAGAAAGAGAGGGAGTCCGGGATGGCATTGAATAGGTTGCGCTGAAGCAGTACTTCGCGAACGGTATGCTCAGAAGCGACTCTCGACGAAATCACGGGGTGTAATGCTGATGACTGCGTGCCTGTCCGGTCCAGAACGCCCCCTTGTTTAACCGGCCAAGTCTGGTTGGAGACCGTGTGCGAACGAGAACGAACGGGCGATTGTGGAGCCGAAGTTGGTGGCGTGGCGAAATGGTCCATATCTGAAGCGTAGTCTTCATCCTCGGGGTGGCCCGTCTGTGCTGGCTTCATGTGTAGGTCTTTCTGGGCTTCCACCGCATTCATGACAGGCGCAGGAGAGTCTTCCACAGTGGTTAGCTCTTCTGGAATTGCCGGCTCCAAACGGGCGGCAAGTGTTGCCTTGATCTCATCCGTCGTCGCAGTGCTAAACTTCTTGTCCCGGAGAGGATTGCCACTGAGTCTCAGCATGCCTAGGTTGTCCATACAACCAACCTCTGGAGGGATAACTCTGATGTCGTTGCTGGACAGGTCGGCATGGCGCAGTTTGTCTAGGCCAGTGAAGCCTTCGGGCACCTCGTTGATCTGGTTCTCATCCGCAGTCAAGGTGACCAAGCTAGCCCAAGACGAGATATCCGGCAGTTCTTGGAGTCGATTCATTGACAGCAGGACCTGCTGCAAGGCTGGCATCTGCAAGGGCGTTTCCCGCCCAGAAGATGTGACATGGGTGATTTGGTTAGACGAGGCATCCAAGCTGGTGAGCTTGGTGAAGCCATCAACCGCATCTTCAATCAGGACGCCACTCAGTCTGTTCTTGCGCAGCAAAAGCTCCGTAAGAGGCAATTTGGACAACGGCTCAAATACCATCGACTCGAAGTTGTTTTCGCTGATGTTGAGAATGCGAAGCTTGGCCATGTTCTCGATGTTGAGCGGCAGAGCGGAGATATTGTTACCGTGGAGGTCGGCGATCTCCAGATTCTCGAGGTTGGCGAAGCAAGGATCCAACGGGCCATAGAAGAGGTTGCCCCCCAGCTTGAGATCTCTCAGAGATGTGATTTGAGAAATCACTTCGAGAGCGTTATTGGTTATCCTATTTTGAGACTAACGACGGTATTAGCAAGGACAGGATTGCAGATGGGGCTCACGTCACGCACCAGGTTCAGGGATGTCAATTGATGAAGACGTCTCAAGCCCATAGGCAGGCAGATCAACATGTTCCCATGCAGGTCCAAAGTCTCCAGTCCGGCAAAGATGTTGCCCTTTTTGTCCTCGGTGTCGTCGAACTCATCAGGCTCTTTGTCGGGAAAGATGGACTCCTCGATCATCTCAATCTCGTTGTCCGCAGCGACAAATCTGGTGAGATCGACGCTCTCGGCCCAGGAGCCATCTGATTTGCCCATGGACTCGAGATCATACATGTTGAGCACTTGGGGTGGAATTTCCCTTAAGCCCATAGCCGCAATGTTAAGGCGACCGGTTGTGCGAGCAGCGGAGACTCTGGCCAGGATGGCTTTGGACTGCGACTTGTCATCCTTCTTTTGACCAAAAGGATCCTGGGACAAGCCGAAATCAAAAGTGTTGTCTGTAGGCACGACCGAGATCTCGCTCGCGTCTGCTTCGGGCGCGACAGGCGAGGAGACTTGTTGCGTTACGGCGCGCTTGGCTGCTCTGGCCTTCGCGATCTGTTCTCGCAGGGCAGCAGAAGACTTCCGGCTAGAGGATACAGGCGAAGTGGACTCTGCGGTCAAAGCTGTCGACACTGTTGAGGCACCGGAGGCATCCTCCGCGGAGACGGACGAACGGTGAGAGGTCAACGAGCCCTTTCGGGCTGCCGGGCGGGCATGAGCTGGCGTGAGCTGTGAGGTTCTTGCAGGCCTTGAAGGGGAGTCGTCTCTCGGTTGGGTTTTCGAGATGGCGGTGGCAGACGTTTTGGCCAATGATGGCATGGAAGGCTTCCTAAACAGACCATTCAAAGAAGGCCTTGACCTGACAGATCGGGGCCCCACCGTCTTCGAGCCGTACTGTAAGGGTGTAACGCGCTTTTCAGGGCTAGGAGATCTCGACTGAGGTATGGATGGCGTCTGGTATCTGGACGATGACGGCCGGCTTGTGCTCCGCGCAGCCGGTCGAGATGACGGTGTGTTAAAGCGGGAAGAGTGGGAGACGGACTTCCGCATGGGCGACTCATCCACAGGGGAAGGGGGCCGCCTGTAGGAATTGGTGGAGGCCCTAAATCCAAAACCGCCTTCCTCCTGGCCTGAGCTGGACCCGGGTCTGCTCTGTGTCCTTGACCATGACCGAACAGAACTGTCTGAACGGTGACTGGAGCCGGGTCGAGAGTCACGGCTGCCCGGCCGCGAGGGAGGTCGCATTTCGCCATCTTGGTCGAAGAATGCCGAAGGCCTCTTCGACAACGCCGGAGAGGACGGCAGCTGGGACAAAGTCTCGATTGTTCTTTCTGATAGAGAAGGACGGGGTTTGTAGGCTTTCGGTCTGGTCGCCTCAGCAGCAACACTCCCTCCCGGCTGCGAGACTGATTGTCTGTCCTCGTATACTTCCTCGTCCTCATAAAGCACAGGTCGCGAGGACTGCCTCCTCACAGATGGGGCCCCGTACGACTGTCGCGTGGAGACGCCGACATCACTTGTTCGATTGGAGGTGCTTGTTGCGAGTATTGGGCGGGTCGCTGGCTGTGGCCGGGTCCTGAACGAATCGACCGAGACCTTCTTGCGAATGGCAGTCGTGGTCTGGCCGCCGAGGCGGTCGCGGGAGGGTTGGGTTCGGAGCTTGGGGAGCTGCAGTTCGCTCGGGTCGACCAGGTTCTCTTTGGAGGCAATAGATCTGGCAGTCGAGGGTTTCGGAAGAGGAAGTTTTGAAGAGGCAGGCCGTGGGATGGCGCTGGGCCTCGGAATGTTGGACCGCCGTTCATCCATTCTCACGCGCTGTGACGATGGTGAGGCAAGGAAGGCCCTGCACTCTGATGGTTGGGCGCACAATCTGGCCGCAGCTGAAGTGAAGCTGGGCTTGCTGGACCGGCAGTGCAGAAAGCTGCAAGGGCAAGGGTGGCTTCACTAAACGCTAAAGAACAGCAATTAAGGGCAAGGAGTGTTGGGGGGAGGGTGCAGGGCATATGACATTCTGGAACACCGTGATGGCTCGACACCGGATCAGTAGCTGTTCAATGCGCCGAGCAGCATGTAGCTGACAAAGCGATAGCAGTTCAGTGGAATGGATCTTGGAAAGATGGGACAAAGAAGGAAGAGCAAAAGATCATCAGATCTTGGCGCCTAGTCAGGGGCAGTCAGGCTGGCTGCAGAGAGAAGGGGGAGGAAGCTCTGGATTGTTTGGAACCTTGGAAGACTGGAGGTGGGTGTGATTTGTTGTGATGTGATGGAGCAATGGAGCTGCCTGTGCAGCAAGTGCTGCCGCAGAATGCACATCCCAATGCAGGAACGACAGGGGTCCCGCCCGCTAGAACAGCACGCTAAACTAGGACGCGGTAAGCCCCAGCCCGCCAGGCCCGCGTCGTGGCATGTGGGGTGTGCTTGGCTGTCGTTTTCGCACACTCGAGGTATCAAAACATTCGACAGCCCTGTATTCACCGCCTTTGCGGACCAGGATGTCTACCAACAATACAGGCTGAGATCGCATTTGACTGGCTGACAGCCCTGGAGCTGGCAAGTTGTGCTAATCTTGCTGCGTATTCCCTGGACACAATGAGCAGCCATTCGGAAAGCTTCCTACGCAGCACATCCCCAGTGACAGGGTGATTGATCCCTCGACTTCAACGGCCGGGTTCTGTACCAAGACAATGGATCGGCGAGAATGTGACAGGCAGGTGCTCAATTGCTCAACTGCATTTGATTCATACGATTATCCCACACAATCCGATCCTCAGCCCCAGGAGGATCAGCTCTGCTGGAGCTATCCCCCACAGAAGCTGTCTCTGAGATGGAGAGGTCAGATCTGTGGGGATTTCCACTCCGCATGTCTCAGGAAGTGCAGTGCAGGCCTCCTGGATATGAAATCCCCGACTGAAACAAGCGAAGATGCTTTGCTGATCTCGGCAGTAACAACCGAGTATCGTTTGCCTCCATCCATGCTAGAAAGGTCCGGTCGTACAAGTACAAACACCGCTTGCGATATTAAAACTGGATGTGTGCCCTAAGAATGCGCCTAGAAGCTATCCCAGCTGATGCGCCATTCCCCAGCACTGTCAAGCCAGCATACCTAGGGGAAGGTCTAGGCCAGGTCTAAAGTTGATGTCACTCATACAAATTCAAAAATTGTCTGTATGCCAGAGAATACATTGACAAAAGCGCTACATGTCCTTCAAAACAAGCAACAATGCCAATGCAGGTTGATCCGACTGCAAGAAGACACTCAGACCAAGCAAGACATTTCTTCAGCTTGCAGTTTGCGTAATCAAGGTGGAAATCCAAGACGTTTCCCACTTCCATTGTCCCGCTTGACATGCTTTAGCGTTCCGAATTCCTGGGCAGCAATATGTAAAATAATTACATTCCAGCGCTCTCTGGCAAAGACTTCGAGAATGCCACGAAAAATCCAATGCAGGAGCTACATGTAGCCTAGTCCCCGAAGTAGTCTGGAAAATTTAGCCGAGGGTGATGATGATGATTTGATGAACGCCTATTCCTCATGCCAGTGTGTCAGGGTAGACCTGTCAAAACCAACATCACACGAGTCATTTCGAAGTCCTGATACAATGTTTCGGTATTCATAATTCCCAACCAAGCTGAATGCACTGGCATCAAGTCACATCCTCCCGCAAATAAATAAATAGATAGAATCAACTGGGGACAAACTGTAAAGAGTGTAATGCAGAGTACCAAAATGAGGCAAGGACAAAATTCAGTAACCAGCCGTACCCGAATGGACGAGCTGACTGATCAAACCTGATCATGTCCATGCTGAGAAAGGAAAAACAGACACCCCAAAGTTCTGCTAGCTATCTAAACTCCACCTAATCCTCTCGCTTTCTGGCACCCAACATCAAATAGGTTGGTCCAACTTCTGTGGGCAGCCACCACGACTCGGCCTTGTGCTTGCCGTCGTCAACGCGAGGCCACTCGTGCATGTAGACCAGCTCGAACCCAGTGCCCACCAGGGAGTTGACGTAGGTCTCCATCTTCCAGTGCTGCTTCTCCACCTCGTGACCCAGCCAGTAGTGCGTGCGTGGTCCCTGGTCCCAGTATCCGTTGAGTCGCCAGTGTGCATCAGCTGCCGGAGCAGCTGTCTCCGCGTCGTGTCTGCCCTCGCCGTCCTTGGCAGTCTTTGTCGTGGCTGGATGTGTGCATACCTCTCTATGCGTCGGGGCCGTGTAGATGGGATGCTCGACCGTAAAGTAGAACATGCCTCCAGGCTTCAATGACGCGAAGATCGACTCCATCAAGCCCTTCAGATCTCTGAGGTAATGTAGGGTGAGGGAGCTGAACACGATATGGTAGGTGTTCTTCACCGGTGTCAAGGTGTTCAGATCCGCGATTTGGTAAGTCAATCGATTGGCCTGATCATCTCCGAGGCGGGCGGCAGTGCTCTGGGCCGCCCTAATCTGAAGGATCGAGGAGTCAAGTCCTTTGACCTTTGCCGCCCCGCCGCAGGTCACTGCCCAGTAGCTGAACCAGCCGTCGCCGCATCCGAGGTCGAGGATCGATGTGTCTTTCAGAGGAGGTAAAATCCGGGTGAGGTCGTCGTGTGTAAGTCCTCCTCCTACAGTCCCCTGCTTGGTATCGCCGTCCTTGAGGCCGCGATAAGCAGAGAAGAAGGAAGGGTTGTCGTATATGTTGCGTTGTGCCATGGTTGTGCTGGTTATATTCCAGTGACTTTCGCCTTGAGCTTGAGTTTCGATGAATATCAGATGATCGGCAACAACAAAATGCTTCGAAATCAGGACTCTTATATAGCTGTCTCAGCTACGTCGAAGATAGCAAAGCGACTTATGATGCTTCAATCTCCAATGCTTTGCGAAACACACCATGTTGTCTTGTTAATGCCATTATGGATATTGTTCGTATTTACTTGGCTACTCCAAGTGACGTGAGCAAAGAAATGAGAGGGCAGGTAGTACAATACGCCGGATGAAGCTTCGTACAGACATCAATTGCTAATAGCTACGCATTGTCATTGCGGCAGACTAGCCATTCACCAAACATGAAGATCAGATGAGAGGTATCGCATGCGTACTAAAACACGCCCCAAGGAGGGAACCTCACATGCTCTAGCCCAGTTTGTAGAAGAAAAGATCCCTAGGACACACAAAAGCGGCGCGAACACGCATGACACGCCTAACGGCTTCAGATGTTTGGCCATGTCATCTGAAGCCCCGGCCCTCAAGGCTGTCATTTCGGGCTCAACACCGCCTCGCGCACGCGGACGTTCTTTTACAAATACTTTAAAACCCCACACGCTGACTGTGCCGGAGGCAGTGATACAGGTTCATGTCTACACCCGAACCGATGTCGTCCAAACTTCATTTGGCAGGGCCGTAGTTCACGATTCGGGCTCGCTGCATAATGCTCATCCGTTGCGAGTTGTCTTCACCTAGTCACTAAAGTCCGACGGCTACTCGGATTTATGTCGTCGTGAGCTGACCGCTGATGCAATACTCCACATCCGAGCGTTCGCCTCGCGCTTGATCCAGCGCTTATGATGTTCTTGAAAGCCTATTGCCGCGCTTTCTCTTGGCAGGTGGTAAGCACATCTCTGTTCTCTCCAAGGCATGGCTTGGGTGTCGCGAAGACCTGTACGACACCAGGAAATACTCCGAGAGTAGCATTTCGCATGGCGAAGGGGTTGTACAAACTGTCAAGTGTCCGGCTACTAAAGCATGGGTCCGAACACGAAGCCGGCGGCTCGGCCGACAACAGGATTGCGGTCGGTGCGAGGCTGGTTCTTCTCCGATTCGATCCACGCCGGAAACGCCTACGACGATGGCTGCTTTATACGGACGGGTCTACAATAGCTCGGGGTAAGCATGGATGAAGCGATTGTGTTACCCACCTTACGCTTTGCATTCGACCGATGCCCGAGGAATGCAAGGTGCCAAGCTGCGCGGGTATCAACCTGGACGAACCCAGCTTGGTTCAATCACGAACCACACCAGCGACACCTTAGGATCCCAAATGGCAATACTGCCTAGGAAAAAGAAAAAGAAAAAGATTCGGTATTAACCGAGGCAAAAGAAACGCAAAGGGCAAAAAGTTCGACCCAACCAGACCTCCTTAAAAATTTGGTCCGACTGGGGGTCGAACCCAGGACCCTCGCATAATTGAGAGCGTTAAGCTCAAAGTATAAGAACGATGTGATATCCACTACACCACCGGACCATCAACAGCCAATTTTTCCGGATTCTCCACCTATGAAGCGCCTAATAATTGTGCCAATCCTGGAAGCTGCCTACGACGTTCTTCAATTACTTGTATGGGCCAGTTAGAAGAACGGTAAGGTTTGTAATGAATTCTTGAGATTGCGGTGTGACCCTAAATGAAAAGCACTCTTACAGCTGGCAATGAGGGACCTCGGTGTGTCCAACTCAATGGTTTCGTACTTGATCATCAGTATGCACCTGCGGTTTGGGCTAAGTGCATTCGTTCAACCGGAATTGCCTGAAAAGTCCAGCGACTTTAACCCTGTGCAAGGCCAACACATGCCGCAACAGTACCTCATTCTTCTTGACATCCTTCTCAATATGTAGAACGACCTGATAGAAACAACACGAAGCCAGAGTAGACGTCGGGTCAGTCATCCAAGTCTAGCCTCATAAGATGCTTCACATACTCTTATTGCTGCTGTTGGGCACCGCCTCCGCCGCAGTACCCGACTGCACGCGCCATGCATTGAACATCAACACGAAGCGGTACATCGCGGCATTGGCAACGGGCCGACATGAATGGCTGGAGTCCATCCTCACTCCCAACACAACATACTCGCAGAATCTGGAACCCGCTCCGATCGCCAAAGTCACCGTTTCTGCAACTCCTCTGACCATATCCTACCACCGCACGACGTACGACACCGTGCAGTGCGCGACACACACAGAGATCCTGGTCACCAACCCTGTCAACCCGTACATGATCGCCACGCAGCTGCGCTTCGACCCCTTCGCGCAAAAGCTGGCTTCTATCGATACAATCGTCACGGTACCGGGAGATCTTCTCTTCAACGCAACACACGCACTCCACTACTACCTAGCTCTGGCCCAGCCCGAAGGCCACGGGGGCTCCTCGTGGGGCATCCCTATCGCTCCCGAGAAGCAGGACTCGCGAGCGGTGCTGCAGTCGGCCGCAGACGCCTACTACGACGTCTTCTCCAACAAGTCCGTCGTGGTGCCCTGGGGCGAGCCCTGCACGCGCCTGGAGGGAGGCTACCTCGACGCCAACGGCACGTGCGACATGGGCATCCCGGACGTCACGGCAAAGACGGAGAACAGGCGATACGTCATCGACGAAGACGTCGGGTCTGTGGCGGTGCTGTCCAACTTTGGTATCCTGGGTCCCGACGTCCACGAGTTTCGCATCGCGGGAGGGAAGATATTCGGCATCCGGAGCATGACCGTATGTAAGGAAAAGGACGACTGCGGCCTTTCACCGCCTGAGGGGCTGCGGGAAGAGGTGGGATGGTAGACATCTTACTTTGAGAGCCACACGCTGCAGTATCTGCGAATACTGACTTTGCACTGGCTGACATGCGTATGTGGTAAATAAGAATCCAGGCGACCATTTCGAAATCACTTGACCCTACCAGTGCTACCAACTCGTAGATAGCATTGCGACAGCTTTTCTGAAACGAAGACTATTTGTCAACCTTCAAATCGTTCACCGATACGACTTTTGGCGTATCACTCCTTCAACCCGAGTTTCCTTTGTTGCGTAAGCTATTCCACTATCGTGGCTTATTCAATGACTGTACCCAGACAGACAGCACAAGTCTGGCGAATCATCACTTTGATTCTTGATTCAAGTGTTTACTAAATTCGCCAACGCCCAGCGAGAGACAGTGATCACTTCCACTTGGCTTACTTAACCACTGATCCTTATTGTCGCCAAGTCAATCCATCACCAAGTCGCAGGTCAGGATTGATCAAGATGTTCGAAAATGTAATGATGCAAATTGATATCCAAATTTGTGAGCGGGTATTAGCTAGACGACCACCGAAAAAAGGTGGGATAACACGAAACGAAGGTATCAAACATATAGGATAAAGCGGCCTTGCTCGTGAGCAAACGGCCCCTTCCTTACCCCTTCTAGAGTCATTTATCTAGATTGCTCCGCCATCATACCTATCCAACATCATTCCTTCATTTAACGTCGACGCTTAGCGGCAACGTATCAACACTTGATCCAGAACCGAAAACCTATTGTAGAGATCCCTACTACAGACAAGATGATGAAGCCTTGTGACATGACAAGACAAGCCAGTCCTCACATATCGTAGAGGCGGCGTAGGAATTTGTCTGTTGACGTGCACCGAAGACACGTCTTACAGGTTCTCGACACGCTTCTCCTGGCTGAACTCGGGCGAGTCGGACATGCCGCCGGCCGCCTTCGAAGACTCGGGCTGGGCGGCGTAGTGGTTGTTGGCGCCCTCGAGGTCGCGGTGCTCGTGGTCGACGTGGATGAGGGGCTGGAGTGTGGCGTGCTTCTGGAAGAGCACGTAGCGCTTGAAGAACCACGGCGTGGCCTCGGTGACCTGGTAGCGGGCGAACTTGGCGGTGGGGATGGCGAAGACGTAGTCGAGCTCCTCCAGGGTGCGCTGCTTGGTCTCTGTTGACAGGGGAGGGAGATATGGTTAGCGAGATCTGGACTGGTATCCTATCCTAGAGTCAAACTTACCAGGAACCCAGAAGAAGATCATCCAGAAGGCAACAAAGTTGAAGCCGGCGTAGAGACCGCAAGCACCAGCAGTTCCGAGGTTCTCGATGATGAGGGGGAAGGTGATACCAAGAACGGCGGCCTGGAGACTTGGTTAGCTTGATTGGCCGTGTGAAGTATGTACATCGAGGGATGCAACGTACGAAGCCCAGGCAAGTAGCGACAGCGAAACCCATGCCCATCTCTCTGTGCGACAGAGGGAAGACTTCGGCACTGTAGGTGAAAGGAACGGGACCCTCACCGGGTGAGTAGAAAGCTAGGGAGAGTTTAGCATTCGAGCCCGGTCGGTGGTTGCATTACAAGGAACTGTACATACCGGCAAAGAGGTACACGAACAGAGCAACCAAGGCCGTCTTGGCCGTGCTCTGCTTCATCAGAGTGCAGAGACCAGCCGTCAAAAGAGTCCACATCATGTTGGGGAAGGTGAAGAGCAGAAGAGATCGGCGTCCGAACTAGAATGATTTCGAGTCTTAGTTACTGTCCAGTCTTTCAGGATGGATGATGTTCAAGGCTTACGGTGTCAATGGTCCAGAAGGCGGGGAAGGCAAACACCCAGTTGATGAGACCGAAACCAAATGAGGCGAGCAGGGCGTGGAACTCATCCTGGCCAGCCGCCTTGAAAACGGAAGTCGAGTAGAAGGCGATAATGTTGATACCTGCGATAATCGTGTTAGGTTGAACCATGCGGCACAAATACAATCGATCTGCATCCACTTACCGCACATCTGCTGGGCCAACATGACAGTAAAGGCGGCAAGAGTGGCACGGCGGACACGGGGAATGGTGAACAACTGGATAGCTCGGGTGATGTAGTTGTTCTGGCTCAGGACCTCGCGCTCGATTTCAAGCTGGCAGTGGATGTAGTAGATGTCACGGGCGACCTGGATGGGGTTGAAGCGAAGGCGCATCATCGCGTCCCAAGCCTGGACATAGCGTCCCTTCTTCATGCACCAACGAGGCGACTCGGGGCAGAGGTAGATGAGACCAATGAGGGGCACAGCCGGGATGGCGGGAAGACCGAGCATGAGACGCCAGTTGTGTGCGTGGTAGAAGACGGCAACGTTGATGACAGTTCCCAACATGATACCGAACGCAGTCCACATTTCTAGAATCGCGTGGGTTAGCCACACAAGAGGTTCACATGAAGAGAGGGCCTTGAGGGCACTTACGCCAAGACATAACGAGAGCACCACGGACAGAGGCGGGAGCATTCTCTGCGGCGTAGACCGGGACTGTTGCTGCTTTAATACCCATTCCGATACCCATCAGCAGACGGCAGGCGAATTGCTGTTCCCAGGTCATGCAGAAGGCGGAACCGATGACGGGCCAGAGACAGAAGTGACCAGAGATGAAAATGACCGCTGTCGAAAGGATTAGTATGTAAGGACATCATCAAAGCTCTTACTGCCAGACTCGAACGATGATACTTACTGCGACGACCGAGGAAGAAGTTGAGAGGATCAGCGAGCCAGCAGCCAAGAAGACTGGGATGCGTGAGTTAGCAAGCCAGCCCATCATCGTCCTCATGTGACAACCTAAATACTTACGCGCAACCGATATAAGGACCAGCGTTGATCATACCGACAAGGAGCGTGTTGTGCGTGTTGGTGCTGTCGTCTGGGTTCTTCTCGGGAATGCCGTAGTATTGGGGGAAGAAAATGGTAGCTCCGTTACTGCCAGTTTGGTCCCAACCCTGGACACAGGCGCCGATAGAGCAGGTGGCGATGGTGAGGATCAGCTTCCAGGGCATGCGCCACTTGTGGTGAACCTCGTTGTAGATGACGGTCTTCTCGGCCTCGTCAAGGGCCTCGGGGCCCGAGATGTTCTCATAGTTCTCCGGGTCCTGGGCGACGAGCGCGCCCTTGCGGAGAATTGGGATGTGCTCCTGTAGTCCCTTCTCGTGGGCAAAGGCCTCGACATTGCGCATTAGCTGGTCGTAGGGGATGCCTGCAAGAGGGTTCCTGATTCTGTACGGATGAGAAGAACTGCGGTTAGCTGCTTATCTTGCTTGGCACATTGTTCATGGCCGGAAGGTGGGAAAACACAGTGCGCGAGAAGCATCCTCCAGTCACATGCTTGTCCCTCTACCCCAGAGCTCGGGGAAAGGCACGACAGGAAATGCGACCGGAAGGAGCTCTCAGCCAGCGACCAGGCACGGAACAGAGATGCGCGACTTCAGCGCGTGCGGGCCGGGCAGCACACTAACCTGGCGTCGGCATTCGAATTGATGTTGATCTCATTTCGGACCTGGTTCTCAAGATGGGCGTTTTGAGAGTCCTTGCGCTCCTCGCGAATCTCATCGCTGCTGGGGAAGCTGTCAGTCTCGATGTACTTCATCTTCTTGCGATGGCTCACTCACCCGTTCATGATTGCGACTGGAGCAGCGACAAAGCGCGCCTTGTAGCTCTTGGAAGGGTGAAGTCAGATAAGGTTTGACGTGCCCAGTGCAGCGCAAGCGGGATTCGCGCAGAGGGATGCAGTCTGGTGTTTAATCAAAACACGAATTGGTATTCAAGGGCCTCACACGGTGTCAAGAGGGGTAGAGAGAGGGGAAAGAGGGCTCGAGTCAATAAAGAGATGATCTGGGGGGAAGCACATTTATTTGTCTTGTTCCATTCATTCCATGTGGCCATCCGTGTCCGCCGATTACCCACAGGGGGAAAAGGACGCAGGTGTGTGTGTAGGTACTCGGTATGATCGAGCTATGTCAGTCAACCCAGCACTTGGTGAACCGCGGTGATCATTCCCGCGTCGAGCAAGAGTCAATCCCTCCTCCCTCCTCCCTCCATCTTCCCCCAAGAAAAAGGTGGTCCTTTTACCACACCTCATAACGCTCCATGGCGGCACCGATGCTCCACCTGTATTGAACTTGTCCACTTGTCCCAGCGTCCCCCAGCTGGGGAACCAGGAGACGGGCCAGTTTTTCTTGGATGATTGTTACTTTCATCTCCACTTTCTTGGTCCGTGTGGAGGGGGAAGAGTGCAGGTTGAAGGCAGAACTGACTGGGATCCATCACTCCATCCATCCATGGGCAATATGCAACAGTCTTGGCTCTCGCTCCATGTACCTCTTCTTGGGACGTGCAGGTACCTACCCTCTACCTTACCTCAATCTCTCGCCCTGCAGTGGTATCAAGGATACCGTGCACAGAGGTATCTCGGTATCTCGGGAGCCGCCCGTACTTCGTAAAAAAAAAGCAAACTTGACGGATCGGAGCCGTACCAATCACACGACCCTGAACTAAACTGGAGACACTGACTCGGCGCCGTGTGCATCCTCGAGGCACAGGCGCGCAGGCGAGGCAAGCAAAGGGAGGCAAAAACCTGCCATTGACTGCCACCGGAGCGCCACTATGCCCGGAGTTATTTCCCTGAAGCACCCAGATGTGACTAACAAGAATCTGCTCCGTACTTAGCCCAGGACTGTCACCGACAACAGAGCAAAGCGAATGGAACGCTCTGGGCTTTGGCCGGGCAGCCGGGGACTTTGATCCTTCAGGCATGGCATTCGAGCCAAAAGAAACAAAATGACGACGGCAGTACGGCACTACGGCAGTGGACTTTAGCACCATGCTTGAGCAGACTTAGCACTGTAACGAGGGGTGCGCGGGATGGCGTTGGGGCTAGCCCGAAGAGGGCTGGAGAGGCCTGAAGCTTGCCCCACAGTGACCCCATTGCGCCGGGGTCAGAGTGCCGGTTTTATTCAGCGACGGGCCTACCAGAGGCCGTCTGACATGAGACTCCGACGGCTTATCCCTGCCTCCAAAGTCCTTTGTGATGGAAGAATCGAACTCTTGCTCCCTCTTTGCCCAACCAAGGTAGTGTTCTGGCGTGCTGCCTTGGCTGAGCACCTTTGGACGACGGGTCAGAACAAACTCAGCAGCCCTCCTTCTTTTACGAGCGACCGAGCAATCGACAGAGAGTGCGGGCTTTTAGGCATTCCAGTCATCCTTTGTCTCGCCCAAGTCCGCCTTTGTCTGGCCACACTCCGCGTTTGTGTCGTGACAATGCTTCCCCGCACTCCGCCCCTGAGGTGGTGGCTGGACGTAGCTCCCCTCTTCCTCTGTCATCACCACGTCCTCCTCCGGACATTGTCACGATCAAAGCGCTGCCCGCCTTCCTGGAGGCTCTGCGGGGCGGGGAAGCTGTTCCGCCTCGCCACGATCTGCCACTGTACAAGTATCGGTGTGATTTAAATGAGCGTGCGGTGACACAACAGCATGACGCCAATTGCCTGTAACGGGATGGAGCTGACGATGTGGGCAGCAGCTGAGGCGTGAGGCCCCAAGCGATCCCATGACGATATTTTGAGGCGACGAGCTAGAATAAGCTCATCTGCTTAGGCCGCGCCGCCATCGTCATAGGGACAGGCTACGGGAGGGGGGAACAACGCCCCTACGGAGCTAGGGGAGCTTTTTTGCCAATTGAAGACACACGCCAGCCATCCTTGCCATTAAAGGTCGATTTGTCGATGCGTGTGGATCAGCCAAGCACATGCACTCCACCCAGCCATTCCTTGGCGAATGTGTTTCGAGCAGGCTTGGGTGCGGGCGGAGTTCCATGTCCTCTCTTCTCCATCTTCAATCACCCGGCAATAACCACGCCAACCAGCCTTAGCTTTGGTCAAGCACCGGCAGTCTTGTGCTTGATCTGTTAGTGCAAGCAGCCACAGCAAAAGGCCCCGAACGGCAAAGGGAATGAATGCCCAGTAACAAGATAGGCTATCGCCTCTAGAGAGGCCAAAGATAAGGCTGCGACAGGCGGTTCGGGGATCATGATCGGCACGCTGCCGTCCCCTGCTTCGTACAGCACCCTTTCAAGCTGCAGCTCCCCGAGACCGGTCGCCAGTCGCCAGTTTTTTTCGCTTGCTCTTCTTCAAGATCTTCTCGTTCTAATGCAGCCTCGAATGGGCAATCTCACGGTCACACACCAGTGCCCACATTGGGACCACCATCACCACTTTTTACTCCAATTTTACCGCGCGATCGCCTAAGATCATCAGCCAACGTCCCGACTCCCTCTCTCACTAACACCAAATATGTACCTGTACAGTCATCGGCTCGTTTAGCCCATCGGAATTGCCAGATCAGGGACACCGTTGACGGTGTTCCGTACGCCAAATTAATTCTTCCTGGGCACGCATGCACGCACACGTCGCCCTTCCCTGCAAGTTGAGCACAGGCGCCCGAGGCGGCAGCAACAAGCATGCTCGGTGGGCTGGACAGACACAAGTACTAGGCATGCCAGACGTACGAAGTAGCTACGTGCTGGGAAGAAGTTGAATGCCTCCTGGTGCAGCGAGGGTTACATGCCTTCAATTACATGCACAGACAATCGGCTTCGCCGGTGGATGTCCCAAGAACACTGTCCCCACTGAAAGGTACTGTCGCACTCGAAGGAAGCTCCTCCCTGCTGCTGCACATTCGGACCGACCAGTGGTCCCAGCGACCCAGCCAGAGCTACTGCACTATCAGATGACCTCCCACCGTCGCTAATACTTGGGTTAGCATCGCAACACAATCACTCCCGAGGGGGGGGGAGGCACACGGAGTTGGTAACGCGCAAGCAGCGATGCAGAGATGCACTAGCGGCGCGTTTTCTCAAACGCAGACAACAAGTACGTCGGTGTGCCGCATGCGGTATCGTGGGGTGCCTTGGCGAATGACGTAGTGCTACCCCCCACAAAGGGCGACGAGAACGACCAACGACAACCCAAGGTGGAGGTAGCTACCTCTTCGGATGCACCAAGATGTCCCCAAGCACAACCAAGAGACGGTGTGTTTGCAAAAGGACTGTGCTATTCTACGGCATCAGAGCAGATTCCAGTCGGGCTTTGGTCCGAGTGCCTCAATTCGGTCTTCCTTGGCTTCTCCAGCAGCTTAAAGACTGCCCACTATTCATCTCGCAGTCTGCTGTTGATTTGTTTGTGGAGCAGAGCTCGTGCCGTTGGTAGCGATCTTCACAGACCCAGCCATGCGGTCAAAACAGGCCAACGACGCCCTGCCAATGCCACTTTTGGTAGCATCGTCTTGCCAATCCTTTCCTGTACTTGTAGAGTGACTGCATTGGATCGAGCATCGCGATAGCCGCCAGATCTATGTACGTAAGTACTTGCATATGTGGCCTAATTCGTTGACAGGCACGTGCCAGTGAATTTGACCCTTGATCGATGCTATTCTTGGTGTTGAGAGCTGGTCCCCTGCGGCGCGCATTCCATGTTGCAGTGTGTGGTCTACTCCTCGACTCCGTATGTACCTACATTGTCAAATCCACCTGTCGATCCAGCACGAACGTATGTCCTCGTTGTGGTAATAATAGCTTCCTCCACGTTGTGCGGTTGTATGTACGTATGAAACGTGTCCCATCCGTGCTGATCGACCAGTCCGTCGGGAGTCCCTCACACATCCGTCCCCGTATCTCCCCCGCACTCGCGGGAAACCCCTGATCACCCTGGATCGTTCACTGTCGTTTTGGGTGGCACGCCAGATCGAATGGTGGTGGTGCCGCTCTACCACCCTGCGATGGATGACGTCTGTGCATGCACATCTCGCCCAACGGCGCACGCAACCGCGTGGACACGCCGATGGCGTATGCGCATCGTGACCGGGCGGATCTCCCACGCCGTCCTGCGGCTGAGAGGGGCCCAGACCCTTTGCCCCCCCATTCTCGTGTACCTGCGCTTTTGTCGGTTCTGTATGCTGTACTCTGGGGTTGAGTCCAGATACTCTGATACCTGCGGGTCTCTTGTTTCTATTTTTTGCCCTGTACGCTTGCATATCACAATCGGTGTTGGAGACAGATCTGGCGATGTCCCCACGATTGACTGTCGTGAGAACAGGGAGGCTCCCTTTAGCCGCAGCCGCGCGTGGCACAATGCGGCGTGTATCAGCGGCAAGACAGCCGCGAGCGAGAAGGTAAGGTCCGCAGATCTTGATCTGGATGGGAAGCAGTCTGGTGTGCATGTTCTTTGGCCTTGAATAGCAATTCGAAATGATGTCAATGACGTAAGTCGATGAAATACAGCGTTGGACGAATGCGTGCGGCACGGTGAGCGCGAGAAGATATGTCGAGCTTTTGCTTCTGTTCACCTTTTCAGCTCGGAGACCTCGCTCGGTCAAGCCGGGAATCATGTCTCTTCTGGCCTAGAGTATGCGGACATTCTCTTTCTATACTGCTCTATTATGGTTGAGGTGTGTGTAGAACCCAACCTCGAAGTTCAATTAAGGTTACTGGATAAGGTTATCCTGGGAACACGAACCCTGACCACTGAGCTCTTGACTTGCTCATTCACAGAATCATGATGAAACCTTGACCTGCACGATCCCTGTATGTTGGGAATGCTCACGAAGCAATGTACGGAAGCTCGGTAGCTGTTAGCGACCTACCTGTCCGTTGCAGGATCTAATAGACGACGAGCCGAGCCGTTCTTGGCTGTCTATTACGGCTTTCCGCTCTCAGCCAGAGAATTGAAGTTGTCCTTAAGATGGAGACGACTGCATCTACAGGTCGTAGTTGTTTAAAAGGCATGTTGTGACAGAGCTGATCACTCTCTGACCAATATGAGCTGACAATCTTTCTCGAGTCGGGTCTTGTTGTCTGCTCTTGGGATCACTCACGGCCGCTTGACTTCTAACTAACCTAGACTCCAGTCAGCGTAGCTCCAACGATGGATTTTCTGTATCTGTTATCCTTCCCGTCCTGATTAAGCTCGCAGACAGAAGCCTTCACGATGGCGCCACAGAAGCTTCCTCGGGAAAGGAACGACAGGTACTACGGGTGCCTTTTGTTATCCGTATCCTAAATGGAATTTGTATGCCACACCCCCTTGACGAAGCTAAGTCCCTGTCCACCGTCTCCCCGCATTGTGTGTGGAACCTGGGGCAGAGATACCCAACGTGTGTCTCTGCAAATGGTACTCTTTTCTTGGGCTTCCTTTCTCGGTGTTGGTGATGAATGACGCGCGGTGGCCGGTGACTGAATCGGTGCTAGCCTGCGTGAATTTGAATCCCCCATGCTTCGGCGTGCCCGTCCGTGTGGCAAAAGCGTCATGGCGGTTATTTGATGTTCTTGGTGCTCAGGTCGATAATGCCTTCTTGTATCCTTGATCACTGTTTTTCTTGCTTGCTGGATGTCGCTGTGACAATATTGAATGATCGAAAGGAGCTGAAAGCGAGCACGATCTCACAACTCGGTTGTAAGGAGTAATAACAGAATGTATCGTGCCCACTTCTCGTTACTTGTCTGGCGACTGTAGCTCGAAGCCGTAAGGTTTCGGTATGGAGGGAGGATAGCCGGTTGGCGTTAGCTGTGTTACGAGGTGGCAACATGCTCGCTGCTAATAAAATATGGTTTAGCTTCCCAGGATGCTGGCGTTACGTGAAGGTAGGTCCATGGTAAACAGTAATAGTGTATTGTATTCTTTGCCTTGAGTCCTAGGCGTTGGGTATATGCTTATCGATCGGCAGCAGTAAGTTACGGCTTCGTTGGCTCGTCGCGTTTGGATCTCTTCTCTGATGTTGTAACAATGCGTTTCTTGCGTGCTCGAGCCGTCGTCATATTCGATTGTGTGGCGATAAAGATCAATGAGCCTAAGGATCCTCGGCCCCAGATCGAGCAGCACTGAATTTCCGTGCATTAATGCCCTCGGTATCCCTCCGCATCTCCACCACCGGCAGCCGGCAAGGTGCATCAAAACTCGACCATCTCGGGAGCAACGAGAACAAGCCCATGCCTCCGCGCCAGAGAGGCTACCGAAAGTGGATTCAGAGGCTTCCGAGACCGGGGTATCCAGTTGCAGTCAGGGTCATTTTGTTCATCTCTTTGAGCGGTGTTATCGAGGCTAGACTGTTAACCTCGGTTATCGCAAAAGTTATATCGCTCACCTTATCATATGACGCGGTAACGCTGTCTCATAAAGTTCAAGTGGCTTCGACATCACTGCATCATCGTGATGTGACTGGTGACATCAATCTGAGAGAATGTTTCAGGGCTTCTTGGCCTTCTGTAAAAGGAACCGACCTTGCATGTTGAGATTGCAGGCATATTGTACGACCGGACTTGACGCGATTGCCATGATAAGCGAAAGGAGGCCGAAGCGGGTGTTGCGGCTGGTGCGGAGCCTGGCCGGATCCGGAGTGGGTCGGGCAAAAATCGGCAATCAGGTTCGGCAGCCCCGACCCACTGCGCCGATGGCATGGGATTGGGATTGGGATTGGGGTTGAGAGCTGGAAACCGTCATTGCCACTCTAAAAAAAATGCGTTTCATTCCCATTGGATTTCTCAGGGTATTGCAGACCGCCTCTTTACTGACATCGCGACAACCGTTATCTCATATATCGGCCTTGCGATCCGTCCTGATCGCGAGAACCGGACCTCGAGGTCCGACCCTCAGCGCGCGGAATCCTCGACGAGGAAAGAAACGTCACTCGCGGGAATAGTAAAAAGTGCTTCTGACCCGCTTTTTCGCGGCTTCGCCGTTCGCGAGCTTCCGGTTGAGGTCTGAAGGGGCGAAAGCGACCAGTCGACGACTCCACCTTCCCATGATAAGGCCGCGCAAAGAGATTGCCAAGGCTGCTTTGCTTCGCTTTTAACAACGGCGCCCAATGTCCGTGAAGGGGCTAGAAAACATGTCGGTGGGTTTGTTTTCTTATCGTATCGGGGGGATGACTTTGGTCGACTGTTGACCCCTCTCCGGCCCAGAGGCTGGGGCAGTGTAATCGCACACTCTGATCGTCCGGGCGAACGGCGTCTGGTCGGATGGCGAGTCATGAGCTCGACCTCGAGCGAACAGCTGTTCTGCTGTCAGAGGCATTCATCGCTGCGGCGCAAGCACCTGTCTGGATCACTCTGGACTTTCAAGCCAAGGGTCGCAGGTCCTTGCCTTTTAAGTTAGCCATCTCGCTTGCTATCGCATGCCCATGCAGTCGACGGTGGTGTGAGCTGACCGGGGCTCGAGATGCCGAGATATCGCCCTCCTGTACAGCGCCTAGCTGGGCCTCTCTGCCGACAGAAACCCACTAGAAGCCCACTTTTACCGGGCAGAGCCGCAAATTCTTTCAGTTGTTTTCAGTGGGCATTATCGGGTCTTGGCCCAATTGGGTGCGATCATGAGCTTGACGCATCATGAGATTGGTTGCACCCTGGGCTTACTCAAGCCCAAAAGCCTAAAGCGCTAGTCCAGCCCATTCCAGCCGCGACCTGACGCCGCCGTGCATCATGAGCACCCAGCGCTTGTCATAATGAAACGTGCTTTCAAGTCGGTGCTCCCTCCGAAGGCACAATCCGAGCCACCTCCGGCCCCCCGGCTCCCTCGATATATATCCCAAGGGTGGCGCCCACTGCCCCAGATTGCCACCATGCACTCGCAGCATTCACAGTTGATAAAGTTCAGACGTCGTCTAATACGTCTACTGAGTACTGAGATAAATACCAACACATCACCCACCCAAGTGTGATCAACCAAACACCCGATCACAAGACCCGATACAGCCTATCACCATCCACACCACCCACACGGCTGTTATGCCAGATCCGTCACACAAGATGGAGCAACCAACAAATGAAACAACATCATCAGGGCAGGAGCCGGCTCACATACCATTGGAGCCGGAACAGACATATGTCGAGCCTGTCCAGCGGGCCGTCACGTACGCCGCCATCAACCCCGGTTCCGAGCACGCCGACGCCAATCCGTACGATGTGCGGCGGTCGCGGTCAATCAGCGCCAGCGGCATGGGGCGTTGGCGGTCGTCGACCTCTTCTCACGCCTCGCAAAAGGAAGAGCGGGACCCCAATCTCGACCTGACCCTCCCCTACCGAACACTCACATCCGCTGCCAACTTGGACGAGTACCGCGTGGAGACGCGCGAGGGTGAGATCGAGGGCCCTGTCGAGCCCGACGGACAGACACACTACAAACTCGTCACGTTCAAGCCGAACGACCCTGAGAACCCCAAGAACTGGTCCAAGGCCTACAAGTGGTACTGCACCATGGTCGTCGCTATCACCTGCTTCGTCGTCGCTTTCGCGTCCAGTGTTATCACGGCCGATATCAAGGGCGTGTGTGACGAATTTCACGTGAGCGAGGAGGTCGCACTGCTGAGTATCACTGTGTTTGTCGTCGGTTTCGGTGTCGGACCCATGATATTTGCGCCTCTATCCGAGATTTACGGTCGTCGGATCATCTAGTACGTTTTTGTTTGTATCCTACTGCTTCTGCCTTGCACCCAACTGACAACTCCTTTCCACAGCGGTTCTACTCTACTTGTTGCCGTGGTATTTATTATTCCCTGCGCCGTTGCCAAGAACATCGGCACTCTGATCGTCTGCCGTACCATCGACGGTATCGCCTTCTCCGCGCCCATGACCCTGGTCGGTGGCACACTGGCCGATCTTTGGAAGAACGAGGAGCGAGGTGTTCCTATGGCTGCCTTCTCGGCCGCTCCCTTCATCGGCCCCGCCATTGGTCCCCTCGTCGGTGGCTTCCTATCTGATGCCGCCGGCTGGCGTTGGCTCTACTGGATCCAGCTCATTCTTTCCGGTGTCATCTGGATCCTCATCACCTTCACCGTCCCCGAGACCTACACTCCCACTATCCTCGCACGCAGGGCCAAGAAGCTCCGCAAGGAGACCGGCTCCAAGGATCACGTTACCGAGCAGGAGATCGATACCCGTCCCTTCAGCGAGCGCCTGGGCATCTTCTTGATCCGGCCCTTCCAGCTGCTCTTTGGCGAGCTCATCGTCTTCCTCATCAGCATCTACATGTCTGTCCTGTACGGTCTTCTCTACATGTTCTTCGTCGCCTACCCCATCATCTTCCAGAAGGGCAAGGGCTACTCTGCGGGCATCACCGGCCTCATGTTTATCCCCGTCGCCGTCGGCGTCATCCTCTCGGCTATGTGCTCCCCGTGGGTCAACAATCACTACATCAGCCTCGTGAAAAAGCACAACGGCAACCCGCCGGCCGAGGTCCGCCTGATCCCCATGATGCTGAGCTGCTGGTTCATCCCCATCGGCCTCTTCATCTTTGCCTGGACCTCGTACAACCACCTGACCTGGGTCGGCCCCTGCCTCGGCGGCCTGCCCGTCGGCTTCGGCTTCATCTTCCTGTACAACGCGGCCAACAACTACCTCGTCGACTCGTACCAGCACCAGGCCGCCTCGGCCCTGGCCGCCAAGACCTGCATCCGGTCCTTCTGGGGCGCCGGCGTCGTCCTCTTCACGAACCAGATGTACGACCGGCTTGGCGACCAGTGGGCCTCGACGCTGCTGGCCTTCATCAGCCTCGCCTGCTGCGGCATCCCCTTCCTGTTCTGGCGCTACGGCGCCAAGATCCGCGGGCGCAGCAAGTACGCCTACGCCGGCGAGGACGACGAGGGCCAGTCGACCGGCGACGACGTGGAGAAGGCCAAGAAGAAGGCCAAGGCTCCCGAGCACGACGCTGAGGATCTGCGCCGGGCTATGAGCTACGTCAGCAACCCTTGAAGAAGGTTGGAAAAGTGACTGTAAAATCAAGCGAAACGTCTGGAAACAGCGAAAAGCGAAAGATTTGGAAAGGAGAGACCGGGAAAGGAGCTGCCAATCATGACAGACCCCCCGAGTAGAAAAGTCAGGCCGCGAGTGACGAGAGCGATCACCGGCCAGAGTACATGTGCATTGCACTATTGCATTGATAATACCCCACGAGCCGCGCGCATTTACAGCAGCTGCAGGCCATTACTTAGATTAATCTCATAATTTGTTCAAAAAGATATTACATCATGCCCCCACGTTCAGAAGGACCAGAACGACTAGAGATGTAGCAGATAATCATGCCTGTAAATCATGTTAAAAACGTTTACTTGGAAGCTAATGATCTCCATTACACAACTAATACACCACGATACCGCATCTTGCCCTCCCTGAGCTTCTCCATCGCCTCTGTCACGCCCTCCGGTGTCATGGCGAACTTCTCAATCTGCGGCCTGACTCCGTGCTTGGCAGCAAAGGCCAGCATGGCTTGCACGCTGGCGACGGATGCGATCAGCGAGCCGTGGATGCTGAGGCCGCTCATGTTGAGATGAATCGGCGACAGCTGGATCGGGTCGAAGCTCGCGGCCAGGGTGAAAATCTTGGCTCCGGGAGATAGGATGGGAAGGAATCTGTAACCACGCAGGGAACCAATGATCAGTGGACTTGTGACGCTCGAGTTCATGGGGCTGGACTCACTTGGTAAAATCCGACCCGCCGCCCGCCGTGACGAGTAGCACATCCACCTTGGCCTCGCTATTCAGGCTGTCCGTGCCGCTGGTGACGTGGAACTCGGACGCGCCAAACTCGATGGCCTTGTCCCGCTTGTCCGCCGAGCTGGAGAAGACAACGGCCTCGAGGCCCATCTTGGACGCGAACTGGATGGCAAGGTGGCCCAGCCCGCCGACGCCGACGATGCCGACGCGGTCCCCCGCACGCAGGCCGGCGGTATAGAGCGGGCTCCAGACGGTCGCGCCGCCGCAAATGAGCGGTCCCGCGTCCTCGGAGGCGATCTCGTCCGGGATTTTGAAGAGGGCTGAGACGTCCCAGGCGACGGCGGTGCCGAAGCAGCCCTGGTCTGTGTCGGCGGAGCCGAAGGCCGTGGAGTTGGGGCATTCGTTCTGGCGGCCTTTTGACACGGAGTTAGTTGAAATAAGATTTACACATGATGCTCACCCCCAGTGTGGAGAGAGAGTCTGAGTGAACTCACCAGTCAGGCAGGACTTGCACTGCCCGCAAAACTTGTGAAACCAGCCCATGCCCACGCGGTCGCCGACGCGAAAGCTCGAGACGGACTCGACGGCCGAACCGACCTCGACAATGACTCCGATGCCCTCGTGGCCAAGGCCCATATCGGTGTGACGGTAGAGCTCGTCGGTTCCGCAGACGCCGCAGTGGGACAGCTTGACGATGGCCTCGGTTGGGCCGGGATCGCGGTGGCCCGTGGCCTGGACGATGTCCCCCGCCGCGGAGCCCTTGAAGACGGTGAAATCGATGCCCATGATTGCGTTAGGCTGAGGGTAGGTGAGTGGTAATGAGAGGATAGCGCGTCAGGTGTAAGGGGATTAAGTTTGGTGAAGTGTGTGTGCTTCTGCTCCCCTTATGTTCATCTGGTGCAGCAAGTCAAGCATCTTATATCTCCACGGATCTCCTTCCTCCAGAAGAAGTTGAGCATGTGGCAGCCTCCTCATCACAAATCATTCTTCTCTACGACAATAAACGAATCAATTTGTTGGATTACGTGTCTTGGTTCCCCGGAGTGTTGCCTGACAGTGCTGTCTACCTATGCCGGAAGATGACCAACGGAGGACGGGGTCCACACTTGACCGCACAGCTTGCGGTCTCCACCTTTGCCCGCAACCTTACAGGCTTTCCGGGCCATGATTCGAGAAACTGTGTGGTGGCCAGATCCGCTTCTGACCGTCCGGAGCTTACTAAATGTTCGAAATCGTCACTGTGACCCTACACATGCAGTTGATGAACCAAGTGAGTCGGAGTAACAACCGTGCCGCTTAACCACAGATGCATCATTCCAAAGTGAGACCGAGAAACTCCACAATTGACCGTGTCTGACAGCGTCTACCGCATCGACTGTATCCGCCTTTCCGTCCTGTGTCACCACCGCGAGGCCTGTTGCAGAGAGGCGTCTATCCAGTGGAGCAGACGAGACAAAAGAACCCCTTCAACTGCTCCGGGTACACCCGTTGAGCCATGTCTATTCGCCGCAAGTCATGCGAGCCCTGTTACAAGGCCCGGCGCAAATGTGACCTGGAGTATCCGGTCTGCACCAGGTGCACCAAGAGCGGCAAGCCATGCCATTACGTATACCCGCCGCAGCTCGGTGTATTCTCTACAGAGACGCCCCTCGATATGTCATCTTCACCCTCCGCAGAGGTCGCCTCCACATATGACCGCAAGGTCGCTTGCCCCCAGCCTGATCCAACCTCCAGCTTACCAATCCAAACCGCTGGCCCGCGCCTCTTCCAACCGTCCTCCGTCGACTACCTAGCGCCATTCAAGGGCTGCGACCACGACTGGACCTGGGTCGTCCATCAGATCCGCGACCTGCCGCTGGACTTCGCACGGCGCGCAGAGACGCTCTTCATACACCAGGCCCTCTACGGCGACGACGGCACCCTTCCCCCACCTCTGCGCGCCGCGTTCGGCATCTGCGCCGCAGCCTCGGTTTCGCTTAACGAACACACGCGGCCCGTCTTCTTCCGCGCCCTCGACGACGAGGTAGCCGAGCTGCTGCGTGCGGCACCCTCCTCCTCTACGTCAACGACGGTAACGACGCCGCTCGCCGAGGACCTCGCCCGCCTGCAGGCCGCCGTGCTGTACCAGATTATCCGGCTGTTCCAGGGCGGCGCCGAGCAGCGCGTCGTCGCCGAGCGCCAGGAGTTCCTCGTCAGATCGTATGGGCTCGCGCTGTTGCAGAGAGCGGACGCTGAGCTGCACCACGACGAGCCGCACAACGACGAGCTGCAGAGCTGGCAGGCCTGGCTGCTGGAGGAGAGCGTCCGGCGCACGGTCTTCGTCGCCTTCAAGCTCTACACCATCTACTCGCATTTCCGGCACGGGGTGTGCGCCGAGACCGAGGCCCTGGCCATGCTGCCCGTCTCGTCGTCGCGTCCGCCCGGGTCGTGGTGGTCGCGGGAGGCGTTCTATCGTCTCCCGCACAAGGACGGCGGCCTGCGGCGGCGCATGTCGCCGACGGATATTGTGACGTATGGGGAGTTTACCCAGCAGTGGGAGGTCGCGCCGCGGGGCGACATCGATGCTTACGAGATGATCATGCTCGTCGGGTGCAAGGGGCTGGGTCGTGTCGAGGCGCTGATTGAGCGCAGCCGGCGGGATGCTGTTGTGGTGTGAGGAGGCGGGAGGTGAATCTGGAACTATCGTGTTATTGGATCGTTCTCTTTGAAGACATATGCTGTTGGTTGACTAGATATTTCATGTATTTTGCTCTAGCGTCTGGATCTATATAGTTACACATACTTTTGGTTTTTACAGGAGGACAAAAGCACCCAGCATCACAGCCGCAAACCCAGCCATAGCTGACTGGCCAATGCCAGAAGCAGCATTGGTATTCTTGGGCCCGGCGGCTGTCGTAGTGGACGTGCCATTGCTGCCGCCACCGCCGCTGGCCGACTTGTCCGTGGTCGCGATCCTCCCGTCTGTCTTGACATCCAAGGTACCCTGTGTCTTGAAATAACTGATCAGCACCGCATCCAGCGGATCCAGCGTCGCGAACCCTTCCCTGGCCACGAAGAAGCTATCGCCACCGCTGGCCAAGAAATCGACCGTGACAATGTTGTACGTCTTGCTCTTGTCCAGCGGCTTGCCCTGGATGTCCACGGAGACGAGGCGGGATCCGGCCGGGTTGGCCGGGTTGTAGGTGACGCGGACGTCCTTGGAGATCTGCGGGAAGGACGTGACCTTCTGCTTGTTGAACTGGTTGACGCCCGTGAAGAAGCCCTCAAAGACCTTCCACAGGTCCTCGCCCTTGAACTCGAGCTCGACGAGGGCGTTGCCAAAGGGGAAGGAGGTCAGGACCTCGCCGCGGGTGATGGGGCCGGCGTCGATGGTAGCGCGAACGCCACCGCCGTTGGTGATGGCGAAGACGGCCTTGGAGCTCGAGTTGTGGGCGTAAGCCATCATAGCACTGTCGGGATTCAGCATTGGCGAGAACTGTTCCATGGATATTGAAGACGTTGGGATATCAGACGTACTCAGCAATCACATCGCCCAGCAGGCACTCCTCCGACTTGCACTTCTCGGCGTCGAGCACGACCTTGGTGTCGCCGACCTTCTCGGCCGCGAAGGCCTCAAACGGCTTGCGCCACTCGTTGATCTGGTCCTGCAGCTGCTTGTCCTGCGCCGTCGCGTTGGTCATGTGGATCGGGCCGCCGTGGTAGGCCAGGATCTTGCCGCTCGGGTCGTACGTCACGTCGATGTAGCCGAGGTACTCGCCCCAGCGGTAGGCCGTGACGATGAAGACCTCGTCGCCGTCCTTGTTCTTCTTGATGGTCGGGTAAGGGCCCTGCGCGCCCTTGAAGTCGCCGAGCGGCGTGTGCGAGTGCCCGCCCATGATGAGGTGCAGGCCCGTCGTGGCCTCGGCGAGCTTCTGGTCCTCCTGGTAGCCGATGTGCGTGATGGCGGCGATGCGCGTGATGTTGGTCGTCGACTTGATCAGGTTGATGGTGTTTTGCACGGCCTCGACGGCGTTGCTGAAGACGGTGGTCTTGTCGGGCTTGGAGATGCTGGCCGTGGTCTCGGTGGTGACGCCGATGACGGCCAGGCCGTACTGCTCGTAGATGTGGAACGGCTTGATGGTCTTGTTGAGCTTCTCGTTCTGCGAGTGGATGTTGGCCGAGATGATGGGGAAGGTCAGATTCTGGACGAACTGGCCCAGCTTCTCGTCGCCGGCGTCGAACTCGTGGTTGCCGAGCGTCATGCCGTCAAAGCCCATCTGGTTGAGCGTCGCGGCGATCTTCTCGCCGCCGTAGTACTGGTAGAAAAGCGTGCCCTGGAACTCGTCGCCGACGTTGAGGAAGAGGCTGTCCCGGTGCGAGGGCCGCGTCTGGTTGACGGCGGTGCGCACGCGCGCATAGCCGCCGTAGCAGCCCTTGGACGGATTGGTGCAGTCGTTGCCCGCCGGGGCGAACTGGTCGAGGTGGGCGTGCACATCGTTGATGTGGTAGAACGAGATGTTGTAGTTGCCCTTCTCGTCGATGAAGCGCTTGCTCAGGCGGCGCTTGCTGATCAGGACGTCCTCGGCGCTGACGGCGACGGCGCCGAGCGCAAGCAGGGTGTGCAGCGCAGCACTGAGCACACGAAGGGACCTCATCTTTTCTCCACGCATGGGACTGTGACGCCTGTATCGTGCGGCGAAGGGTCAATTGGGTGGTCAATTGGCCCAGTGGTAGATTCTTGAGGCACGAGGAATCGGCGGTTCACGAGCAGGACGAGTGGCCATCGTGAGACCGGCTGCCTCGGCCGAGGGAGTGACGGTGATCTTTATATATCGTCCATGCGACCACCACTAGGATCCCTATGACATATGTCGCACCGCTGATACCTGCAGAAAGAGGAAGCTCCCAAGCGAAGACATTTTGGTCGGGCGTGCGGCTGATTGGCTGCGCATCGCCCGTCAACAGGGTTTCTTCCGCGTTACGGGTCGGGGCTAAGGCCAGCCATCCAGACTTGCTGCGGGATTGAGACCTGTTCGGGACTCTTGTGGCTGTTGGAGGGAGGAGGGTTGCGAGATTGCTCCCCTTGGTCCCGCACCGGAGTCTTGGCACCAGGGCACAGCATGCGATAAGGTCGCCCATGTGCCGTCGCGATACGGCGGGAGATGATCTTGGCACCAATGCTAAAAACAGGAGGTGCTTTTCAGCTTCACATCAGCACTAATCGCGTGTAGTACAGCCCCATACTACTTGTATATGATGATGTCGTCGGCGAGCTTCGTGGAATTGTCAAAGGTTCTTTTAAACTCAATTCCAAGCACCAATGGACCTGGTCAGCGTGCTAAACGCTTGCTTCTACCGACGGCTAAGAGCGTGTGGCGTTGCTAGCTGCAGGAGACACGGGATCCAAGGTTTGAACTTTGCGGGAGCTCCGAGTTCAGTGTATCTATTTTCGAACGAACTGCCAAATTCTCATGAGTTGTTGTAGCACATGAAATGGCCTCTATTGCGCAGCAGGATTCGGAGTAGGTGGAATTGTCTATCGACACCACGTGCTTTCAATTGTTCATGCACATGTCTTGGCAGATCTAAGATGAATCTATGGGCGTCTTGGCAAGAGGCCATATCTCCACCCCTGTGAGACCGTCTCGGGGTAAGCTTGTGTTCGTCTTGGAAGGAGTCCCTTTGGGTAATCAAGATCTATCGTAAAGTTATAGGTCGAGACCGCGGATGCGATCATGCTGTATTCTCCATTCAACGCACCAGCGTCTCGTGGCCATTTCCTCACACGCTACCCGGACATGGATCTGGGTATGCTTTGACTCGGAATCACGACCGCTCCGTGTGCTCAACAAGTTCCGTCGCCTGTGCCTCTTGTCCGTCTCGCTTCTCGCCGAGCGTCTCACGCTTCTGAACATCCCGGAACGCCTCATCCATGATGGTTGTCTTGTACGACTTGAACTTCCATGCCGAGACCTTATTGGCGAACAGCTCGTCGATCTCCTCGAGAGTGCGGCCCTTGAGCTCGGGCATGAAGAAGAAGAAAAAGACGAGACAGCAAAGGTTGGAGCCGGCCCAGATGTAGCCATATTTCGCGCCCTGAAACGAGGGGAGGTTAGCTATTTCGTGGACTTGAAGATACTACCCATATCTCGACTTACCCAGTTCAGGTTCCCAGGGTTGATAAAGTATGGCGAGCAGAAGCCCGTCAGCCAGGCCAGAAAATAGCCCAAGCTGATGGCACTGCCGACCGTCCACGATCGCAGCCGGGTGCTCACGAGCTCCGTGGCAACAGGATAACTGGCATCTCCGACGAAGGCATTGTAGCTGAACATGAAGAGCGCGTTAAAGGCAATGGTGCACTTCCTCGCGGTCAGGGAATGCGGATCGAGCACCGTCACGGCGACGGCCATGCCTAGCATACACAGACCCTGCGCAACTGCGCCAATCATGAGAATGCTTCGACGGCCGACAAGATGGCGCATGGAGTAGATGCCGACGTTGACACCGATGAAACCGAGACAGGTGTTCATGACTGAGTATTTGAAGGCCTCGTCGACAGTGAGGCCAGCCACAATCATGAAGTAGGTGCTGTATGAGATGACAAACCAAGAGCCCGCTGCGGTCTGACAGGCGATCATGCCATAGCAAAGCAACGTTCGCCGAAGTTCCGTGCCTGGATCAACAATGTCAGACATGGCTGATAGGCATATGTCGAAGAACAGCTCGCAGACTTACCCTTGTACATATCCAGAGCCCCGACTGTGCTAGCCATGCGCTGCTCCTCCTCGATACCCTTCTCCATCTCGGTCCACTCGAGCTCGAGCTCTTGAGGCGTGAGCGAGTCCGCCCTCAAGGTCTCCAGCGCCTTCCTGGCCTCCTCAATCTTTCCCTTATTCAGCAGGTAGCGCGGCGACTCTGGGACAAAGCAAAGGCCTATGGCTAGTAGGACGGGAACGATGAACAAGATCCCGATCGGGATCTGGTACGAGGCCTTGTCGAAGCGCTTTCGGGTGCTGTTGGTGACGGCCGCCCCGACGATGCTGCCGATGTTGACCCATTCCGAAAAGAGGGCGACCATGACGGCGCGAAGGTGGGCCGGTGCGGCCTCGGCGGTGTAGATGTTGGAGAACGTCACGAGGAAGCCGTTGCCGATGCCTAGTACCAGACGGCCCAGATAGACGACACCCTGCGAGGTGGTGCCGATCTGGATGGCGGCGCCGGCGACGTTGAGAAGACATGCCAGCCACAACGCAACCTTGCGACCAAAGAAGTGGGCGAACGCGCCGGCGACCAGGGACGACAGGAAGGCGCCGAGCGTAAGGAGAGATCCGATCAACTGTTGGAAGGTATGCTAGTGGTGCGAATCTTCGTGTCAACAAGGCGGTGTAGTCTCGAACCCAAAAGTATCTGCGGAGGCCTTACCTCGATGCCAAAGCCTCCTGGCTGCGTAGGGTCAGGATGTCCAAAGACAGCGAGGAACCCAGGCATGGCTTGCAGGCTGGCGATGGCGGCTGAGTCAAGGCCATACTGCATGTTGGCAACGGCGACAATGCCGCATATTAGCAGGCATTTGCGATTCGCCCAGAGGGACGTTTCTGGGAGGCGAGCCACAGGAGAGGCCGACATCGTGTTGTGGATGTAAAGGGTGGTCACAGCAGGATCATCAAGCTTTCTACAGGGTCTATGAGGCAGAGGAAGTGACTGAAATATTTACAGCAAAGTGTTCACGGTTGGGGGTACCGAGGTATTGATATGCATTTACGAATCAGCAGCCTCTGCCAGGGATGGAAATGCTCATCCCCGACTGCATGGCAGCCGAGAGGTATTGGTTTCCGAAGAACGGAGCTCGGGCCCTGCCATGCACCAATAATGACGTTCGAAGAGGAAGTTAGTGTTATCACCAGGGTCTTTGCACTCTTGCTATCTCCATTTCGATCTTCATCGGAGGTATGCTCGCGAGACTTCCCCGCATCTCGGTAGTTAATTGTGAGTTGCAACGGTGTGAGCAGAGAGCGTTTGCGGGATGCAGATCACAAAAGAAGAATGCGGGGAAAGTGTCATCTCCACTTCCCGGATGGGCGAGCGACTCGGCCGAATTTTTTTAGGAACTCCTCATCAGGACACAAGCCATTGTGGGTTAGGCATCGTGGGGAATCAGCCATGCATAATGCGTAGTGGGACACTGTCAGCTCAAGGTCTGTGATATGAAATCGCGCCCAACCTGATCTAACGGGTCTTGCGGGTATTCATTTGCATCCCGAGATGAGAATTTCGGGACATCGAGGTGGACCACGAGTCGGTGTTGGCGTGCGGCGTGGACAGCCTCCGGTCCGGATATTGCTCCGCTTCCGATCGCTTCTTTCGAATTGAGATTCAGCATCGCCTCCCAAACTCTGGAAAGGCTCCTACTGCCGAGGAATACTAGTCACAATATAGCGGTGTGGCCTTTAATCATAGACGCCCGTTCGCCACGAACAACTACGAGACTCCTCTCTTGGGTCTCCAGTTTGGCATCAAGGAGGCCCAAGCCCCTTGGCTGGTTGGTGGGTTGTAAGCAACTGTGCCACACTAAATAGATTTCGACTTTGACCCAGCTGTAGCTTCTCGACTGGAAAGGAATTCATGTCTCAGAATCGTAGCCTGGGGTTTGCAGTGCTTCGGGAAGCAAGTTATAGGAGGAGTAGAAACTGCTTCCAGTTTAGGGTCGAGACCGTCTGAGCTATCCATTTGACAATGAGAGATCCTCACAGCAGATCGTTGTCTTAGATAATCGCAGTACCCGAACTAATAAAGTCCTCAACCCAAAGGCCTGGTGCTTCTGGTCTCCTTCATTTTCGCTTAAATATCCAAAGCCGACCATTTTGAAAGATTGTGTGTGTGGAGGCCCCTGGGAACGTGTATCAATAGTCAAAATGCTTGAGCCTATCAACTTTTCGCACGAGGCCGATTGATCTTCACTTACAAGATTCGAGCTCTGGTATCGAGCTGTATTTAGACTAGCTAGAAAGTTAGCATATCGGACCCGCCAACGGCTGCATCCGCCCACAACGAAACCGAAATATCGGATTTCCATTGACGAATCAGACATGAGATTTAACTAACGTGTCGTTCCTGACACGATGGGGAGCTGAGGTTTTGCAATACAATATCTGAATGATGTGGGTTATTCTACCTGTCTCGGTGTTCCGGGATAGTGGTTTGGGTGCCTTGATAGTGGTATGCAATGTGATACTTAAGGTGATGGGTCGTCCCGTCCTGACATCTCTTGGCGATTCTTGGCTCTGTTCACCTGTCCCAGCTAGTTGCTTTACTCCTTGTCTTTCGTTGGTACAATATTCTTATAGCTACCCTTCGATCTCGCCGGCATTATGAGGCTCCTTAGTACCATCAGCACATGGCTGGCCCTACTAGCTCTCAGTCATGCTGCCGTCGATGACAGCTGCGAAAACGAGGGCCCGAATATGGCTTCGTACATGGACGCCAAGAGCGGTGTCACGTACAAGCTGGCAATTCCGGCCGTGAGCAGGCCACAGTTCCCGCTCTTGATGTCCATTACTGCCCCCAAGAACGTTACATGGGCTGGCTTCGCGACCGGAGGTGCCATGGTTGGTGACCCGCTTCTTGTCGCCTACCCCAATGACGACACTGCTGTCGTGAGCAGTCGCTGGGCGACGTAGGTTCCCAATCCCTATCTGTCTGGTTTCTACCTGGGCTTGTAGGAGGGGAGGCTAAGTTGCAACTAGATCGCACACTCCTCCCGCCCTGTATAACAACACCAAGATCACCGTGTTCAAGAGCAGCGGCTCGAATGCGACACACTGGACTGCCAACTTCATCTGCTGCAAGGGCTGCAGCTCGTGGATCAATGGTTCGATCGACCCGCTCAGCCACAACGAGACCTTCGGCTTTGCAGTGAGCAGCAAGCCGGTTGCCCTGCCATCAAGCCCCAGCAGTCCCATTGGATACCACAACGTCAATCATGGCAGATTCGGTCTTGACATGAGCTCGGCACGGAATGACGCTGAGCAATTTGCGGCACTGGTCAAGACCTTCAAGGCGTCTGCCTAGTGCTCACCAACGACAAGAGATGTTACACCTAATACTCTACGCTGATAATCCGATGCACGCACTCCATAGAAGACTTCGTTGCGGGGGTCACATAGATTTGTACATATTGCCTCACTAGAATATAAAACAACGAGAGCCATTCATTTGCATATAAGCCCAATCTACCGATCCACTGTTTCAACCTCCCCAATCTTGATCCCACTCTTGTCCATCCCCTCTCTGAGAATCCTGATCTGCTTCTGAATCTCGACCCACAAGACGAGCTCGTCAAGATCCTTATCGCCCCGGACGCCCACCCAGTCGTCCTCCAACTCCTCCGTGACTACCTCCTTGCCGCCACCAGACTTGCCAACGCCGTGAGACCTCCCTGCGATCGCCAGAAGGCTCGCCACAAACGCCTCTTGCATGTAAGCAAAGCTGAAATCGACGGTGATCTCCGCGATGGCAGTGCAGAGCTTGTCGGGGAAGTCAATGTCTTTGTTGTCCGAAAGCTTTCTCTGCCAGAAGTGGCAGTACGCAGTGCGCTCCTTCAGGTTCGGGTCCGGGAAGAAGTACTTCCTGTCGAAGCGAGAGGGCCGTTTCTGCAAGAGTTTCTAGTCTCAGCATGTGTAGTCTATATGGAAATCCTTCCTGGGGATGCTCACAGATATACCCGGGTCAAGCCGGTCGAGATGGTTCGTGCTCCCGATCATAAATATGCCGTCGTTGCTCTTCAGTCCGTCTACCTCGTTGAGGAAGTAGCTTCGCACATTGTCTGATACAATGGTGTCTAGGTCTTCGAACACCAGGTAACAAGGTGCGAACTGACGAGCCTTGAGGAAGATTTGGTTGATCGAGTACTCCGGTCCTCCAAACTGAGCCAGCAGGGATGAGAATTAGCAAGAGTAATTGTACATCTAGGGAGGCGGTGAGAGACGGACAGAAGTCAAGGTTCGAACATAAAGTGTCGGTATGGGATCATCTCTGTTATACAGAGTATGCATCATTGCCTGTTCAAATATCAGTAACCGCGTTGCATCTCGCCAATGAGGAAGGACGACAGAACCTTGACTGAGACTGTCTTTCCATTCCCCGGAGGCCCGTAGTAGATGATGCCGCGCTTCCATGGCACTTTGAGTCCTTCATAGGTGTCTCTCGACTCGAAGAACGTGAGGTGGTCCTCAATGATGGCCTTCTTCATGTCCGGGTCCAGGATCACGTTATCCCAAGAGGCGTTCCTGACGCTATTATACAGGTCCTGGCTCTTCTGCCAGTACCCGCCGTCGAAGACCCAGACCTCGTCATGCAGCTCGTTGGTCCACTTGCCGACCTGCAGGATCATCGCCTCGGTCTGCTGCTTGTCGGCAGACAGCACGTAGAAGTTGGCGATGGAGGGGTAGGAGGCGCTGCCATCGCGCCCATCAACGAGGTAGACGATGAAGTCGTGGCCCTCCCACTTGTAGGCCATCTTGCCGTAGACCAATTTCTCAGCCACGACGCCGGCGTCGCCGTCGAGGCGGCGGGCAGGAGGGAGGAAGACTGTCCATTGCAGAGACGAGGGGAGCTCGTCGCTACTGTCTGGTCCCAGGAACCGGAAGCTGGCGTGCCCCGCGGCAGCATAGGACAGGAGATCGCTGGAGAGGCGTGGCACGACCGAGAGCTGGAGGTTGGGGTACTGCTGGGTTAGTGCCTGGACGATGACGGCGTCGGTGTTGATGCGAGGCGCGCTGGAGTGCTCGAAGAACTGCCTGGTGACCTCATCAGAGGCCTTGGGGGCAGGGTAGAATGACGTGGGCAACGACATGGCTGCGCAGCAATTGTATTTCTTCTAGTACCCAGTAATTCAAGCGCCGGGCTGAGCCGACATGAGAGCAATTGATGGCTCTCAAATTGATGAACGAATAAACAGTACAGAGCTTGTCCTGGCAGTCCGACGTAGGTCATGAATGGCAAATGTGGCAGCCTGGAGTCGGAAGGATCGGCGATGCTGAGCAGAGCTCGTACTTGCTGGTAGTGCGGGGGAGGGTCAGCTTCGCCACTCTCATGCCAAGCATCCAATCCTTGCTCGGTTTGAAACATGTTTGACCTTTCTGCTATTAAAGAGCTCGAGAGTAACAATGTGATTGTACAGCGATCGGTTCAGCTTCAACACAATCTTCCGTTGGAATTGTGACCAATCTATGAATGATGGCGTCAGAGCTATGCTGAGGTTGCTTCCAACATGGGGGATTGTGTGTCGTAGGTACATGGGATGGGGATGACAGGCTAACATCATTGGGAATTCCTCGAACTACCCGCAAGCCCGCTTCGTAGTAGCTACTCAGCTTCCGCTCCGGCCTGGGAAGAGACAGCGAGGTTGACATGCGGATCCGGGTGCCGAGTCCGGTCTTGGCGCGACCTGACCAACTGTTGAAGGTCCCCGGAGACATTTCTCAGTGGGTCAGGCTACAAAAGACCGCCTGGTCACACCCTCGAGATCGCTGCGACTCATGAGGGCCACTGTTGATGTGGCACGCTTTGTGCCTCAAATAGATCAAAGCTCATTGAGCTGCCACCTGTAATGGCAGTGTCTAGGTCGGCTTTGGCGTACTGGTCTTGCAAGAAGTCGCTCATTGGGACTTATAAGTAGACTGGGATGCTGACTAGCGCACCACACTCACTCACCATAATCCTCATCCACGAGACGAAAACCATTTCCTGGGCAGCATTGACATGCTTGATATCATTGTTCTTAATTATTTTCTGCTCTGCTGTAATCAGTGAATTAAGAGAACCCGAATCCGTTGAAACAGTCACGATTTCTTACATCCATCGAAGTCGTGACGCAAGCCGACCAGCTCGGTCCCGAGCGGAACCGAACCATCCTGTCTGCACGAATCCTGCGTTGATCCCACCGCGTCAGCAATGCCTGTGCCGCGACAGCAGCCAAGACGGCCTCTCAGCCAATGCAAATAGACCTGACACTAACGTTGAACAATATGCTCCCACAAAAGATGACCCTGTGGGTGGGCTCTTCCAGCTCGGCAGTAGTTGAAACTGCCGCCTACCGATGGGATCTTCGCAAACGCAGCTTAAACTCTGAGGCTGGCCGGTCCTCCCCAGCCCGAGGTCCGGGGAAACAGCAAGCCATTGCAATTGTCTTATCTATATAGGGACGGCATGGTGATACCAACTCAGCTATACCCCGACCCCTCCTACCCTTCGCTGACGGTGGAACACAACATCATCGCAAACCTCAAAATGCAGCAGACAACGACCATTTTGCTCTGTAAGTAATATCAATCCCATGGCAAGTTACTCATGAAACTGATCAGGATATCTTCCCTTCCATAGCTTCACTCGGCCTCGTCTCGGCCTACGGCCCATGGAGCAGTGGTGGCAATCCGTGGGGAGGCGGAGGATACGGCGGACAGGATGACTCGGGATCAGACACGTCAACTGGGTTCCCAGGCATATCGAGTGGGAGCAGCTCCTTCGCTGGCTTCGACATTAGCGCCGCAACGCATTACCGGACCATCCACGGGATACTCGCTGCCATCGCCTTCATCGGCCTCTTCCCGCTGGGCTCGATCCTCATGCGCATCGTTCCCGGCAAGTTCGCCATCTGGGCTCATGCTATCACGCAGATCGTCGCATACATCGTCTTTGCTGCCGCCGCCGCTCTAGGCTTCTACCTGGTCCACATCGTGCGAATCCCGTTTGGAAACGGAAATCTGGTAAGCCACGAACAATCGACCCGGGACCCTTCCAAATCTAAACCTATGCTGACCACACCCGCTCGGCCAGTTGAGCAACGATGCAGTCAACTACCACCCTATCATCGGTATCGTTGTGCTGGCCGCCCTTCTCATCCAACCCGTGCTAGGCCTCATCCACCACGCGCGGTTCAAGCGTCTGCGACGGCGCCAGGTCTGGTCCTACCTGCACATCTGGAACGGGCGCATCTTCATTACACTGGGGATCATTAATGGCGGGCTGGGGCTTGGGCTGGCTAGGGCCGGAGTGCCGGCCAAGGTGGCCTACTCGGTCGTGGCCGCCGTGATGTGGATCCTATGGGTGCTGGCCGCCATCTTTGGGGAGGCGAAGAGGGCGAGAGCTGCCAGAAAGGAGTCCAGGAGGAGTTCAAGGTCACGTGAGTGGAAGAAATAAGAGGTACAGCTGCTGCTTCAAGTCACGGCTCTCATCAAGGTTTTGAGGAGGATCATTATTTAGATAAAGTTCTGTAGTGTCGATACTGTGTGCCTTGCTTTGAGACAGATCATATGAAGACTACTCAAGACTGCAGGCTGCGCGTTTACCTTTCAGGTAATGACCCAATACAGGCAGGTGCTTCCCCATCCTGTTCACTCCGGAATATCTTCCATATCGATCCAATAGCATCCCATGCCGCCTCGAGGCATTTCCCGCTCGATTCAAGGCTTGTGCAGAGAAACAGAACAAAGAGACCGGAAGACTGGAAGCAATTGGCGCGAGTGGGAGAATGGCGACCCATGCGACAGATCAGGCGAAACCAAACCATGATGAGTTAGGCAAATTGTAGGCTCCCGTCATATAATGAGGGGAACTAGCTGGCGTGAGATCAAATATCAAGATGAAGGCAGAGGGAAGAATTTGCGATGTTCTTGTTTGTTGTTCTGATGATAGGTTTATACAGGTTAGAGTGAGGTGTAATGGTGATTGATTGATTCTATTCAGGTATAAAAGATGACAAAGAAATCTAGTGCTGAGTTGATGTATTGCCAACAAGAGATGGCCGGTTTGAGGTTCAAAGCACTGTGAGTGGGCAGTGGCACGGTTTGTGGTGCCGGCAATCCATAATGAAAAAACCCTTGCCCATCAGGGATTCTTCTCGGATCCTCCTAGCGACTCATCTTGCTATGAGCCTTCACGATCTCTTCAAGATGCGTGGTCTCTAGAATGTGAAAGTTGACACCATCAGCAGCAAGGTGTTTCAACAGCCACTCTCTCTGATCCTCCACGTACATAATCATGGCAGGATCCTCTTCGGTAGATGCCTCATGGATGATGATGTCCCTTAAACAGGTATGCTTTCCCGCACGGATGTCCAGTGCCAATCGTTCCATGCCTTCATATTCCCAGCTGATGAGGTGCGTGATGGTGAGCTTCCGCAATCTCGGTGTCGACGAGAACAGATTGGTGAAGCAGTTGTCGTCCGAGCCCCATATAGCTCGTCGGTCGAATGTGATCTCCTCGAGAGCCTGGAACTGGGACAGATCGCGAATAGAATATGCTTGGTCCTCCAGCGAAACTTGGTTCCAGTGCTCACTGAATGTGCAATCCAAGTTGATATGCAGAGACTTCAGCTTCTTCTGGAAAGGCACTAGTGCCTCGATGATATAGGCCGGTGTTGCTTGCCACTCAAACATGCCGCTGTGTGAGCAGCTGTCATAGTAGTAGAAATGTTCCAGACCGGGGCACAGTGAGAAGCAATCCTCGAGGTCTTCCTGGCTGAGGCTGCAGTGCGTAAGGGTGAGGGTCTTCAACTTGCTGAACTGGTGAATGTCCACATCCCCCATCTCTTGGTACCTCAGCTCCTGCACCATCGTGCGATCGAATTCAGCATCAGGCAAACCAATCATGGACATAAAATGACCATTTCCCACGGAGAACAACTGATGAAGAACCAGGTCCTCCACAGATGGTAGAGGTGGTAGGATTGATGTGCAAGAGTACCACGGCTCGCCATCATCACACATTGCTCCGGTGTCTGTCACGAATGTGGAGCAGGTCGAAAAGTATGCTGGAACCTCGATATCGATCTTCTTGGCATATGTGCCAGCAAGCTGAAGGAGAAATGCCAGGAGAAAACGATGCTGAACCTTCCAGGTCATTTGATGCCATTGTCCAGGGGCAACCAGTGAAGATTGGCTTGACTGCAACCCCAACAACTGGACAGACTCGCTCTTGAGGCTTTGGAAGACAGACGGAGTAGGCTCCGGTGGTGTGATAGGAATCTCTATGGTGCGCGTGAACGTGGCGTAATGTCGATGCTCCATAAAGGTCCGAGCCAAGAGGTGGAGGCTGATGAAGCGGCCTGGGCACCCTTCCCAAAAGCTCTTGAGGTGCCGATATTGATGTGGCAAGACACGAGCTCGAATGAATTGAGAGGTCGCACCCAGGGAGATAAGAGCAAGCATGCGCTCAGTGTAGTCGGTGCTGGAACAAGGCTCAGCAAGGAAACGGCAGATATTGTCCACCACCTCTGGAGGGAGACCGTCCAGTCGTGGAGGCATTATGGGAAGGAAGGGCAGTGTTCAGTTCAGTGCTCAAGGCTGTCGGCAAGCTGTGAGGATGGTTGAAGGACTCAAGACGTTCAAGGTTGAGTTGCAGGTAGAATTCCAGGTAATATTTAAAGAGAAAGAAAGACTTTTTATACGTATCTGTAGAGCTATACCCATATCGCAAGCTGGATGTGGTTGTTCACTCAATAAAGAGTTAATTCAACAACTGCGTCTTGGTTGGAAAATGCAATTCACTGAGAATTCACTAATTTAGAAAACACAGAATAGTTAAAACACACATTCTCGGTGAATCACTCGGTTATGATATACCAGGATATGCCAAATAGTGAAGTAATCAAACTGAGTCGGCCGACAAGCGCCATGCCCTCTGCAAGCGACTTTAAGAACATCGAAGAGATGTATGTTCAGAAGACTCATGCCACTTTCATGATGGAGCTCTTAACTGTTTCTATATGCAGATGTCTATCTCTGCAAACATCAACGTCTTGCATTGCGAGAAGCTTTAGATTCTCTTTGAAGTTGCACAGACAAGAACTAGGATTGATATTGGCTACTAGCTCTGTATCTTACACAAAGACCTTGACCCACATCAAGGGTGTTTGATTGAATGAGTGATGATTCACTGTATAAACAACAAGCACATATACACACATGACAGTCTCGTGTTTGGGTAGAGTCACTGATGAATGGTTGACAAGCAAGTTCCAGCACGCACCAAAGTTTAGTTTATGGGTAACACCTGCTGATCTTTCCGTCCTGTACACGAAATCGCGAAAGTGTCCTTCTTTCAGCCGCCGCTCCAGCACTTGGTAAAACAATAAGCAGCACAACTGTCCTCCTTTCAGGTGTTGCCCAGACCCTAGTGAATAATCCATGGCTCCATTCATTCCCACGAATTCTCTAGGTTCTCTGATAGAAAGTTCGAACCTCACCACGCTCCTGCCATGGCTTTGCACCGGTGGCACCATACCAATCATCTACCCGACGTTCTTCCTCCTCTTCTTCCTTGATTGATTCTTCAACTCCCGTGAGAATAACCAGTTGCAAGTTTGGAAATGCTCCATCGTGAATTGCAGAATCGAATGCAGCCATCACTGGAGGGTTCGGTATGCCGCACTGACTAAGCCTGAGCTCCCTTAACTGGGGGCAGTTTGTAATTAAGCGGACAAGGCAATGTTTGTCCGCTTGAGCGATCGAGTTGAAGTTGACAGTCAGCTTTTTAAGTGCTGACAATGGGGGTACAGAACCCAGCAGATCGTTGTCGGTCCATGCTGCTGGATTCTCCGTCCAGTATTCGCATGCGCATGCTATATCAACCTCGATGGTTTCAAGAGTTCGTTGGGTGGGCAGAAGGGAACCAAAAAGTGCTTTTGGTGTGGCATGATCCATCAGGTCAAGATCATATTGCGCCCACAGTTCATAGCGTTGCTTGTACTCGAATTGTTTGAGCTTTGGACAGGAAATGACAATCGACTCCACAGCATGGGCTCCCATGACACAGTTGTTGAACCTGAGTAGTGTCAGATTCTTGAAATGCTGAGTGGTAATGTCAGGAGCCTTCTCGATCCTGCTGATGTTGACCAACTGTAGAATCTTGAGTTTCGGCATGGATTTAGTCAATCGAAAGATATTGGCCTTGTCGCTTGTAAGCAGGTCGTCAAGTCGCAACCTTGTCAAGCGCTTGAGGTGGCGCACTCTAGGGACGCTCACATCCCCAGCAATCGGTGCTTGTCTCTCAGGTCTGATGATCCCGTTGAGATAGGAGGGCATTGTGACAGACATTCTCTGTAGTCGTTCCGAAGCTAGATTCATCAAAAACACCAGGAGGTATGTGTTTTGCGTGAATAAGGGAAAGCCGTAGAATTTCTCAAGGTTGCAGTCAGAACTGTTCAGTGTGAAGGCATTCTCTAACGCAGCACCCCACGGTTGCATGCTCTGAAATGTTGGGGTGCTCCTATGCACTGGGTTCTGCTGAAAGTGAATGAACCTGATATGTTTTGGAAGCTCAGGATGCTCTATTAATGTGCACACCAGCTTCAGCATATTGATGTCTTGGGTCGGAGTTCCCAGCCAGAAGGCCTGAATACGACGGTATTGGTATGGAATGACAAGCTGGTGAAACGCCCGACAGGTCTCTCCCAAACGCACAAGCCCTAGCATTCGTTGTGCATGATCGTTTTCGGGGAACGGGTGCTCGAGGTTCTCGCAAATCTGGAGCCAGAGCTCGGGAGGGAAAGGGTTCCTGTCTTTAGGACGAGGCATTGATGGCTGAAGAAGAATTCTAGAAGATCAGGCAAAGATAAGGAATGAGCGGTGCCTCAAACCTGGCACATGTTCTAGCCTTTACAAAGTCCCTAGCAGTGTGATTAATTACAATAAGTGATCCCCAGCTTGTCGTGATCACACAAAGAGCCTTTGGTTTGAACAAGCCATGCGATCACATCACAAAAAAGCGGATTTAGCCAAACTTTTGATAGTTGATATTAAATTCAGCAGAAAGAGAATAAGGGTGATTGACACTAGTTGTTTTGTGTTCCAAGAGCCATAAAGAAGGGCAAAAGGGGCCGAATCAACCAAGGCCGCTTTATGCCTCAGGATCACAAATGATAGGCCTTGCATCTTCTTCAGTCAGGTTGAGGTAGTGGAGTATCTGTCTGTTGGACCCTTTCCCATTAAAGAAAAACAATGTTGCACCCCTTGAAAGAAGGTGGGGGACTTTCCAAAGCCTCAAGCCAACAAAGCAGCAAATGCAGCCGCAAGTGCAGCCGCACTGACTCCATGAACAGCAGCACCAGCGGTCGGAACAGCACTTGGCGGACCAGTCATGGAGTTGGTCATTGTGGCAGTCATGGAGTTGGTCATCGAGCCTGTCATGGAACCACTGGTGGACTGAGGCATTCCCGAACTTGTAGCAGGAGTCGTGCTGTTGGGAACCGGAGCGACTGCGGCCCCATATTGGTCGCACACGGGGTTGGGCGAGAGAGGGCAGGTATCCTTGATACAGATTGCCTGCAGCTCTTTATCGGTGGGCGGAACGGCGGCGGCGGGTGGGCTGCATCGCAGGCCGAACAGCTGGTTGAGAGCCATGCCGACCATCTCAAGGTCTTCCTTGGCGACACCGAAAGACGCGGCGGACATTGCCACCTGCTGGACAAAGTACCCAAGCTCGTTGGGCCCCAGATCCATGAACTTGTGTACTTTGGCCTGTTGCAACCAAAATTAGCTTTATCCACATAGCTTTAAGTATCAGTCGTGACTGACCATCGACGTTTGACCATCGTAGGCTGGGAATCCGTTCATGCCGTACTGGGAGCATCCCAGGAGTGCGCCGAAGAACTCGTACAGATGGGTGAGAAGGAAGCTGCCAAACATATCTCTGATTAGCTTTGCACGATCCCGACTTCCTTGGACATTTTACGTACTATTGGTGGGATGTATTGTCATTCGCAGCCATGTTCTTCTTCAAGGGGTCGGCGCCGCCCCCATCAAGGAAATTGACAGAAACACCAGCATTGCCCCCGCGGTTTGTCGACTTAAGATCGCCGTTGAAGTAGGGTAAAAGGTTGACTTCCGTACCGTTGTACATCCCGGGGGCAAGGATACCGTCGACCTTGATGCCGACATTCGGGGTAGTGTCTGTATGATTGTTTAGTCAGGAGCTGGACGGTAAGGGAGGGTTCGTAATGGAGGCATACAGTTGCCGATAACAGCCGTGTTGACGACAAGGGTCAGAACGGCGAGCTGATTTGCACCGGTGTTATTTTTGAGCAGAGCGGTCGTGTAATAGTCACATATGGACATATTTGTTGGGCGCTGGGACATCACGAGCCCGGCCGAGGCCAATGTCAATACAGATCGTGTGAAATGCATCGTGAACTGAGTAAGGGAATCGATCGTTCAGGATACTTGCAAATTCTTTGATGATGACAAAACTTGCTACGGGACGAGAAAGCGTAGCCTAGGGCATGGCGGACACGGCGCTCCTTTATTACATACACTTCGCCTCGGGGTGGTATCAAGGTAATACACGTACACCGACTAGCACCATACCTCACATTGTTTGCATCAGGGAGTCGCGGATCACTCGCCACCACGGACGAATGAAAGGCCGAAAGTCGAAGAATTGGATAGAGTTGATGCCATCCTAATATCCATTAGACTTGCGCACTGTGTACCTAGCTAACTCTCGTTCTCAAGTCTCTCACACTCTGGAGAATGAGCTAGCCAAACCCGAGCCAGTCCATCATTCTCCGGAGCATCGATTCCCTTGGTCGACAGCCCATAGAAATACGGGGAAACATATCAATAAAGAGGAATGCCACTTTGCGTCAAGGGCCAAAGATAACAGTCTTGGAATTTATTATTACACGCTTCTGATTGAACATTCCAAGCTTGACTACCGAAGCCTGCCGCAGAATGCGAAGGAGCCGTCGTCCCCTTGAGCTGTTATTGTAGCACAAGATCTCTAACCAAGCTAAGAGTTCGGATGTTGTCTCTCAATCTCGCGCTGTCATTCCTTGGGATGTTACCCCCTGCCAGGAGTAGTTACGTGCCGATGAACTCAAGCTCAAAGACAACCCCCAATCAAGATGTGGGCTTTACCAACCAGCGTCGATCCCAAGCTCTTAGCCCCGGATAAGGCTGTTTCCAGCCCTTTCGGCGCTGAGCTAGCACGCAGTTCAGCCTAGCGCATCGCTCGGGAAGCATCTGCTCCGTCGGGTAGCGAGCTTTCCGCCCAATAGACTGGCGCGTGATGTCAATCGGCCGAATCAAGTAATATCAATTGACAGTTTGCAGCTTTGAAGAGCTAAGAAAGGTGTTTGCTACTCTTCGATGATGTCAACGTATCCTGAAGAGGTTACACCTATGCTCATCTACACATACACACTAGAGGATTTAGATTTATCGTCATTCGGCCCCTATCATTGCTAGATCCAAGGGCCGACCGACACTGTGTTCTAAAGCACATAGCGGATAGACCATTTCCTCGGCGCACCACACCCGCGAGAACCGGCACTTGTAACTCTATTCGATTATTCCGACATGTGTTGGACTCACGCTAATCGATCTGAGGATGGACCACTGTTGCTTTCACGATCTCTGAATCTCCAACTCCAGTGACTCTCAGCATCCCGTATCAGCTCCTGCATGCTAGAGATAAATGCGCCGTGCGATCCTCGAAACTTCAGTCCTCGATCAAGGCATAACCTTGCATACCGGATGGCTTTGACAGCTTCTCCTACCCCATTCCACTCGAGGGCGGCCCGATAGTATGCCTCGTGCATCCTTCCCATCGCCCCTTCAAGCTCGACTAGCTGGATGAGAAGTTCGGCCTTGTCCGGCGAAGCTGTGGACTCTGGTGAATAGTCATCCAGCTCCTTCCATAGCTGGTGGATGCTTGTGATCCGTGCATCGGATTCTGCTGCAATGTGTGACTCAGCAGTACATCGGGAACAGCTACAACCGAACCCCCAGTCTTTTCGCAGTTTCTTTTGCCTGTTACTACGAAGTTGCAAGGGACTAGCTCTCCCGTCAGCTATGAGAACCAACACAACCTAAGATCCCGGCATCAACTCACTCGTAGTACGCCACGGAAAGCTCTTCCCCTGGAAGGATGTCGGTTACAGCCACAACCTTATGCAAGAAGGTGCTTGGGTCAAAGTAATACGCACAATTCGGTGTGCAGTCGTGATTTAACCGGGAGACTTTTGCTGCGGTCAGAAGACAAGATCCGGGCCCTAGACTGTTGACATAACATACCTTCAGTAAATATGGAGTGAAACTCCCAGCCTTGGTCCGGGATGGTCGTTCGAAAGGCGTTCGTTGCGAATATGTCATACGAGTCCTCTCCTGGGTTGGATACATGATCGTGCTTGGAAAGCTTGAAGAATTCTGACCGGTGAGGCTCTGGGAGGTCCGCAGCGGCATGCTGAAGCAAGGATGCCAAACCTGCCCTATTCGCCGTCCTGACTGCTCGCCCATCAAGCATTACTGCCGGAGAACGGCTCAGAACCTGATGACCTGTTCGGATTGGCTGTGTTGCGATCAGGCCGATTCCTTTTCCAGGGATCTGAACATCTTTGAACCGTTTGGTATCTCTTAACCATGGTTGCTCATTGATCGACTCAATATCATCTTGGAAGACAGATAGGCGGGAGAGTTCGTGAAACCTCTCCTCCGTCGTAATGATTGATACGTCCTCTCCTTGCTTGAAATGGCGGTTGGTGTAGGTGCAGAACTTCTCATGCGAAAAGGGATAGCACCGTCCTTTCCGAAAAGATCTTGCTCTGGCGGACCGCTGGGTTACATGGCTGTCGGCTGTGGTACGATTCGTCACAAGGTCAGCTACTTGGCAGACTTGGGGCTGGAACCGGAGCGCCTGCGCGACAGTGAAGCGGTCTTCATGGCCTGACCACGCTTCACTCAGTGCAGCATCCGCGACTAGTGCGCATACAAATAGTGATAGAATGTGCCACATTTTTGATAGTTCTCGGGTGGTGGTGGTCTAGATTTCGTAGAACAAAATGTGCGGCCTGGCCCGGCTGTCGTGTCACTATTCTGTTTTGTGGATTACGAGTGTGGCGGCGGTTGGTCCCGGGTCGTGTTTCACATGTGCAACAGATCTATCACCACGGCGGACGGTCAGTGCACCACAGAGCTTTTGTAGATCTTGTCAAGATTAAGTGGAACATGGCTGAGTTTAATTCATTGCTCTACGTGCACAGCTCATAGATATTAACTCATCTGGGGTTGCTGTTGTGATTTGCACTGGGCACTTTACTTATCCCGATTCCCACTATGCTCCACATATGATGGCGGACTCTGCCAACAGAATCAGTGAGGTGGGTTAGATGAAATCGATACATCGAGCATGATCACAATCGTGATGAACATGAAGCGCATTGGTACGATACGGAGGCTTTCTGCTCACATCGTGGACCTTGGCTCCCCGATGCCAGGCTCGGCGAGTGGGGCATGAGCGTCCTTTACTCACTTCACCGCCCGCTTAACTACGTGTGATTCTCTGTCTTTTCTACTCTGGCCTTTCTATTACATGACAGACAGTTGAGCGGGAAGATCATGACTAACTTCCCGCCAATCGACATGGCAATTGCCTGTTCACAGCCTCGCTTCCCCGGGGACGTCGAGCCCAAGCGCCTGTCCCGCTTGGCGCTCAAGTACATCGCGGACCACAACGGAGGCGATGACTACGCCTGCTCCTGGACGAAGATAGCGTGGAGAACATTCTTGCACTTCCAGAGCAGCCACGCAGCTTACTCAGCTACGGTTTCGGGAACGTGGACCGGGACGAGGCCTGCTGGGTCAAAGTCATCAGCAACAGGATGAAGACGGAATATGAGGGAGGCGGCGGTAGGTGGTGGCTGCGAGTGGGCGTCGCGGACCACCTGTGGTCCATTTGGTTCATGCCCTGACCCGGACTTCTACGTCGAGGAGATGGGCTGGCCGGATACAGAGGACGGAGTACAGAACATCTGGGGTCCGCCAGATCACTGGCAAAGTCAGATAATGGCAGCTCATTTCTGTTGATTTGGTGCTTAGAATACACAGACGACACGTATGGGCAAAAGAACAAGCACAATCATTTGCTAGAGGCGGCGCCAAGCGACATCCTTTCTGCGTATCTCGGAACAGAGCAATTCCAGCATGGAGGCGTCTGGACCGCTGCCAAGACCGAGACTATTGATGCAGGTGCGCCTGCAGTTGCCGACGCTAGGCATAGATGCTGACGGGATAGGACCGTCTCTGAGGCTGTGGTCAAGTTTGAGCATACGCCTGCATATGCACTAGACTCCTATGAAAAGAAAACCATGGCACATCGCTGGTTTTTCTTTTCTTCGACGGCGCCTCGGTATTGGATTAAGGACAGAGATTCAAGCCTCCGACACCGCCCTCCGGACATTCAGAAGTGTCTCACCTCTCGCCAATCATGCCCAGAGATTATAGGGTCATGCGCCGATGATTCGGATTCATTAAACCTTCTCTAGCATATAGCAAGCTTTGCTGGGGTGTTCGCCGTCAGCACGCACAAACAAGCCAATGGCGACCAGGTTCGAGTGTGGTGCTTCTGCAGATACGAGCCTGCCAACAGCGAGCGCCACACACATGTCGACGGCCTTCCGGACAATCGTGGGGGAGAGCTCCAGTTTTGGAAGAGAGATCTTCATGCTGACACTACCCGATGAGCCGCTGCATATTGATTGGTAGGTAACAGCAATGTCGGACCCTGGTGAACGAGGCTGATGGTGTTCGCATCTGATATTCTTTTCTATATTAAGCGCATGAACCCCGACCAGCCTGTCGGTAATCTGGTCGTGCACCATCTCATGCCTGCATCTACCCAAGTCACTCATTCTTTTTGAGATCTTTAGACGTCTCGATCAAAGATCCTTATCCACCATGCGCTTCAGTGCTGCCATTGTTCTCGTCGCCGGAGTCCTAGCCGCGGCTGTACCGAATGCTTGTCTGTCACCGAGCGACGCCGATAGCCTGGTCAAGGTCTACCGGGACCTGATCGCCGCGTACGATCCTGCCGTGGCTGACAAGTACCTCGCCGATAATTTCATCGAGTACAGCGACAGCATCAACATTCTCGCCGGCATGCCACTCGGAAGCCCTACCTTTCCCTCCAAGGATGTGTTCAAGCAAGTCCAGAGCGTCAACCCGCCTTTCCCTCTTGCGGTAGAGAAGGTCACTGGAGTTGCCTGCAACACGATATCGCTCATTTGGAGCGGCGCCTTCGGACAGGCGGCCAAAAGCGTGAGAGGCATTACTGTCATCACTGCGGCCAAGAAGGACGGTGCAAAGGGCTGCTGGAAGATCTCCAGACTTGATGTCGAGTTCAACTCAATCGCCTGGCTCGAGGATGAGGGAGGAAGCTACCAGTTGCCCCCGCGGCCTACCGCTTGAGGATTCGAGGATTGAAACATGCGGTGAGATCCCGGCTGGCGGATGGGGAACGAGTGGCCAGTTGGGCGAGAAATTAGGATGTAGTTGGTCTCGGTAGTCCCTAATCTAGTCACATATTCTTGCTTTGGCATCCTGAAGTAATGGAATGACTGGCTGAGCTCATCGGAGCCGCGGTTTTCAATGGCGCCAAGCTCGGCATGGCGCGCGTGGCGGCTTGATCTTTGCGCTAGCGTTATCGAGAGATTGTATGACGACAGTCAGTCTTAGGCACCAACCTCATTCTGTATAATGTTCCGTCAACGAGTAGTAAGAATCTCTCTCCGCCGAACGCCAAGTGGAATACATCCATGCCAAGGTCATATCCGCTCCGTCTGGCAACCTCAACATCACTGGTGATCGGATTCGCGCGCCGTCGTGGTGTCCGCACAGCGGCCATGAAACGGGCTGCAACGAGTTCCATGACTGGCGGGCGAGGTCCTAAGAAAGCGCGAGCAGCCATTGAGATACCCGAATATCACCTGACACCTTCCGCAAGAGATGACAGAGGCGAGATTATCTGGCCAGCTCCAGTCGAGAAGATAGAGGCGGCGAGGAGTTTCATTCTCGAATGGTGGGCCGATGCTCCCGAAACTTCACTACGGCCTCATTTGCCACCTCGACTGACTTGACAGCAGCGTATCTGCGGGTGAACGCACCTTGATCGTGCCAGATAAAGACGCCGATGGTCTCACTTCAGGAATGATACTGGAAAGGACATTGACATTACTTGGCCTCGACCCTGATCTGATCACCGCTTACCTATTAGAGAAGGGCACCACGGTGCATGATGAAGCGTCACGCGCGGCCATGACAGCTTTGAAACCCGCTTTCATCTTCGTGTTAGATCAGGGATCTAGACAGTCTCCACCGCTCGTCGAGGGCTCCCATCGCGGTTTGATTATTGACCATCACCATGCGCTTGAGGACGACCACCCCCAAGGCACCCTACACGTTACGGCCTGCCATTACCCGCCCGTAGCGACAACATCGTTGCTGACATATCTCATCTGCCATGAAATGCACGAGAAAGTGGAGGAGACTTGCGACTGGCTCTGCATAATGGGCACTCATGGTGACCTCGGCAACACCTTCAAGTGGGAGCCTCCGTTCCCAGATATGAAGGCTACGCTGAAGGTGCACACAAAGAAGGCCATCAACGACGCAGTCTCACTTATCAACGCCCCACGCAGAACAGCCTCTTATGACGTCCCGGGAGCGTGGAAGGCGCTGAGGGCCGCAAACTCCCCCAAGGCCTTGTTGAGCGACCCCAGCCTGCTCGCGGCGAGAGCAGAGGTCAATGCCGAGGTCGAGCGGTGCACCCACACGGCACCCAAGTTCTCGGCCGACGGGAGGATAGCGGTATTTCGTATCAGCTCGGCCGCCCAGGTGCATCCGGTCATCGCTACACGGTGGGCAGGCCACCTCAGCTCGAGCAAACTAGAAGTGGTGCTTGTGGCCAACGAGGGGTATCTGCCTGGCATGATCAACTTCTCTTGTCGAATTCCGCGGTGCGCCCGTGCAAGAGACCCTCCAGTCAACATCATCGAGGTACTGCGTGACGTCGCCGGGCGTGCTGCTGACCCGACGCTCCGAGAGCGGCTGGGTGATTCTTTTGCTCGTGGCCACAAGGAGGCAAGCGGCGGCATAGTTCCGAAGGCGGAGTTTGAAGAGTTCCTTGATGTGCTCGAGGTCGGCAAGAAGCCAGACACTTCTCCGAAGAAGGCCGCGGCTCAAGCGAACACGCTTCTGAATTACTTTGGAAAGGGATAGCCTATATCGATGGTACTTGAGCTGGTACTCAGACTTGGCGTTTTGGTGAACCATCACGCATTCATTAGCTTGTCTTCTTATGACGGTGGATCACTTCTTGTTGAATCAAAGGGTTGCAATGGATATTCTGCTTTTGGGGGCCACCCAAGCTGGACGCATATTGTACATGCATTCGTGATATTATACTAGTGCTGACTGTTCCTTCTGAACCGTTGTGTTCACCGAGGTTATATTAGCACCTATGCGGGCAAATTGAAGGAAAAAGAGCAATAGGCTCGACATTTGTAGCTTCTGCACTAACCCAGTTGAGTAGGTAGTCCATCGAGGAGTACAGAGATATGATGAGGTGAGGCAATGTGATCTTCGACTAAACAGGGTCATTGCTAAGAGGAGTCATTTCCAAAACGCAACATGTTAACTGAAATCATGGAGTTCTCAACCATAATCGGGCAGTATACTCGTCCTTCGTCAGAGCGCAACAGATCTTCTAATACTGAGCTCGCTTGCATCATTGTCTAGGTGTGAAGAAACATAACACCATCGATTTCAGCCATGTTCTATCCGAGGTTGCAGCACCTGTCTGTCAGCCTTGGACCGTTAAATACGGGGCTAGACCCGCTGGCCAAAAGCGCGACGGCTACCTCCATCATTTAGAGGCACTTGATGAAGCATAGCATGTCCTCACAAGCTCGTTCCGTTCGTGGTTAGGAAACCTTTTGTCATGGCCTTCGAGAGCAACAAGCTGACCAAATCCGGGACTATCGGTGCCAAGGTTCACTGTATCTCCCAAGGGTAGAGGATGAAGCTCAAAAGAATGGCCCAGGATGCGCACATCAACTTGCATCACGAGGCGCCTCCGCAATCCACATCAGTATCACTCAAACCAGCCCAATCTCCGACTAACTCCTGAAGGCCTAGCTGTATTGGATACTCATTTGAGAAACTTGGAAATCTTCGCCAGGTTTTGCCTAACATAACACAAATAAGATCCAATGGAATGCGTAGATGCTTGCAGTGACGCAATATGCCCCTCTCCCTAACGTGAACACACGCAAGTCTTTGTGACTGAGTAGTGACCACTCAGAGCGATGAGAATAATGTGCAATTCGATCTGGGATAGGATCAAGCTATATGGAGTTACAAGGGTCTGGACGTTTGGTCTGCTTGACGCCCCAAGGAATGAAGGACAAGACATGTCGGCCGCCCGTTCGATGAGACAGGGATTTCGGTCAATCAATCAAGGAACTCACCATGCGCTTCCAGATCTACATCGGCTTACACTAACCTAACCTTAAAGATTCGATGGTGGCTCCGTACAGGCAGGATTGAATCCCTTAATAAGCGGTTGCTCTCGTTGTGAGCCTATCCCGGCCTTGGCCTAGCACGACGTGCATTTGCCGCCGGCTGGCCCCAGTATTGTAGTTCTTCATAGGGTAGCAAGCCGTCTTACTTTAACGACGGCTGCAATTGATCTGCAAAGGCTGTACGACCTATTGGCAGCTTTGCGACCACTCACTCCGCTACTGAGGCGTTGAACTGCCGTTCGTGGCGATCAGGGGGACTGATTAAGCCACATCTGTTTTTAGACTTGCTTTACTAACTACATCAGGCTGCACGGAACAGCTTCCATTGGTTGAATGAGCATGCGCCAAGCGAACTTCCATCCACTGGTCACACATCTTGTTACTCATCACCGTGCAACGTGCTGCATGCGCGTTGCTAAACACACGGATCACCGTCGTATCACCATCGTGATGCGAACAGGAAAGGCTCTGGTTCGCCCCCAACATGAATGCCGTGCTATGGTTACCTCTCAGAGGCTGGGTGGCGTTGTGTATTTTCGCAAAGTGCCAAGAAGTGTTGATGACTGTCTCAACCAAAGTTGCGGTGATCTAGTCTATATAAAGGGCGAGCATCATCCCCTTCAGAAGCTTGAGTCTTTCCTTCTCAACCACAAGACAAAGCACTCATTCAATATCAGATCCATTCCACTTTATCATTCATCATGCGTTCCACCATCGCTAGCGTGCTCACCGCCTTCGCCCTCGCTGGCGTGAGCCAAGCCGCCGACTGCTACAACACGCCGTCCAACTGGTTTTATGGTAGTGTCTACGATGATGCCTGGTCCGTCCGTAATGCAGTCTGCAATGGAAATGGTGACAAGTGGGCTGGTCACGTTCACGGCACCTCGAACACTCCAGGTGGCAGCTCCTGCTGGGTAAGTGAAATGCAGATGCGCCCTTCTCCCGTATTATAATGAACTATCGAGTTCTGTACCACCCTGCCCGCTGCCAGAGGACAGTTTAGAAGACTAATGTTCTTTCACACTAGGATGCTATGGAGAACATCATCAACCAGTGCATCTATGGCGAGAACAAGCCTGGGGGCCAGTGGACCGCGAACGGGCAGAACTACTACATCAGCATGACTGCGTCGTAAGGGCGGAGTAGCTTTATGGCTCTTTATTTCTGTGCGGCTGAGGGCAAACGGTATCGAAGGACCACTTGATGTGGATTCACTCATTTGGTTGGAGATTCCACTGCAGGGAATTCTTCCAACTACTTTATAGGTTCGATTTAACAAATACATGTATTCGCCAATGACTTCGAGGGGTTCACTTGCCGTACGCGAGGGCACTTGGTGATCACACCTTTAGAACGCAAATGTGACTGATGTCAACATTGTTACAACTATCCTTTACTCTAAGATCATATGTGTCCTCCGCCTACATGGGTATGGGTGTTTGGCAAGCACCATTAGCACTACGGCGCCTACAGCCTTTTATCAGACCCTTCAATTCTCCTCCAAACGTGCAGCGAAGTCAGACAGTTTCAAAGTAGTACACGAGCCCTGATAGAAATTCTGTTCTGCCGCAACTGATAACTGCACGGCCAGCTCCAAAGTTTTGATTGGTCATACAATTCTCTTGGAAGATTTTTACTTGGCTGATATCATGGTCTAGACAAGTTTGTGAAACATGTCTACTTGAGTTGCGAGTCGAGTGTTGATGTTATTAACGTCTTGGCACACTTAACTCTGTCTTACATACTAGCAAAGATCATGCGATTCAGGAAAAGCATTGAGAAGATGCATATCAAACAGACTATCAAATATCAGAGAAAAGAAGACGAAGATGAAGGAAAATAATGGTTTATATAAAATCGCAATTGTATCTTCAAGCATACCACGGTCACATACACACCTTCCATTGTTCATTGTCCTTATGAGATTTCTTAGCCAATGGAAACCCCGCGTTCCAGGGTTCTTTTGCAGTGGAGATTCCTGGAGTGCAGTATTGTCGAAAGATCTTAGCCAAATCCGATCTTTAGTATCCACTTCATCGACCAAGCCTGGGCAAAGCACTGCCAATAATGGATTTGGCAGTGAGCTGAGTCGACATCAGCGGGTCTTCCTAATCCAGGCGCGGTGTAGCGTCTCTGCTATTCATCATACCACAGCGATGATCCGAGGTCTAGATGCATGCAAAAGATGTTGAGAGCCACCGATTCTTGACACATGCTTGATAGCTAGTGGCTTTCTCGAAATCCACTCCTACAGAACGGTATTGTTTAAGATGTTGCCGACCCTTTTGAATTGTTCGCCTTCTCCCGTGAACTCTTGCTTTACAGCGTGACCATAATACCTTCCTCTTCGTGTAACATCGCGGACGTAAGAACGACAATGGTGTTCTTCAGAATGCTAGCAGTGGCGCTCAGCCTCCTACTCGAGACGTCGCCGGCTAGAGCTTCGGATCTGACATTTCAACAACTGGCGAAACGGGCACAATGCCCGCTAGCAAGCTGCCAACAACCAGCCCCGAGACTGCCCAAGGAGGACCCTTGGTACACAACAACCCCCAAAGGCCTCGAGCAGGCTGTACCGGGAGCCCTCTTTCGCGTCCGTAAAGCACCCGCAAACTTGCCGTCGCTGGTAGCAAACAGCGCCGAGGCGTATAACGTGCTCTACCGTACGACCGACAGCCAGTACAAGCCGACCTATGCCGTCGCCACGGTCTTCGTGCCGGCAAGCCCCTCGACCAACGCAACACTTCTCTCGTACCAACTGCCATACGACTCCGTCGACCTGAACGAAGCTCCGTCCTACTTGATGTACAAGTACCAGACTGAGCAGCTAGACGACATCGCATGGGCACTGGGACGGGGCTGGCACGTCGTGACAGGCGACTACGAAGGGCCTTTCTCCTCATTCACGGCGGGGGTCATGTCCGGCCACGCCGTGCTAGATGGCGTGCGAGCCGTCCTCTCTACCGAGTACAGCGGTGAGCTCAAGCTGCCAGCCGACACCGACACCGTCCGCTACGCCCTGTGGGGGTACTCGGGCGGCGCCCTTGCCAGCGAGTGGGCCACGGAACTGCAGGTCCAGTACGCGCCGGAGCTGTCCTTCGCCGGCGCCGCCCTCGGCGGCCTGACGCCCAACGTCACCGCCGTCCGGGACCAGGTCGAGGGCACGCTGAGCGCGGGCCTCATCCCCGGGTGGCTCATCGGCGTGACCAGCCAGTTCCCCGACGCGCGCGCGTACCTCCTCAGCCGGCTCAAGAAGGACGGGCCCTACAACGCGACCGTGTTCATGGGGTTGGAGCAGTCCGTCTCGAACGGCGCGACGTTTGCCTTCCAGAACATCTCGGACTACCTTATCGGCGGCTTCGCGGACCTCAAGAACCCGGTCATCAGGCGCATCACGTACAGCGACGGCATGATGGGCTACCACGGCGTGCCGCAGATGTCCGTGTACGAGTACAAAGCCATACACGACGAGTTGAGCGCTGGTGTGGACACGGACAAGCTGGTGGAGAGGTATTGCGAAGCCGGGGCTAGTATTTTTTACCAGCGGGATACTGTCAACGACCATGGAGAGGAGGCTAAGGCTGGAGCACCTCGAGCGCGTAACTGGCTCGTCTCGGTACTTGAGCAGGGGCATACGGAAGATGGATGCAGGATCGAGACCATTACTGACCCCTGGAAAGCTTGAGGTAGTGATACGGGCATGCAACCTACTCTTGTACAAGATTCGGCGAATCGGTATTAACATCACTGAATAAAGGGCCCAAAATGTGCCAAAAACAATTGTACATTTACAAGACAACAACCAAACTCCATATTCAAGTGACACATGTCATGTTATCCAGTATCTAACATCATATCGTAACTAATTCGTTGAACTCCCGCATCACGTCACAGACTTTCACCCTTCTGCCTTCCAAGTCTTGCTTTGCATTGACTCGTCTCAATAACTCGACAGCCTTCTTGGTGCTCGAGCCTTGGTTTGCGAGCTCCCGCATGTAGTCCTCGATCCAGTCAAGGTATATCTCGTCGGTGACCTCGATACCCGCGATGAAGATGGGCAACGGCCACACGAGCGTCCTTGGCGAGAGGAGGTATCCAGTCTTGCGTACTCGTCGCACAATGCGGACGATCTCGACAGCGATAGCCTGGGTCTCAGCATCGCTGCGGATGTTTGGCGCCGTAGCCCGATTCAGCAGTATCGTGGCAGATAGGCAGACTGTGGACGTGACAAGAAACTGAAAGTTGGTCAGCTCAACGCTCTCGGGCGCTGACGCGGACTGAAGACGCTCAGCATGGATCATCTTGAGTTCCTGTTGCGGCAATTAGCTACATGTCTCCCCCAGAATAAAGTCTGACGTGAAGCCAAGGTGACTTACTGATTGGATGCGGGCAATGTTGGCCTTGATCGCCTGTATCTTGGCCGTTCGCAGCTCTTCGACAAGAGACTGGTCCACCACGTTTCTTGATTGCATCTCCTTCTCCCAAATCTCGAAATCACGGATAGTGCTGTACAGACCCATGGCATCGTCCGATGTCATTTTATACGGCTCTAGTTGCAAACACTCCTCGAGCCTCTCTTTCGGTAATGACGACCCATAGCAATCTGTCAAGTAGTACCCTTTACCCGATGTCCATCGCATATCGGCCAGTCCCTTCTTCTTCATTAGGAGATCCCAAAGGTCGTGTGTTTCCATTCGTCGAGAGCTCTGACTTGGCGCTTGGCCTGTAGTCGGCAGCAAGGGCGTAATCCTTCCCCACATATTTGTTCGCAGATGAACGTAAGCCAGCCACAGCAAGATGCGAAGCTCTAGGGAGCCTAATGCCTTTTCAAGCTGTGTCCAGTGCGTCTCTAGCATCGCTTCTATGCGGCTTAGTCGATCTGCAAGTGCCCGAGTGTCTCCGGAGACGAGGTCGCTGTAACAGAGAAAGAGGGAAGTGGAGAGCAGCATGCGTAAGTTCATGTTAAGCGATGTTGTCGATGGGGGCACGAGAGTCGTCTCTTGCACTGCATCCACCAGGCTGTCGACTATCGAGCTTGCCCTAGCATAATGTTGCATTTGAAGATCAGCGAATGCGCGCTCGCCCTTGACGACGAGGTGTGCAGAGCTCCATGCAAGGATGCTGTGGCGCAAGGGGGAATCCAAGATGTTTTCGGTCGCTTTGATGGCGTATCCATAAAAGCTCCAGGCTGTCGGCACAGAGCTCCAGAAAGTTGAGAGGTTTCGCTTGTAATAGTCGATCAGTTTGGGTGTGTCGTCAGGTCGGGAAGTCGGGGAATGGATGAGGCTTGGACTTTGCCATATGCTCAACCAGTCTGTGTCTGTCATCAAAGACAAGAGCGATTGGTTTCCGAAGTTGGGATCAGAGCCCGGATAATTGGGAGACGGATACGCAGACTGTGTAGCATCCATTGAGCCTTCTATTGGAGCGTCTTCTGTGATATTCCCGATCACGCCGTCAAAGAGACCGTCATTGAAATCTGCTAGGCGATGATAAGATGCAGATAGCTCGTCGCCGGTGACCAATCCCTCTGGAAGGACGGTTGCGAAGCGGTTCCATGGATGACTGAAATCCCAGTCAGCCGCGACAGTCAAATCGTCAACCAGGCTCCGGTCATTCGCGTCGTTTACGAGGCCAATCGGGCTTCCTCCCAAGTTGTCCGAGGTGTCTGAGGGTGTGCGTATCCCCGGTGACCCTGGGTGGTTCTGCTGCTGGCTTGGACTCGCATCTGGTGATGGGTTTTCCGAGGTGCCTCTGGTCTCTGTTGGCACAAATTCGTGCTTCTTCCATTGTTTGAAGTTGGAATGGAAAGATGGAGTGCAGGTAAGTTGCAGGCGGTGGCACGCATCACAGGGGATTCGCCTGGCCTGGCATTTGACCTTTCTTCGTCGGCAGGTAAGACAACCCCAGACAGAGCGCGACTGGGATCGGCGACCGCGCTGACTCGACGGCTCCATGGCCGCTGGTGACCGTACCATCTTCCGACCATCTATCCTGTCTCTATGTGGCTCGTGCTGCGTATGATACGGTGGTCATCGCCTTTTGCCTCCCCGGAGAACGGGAGAGAGAAGGGAAAAAGTGGCAAGACAAGAAGTTGTGACACCACCTGCGTGCGACTGGAGCATTGGGTCAGCGGGCGATGTCGGGGTCAACTTGCCTATCCTAGCGACCTTATCGCGAACTGGGTTGGGGCACCGACCAAGCACTTAGTGTCGGGGATAACCCCGCAAATTGTGGACGATCAACTTTGTACTTGTACTTGATACCGTCGCTTGATATGACCAGCCTATGGGATCCGGCCATCCCCCAGATCCAGAGCCTATTGCTCTCGAGACTGCCACGCGGCCAATGCGCCGCATATCTTGTACGATTCACAGGACCCATCTGATGATAAATAATGCAGTCATAAGTAGTCTGGGTAGTACTGAACATCCTCTTAAGATAACTACTTCTTGTCCTCTGCAGACTTGATTGATCATGCTACTACGTAGGAAGGGACTGTACAAATTCTAGGTCTTCTTTACGTGATGTACCGGAACTCGGGCTGCTCCATGTCAGTCATGTCCAAGAATGCAGCGGCATCAGCCTGCTGTTCAGCATTGTGGGCAGGCGCAATCCGCTCCCTCCGGCGATTCTCAAAGCGAAGGTAAATGCTAGAAATCACATTAGTATCTTAAAGTGAAAGCATTTTGAGGGCCTAGACTCACTATAGGGCAACCTGGATAGCAATCATCAAGGCCGTGGAGACATAGAAAGCGCGGAACCCAGTTGGGTAAGTGGGCGATTCCTTAGCCAGGAAGAACTGCGGCGCGATGAGTTGGCCGATACCATATCCAAGAAACACCATGACTGAACATGTGGCTTTCTTGGTGAAGCCGCCGATCTGCGCCCTGGTTAGTTCAGTACACATTTACTGATTGAATAGAAACACACATTTGAGGAGATCATGGACATGACCATGATGTATGTGACAGTGTTCACAAAAAGAACTGTGTTCGTGTAAGTCGCGAGCCATCAGTGCAGATAATAAGGGGAACATACTATAGAGCCCTCCCTGACGAACTTTGGTCTGGTCCTGAGGTATGCCTAATCCTTCAGTCAGTATCACTCTTTATTGGCGTATGATAATGCATCGGCAACATACAGTACACGAGGAGCGAACCGAGTAGAACCACGAGGTTGCTTATGATGCTGGACAGAATCCGGGAGTTCCGATACTGGACCGTCACAAAGCCGCTGGCGGTTGAAGTCAGCAAAGAGTTGGTCATGGATCAAAGTAACATAGCGTCTTCCTTACGCGATGAGTAGAGAGGCCAGTTGTACACCATCGCCCCCAAAAGAGGCCTTGGTGGCGTCATGGTCGTCATAGCCGAGACTGGTGTAGACAATCTTGTCAAACTATAGTGTTTTTTTGATGAGTAACCTTGACTGGCATCGGAAATTTGGCATCACTCACGTTCGTCAGGCCACTGCCAACAATGCACTGGAGCAGAGCCAGTGAGAAGTATGCCCAGGCCTGAGGGTCACGCAGGCACTCCAGAACCTGGTACTTCTTGTAATGCCGGTTTGCAATGCCGGTGTGGTTGGTGATGACCTGTAGAACTGTTAGCACAAGGCCGCAATATATGCATATCGAGAGCCAGTGTACCCACCCTCATCACGGCAATCTTCCTCTCCCGGTCGCTCAGGAACCACGCGCTGGTCGGAGAGTTGGGCATAAAGAAAACCAAAAACAGTCCATATGCAATAGTTACGGGTCCCCAGATCAGAAAAAGCACTTGCCACTGGGTGTACTTGCCTCCTCCCCAAGAAGGAGAGGTGATGGAGTAAGCAAGGCCGTCGATCACAAATCCTCCTAGAGGAGCGCCTATCCACCACCCACAGGCACGCAGAGGCTGTTCGCGCCGCGTCCAGTATTGGCCGACATAGATGGTCATAATTGGCGAGATGCATGTCTCGAAGAAGCCGATGAAAAAGCGGCAGGTCGCGAGGGTGGCAAAGTTCGTGGTTGCGGATATGCAAGTGCTGGCAACACCCCAGCACATGATCATGACCCCGAGATACCGTCCGATAGGCAGCTTCTGCATCAGAATAGAGCTGGGGTATTGAGCCAGGATGTACCCGAAGTAGAAGATCGATGATGCCCAGCTGTACTGCTGGCCGACAAGGTGCTGCAAGAGGTATGGTCAGCGTGGGGATGTTCAGCGGAGAGGAAGCGAGCTTCTTCTCATACGTTATCATGACGGATACCCAGAATCGAGGCGTTGCCCAAGGCTACCTTGTCGATGAAGGACAGAAGGTATGTAATAGTCATCTAAGTGCGTTTGGTTCCTGTCAGCTCTGGTATGATGTAGCGTGTTTGTTGGACTCTCTTACCATGGGGAGCAGGATCAGGTCAAGCTTCCACTTGACTTTACGTGCCTCGTCTTCATCGTACTCGAATACTCCCCCTTCGCCGACGAAAATGTCGGCGGCAGCATCGTGATCCACGCCGCGGATTTTCTCCTCGATTTTGGTGTTGTCAACCGCGACATGGTCCGGGCGAGTATTGTGGACGATGTGTCCATCACCCGCCTCCACGTCTCGGGGGGCGGCGGGTGTTTGGCTGACCTTTTCAGCTGGTGTCGAGTGCTCCATCTTGAATGCTGCGTATGGGATGGCAACGAAAGTACGGCAACCTGGGAGAGAATCTGACTACGACGGCTCGTGTGTTTCGAAGATTGTCAAGAGCTCGCGCTGGCCTAGATATATGTCTTTCGAAACCACGCGATATCTGGGGTAATCCACTGATGCGGAGATGCACCCTGTCGAAGTCGCTGAGCCAGGGAGATGTTATCCACTCAAGCCAGCGTTATCATGGCTCACTATCACGCGCTGCCATTTCGATGTGTAATATCTTCGCCCTGTCTGGCGTTTCGACAGTAATCTCCTGCCACCTCGAGATAGAGAGGGTTCCAGTCGTCGCCAACAGCTCCTAATGAGGTTAGCGCGGGTGGCACCTCATCCCGACCAACGGAGCCGATCCTCGCGTGGAACCGACATATTTACTGAATTCGGCAAAATTGGCGACGGGATTCACACCAACATAGCGATGTCCGCATGATCTCGAGAACCATATCTCGGCCTTGACCACCGCCTGGCACACATACTGAAGTCTCAGCTAAGCTTTTTGACAAGCTAGGCCCACATGCACTAATCTTCGCTTCCGTATCTAAGACCCCATCGCCAGTGTTTCCTGTTCCGGGCACAGTAACGAACAACTCTGTACGGTGGTTAGGCAGTGGGAAATAAGTCTCGCAGAGACAGGCATGGCTGGCGGGTTTCTCGGCCCAACCGGCCAGGCCCATTCAACGGCTGGCATACGATGGGCAATTGAAATACTTATCATGGACGCATTACTTATCTCCTGATAGAAGCCAAGCCATCCATCTCTTGTATAGGCAAGCCCTTCCCTTATCTCTCAAGCTGTACCCGATTCGTCATCATCCTTACCGTCCATATGCCTCACAGCGAGTTTGTAAACCCCCCGACATACCAACATGTCGTGGCAAGGGGGCTTCCGTATGATCGGGGCTTCGCCCACGGCCAACAGGCGAAGTCAAAGGTTCAGGAGAATGTTCAGTATTATCGACGCCCTGGAAAGCTCGCACGCTCCCAGTAAGGTTCAACAGTCCGAAATACTATAGAGAGTTGTACTGACAAGTTTCGACTACAAGGGAGTTGATGAATGCCATTATTAAGAATGTCTATAAGCCTGCATTGGAGCAGTACTACCCGAGCGGCTTCAAGGAAATGCAGGGAATTGCCGACGGAGCTGAAGTCACGCTAGAGGACGTGATCTTGCTCAATTCTCGATACGATCTGGCCAGGCTGGGAGACGAACCTGGATGCAAGCCCCTTTCGTCCGACGAACTGAGCGAGGACGTCAACACACCCGAGTCCTCGGAGGACATGGCCAACGAATGCACAAGTTCCGTTTTCTATCACGCAGCAACAGAAAGTGGCGACATGCTTACGGCCCAGAACTGGGACATGTCGGCCCGGCTTTGGGAAAATGACTGCATCATCTACCTCGAGGTCCACCCAGATCCATCCGAGAACAAGCCCTCCATGTTTCTTGTCACGGAAGCAGGGCAGCTCGGCAGATCGGGTATGAACTCGGCGGGACTGGGCGTGACAGCGAATTCCCTCATGTCGAGCGATGACTACATTCCGTATCCTTACCAGGACGGTAAGGGAGTCAAGCACAACGTCCCGATCAAGCCCGTCCTCCCCATGTCCATGTTCCGGCGCATGATCCTGGAGAGCAACCATTTTGCCGAAGCGATGACCTGCGCCTTCAACTTCCCCCGGCACGTGTCGAACAATGTTACCGTCAGCACCGCGGAGGGCTTTGGTGTCTGCCTCGAGGTCACGCCGGACCGTATCTACAAGGTCTATCGCCGTGTGGACGACAATTACCTGGTCCACACTAATCACTTCACCCACACTGGCTTCCTCGCGAGGAGCGACGTTCTTTGCAAGTACCCCGGCGGCAGCAGCTGGTTCCGACTGGAGCGGTTCGAGCAAGGCGTCCGAAAATGGGCGCAGAAGGGTGAGATTACTACCAAGCGACTGATCGAGGCATTCTCGGACCACATGAGCTTCCCCGAGGCACTGTGCGTGCACCCAGACAGGAATCCTATCGATGCCGTCATTGGTCACCTACCCGGCTATCCATTCAGATCCAACTCTGCGACTGTCGCCTGCGTAATCTACAATCTTTCCAAGACTGAGATCACGGTTTGTAAGGGCCCGCCGTGTCAGGGACAGTTCCAGACCTTCAAGCTCAAGGGCCCGCAGGGCAACAAGCTGGGTTCCCAGAACACCGAGGGCCTTGAGCGTCCTGAGCAGCCTTGAGGATGACCAAGTCAAGCAAGCCTGATCATAGAGAACTCCACTTTTGGTCGCAGCGAGTTGTATTCTTAGGTTCAGGAATAGAGATGAATAATAGATCTTGATAAATCAATATGCTTAGCTCGGGTTTACTAATCGAGTTTCGTCTCGAGATGTGGAGCTTTGGATGCGCCCTTTGACCGACAACCCACTTTGGTGAATCATATTCACCAGTGTTACGAGCACAATTTGGGACCTGCTCTGTTAGAGAGGCATTCCTTCTGTTATTATGATTTCTTCTTGAGTTATCTTCGCAAGATAAAAAGGATTTACCACATCGCGCAAGAGGGATTCTGAGCACTCGTTGCTGACCGCACAAGCCCCCATCTCGCGTGTCTCGCCGACGCCATGACTCACCAAGTCGACGCGACAAACAAGCGGCCTGCGAAATGCACCCTCGAGCCCATGGACCTCCACAACCCGGAGGACTTCGAGGAGCTGCTCGCGCAGCGCAAGCTCTGCGGCTGGGACATGGAGCCGGCCGTGCTCGAGAAGTGGCGCCGGCTCTGCGATGAGAAGCGCAAGAACATGTTCTGGATCATCCCGACGGCGCCCAGCCATGCGCCCGAGCAGGTGCGTACCGATGGTGACAGCGACAGTCAGGGGCAGCAGCAGCAGCAGCAGCAGCAGCGACTACGGGTCGGGCATATCTGCCTGCAGAGCTACGACGACCCGCCGGACCCGAGGGTCGCGAGTGAGGACAAGTCAGTCATGATGATCTCGACCTTCTTCATCAAGCCGGAGTACCGCAGCGGCGGACTCGGCACCGAGGCGGTCAAGGCGCTGGAGGGCTGGGCCAAGACGGCGCCGTACGGGTCGCCGGACTGCAGGGCGGTCACGGTGCACACGGTCAGCCGGCGGTATTCCGAGGACGACAGCGACGAGTTCCGGGGCCTGTACGCTAGGCGCGGGCTGCCGACACCCGAGAGGGGTCGGAGTAACGAGGATTGGTGAGGGATTGAAAAAAGATTTGCCTTTTTTATGACCCACAACGCAGAGCTAACGAGGGCGCATAGGTATGCGAGGATGGGATACGTCAAGTGGAAGGAAGAGCGCAGATATGAGGACAAGTTACTAGACGGTACGGAGATCAAGTTGTTGGCTGTCTACATGAGCAAGGATATCTCCTGATAGATTTTAGATTCGAGTTCATTGCTTTGAATCATCGATGCTGTGTTATTGCCCTGTTGCCGCGTCTATCCTCTAGCCTGTTGATAAAGAGTGAAAAATGGATAATTTCCCATCCATGAATGTTCTATGAGTGCACGTTACCGCCCGTCCTACATAAGGCTTCTGTGCAAAAACAAATTGTGCGCCAGATCAAGACTCATGACCGGACCTTAATCTAGTGGTTGTCCCTCGGTGAAGGGTATTTCTGAGCCACCCGTTGATACTTCACCGCGCGTTTCAGAACCATACCGTCCGCCAGCTGTCCAGTCTCCCGCCGGAAAATCTCCTGCCAGGGAGTGTGGCTCGGCGGCACTGGGTACCCGCCACTGGCCTCGAGAGCCTCCCTTCTCGCCTTGATCTCCTCGGGTGAGACGAGTAGATCGACACGCCTCTTGTTCAGGTCGACCCTGACTTTGTCACCGTCTTTCACCACAGCCAGATTGCCGCCAGCCGCTGCTTCGGGACTCGCGTTGAGGATCGAGGGCGACCCGGACGTTCCCGACTGTCTGCCGTCTCCGATGCAAGGCAGAGACTGCACGCCCTGCTTGAGGAGTCGGCCGGGGGCGTGCATGTTAACGACCTCGGCGGCGCCAGGGTATCCCAACGGGCCGGCCCCTCGCATGATCAGGATTGTCTTGGAGTCGATGTCTGCGGTCTCAAGACGCATGTGATAGTCTTCGGGCCCGTCAAAGACGACAGCCTTGGCCTCAAAGGCGTTCGGGTCGTTGGGGTCCTCGAGGAACTGTTTCCTGAAGACGGCGTCGATCACAGAGGTCTTCATGATGGCCGACTCGAACAGGGTTCCGGAAAGATGAAGGAAGCCGGCGTCTTTCTTGAGAGGCTGGTCGTAAGATCGTATCGTTCTCCTGTCCCAGGAGTTCTGGCCCTTGACATTCTCGCCCACCGTCTTGCCGTTGCACGTGAGCGCATCCGTGTGGAGCTTGCCTTTATCGTACAGTTCCGCCATCACCGCAGGGAGCCCGCCGGCGCGGTGGTATTCCTCCATCAGCATCTCTCCCGCCGGCATGACGTTGACCAGCAGCGGGATGTGGAAGCCGATGCGGTCCCAGTCGTCGTTGTTAAGCTCCACCCCGACGTGCTTAGCGATGGCGTTGAGGTGGATGGGCGCGTTGGAACTGCCTCCGATGGCAGTGTTTGCGACGATCGCGTTCTCGAAGGCCTCTCGAGTCAGAATGTCGGAGGGCTTCCGGTCCGCGTGGACCATCTCGACGATCTGCTGGCCTGTCTTGTATCCACACTGCATGCGCTCCCTGTAGGCAGCTGGGATGCCTGCCGAGCCGGGCAGGGCCATTCCGAGGGCCTCAGCGAGGGCGTTCATGGTAGATGCCGTGCCCATGGTGTTGCAGTGGCCCACGGACGGCGTCCCGCTGGTGACCATCTCGGTGAAGCCGGTGTCGTCAATCTTGCCTGCAGCGTGAAGCTCCCGGGCTTTCCACAGTGCGGTTCCCGAGCCCATGAGCTCGTCCTGCATATAGCCATTGAGCATGGGGCCGACATTGAGACAAATTGCAGGGATGTTGATAGTGGCGGCGGCCATGAGGCAGGCCGGAGTTGTCTTGTCGCATCCGGTTAGCATGACCACGCCGTCAAACGGGTATGCATAAAGCAGCTCGACCAGGGTCAGATAGGACAGGTTCCTATCGAGCGTTGCCGTCGGTCTCCTCACGCTCTCCTGGATCGGGTGTGTCGGGAATTCCATAGGAATGCCCCCGGCAGATCGGATGCCCTCGCGGACGCGCTTTGCGATTTCGAGGTGGTGCCGGTTACACGGGGCGATATCGGAGCCGGACTGGGCGATGCCGATGATTGGCTTGTTGGACTGAAGCTCCTCCGGGGTCAGGCCGTAGTTCAGGAATCGTTCGAGGTACAGAGAGTTCATCGCATTGTTGCCCTTGCGGTTGAACCATTTTGTGGAGCGCATCTGGCCGCCGGGAGCCTCTGCTATGATGGCCTTGAGCTCTTCGGCGCGCTTGGTGAGAGCCGCGAGCTCGGCTTTGCAGTCCTCAATATCCACCGGCGAGGACTCGCAGGGATCTGCGCATCCGTTGCAGGACTTGGACTTTGACGTGCAAACCATCCTGAGGAATTCAGCTGTTCGTTTGAAAGCCGGCGTGGCTCGCGAGGTAACGTTTGAAAATGAAGAGGCGGTCTAGAGTTGGTGGGATGGAGATGGATGTCTTGTCATTCTTCTCTCATCCGGTTTTGATAGGCTTCTGATATCAAGGGTGAGGAATTCCCGACACTAAGTTGTTGAAAACTGGGACGGTTCATACCCAAAGAAGCTAGCAGCTGGTATCATCAATTTATGGAGCAATCACTCCTCTGTGTAGGGCGTTTTCTTGTGGAGGCGCCGGTCAACGGCGTTAGTGTTTGGGAGGCTAATAATGGTTTGTCTCCGCTGCCAAGGAAGGACGATCGTGGGCTGAGAGTAGGGCTTCTGGCCACCTGTGTTTGGAGGATTTCTAATCCAGTAGTTGGTTAAGGGGCTTCTTAAATAGCATAAGCATGATTAGGCAAAGCAAGTGAAGTCCTTTGACTCTGGAGATACACTCAGAGCAGCAACGGTCACTTCAGTTCTCCATCAACAAGGTCATCAGATTGTTGGGCATTTGTCAAAGCGGGAATAATGTTTATTAACCAATTCCAATATCTTCTATCTGGTGACACCCGAAAACCTCCTCTGTTCATAAGGTGAATGTTTAGTTCATGGTAATCACAGCTCGGAAACGGACAGTCCCATTCAACATGGCGTCTATCGGCAGTTAGTAAGGTACATCAAAGCTCCTAGATACAATGGCACCTACTGAAAGCGTCATTGGCTTGTTCAAGTGGAAATTTCTCCACCATGCACTGAATGTTGTGAAGTTTGGTGAAGTTGATGGTATCTTCAGCGTCAGTTGCATGCCCGCAGGGCCATACTTGCACAGACAGACCGTACTTGAGCTATGGCCACATAAATACTGTTAGCCAGGAGAAATAAACTGAAGGCTTTCAAGTAAAGCTAACCATGATCCCTGTGTTGAATGGAACATCCCCAGGCACTAGTCAGAGTTAGTCGTTGAAGCTGGCCATTGTTGAGGCTAAGTAACACACCCGAGAGAATAAGCAGCTTGCCGAGGACGCCAAGTCCCTTTAGCAACCGGGGCATAGCATCGCCTTGAGGGCTCGTGGTCACAATCAGTTTGGCTCGACCAAGCTTAGCCACTGCCTCACCCACATCCGTTACCTTGGATGTGTCAACAAACTCGTGGGCGCCGAGCTGACGAGCAAAATTCTCCTTGTCTGATCCGCCACGAGATAAGGCAATGACACGGCAGCCAAAATGGTTGGCATACTGAATGGCCAAGTGGCCGAGGCCTCCAAGGCCCTGTACGGCGACAGTATCACCCGGACTGAGGTTCATGTGCCGCAGAGAATTGAAGACGGACAGACCAGCACACAGAACTGGAGCGTATGCGGCTGCATCAACGTCCTCTGGGACACGAGCTGTGGCTTCAGCACGGAGGATACAGTATTCGGCATCTAAAGTAGTGGCGGTCAGGAAAGATTTTCTCTTCATATCAGAAGGACGATTGACTAATGACTTACAGCCACCGGCCTTGGTTTCTCCGTTGATTACCGCATTGTCACACATCTGGTGATAACCAGTCCTACATGGTTCACAAGTACCTGCCAATATCCAAGTTAATTCATATGGCACATGAGACAGAATAAGATCAGGGGGCATCTTACCATCGTGTCCACCATGCCAGCCGGCTCCGACTCGGTCACCGACTTTCCATCCGGTCACACCTTCGCCCACTGCTGCAATGCGGCCAACTATCTCATGACCAGGGACAAGTGGGCTTCGCCCGGTCAAGTCAGCATTTACCATGACTAAATTACACATAGCATGGAAAGACAATGCTTACAAACCACCCCCCATCACATTGTTCTGGGCGAACATATCAGAATAGCACACGCCGCAGGCTTCGACCTTGACAAGAATCTCTCCTTTCTTGGGGAGCTCCAGCGGGGCATCCTCAATCGTGAGTGGTTGTCCGGCTGCCTTGAAGACCGCCTGCTTGTACGTTTTAGGCAGGGACATGTTGTAGTAATCTGTATGTGGCGTAGAGAATGTGGAGTAAAGCATGGACTAAAATGAGAATATGGATGAGGTAACTGAGAATCGGAAGTACACATCTTCCTGCTCTTAAGTACCAAAAATCAGTGTTGAGGAGTATCAGGTATTGCATGTAGTTAAATCGGATGTAAGTAACAACGGCATGTTATCCCCATCATCACAGTGACAACGAGCATCCCGGAGTTCGCGGAGTTTTATGGGGCTTCCATTTTACCCTTTGCTGTAGCTAAACTCCGTCTTGACTCCACATCTCACTCAGTTGGGCATAGCAACGCAGGTGGATTGACTGCGGTCTACGGCGGACATTCAGACAGGCCAAGACTTGATCGATGTTCTGGAGGGGTGGTTAGGGATGAGTAAAGTTATTGGACATGGAATTTTGTTGTCTACATGGGATTGGCTTCTTACACCCAACGCCGCCGATGTCACTACTAATTTTTGTTCCAGGTCACTTAAGGGTGGGTTACGTTCTCATGACGGGAAGAATTGCAAGCAAATACTAGAGAACTGTTGTAAGAGACAATCTGTGATAAAACTTGGCCCAAAGCAATCGGTCTAGATATCTAACGATTTAACATACACACCTGCCTACAGACTTGATCAACTTTGACACTTGAGTCCAACGTCTCCTCCAATCTAAACCTTCAGGTTCACGTACCTCAGCGCAACATCAAACCATCAGGGAAGAGCTGCTCTCCACCTCCTTCTCGCCCTCAACCTTGACCGCCGAGCCCACAAACCGCGATCGCGTCAGCAGCAGCGAACAGACCGTCCACAGGCACCCCGCCGCAATGACCATGACCCAGATCTTGCTGATGCTCGACACGATGACGTCGACGCACGCCTTGCGCACCTCCTCAGAGACGCTCTCCAGCACGCGGCTCCTCGCCCCGGCCAGCGCGAAGCGGATCTCGGCGTCGGAGAACCCCCGCCCGTCCAGCACCCGCTTCAGGCCCCGGAACGTCTCGGACTGGAAGATCGCGCTGGCGATGGCGAGCCCCAGGAGCTGGCTCTGGCCCTGCGAGATGTTGAGGAACTGGATTAGATCCGGGACGCGTTCCGGCGTCACCAGAAGGCTGCCCACGGCGTAGCCGGCCTGCGTCGTGGTCATGCCCAGGCCCAGCAGGATCGTGTAGCCGACGACGTGCGCCGACGAAGTGGACCGGCGGACCGTGTACATGAGCGCCGAGCCCACGATGATGAGCACGCCGCTCGCCAGGTACCAGAGCTTGTGGTAGCCGGTGCGGCCCATGAGGGCCCCGCAGGCCAGGATGCCGGTGACGTAGAAGCAGATGAAGGGCAGCAGCCGGACGGCTGCCTGGATACCGCTGTCGCCGTTGACGAAGAGGTAGTAGACCGGGATGTAGTATATGGCGACGAAGAGGGACGCGCCGCCACTGGCCATGCAGATGTAGAGGAGCACAAGTTGCCGGTCGCGCAAGAGGTCGCAGGGGAACAGGCGGTCAAGCTTGGTGGTCATGAGGGACAGGTGCTGGGAGAGGCAGAAGGCTACCGTGCAGACACCGAACACGACGATGAGGGCAATGACCCTGGGATCGCTGTACTCCCAGGTCGCTCCTCCGAATATGAATGCCATTGTAAAAGACACATAGAGTCCAGCCGTGAGTATCATTCCGACCCAGTCCAGCGTCTTGACCTTCTCCCAGAACGGATCGTCTTCTCGGCGGGGCAGCAACGGTAACAGGAACAGGTAGATGGGACTGGCAACACCAAAGATGAGGAGATTAAGATAGAATGCCTGCCGAGATACGAGCGTCAACAACCGTGTCTCTTGGAAATTTGAGGGCTCAGTACTTACCCATCTCCAGGAAGCTGAGCTGTCCGCGAAAGCGCCGCCCACTATAGGTCCGAGAATGCAGCCACCTCCGTAAACGACCGCGACGAGACTGAGGTAGACGGGCCGCTCCTTGGGTGAGCAAAGGCGTGAAACAATATTCAAAGTCCTGAAAACGTGGCTGTTAGAGCAGATTCAAATATGTTCTCAAGACCCAGACGTACCCAAGGTACATGCCCGCTCCTCCAGCGCCAGCCCAGACTCTACCAACAATCATGGCATTCATGCTTGGAGCGCCACCGCATAGAGCACTAGCAGCAGCAAAGTTTGCAAGGCAAACCGTGAAGAGCCATTTGTTGTCAAACATTCCATATGCCTTGCCCAGTGGCAGGATAGCCACCGTTGACCCTAATGAGAAGCCCGCGCCCAGCCATCCGAGCTGAGCCACGTTGCTGTATGTTTCGGCAATAGCACCCTGAAGATCGGCAACGATGGTGGTGTCGAGGCCGTAGAGGAAGTTGGCGGAGTATATGGCGACGCAGACGAGGAACCACCGAATACCGTGGATGGCACGGTCCGTGTTGTTGCCACCAGTTTCGCCATTTTCGGGCTGATCGGTTACGCGTCCCGATGTGGTTGTCGTTGACGTGATCGTGTTCTGGTGAGTATTGGGAGTCTCTCGAATACTTCGTATCGTCGAGTCGGATGATGGACACTCGGAGGTAGCAGAGTCGAACGCGTTTGTTGAGGTATTGGCATTCATCTTGGAAAGATTGTCAATGCCAGTTGAATTGAGAATTAAGAGTGGTGTGTCGGGATCTTCCCCAGACGTCGTCCGGCATGCAGAGAGCGGCACTCTTGCTCTTATATACGAATAGGTCCACCTTAAGCATAGCTATTTCCGAGGACGTTGTGCCTAAGAGGCATAATCTGCCAAGAAGAAACCCCAAATCTTGCACTGAGAAGAGAACGCAAGTTCCGGAAACTCCAGGTGCTGTGTAAGCAAGATGTGTCATCCCAAACCAGACTCCGGAAACTCCAGGCCCACTTTGTGGACCGTTTACCTTAGCCAACCTTGAAGGAGTCAGGCATTGGACAGGACTGTGGAGGCTTGGGGCACCTGTGTCGATTCTAAATCGGCATTATTTTGCTGATATAAACATGATTATCAATTAAACAGAAACTGTTCGAAGTTATTCGGTTGGAAACATCCAAAATTCGGAGAAGTTGAAGCTGCTTGGATCGAGCACCTCGAACCGGTCGACCGAATCTACCGAGAAGGCCAAGTCCATCGTCCCTGTCAAGACATCCTGCAGCCCATAGGGGTTTCCGAGCTCGCTTTGACCGACCATCGAATCCATGCCTGCTGCTGCGAAGCCGTTGGCCATCGATGCTAGCTCACTATTTGAACTGTCCAAGGGGAGTGTTTGTCCCAAAGGACCAGCAAGCCCCGACTGGCCATTCTGCAGAACGTATTCGATCCTGCGAAGCAGACACTGAACGACGTCCGCCGCACGGGTCCCAACGGCAAATTGCTTTCCGAAGACCTCGAAGACTTCAATCGCTTTGCTGAGGGTGCTGCGGGCGACAGCTGACGCCGGGGACAACGGGTGGGCAAGGAGGTAGCCAACCATGATGATGGCTGCGTTCCACTGCCACTGAAAAGCCTCTTGCCAGCCCTTCAGCAACTCGGTTTCCGAGACTGCTTGATGGGTGAGAACAGTGAGAGTGATGGCATGGTTCACCCCCTGAGTAGCGCACTCCTCCACAATGGGCGAGGTGTTATGGGAGAATGAGATCAAGGCGCGGTACAATACGATACAGAGGTTGTGGTACGTGAGCTCCAAAAATAGGCGTTGGCGCTGCAACCACAATGGCGCGAAGACTCCTTGGAGTGCAAGAGCTGTGCCATCCGTAGAGAAGGGCTGCCCTCCCCCTACGCGTTGGGCTTTTAGCCCATCAGGAACGTGTCTTGTCCAATCTTCGAGGATGTCCAACCGGGACTTGAACCGCTGTGCACAGGCTTCTAGAACCTGTTGGTTATCATAAATACTTGACAGGCCATGGAGGGCGATAAGCCGAGCGCACTCGTCGTAGAAATCTGTATAAACGTCGTGTATCGCAAGGACAAGCTTAGTGTGCTGAACAGTATAGGATAGCCAAGTCGCGTTGCCAGCGACAAGCGCAGCAGATCCCGACTGGATGGCCACATGATGGTCATCTGACGGCAAGCTGCACTCACTTGCATTCAAGGCCTCTGATAAGGGTCTGCCAAGCTTGAGACAAGTCTTGAGCTCGTTGATGCACAGTGTCCACCATATGCGCTTCCGTAACTCGCGTTCCGACTCCGGAAGGTTAGGAGGGGGCTCAAGATGGAATCCGAGGATCTGAGCCGTCCTGATGGCCTGTGCACTGAGACTGTATGCCATATTCTGAAAGGACGAACAACATAGGTATACCACCGACAGGAGCTGGCATTGTAAAGTCGATATAGTTGGGTTCTCCAGCTCAGAAATGAGCAGTGTCTGGCATCTTTGGTAGTGCCAGCGTCCAGTGATGATCGAGCCCCGCAGGTCGGTATCGCTCGGATGCTGGTTGTTAGATATGCGGGATGCCGAGCTCATAGTACTGGAGTAGAGATTTGTATTGCTGAAGTCGGTCCCTGAAGGCGGCTGGCTGTCCGTCGCCGGGGATGGCGGAGAAAGCGTGTCGAGATGAATGCACAAAGCCAGGATGATATCAACAAGAGCCGACGGTTTTCGAGACTTGCCATTCGTCCATAGTGACCTGTACAGATTCCGGAAGCTGGTCTCGTCGACGACCTGATAGGCGCAGTGCCAGGACTGCCAGAAATAACTGAGAAAATACTCCTCCTGCATCGCTGTCAAGTAGTATGTACTACTCGCTGCGGAGTGAGGATCCAGTGGATGATCTGGCTGCAGTGACGGCTGTCTTGGGCCTCCCTCTGTGAGGGACTCACCCTCCGGAGGCCTGAAGTGGATCGTGTTCTCGGCGGGAGGATTCTCGATGAAAGTACCGAGATGAGAGGACATGCGATGGATGAAATAAAAAAGCGAAGATGGGCCAAACCATTGTTTCTGGGGGAGCTGGCTGTTACAGGGATAAAAGCCCCAAGAATGCTTTGAGCGCGCCGCTCCGGTATTCCGATTGACCGGGCGTTCCGCCGACACCACCGCGCCCTCAATCAAGGACGCTTGGTTCTGGGTGCCAATCGAAGAACCGGGAGAGCGAGACGGCGTGAGCAGCGGAGCGCCCGTGTCACGCATCTCAAGCTCTTTCTCCAGCTCCTGGACACGACTCTTTAGGCGCTCGATTTCGCTACCGCTGATCAGCACATTGGACGGGGCTCAGGAGGATGGCTTGGGTCAGGCGAGGCCGGAGAGGTTGTTCAGTGCTTACCGGAACGCATGTGGCAGGTTGCGGATCTCGTTCGCCCCGGTGCTTGTGCATTCGCTCTTCCTGCTCCTGCAATTGGAGCACGGTTGCTGGTTGTCGCACTTGATCCGGTGTATGCGACAAGAGTCGCAAGCCCGCGATACCTGGTGGCGCTTGGCTCGGCCAGGAGCTCTCGGACTTCGGGGAGCACTGGCAACAGCACCGGCCCCAGACGGGCTTCCCAGAAAGGCCGCAGACATGATTGCAGCTCGTCGTGGATGCGCGTGCCCAAGCGCGATGCCTGCCAAGGAGATGGTCTTCACTGTTCCCCTGCCCCTGCCGCACCTTATCCTAGATGGATGGTCGTCGTGGTTCTCCCATCTCACGCACCAAGAAAATGGGATTGAAGTTGACAAATCCGATGACAGCTGACGACAGGCAAATTCGGGTTCTTTTGCATGACGAGTCAGCACTGTCTGCAAAGCTTAGTGCGCATACCCACTAGACGGCCCCTCAAACTGCAAATGCTCCGTAAACTCCGACACGGCCAAGCTCCGATTCCCACAGCTTTACGACGGTGCACACTTCGAAGGTTGACTCTTCGAGGCATTCCTCTGGCTTCGGGGTAGCTAGGAAAGGTCCAGGCCATGTAAACGCATGCTTCTGTAACCGGCTTGATAGAGATAATGAAGTGTGATGGACAATTCCTTGTAATCCATCCAGTGTAAGCTAATGGGATCGCCTGAGTGCTGTGGATACACCGTCCACTGTATGATAACCGGCCCTAAACACCTAATTGCTGCCACTAAAACACCCGGGCTCCCTTCAAGAATCCATGGATGCTTCACGGACGCTGCCTCGGCTTGACCGTTGCTCTGAAGTCCACCGGCTTGACGAACCAAAAGCTCCGCGTGTGCCATTCTGCCGACTGCAGCGATTTATCAAGAGAGAAGTCAAAATCCCGGACCAGACGAGGGATGACTTTGCACATCTCAAGCATCGAAACGTGCCGACCAATGCATGTCCGGGCACCGAGTCCAAACTGTTACGCCATCCGAGGCAAGTCAGCAATCGTATTCACATTCCGGGGAGTGATGGTCAAATGTACTCACAGGCATCCAGGAGCGAATCATCAATGAAAGCCGATCGGGATCTTGATTTTCGAGCCATCTCTCAGGTCGGAAGATATCGCAGTCCTGGCCAAAGACATCCTTGTCGCGATGAGCAACCCAAGTGTTCACACCAACAATAGTCTGCATTCGGTTGTCAGCCACACGCCTTCTTCTCTCGTATCCTTCACGAGTGGAAAACTTACATCTCCTGGGAAGAACTGGCCCGACAATGTCGCGCCGCCCTTTGGGACGACTCTCTCCATCACCAGACCAGTAGCCGGGTGTAGGCGCAGGGCTTCCTTGAAGACCGCCTGCAAGTACGGCATCTGCTGAGTTTCCTTGAACGTTGGGGACTCGGACAGCAGGCCTTCAGAAGCAAATCGGTCTATCTCCTCTCGTAGTCTCTGTAGGCTCACTGGGTCCTTCAACAAATAGTAGAGGACGGCGGAGAGGCTGATTGCCGTGGTATCGGAGCCCGCAACCATGTTCGAGACACATCCTGCCAGTACGTGATGTGAGGTGAACACGTCAGGGTCCGCCGAATGCTTAGCTAGAAACTTGGAGAGAAAATCCTGGACACTGATCCCGTCGTCCTCAATGACTGGCTTGGCTGTACCCTGGCTCTCTCGCATTCTTTCCTTCGTGAAACTCATCACGTAGGCCCTCCCCGCTCCCTTTGAACCGGCCCACCAGTTCTTCAGAGGGAAGAGATAACGATGAAGGGCAGGGTAGATGCCAGTAAGCGTGGCGTAGGAGAGATGGTCTTCGAGGGCGCAGATCACGCCCCCGATATCCTGGCCTTGATCCAGAAATCCGAGCCGCTTTCCATAAGTGATCATGCCGATCACGTCGAAGGCGTAGCACTGGAACCAGTGCCGAACGTCGACCGGCATGTTGGAGACCGCGATCTCACTAAGCCTTTGCGTGAAGAGATCGGAGCATTCGTCCACAAAGGGCTCGTACTGTACTAGTGTCGACATGGAGTATGTCGCTTGATAGAGCCTTCGGCTCTGCGAGTGTCGTTGAATCGCCTGATCGTTGAACAGGGACCATTGGCCAGGGCTGGACCAGGTGGTATACCATGGCGATTTGGGGAAGCCACTGCTCAGGCCATATATGGTCTTGACGGCTTCGGGGTCTTTGATACTATATCGATTTGGTCCATACCGGACTACTCGGCCTACCTGAAGTTCAGCTTGGCACATGTTCAAGGGTTTGTTTTCTGGATGAACTTACCATAACGCTCATGAAGCTCCAGGTTCACTCGCTCGAATGAACCTTGGCGCACCTTCCACAAGTACCATCCATCGGTGAAACGTGCCAGGAACGGTCCCGGAATCGATCGGAGAGGCGAGACAAACGACTTGATCAGTTGGAGGACAAGCTGCAACAGCAACCCAGCGAGCCCCAGCAATGCCCATAGTTGAAGCTCCATCTCAGAAGTACCTAAGTGTTTCCTCACTCGCGGCGCTTGATGTGCATTGCATAGGTCTCAATCCTGTCCTGCCTGATAAGCTTCGTGCTTTGCTATGTAAAGGAGAACTACGAAGTAAGATGAGGTCAGCTTGCGCGGTGCTGTCTAAATGTCATGCCAATTGCTCGTGCCGTCATTGGCGGCGCGTCCGCATTTCCGTTCCCCAGTGCGGGGTGCAAGACGCTAGACTCCTCCGGCGAACTCCTCCGTCCCTCGGCTGCGCTGGGACGGTACGCCAATACTCCGAGAGATGGCGGCTGTCGTCTTCTTTTCCTTTCTTTCAGACGTGAATAACTCTATCAAGGCCGCCATAATTTGTAAGTAGCTAGTAGAATGGGTAGAATGGGTCAAACATATGCAGATTCAATATGCTTCCGTATCGAACGTGTAGATGGCAGAGCATGGGCGGATGGGTCATAACAGTGAAGCTGAGCGGGATATCGAATTTCCAACGACACAAGTACTCCAACCTTCTGATCAAAGCTATCATTGCAGTATCGGTCGACAACTTAAACGATTCATCTTTCCCACCGGGCTGGGTCGGTCACTGCCGGCCGGTAGTGATGAGCTAGCTTGACATCCTCGTCAGGGTTCACGCAGGCGACTTGTAGTTAGTTTGAATGCAAGTTTTGTGGATCAGCCTAAATACGGCCCTCGACCCGAAATCCCGCCTTGACAAGCCGCATAACCTCCGCCATCGGTTCCTTCTTGCTTCGAGGGGTCGTGTCTTCATGTCGAAAATCATGCCCCTCATATCTGTACTTTCCCATCTATCAACGTGATCTAGGAGAGCATCCATCAAGCAAGCGTATCCAGAGAGCTGAATCAGTTTCTTGTGAATCGTGACCATGCCTCCAGTGCGAAATCCCATCCTCCCAGGGTTCAACCCCGATCCGTCGATTCTTCGCGTCGGAGATGACTATTACATCGCCACCTCCACGTTTGAGTGGTATCCAGGCGTGCAGATCCACCACTCGAGGGATCTTGCCAACTGGGAGCTCGTCGTCCGCCCGCTCAACCGCAAGACCCAGCTTGACATGCGCGGAGACCCCGACTCTGGAGGAATCTGGGCGCCGTGCCTGACACACGACGGGGACAAGTTCTGGCTCGTGTACACGGACGTGAAGCGACGGGATGATGCGTTCAAGGACACACACAACTACATCGTCAGCGCGCCCGCCATCGAAGGCCCGTGGTCCGACCCCGTGTTTGCCAACTCGTCGGGCTTTGATCCTTCGCTCTTCCACGACGACGACGGCCGAAAGTGGTTCGTCAACATGCTTGCCGATCACCGTCGTCGACCGAGGCTGTTTGCCGGCATCGTGTTGCAAGAGTTTGACGTCAAGTCTGGGAAGCTGGTCGGGCCCAAGAAGAACATCTTCCCGGGCACTGAACTGGACCTTACTGAGGCGCCGCATCTGTACAAGCGCAACGGATGGTACTATCTGTTGACGGCTGAGGGAGGCACAATGTATAGCCATGCCTGCACTTTAGCCCGATCTCGAGACATATGGGGCCCGTACGAGACGCATCCTCAAAAGTACATCCTGACCGCCAAGGACGCGCCCTTTGCAGCTCTGCAAAAGGCTGGTCACGGCGACTTTGTGGATACGCCGGACGGTAGGACATACCTCGTCCATCTCGCCGGACGGCCTGTGGGCCAGAAGCGCCGCTGCGTTCTTGGCCGGGAGACGGCAATCCAGGAAGCGTACTGGGGGGATGACGACTGGCTCTACGTCAAGAACGGTCCGGTCCCATCCCTGTTTGTCGATGTTCCCGGAACGGCCGACGATACTGCGTACTGGGCAGAGCAACACTACATCTTTGATAAGGAGCTCCACAAGGACTTCCAGTGGCTTCGGACGCCGGAGCCGGAGCGCATATTCTCTGTTGAAGGCAGGAAGCTGAAACTCATTGGGCGAGAGTCAATCGGGTCTTGGTTCGAGCAGTCGCTAGTAGCGCGTCGTCAAACCCACTTCTCATATGATGCAGAGACGATCGTTGACTACTCGCCGACGGACGAGCGGCAGTTTGCTGGGCTGGTCGCTTACTACAACCGGTACAACTACTTCTACCTGGCCATCACTGCGGATGCAGAAGGCCAGCGCGAACTCCAGATCATGAGCTCCAAGGCGGCGTGGCCGGCCTCCAAATTGGCAGCCCCGGAGGATCAATGTGTCTCGATTCCACAGGAAGGAAAGGTCCGGTTGGCGCTGAGCATCCGGGGTGGCCAGACATTGCAGTTCGCATACGCGTTGGAGGCGGAGAAGGAACTCAAGAGCTTCGGTCCCGTCTTTGACGCTACAGTGCTGTCAGACGAGTCAGACGGCGATATCAGTCATGTCCAGTTCACGGGGGCCTTTGTGGGTATGGCATGCTCCGATCTCAATGGGACGGCTTTGGAGGCTAGGTTCGATCATTTCGTTTACCGGCCAGTCCGTCATGAGCTCGATCGGTACGAGGTGTGATGGCGATAGACTGTCTCATCAGTTTAGTCTGTATCTGACTTTCCACGTCCGTACGATATTGCAAGCTCGTGTTACCAGGAATTTGCCAAGAGTGAGAAGAGGTGCAAGAAGGCTCCATCTTTCCCATGTTTTAGTACCAAGCCATTTTCTGCCGTATTCAGTAGAGCGAAGCGCCGCTTGGCTCCCGGAAACAGTAGACGGATGCGCCTTTCTCCACTCAACACTCCACAAATTCCCAATTTCTCCGACAATCATGGTGCCGGAGGTTAAGTACTGGGATGCGCCCACACGGCCAGGGAGGCGCAAATGGACCCTTGAATCCGATCACAGATACATTACCCAACTTCTTGCTGTGCGCTGGATGGGTTCCTTGACACGATAAACACTCAATTCTGTCTTCTCGAGACCACCCGGCCTGCCTCAGCTGGAGATTTGTGTTGTAGGCAAAGTGCCCTCAGGATTCCAGGCAAAATGGCGTTCCCCCAGTCACGGCTCAGAGCTATCCCTACAAAGTCGCGTGTCTTCATTGTGACCGACATTGCAAATGAGCCCGACGACTCAGAATCTCTTGTCCGCTACCTCCTCTACTCGAACGAGTTCGATACCTGCGGCCTCGTCGCCTGCACGTCTACACACATAAAGCGCCGCGTATGTCCGGAGGAGATAGTCAACATCGTCAACGCATACGGAGAGGTGGTTGACAAGCTCAACGTTCATGTCCACCCCGACAATCCCTACCCGACTGCCCAGAGCCTGCGTGACCTTGTCAGAGCTGGACCTGCTCTGTACGGCAAGGAAGCACTTAAATCTGGCGTCCCTCTCAGTCCTGGTGCCGAGCTCCTAGTCCAGCAACTCGAAAAGTCGACAGATCCATTATGGGTGTGCTGCTGGGGAGGTACCAATGTGTTGGCCCAGGCACTTCAACATATTCACCAAAAGCATATGGCTTCTGAAGCCAAGGAGATCCGATCCAGGCTTCGTGTCTACACCATCTCAGACCAGGACGATACAGGTCTGTGGATGAGGGTCACATGGCCCGACATCTTCTACATCTGCTCTGTTCACGGATGGAGCCAATACCACAGCGCCGCCTGGATCGGAATCTCTGGTAATATTGACGGCGGATCCGATATGTCCCTCGTCGCCAAGGAGTGGTACTCGAAACACATCCAGGTCGGCCCCCTGGGGAAGGCCTACCCTGATCATAAATTCATTGTGGAAGGTGACACACCGACCTTCCTCTATCTCATTCCCAACGGGCTTGGCTCCTCAGAACATCCCGAATGGGGCAGTTGGGGGGGTCGTTACATCCCCACCGACAGGGGGTTGGCAGCTCGGCACTACGGTGATGCGACGGACAAGGCGGTGGGCAAGGATGGCAGATTCTACTCGAGCAACTACGCCACCATCTGGCGCTGGAGGGAGGCATACCAACACGATTTTGCGGGCCGCATCCAGTGGACGCTCACCGATGACTTTACAAAGGCCAACCACGCGCCGGTTGTGAGCGTGAACGGGTCTACTGGTCCGGAGCCTCTGACCGTGGAGGTCGAGGCCGGTAGCGAGGTCGTCCTCGACGCATCAGAGACCTATGACCCGGACGGCGACGAGCTGACCTTCTCGTGGTTTCAATATCGGGAGGTGACTTCTGCTTTGCTAGAACTGCACGACCAGATGGTTGCCACACCCGAGCTAACAGATCTGGACGAGAAGATCCCGCATAGACAAATCAAGCTCAAGGTGCCGCCGGCCGACAAGTGTGCCGTGGATTTCTACAGTGGGAAACCTGTCGAGAAGGGTCAGGAACTGCATTACATTCTGACCGTCAAGGACAATGGAACGCCAGCTATGCTGACATACAAGCGCGTCATAGTCCGCATCACCAACCCCAAGCTCCTAGGTGGAAGTAGTAAATCATTTACTACGACAACAGACTGGCTAGAGGCGCATGGCTTTATATAAGGGGCAATTATAATGACGTCTAGACCACATTGAGTAAGAATTTGTCATAAATCTCTTATGAAAGCAACGGCTAGATACTAGGAAACATGTCGATTCGCGAAGTCGTAATCAAAGCGGCACCGCTCTGCGTGAACGTGGGAGGTTCCCCAACATAGACATTACTTCTTGTGGACCAACTGCCTCGAAGTGCACGTGAGAAAGAGATTTCAGACTGTGTGCAGCCAACGACATCAAATTTGATTGATCCGACACTTGTGACAATCATGAGCTGTTCCACACCACGTCAATCATCACCAGCACACAGCATGACGGCCCCACCACGGCTGTGACCTGGAGGTCTGACCATCCAGTTTCGGGCGTGCTTCTTCGCAACGACCGCTTTCCGTCCTTCTCCTCTAAGAAGTTGGGGGCCATTCCGCTGTAGCATCAACTCCGGACCCATGCATACACGGCGGAATCCTCAGGGTTGCATCGGCGGCAAGCGTCTGCATCACAGGCGTGTGTGGCGCTTATCGGGAGCGGTGATTCGACAGAACATGCAGAAGCGTCTTTTACCCATCAACCACCGCCTATCACAAGTCGACAGCCAGCGGGACGACCACCCCCTCGGGGTCGACAACGAGGGCATCGAGCAAAACTGACGCACACTGTGGCCCTCAGCTGTCCGTAAACGGGATTGGGCTGCCACTTGGCTTGTAACGGCCGATATGCATGTGCCGACGCGACCAATGCCCGGCGGCCAATGGGGACGCGTGGGGCGCTTGCTGTTGGTTCTGCTGTTGCATTGATGAGTATTGCATGTCCCCACCATCCCGTGATGCCGGCATGCAAGTGGGCGAGGTCGTGTTTTTGAGCAACCAACAGCCAGCTGCACATATTGCTCACCAGGTAATGGTTCATAAAAGAAATGACTCTGATTCCAAAGCAAGCCGAACAGATTTCATCTTCATCTGTCTGGGAGTCAAGGCGAATTACATCTACTGTTTCAGAGCTCATTGCCGACATTATCGTTATGGCTCAACTACGAAAGACCCTTCAAAACATCAGATCACGATGGTCCGCTTCGAATGACAATGACAAAGTCCTCGACCTGCAGAAGACCCCCCTTCTTGAACAAGCCAAACAAGACACAGAAGCGTCTCTGAACACTTCGCCTCCAGGCTCGCCTCGAGCGTCGTTGCCAAATATTCCAAGCCCCGATCAAGAAAGCTTCGAGTCAACAGCCGATCCTCAGCGCTCCTCATATCTATTCAAGCTACCCTTGGAGTTGAGGACGCTGATCTATATCGATATCTGGCAGCTGCTGGGCTCTAGCCAGCACATTTTTATCAAGGGAGATGGATACTCCTATACTCCCTGTGTCGTGCGTTCAGGCGAAGCAGACGAGCGACCTGCCGAAATAAAAAGGATCTGGGAAGAAGATGGGGGCTGGTCCATCCGGCAAGCTCTCTGGAACAAGCGCATGTCAAGCTCTTGGGGCACTCACTGGAAGTGTCTTGAGAGAACCCTCGTGGCTCCCCCGGGACAGCACCCTGTTTTGACAATGTTGCTGCTGTGTAAAAGAACGTTAGTCGTAGCCACATCCTTGCTGAGTTTCTTTGCTCGTCTCTGATTATGACCGATAGGTACCTCGAGTGTCGAACACCAAGACTCAAGAACCTGAGCATTACGTTCACCCGCGTGCGGATAGCACATCACTTTTGCTGCGTGCGAAAGATGCCGATCATGGAGAACATAACGCATCTGGTCATCTCCTTTCGAGAGGCCGGCAGCAAGGACTACAGGGCATTTTACAATCTCCTACTACATGTGGAAAAGCTTCCGAACTTTCGGGAGATGGATGTTTGGATGGATGTTCCGGGCTTGAGTATCGCAGAGTTTCTGCTTACTATCGGCCAAACATATCACGATAGGGGAGTTCTGTCGAAGATAACATTCGATGTCCCGATAGATGTAGATGAGGTGCTGGAAGTTGAGAAGCATTACCCTCAGGTAAAGATCAGGAAGCGTGGTTTCGTCAGGTTGCCTCCTAACTTCACACCTTCTTTAAGGTTACCAGGGAGTTTGTTGCGTTCGATTTAGGAGGTGAACTTAGCATCGTTCGGGAGAAGAGAGATCTTTAGTTACATTCCCAATACCCAAGCTGCAGACTCAAAATCAAAACTTATTCGATATATCTGGCTCGGTCACTTGCGTAGTTGAGAAGGAGCTTGGGTCAGGTTGAGGATCTGATGAAGATTAATTTTTCCTCCAACACGATTGTATAGTTATTTCCTGCTGCATGCGCATACTTTCGAACACGTCGTGCTTTGTCTGCACTCGAGTCTCGTTTAATTAGGTAATTTCATGCCTAGAGTTCAGATCTCCTCACAGACATCTTTGAGGCTAGTCAGTAGTAGTGCCAGTTTCCAACGGCTCTTATTTCTCCGCGGAGGATCTTACACCTGTTACTAGGCCACTTTCGGCACTGGATCCTAAATCGGAAACCCCCGTTTCTAACTGCTCTCTTAAACCCGCCCTCGGGACATCATGTATTTTTGTATTGGGGAAGGCGTGCTTGGAATTTCCAGATCCAATTTGCATGGGACCGAAAGCTAACCGGCTGGGTTATGGTCAAAACTTCTTCTTCCACCCGTCCGGCTCCGGGCCAAAGCCAGACACTGTGAGACTCGCAGGCACTACATATATCAACAGTGTCGTCTTGGGGCAATACGGGCGGGCAGTAGGGCAGGGGCCTCACTTGAACCTTCACATAGCCAATAGCTTCCTAAAGACAGATGGACATCACGTCACATCATATTAATAACTCTTGGCTGTAAAATCAGTATTTCGCCTATAGGACTGAGAAAACATCACCATGGGATCTTGCTGTTACATGCCCAAAGCTCGCAAGATTACGAAAAGCCGCTATGCGACATATCTCTCAGTCAAAGTATTTTTAAGGGTATCACTTTTGATATTATATATGAAAGACTCATGATTGACACTAACATTACACCGTGCTATTTGTGTTACACCAGAACGCTCTGGTGATCGCTTTCCATTCCGATGACCAGATGATGTGTCTTAGAATCCAGACTCTGAGAATCATATGCATCCTGTGCAATTCAGAGCTGTGTGACGGCGCAACCTCACTAGGCCTCCTCATGCTTGGCGTGGTGCGAGGCCACCGCGACGTCTGCGGTAACTTGGCACACGTAGGTGTCAAACTTGCGAGCGGGCACCTTATTATGGAACATCTCCTGGATCTCGGCGAAGGTGCGGCCCTTCATCTCGGGCAGGCAGAAGTAGAGGTAGACGCACATAGGCACGGAGAGGCCAAAGAAGATGAAGCAGATCTTGCCACCGAGGTTGGCCTGGTCCGTGTTGATCAGGTACGGCATGACCTGCAGGACCATGCACGACACGGCCGTAGCGGACATGATGTTGATCGAGTAGGTCTTTTGCCGCAGGACGGGGCTGGGCGTCTCGCCGCCGACGGCGTAGGCGCAGGCGCCGAGGGTGGCTTGGTACTGATTTTGGTCGTTAGCAGCCCGTCTCCTACGATAGAAGGGAAAAAGGTTTGGAGACGCACCAGATAACCCCAGACAGTCATGAATGCAACCGTTGCCTTGAGGGCGGATTGGGTATTGATGGTGCTGATACCGCCGATAATGAGGAGGCCACAGGTCATGATGATTGTACCGCCAACGATCATGGGGCGGCGGCCAAGCCGGTCAACTAAGAACCAAGAGCAGATGTTGCCGAAGAGCTGGATGGCAAATGCAACTTGGGCCATGCCAATTGGGTTGTTGACGCCAGCGAGACGATAGTAGTAGCTATGTGGCAGCATGTCAGTCAATCGTTTGTGCCGGGCCAGCAAGGCACAAATGTCCAAACTCACGTGAGGTAACCAGCAATAAAGTTCACACCGATAAACTGCTGGGCAATGTAGACCATGCAGATGATCAGCGTCCTGCGACCATCGGAGCCCTTGAAGCACTGCAACCAGGACGATTGTGCCCGCTCCAACTCGCGCTCCTGCTCAACCGAAGTCGTAGCCAAAGCCATGGCAGTGTCCACGTCGTAGTCAGGTCCGTTGAATCTACGGAATGCCTTGGCAGCGTCCGCGCTGCGGCCCTTTATGATAAGCCACGAAGGAGATTCGGCAATGAATGGCATGCCGATGAGAAGAAGAGCGGGAGGGATGATTTGAGTGATGATAGGGATTCTCCAGGCGAGATCGTCTGATCGAGAAGATGTGGCGTACACAACGAGGGAGCTGAGCCACTGGCCGATGACAATCATGGTGTTCTGCGTCATGCTGTCTAAGTAATCTTGCCTAGATGAAACAATAGAGGTTACTTACCACCAATGTAAGGCAAATTCCACGCAGTTTGGAAGGGGCGAGTTCTGCCACGAAGACAGGGCCCAGTGAGTGGCCGAGACCGAAACCGAAGGTAGCAATGATTTTGCCGCCAAAGAGCTCCAAGATAGTCTTGGCGAAGTATTGAGTGATAATCCCTGCCGTGCAGATGAAGCAGCCGAGCATGATGGTCTTCTTACGGCCCAGGAAATCGGCAATGAAACCGGTAGCGAAGGCAGACACGAAGATTCCAACGGTGGTCGCGGCGTTGAGGATCTGCTGGTCTCTGGCAGAGATGACGAGGCCGGTAGCAGTCTGTTTTCCAAAACGTTCCATGAAAGGGGTGACGGCGAGGAGGTTGCCAACGGTACTGAGCTCATAGCCAAAGTTGACCGGCATCAGGAAGATGTAGAGGCCTAGACGAAGGAAAGGGCATTGTGAGCCATGCGAGTCCAAACGAACAAGCCCGTTCTACCCGGAGAAGACTTACACCATGCAAGGACACGCCTGTTCTGCCAGATGTCACCCCAGGTAACCTTGGTGTCGGGAAGCGAGCCTGAGCCATGGTTCTGCTCGAGATGCTCCGCAGTAGCGCTGATGACAGGCGGATGCAGAACCTCGTCCTTCCCGTCTGTGATCGCCATGATTCAGGAGTATTTGTTATGAAACCGAGACGCCTAGCTGATGTGAAGTCCGAGGCCCTTAAGTGTATGTCGTGAACGCCCTGGATCTAGGGATCTTCGTGGGATGGAAGCCCAGGATATATACATATCCCTGAACTGGCTCAGATGCGCGAGTGGCATGTGCGGAACTGTGTGTCGTCTGCGTCCCTGAGGCGAAATCCGGGGTCTAGTGATTGATGGAAATCGAAAAGTTAGCTGAGCCGGGGAACCAAATCGCCGCTAAGATGACAGTGACTGGCTTCCAAACCCCAAAAGCAGACATGTTTTCTTGTGGGGTCGGCTCTTCATCCCCAGATTGGTCGTGTCCAGTCGCAATGCGCAACAAGCTAACGTTCTAGTTCCGGGTATGTGGTATGGGGACCTAATTCTCCGCGGAGAAACAATCGGATTGCCGACATTTAGGGACCAGGAACACATGATGCCCTGGCATCGTGTCCAGAATTGGAAGTCTTAGGCACAACATGGCTGATTCGGGAAATGCTTAGCACTTAGGTCCGTAGGGGTCTTGACATCGTGCAACGCCAAGAGAAAACCTGACGATGCAACCAACGACTAAGATAACCAGACAAAGGTTGCCGAGAGCTCCCGCAGCATTGGATCTCCAGTACATGGCAGGCAAACATGAAAATTATACAGGTCTTGGTGACAGTGTATATCAATAACCCTATGATTGAACCGTAGTTAACTCAGCTCGACGGCGTGATGAAATTGTTCCTTTCAATGGTTTCAGTTTGTTTCAATAGGCTCCCAATAGCGAGAAATAAGCCTAGGCTGCAAAGCACTAGAGCAATAAACCAAATAGCATATACATAGTCACAAAAGGAATAGAACCAGAAATCGTAGTCTGAGCTCCTGGGGAGAGTTGTCTTCTAAGAAACCTATCGGAAGGAATTCCCTAAGCAAATCTTCTCGTCACAATGAAGAAGCGGGTTAAAAAGACTTCAAATATAGAAATGGAAGTTGGAACAATAAATGGTAGTACTTGTTCGTAATCACACGAAACGCCTCCAAGAGAAAGAAGACAGACATATACTTACGTGGCTTCTTTTTCTATTATCAGATCAGCCCAGCAGGTCACATATCATCAAGCCCACCGAGTTTGTGTCTCCGAGACCGTCTTTTAAAGCGTAATGGCGTCATCTGCGATATGGAGGACAGAAGCTGAAGGATGTTGGTCTAGCGGCGTCGAGACAGCCTGCGGCTTGTCGGTCGATCCATTTTGAATATCGAATTGAGAAGTGAACGATCTTTCGAAAACAACTCCAAGAACTTGTGCTAGGAAACCAACAGCAGAATCACATCACACAGTGCTTCGGCTAGTCGCCGTGACCGTCCTAAGTAGGACTGAGCAGGACGTCTTTGAACTCCTCCTCGGCTGCCCCGTCGGCTGCTGCCCGCTTTGCCGCGGCATCGGCGCGCAGATTGAGCTCCCTTGGGATCTTCCAAAATGCAACGCTTTGCCCTTGGTCTTTCCATTTCTCCACTTCACCGAATAACATATCCCACAGGTCCTTGTTCTTCACATTCTTGCCGGTACGCGTCTTCCACCCATTCCGTACCCAGCCTTTGACCCAGCCTGTGGCGCCATTGACCACATAGGATGAGTCAGTCGCAATGACAATGCTCTTGTAACCCTTACGCCCCCAGTCATACAGACGCAGCGCGGCGATGACCGCTCGCAGTTCAGCTCGATTGCTGGTTGCCACACTGACGTCCCCGAACGGGCCTTTCTCCTCGAGCCTGCCAGATGCGACACATTGGTGAGGCTGACTACCCGTTCCAAATTCTCCGCAGACGACCGCCCAGCCGCCGCGGGGTTTCTGTTGCTCGTTTTGGGAACAAGCACCATCGACGTATACGAGCACCTTGTCTGGATCGGAGCGAGAAATGAACCACTTGGCCGGTGTATGGCTCACGTTAGTTAGAGGGAAAAGCTCAGCTGGAGATAAGGTCGGGAATCGAGGCCGGAACTTGGATGGGAACACGTTCCTCGTGCCCTTTCTTCGCTCGAACCTCTGGGGCCTTTTATTGTCGTGATCAGTGCGTGCGTTGCTGACGACGCCTTTAAACGTATCTGGAAGACCATGGATGAATGTGGGGGCCTCCAACTTGACCACAAGAGCTACAAGAGCAGCATCTTCGGATTCATCCCAGGCACGTTTGCTCTGGTAGAGTATGAGGTCGGCCTCTTCCTGAGACCCATGGCTCAAGCTATATATGGAGGGCAGGGCAGGGGTTTCTTCCATGAGGAGGCCCTTCCAGATGTACGGATTCGCGGCATATAACTTGTAAGAAAGTTGCTGGCATTGGGCCCTGAGTTTCCTGGCCGTGATTGAGACATCGGTGGGGTGCATGGTTCTTAGCCTTGCCCGTGCAAGTCGTCCGATGGGCCGGTCCGGACCGGGCGTCCATTCCGCTATATCGGGATCATTGTGTGCCTCAAAATCGAGATAGAGGCGCGTCTTGAGCAGGGTAAGAGCAACAAGGTGGCTGAGGTTCGGGGACGCATGAAACACGTCGATGGACTCAAACACATCCGAGTCATGAACATGCAGGTACAGAGACGATAGAGGGAGAGAATTGTAGTGGCTGTGGTAGTAGTGCTCTTTGTCGTCAATTATGGTCCACCACTTGATGAAGTCGTAGCACTCTTGCTCTCGGTCGAGTCGAAGCAGCAGAAATGGGATAATATCTCGCTGGCCTAGGTTGACTCCTGGGCAGAGACGTGACATCTCCTGCAGGTGCTCAAGGGCTGCTTCGACGGCATAACTCGTGTTGATCTTGAGTAGGGCGTCGGCAACGGCATTTCGTGCTCTAATGTATGCTTGTGTCCGAAAGCCACAAAAGACATCAAAGTAACTGTCATTATCCGGTGCTAGAATTTCTGCCTCCTCGTTCTGGAAAACTTGTCGGCTCTTATTGATGGCGTCACAGGCCTTCTTGTGCTCGACCTGATGCTCTTTCTGATGAGCAGCGCCGCAGTAGTGGACCAGTTTGCAGCCTTCACAAGGCAGCAGTTTGTCCTTGGACGAGCACACCGCACAGCCCTGCTAATAGATCAAGGCATTCGATACGGTCTTATTATCATACAAGTCGGAGAAGTCGTAACGCGCCATAGTAGCAAGTCTCAGGCTCCGAATCTTAGGAGATGTGTCTGGTCTCGTCAATGTTCTGACTATTACCACGGGTGGGTGAAAAAGGCGTCACAAAGGCGGGGAAGGTGCCGAATACCCTGGATAGGGGGCATCACCGCTCTCCAATTGGAGCCAGTTTGATTCGGGATGAAGAACAAAACAAGATATCTCTTGTTTACGAATATCTCAAATGATCATTAATGAAATTGGAGCAAACCACAAACTCTTCCCCTCTTTATGGCATTCCGAGGCATCTCGACAGGGTGACGTCAGCAGAACCCAATGGCCGCAAATACTTAAACTTTCGCTTGCCTCGATGAGGTTAATGTCTGTCATAAATCGTTCGGGAAAGCACCGAACTTACCGAACTTGACGAACTTCAGCCGGTTGTTACGTTTGTAGCAACATTGAACTGCCTGAGCGATATGCCGCCAAACAGGACACGCAGAGGAGCAGCACCTCCCAGCTCGTCGAGGAAACGAAAAGCCACGGACGATGCAACTGAGGAAAAGAAAGAAGCAAGGCCTCAAAAGGCGCGAAAGCGATCCACGAGCAGCACCAATATGAACCAAACAGAGATCTCTACAGAGTCGGCAGACAAGCTCGAGAAGCCTATTCTTATCAATCGCTCCCCGGTGCTGGAGCTGTGGGGTGCCTGCGTTGCCAGCTTCCTGCACCCTGATATGTCATGGAATGCCTGTATCAACATTGGAAGCAGCATTGCAACACTCACAGCAATCGCCAAGGGCCGATCCATCGGTAAGATTGCCGAACCGGACCCAGACAAGCAAGCAGAGAGGAAGAAAAAGGGCAAAGGTGACGAGGGTTTACCCATCATCAGAGTTATGGGCTTCCCTATGACGATGAAAGGAGATGCGGTCGTGTTCAAGGGTAAGGAGAGGACCGCGAGAGAAGCCAATCTCGTGAGGAAGTTTGGCGAAGAGAACCTTGGAAAGGTCAAGACAACCATGGGCAAGGCACTGGAATCCTGGAGGGGAGATGAAGGCGAGCTAGACAAAAGCGCATTTCACATGTATGAGCGCTTCAGGCCGCAGGTGCCCAAGGGCCAGCAGGGTTGGGGCCGAAAGGGAGAGCTGCATCTTTCAAAGATTGAGGGTGCTGTACGAAAGTCCTAGATGCACAATGGAGCGTGCGACCTCAGATCCCGAGACTGACCGGAGATACCAGCCCACCTTGTAGGGATTTCCATCCTTCCAGAAAACCATGAAGAGACACACTGTCGGTGTGGCCCCGGTCGGGTCGTACAGAACGCTCGAGACGTACACCACGTCGTCCATCCAAGCTGAACCCCGCTCTCTTGGATGCAGGGAGCTCAGTGGTGCTGAGAATCACGGCTCGGATGTCCGGTTAAAGCTTGCTTAAATATTGAATGTGTCGGTCATCTGCGCTGCTCCAGCTCTTCTCTCCTTCTCTATCTCGTCGAGATATCAATACCTCACTTCGCGGAGTTTGGCAACAGCATCCAAGGCACCGAGACTACTCTGTCCCTCACTACTTACTCAATCTCTCACCTCGCAGCAATGGCTGATCGCCCACCAACCGAGAACCAAGGCGCCACTCACCTGCCCGGCCCGACCACATATCTCACTGGGCATGACGCCTCCGGCCAGGCCGTGATCCAGTCGAAGCGGCCCGTCCACTGGACGCGCTACGACGACGACAAGCTCAACATGTCGGTCGCCTACACGACCCAGTTCCCCGCCGATCTCAACAGCGACGCCGACGTCGCCGCGCACGACGCCAAGATGGCCAAGGGCCCCATCGGGCTCGTGTCGGGGGGCGGCACGGTGCTGCGCTTTGTCGACATGGCGCCCGGGTACGAGTGCATGATGCACCGGACGCAGAGCGTCGATTACGGCATCGTGCTCGAGGGCAGCGTGGTCGCCGTCATGGGCAGCGGGGAGGAGGTCGTCATGGGCCGCGGGGACATCATGGTGCAGAGGGCGACGATGCATGCGTGGCGCAACCCGAGCGAGACGGAGTGGTCGCGGATGGTGTTCTGTCTGCAGGACTGCCAGCCGCTGGTTGTGGCGGGGAAGCGGATGGGCGAAGATCTCGGGAGAGGGACGGACGGGGTGCCGCCTTCGCAGAATGATGCGTAATAGCTCGGGGTGATGGTCGCACTTTCACACCGTCCTGGTCATAGCATTGAAAATACGATTACCTGTGCGGCCCCATTGCAGCTTCTATAGATGGCAATTGAAGTATCGGTTGCTTCTTCCTGGTAAATCGGGGAACACCTTCCATTTTGCCAGTGTAGAGAGGTCGGGAAAGAACGGCGTGGTCATGTTCAATCGTATCCAGAATTTGCCATGTGCAAGTCCTCCCAGCTAGCTTCTGTTACTTCATCTTCTCTCCCTCTTTCGACTCTTCGGTACACACTCAATCTTCGAGCTTGGGATAGCCCTCATTCTGTCATATTGCAGACTTACGAACCACACTGTCTGCGTTACAGAAACCAGATCCGTCCAATATGCGGTCGAGTCGCCTCCCGGTCGCTGTTGCGTCCATTCTCCTGGGCGGTATTTCAGGCGATGCTGGACTTCCAGTACCGTCTCCTGGTTGCAAGAGTGTAAGTCAAGATCATACCCAGCCAATAGAAATCGGAAATTTGACGAGCCGCTTCAGACACCTGCCGACGTTGGCTGGCCTTCACCCAACGACTGGGCCAATTTCAATCTATCCGTGAATGGCCGACTGATTGCCACATCTCCCATTGCGTTGCCTTGCTACCAGGGGCCGAATTACAACCCGGCGGCATGTGCTGCCCTGATTCCAAGCTGGAACGATCCCACATTTCGAGCCCAGTTCCCTATAGGCTATTCGTTCTCTGATCTTGAGCCATGCGACATCATCACCAGCGCCTTCAACACGACTGCATGTTCTCTCGGAAACAACCCTGTCCTTGCTGTTGACGCTGCTACCGCAGACCACGTCTCTGCTGCTGTACTCTTCGCAGCCCAGAAGAACTTGCGCTTGTCTATCAAGGCGACAGGCGTGGACTACCTGTCCCGTTCGACTGGGTTTGGGAGCCTGGAGATTTGGCTGCGGAATATGCGTGAGGGAGGCATGGTCTTGGAAATACCGTACCAGCCCCAGCAGCCTTGCATACTCCCATCCGGACAGCCACTTTGGGCCGGTGACTCCATCACTATCAACGGCAGCTACACGTGGTCCGACGTATACAGTTTTGCGCAGTCCAATGGCCAAATTGCTGTCGGTCCTGCGTATGGCGGCATCTCAGCCATCGGAGGCTATCTCCAGGGAGGCGGTCACTCCGCTGCATCTGCTCAGTACGGGCTTGCTGCCGACCAGCTGCTAGAGGCTACGGTCGTGCTGGCGAACGGAGCACAGGTCACTACCAGCGCCTGCCAGAATCCAGACCTTTTCGCCGCAATTCGTGGCGGCGGCGGTGGCACATTTGGCATCGTGACCAGCGTCAAAGTCAAGTCGTATCCGGAGACCCCCGTGGCTGCAGTGGTCTTTAGCATGGCGGCCTTGACCGGAAACGATATTCCTCTGTTTCTCGACTCGATCACATACCTGTACCAATATTTCCCCTGGATCATCGAGGCTGGTCTGGGTGGTTATGCAGGCTGGAACCTGTATGACACGCAGCCCATGTTCGGTCCAGCAGGCCCATCCTTCTATCTTGTAATGGGGGCATTCAACCAGACACTTGCGCAAGTGCACGCGACTTTCGATCCCATCGTGGCTGGCCTCACGCCACTGAACGGCGTGAACCTCAACCTGTCGGTTTCTTACAACTACTTCCCGACCTATGCTGGCTACTTCAGCTCTCTCTTTGGGACGAACATTCCTGCATCGGCCGGCGGGATCGCTCTGACCTCACGGTTCCTGGGCGCGGCTCACGTCAGCGATCCGGTCCCGGTACGCCAGATGCTCAACACTACTGCCGGCCTGCCCGGTCAGAGGACGTCGAGGCTGGCCGTACTTGCCGGCGGCTTGGGCGTGCGCGCGGGAGCAAGCCAGAGCTCAGGCGTCAATCCGGCATGGCGAAACGCATATGTGCTCGACATCGTGGCACGCCGGTGGGAGCACACCGCCACAGCGGCCGATGTGGAGGCCATCCACAGCGATGTCACTGCCGTAAAGGGTGCTGCCCTGACGGCTCTGGCCCCTGACACCGGATCGTATCCCAACGAAGGCGATGCGCGTGACCCTACGTTTCTGGCGAACTTTTACGGTACTGCGCTCCCAATGCTGGAAGCGGCGAAGGCTAAATATGACCCTAGTGGGCTATTTTACTGTCCTACTTGTGTTGGCTCGGAGTTCTGGAGCGAAGATGCAACTGGTCGGCTCTGCCACGTGTGATGAGTACGGATGGCGACATATGCTGTTTGGGTTTGTTGGATGATATTTTACACTAGGTTTTGGGAGACAGTAACTGCATTGGTATGTCGATCGTTTGATTACAACATCTATAAGAGATTCGGATCGTTTAGCTCTTGATTCGTAAAGATAAGAAAAGACATATTTCTTTCCTCAAGCTCTGCGAGAATTCAAAAGTTGAATCAAACTGCTCACTATGGAACAAAAGCATAGAAGATTAACAAAGCTTTTTAAGACCGATTTTAGGCTACGATGAGTAAACACACTCAAGTTACCCCAACCAAGACAATGACAAGAAAGAAATGAATAAATAAAAAAAACATAGTACTCTTGCAAAGATGTAGCTAATTGGGTGTCCCATCTCCCAGTTCAACTCTCGACTCAGGCTGCTTGATCAATGCCCTCAACCCAGCCAACACCTCTTCAATGTTCGCCTCCTCCGCCAGTTCCACCTTGAGCACGTCATAGAGATGGTTCGGCGCCATCAGATTGTCTGGCGCGGTGGATCTGGCATGGTAGGTGGCCGTTCTGAGTAGGTTCTTAATCAATCGCCCCTGTCCATATTGTCAGCTCAAGCCCAACATACCCACGTTTTGTCTAAAACGCAATGCAAAACTCACGTTGACAGCTAGGGCCCCCAGCACTTTATATATCTCAGGTTTCCACTTATTCGCGTCTGCCACGCTGTTGTTGAAAGTCACAAAGGACTCCCAGATGCCCTGCCGTTGCTCAGGGCTCAGATCAGGCAGCCCAATGGTAAGATGTATTCGACTTTGAAACACTGCATCTAACTGGTCCTTTCGGTTCGTTGTCAGGAAGAGAATACCCTCAAAATATTCTAGTTTCCTCAGCCATACTGTCGGAGCCTTGATGTTAGTGACGTTGAGGCAGGCAAGCGGGAAACTCTTACCAGCTACTATGGCATTTCTCTCGAGCTCCGAGGAGCTTCTTCTCGACATGACCACGTCTGCCTCATCAAGCAAGATGATGGCCTTCCATCGCTTGCCCAGTTTGAATACGGATGTCACTGTGTCCTCCACTGCCTTGACATCAACGCTAAGTTCGCCGCCTGACACGCTGTATAGCGGCGAGGCGGTCAGTTCCGCAACGCTTTCTACATTTTTTCTTGTTTAGCATAAGCCATGGGTTCAAGGCATCAGGAGCGACTTACCTGCTGTCAGAGTCTTCCCGATGCCAGGATTTCTAGGCATGGTTAGTGCTGTTCCATGCTTAGGCTTCGAGGGGCGAAGATCTTACCCATGCAGCATTATCACAAGGCCCTTGCCCTTGTTTGTGACCACATCATCGAAGTCGTTCGCCGTCCCGCCGTTTTGATGACCTGTGACGAGTGATCTTACCAGAGACTTCATTCCTGGATCAATCTGTAATGAGTCGAAGGCAGTGTCATTTTTGTAGACAGGCGAGAGATTTTCAATCAATACCCAACCCCACCGTTTCGACTTCAACCCGTATGCTGGCACGCGGGGCGAACTGAGAAGAAGGAGGTCTTTCAACTCTCTGATACCGCGTTCTTTTGGGATCTTTTTGAGCAGGGCGTTGAAAGCGTTCTTCTCACCTGCATCGGTGATACTTGAGTTGCTCGTCGCGTCCGGCGTAGTATCTAAGTCTGCATCTGAACCAGTATCTGAATCCAAATCCGAATCCGAATCCGAGTCTGAGTCCGAGTCCGAGCCTGAGTTCGAATCCGAGTCAGACTCGGGCCGTCGCGGTCGTGATGTCTTAGCAAACTTTTCGAGGGATTGCGCTCTGTAGGGATGCGTCTCCAAGAATTGCTGATAGTCGACCACAACGCGCTCGTTCCACTAAATCAATACCTGGTCAGCATTACCGATACACACAAGAATGGCAAATAACCTCCCTCTGGAGAACTCACCACAGTCATGACTGAGTCGTCAGCTTCACTAAACCACACCTTCCCCTTATAATGGCGGTATGCATAGCCGCTCAAGTCACTTCGCATGATGTCCTGAAAGACTCAACCCCTCTTTCCAATCTCTTCCTTGACCTGCTCAGCCCGGTCAAAGTAGTCCTCTGGTACAAGAGGCAGCTCAGAGATGTCCATGGACCCATCAATCTTTCGGGCAAAGGAGATAGGGTGCTTTCGTCTCGTGAGCCCCAATTCTCGAACGTTAACACCCAGCTGGACACCTGTGACCCACCAGACCAGTGGGTTTTTTGGATCGCGCTGAACATCCCGACATAGCCAGCACTCAGAAGCTTCGCCTGTGTTGAGAAACAGCCGTTTGTTGGGTGGATATAACGTCCACAACGTTTCAACATTAATTTTGCCTTGAACGATCATTGAGTCGTATGTCGCCATGTTGTCAATAGTCAGTCTGTCGGTACGGAAGAAGTCATACAACAGCTTGACATCGGCATGATTCTCCTGGTGGGTTTCGTTCTCCGCATAAGCTGCCAAGTCCTTTCGCCAGTAGAATAACTCGTAGAACGGTGCTGGCATAACGATGGGGGTAGAGGAGATGTCAAAGCTTTCATGAGTGTCGCCGACAAGTCCCCGAAAATATTTGCAGAGGGATGGTGCTTGAATGCATAGCTCGGTGCCGACTAACATGTCCCTATCGCCATGTCGTGTGAAGATCCTGCGGACGATGACCGAATATCGGTCGAACTTGCGAAGGGCACGCTCCTTTTTCTTGGGGGCTGGAGGAAGGTACTCGGAGGTTGGGCCCATCTCTTCATCGGCCCCAAAGACAGAGCGCGACTTGATGACAGTAACATCTTTGAAACCTTTGTGTTTGAACTGTACACCATCGTCCGGGTTCGTTGGGGGTGAGGGAGTGCTATCAGAGCTAACGCAGATGCCGCGGGCTTGATATCTCTCAAGAGACATTGTGCCGGTGTTTTTTCTTTCTTTTTGATGAGCAAGAGTCGTTAAATGATGTTATACGCCTCTAAATATTAGGTAGCGTCGGTGTCGAAGGTTCAGAACCCGAATCAGTATAGAGCAGAATACATACAGGTCAGATCTACAAAGGGGCACAATCTTGAAGAAGAGATAGACCAGATCAGGAACAAAGGCTGGCTCCTTATGATCAAGGAGAAGAAAAGGGAGCTATCTCGAGTGGTGGCTCTGCAGGCTTAAAGAGATGCCCTGGTGAGTGCCTAGTGACGGCCGTGTCGGGTGTCTTGCGAGACGCCTAACTTTCCATTTCAGCTACACCGCCCCTCGCCGCTCGACAGCCCACCTAGGGATGCCTTGTCGGTCTGCATCTCGCTTCAGAAACCAATCCGAGGGAAGCCCGCCAAGGCGCAGCTGGGGCGGCGTGGCGCTGCAAAATGCAATAATGAACCTAAGCCACTATCGCTCGTAAGAATTCAGCGAAGCCAACGGTATTAGATTCACCAGGGGACGGTTGACATAAAAAATCTTTTAAATGCTCATCTCCCTGGAGGCGGCACTCCATGAGATCTAGGAAGGCAGTGGCATTAACATCCTGCTTTAAGCTAAAGTGCACTCTTTGATTCCCTTGATTAAACTGGAGCCACATTCACTAAATCATCGTTTTGTTACTGGAGAACCAAATGTATGCCAGATTCAAGAAGAAGAAGGCTGCTCGCTCCGCGGAGTCGACGGCGACTCCCTCACCCAGCCCAGCCGAAGCACCCGACCGGAACACCCCAATCGATCTGTCTGAAGAGGACCTCCTCATTAAGAGAGCATGCAACTTTGAAGAGTTTTCCCTGCCTGCTTTTGCTCCTGGGGTGACCATTCGTGATGGGTTAGAAAACTGTGATGATCTGACAGCATACGGGGTGTCAGAAATCGATCAGAAGGAGCTATGGAAGGATGAAATCGCCAGGCTAAGCGAAGCCGTCAAAAGCACAAACATTCCCATCCATTTCAAAGGCTCTGATGAGTTCAAGGTCGACTCTAAGGAAGCCTACGAGAGCCTGGCTAGACTCGCCGACAAGATGCTCGTTGCGCTCAACATCGTCTTCAATGACTCCCAGGGGGTCATGCTCAGTGAGATGCCTGATCTTTCTGAAAGACGGGCTATTCTCGACAAGGCCCGCCGCAACCTAGAACGTTCCGTTGCTGATAACAGCGACGATGACGACGATGACGAAGCGGCTCAGGCTCGGAATGCCCGCCCAGTGGCATCTGAGATCAATTACGCCGACTACTTTGAGTTTGTCAACTATGTGACTGCGACCATTGCCCGCATGCTTTGCAAGGCTGCAGCAGGTCACCTATGGCACGACACAATCATCGTCAAATTTGCCAAGATGGCAGCAAAGATGAAGGTTGTGTCTGGTGATCTCCGAGAGCATGCCGCGAACTCGCTACAAAATACCTCATCTGTAAAGTCGCCTCCGAATATTGGATATGGACGTCCTGCTGGTCGGAATGCAGACTTCGGTTATGACAGCCTAGGAAGAAACGTGCTAGGGGATCTCGATGGAATGCTGGAGATGCTGAACCAAAAGGAAAACCAGCCAGCCTTCGCAGGCCCCAATACCTCGAACAGAGCGCTCACGCGACTGTACTATTTATTCGAGTACACGATCCAGATGCCGACTTATAAGCTGTTTCAGTATGTGCTCATATCCTTGCGTGGCACAAACACACTACGCACGGCACTAAGCACATCCTACGAAATCAGCGCCATGCTGTACAAAACTGGCTACGGCAATTTCCCAGTTTTTCTTTTCCAAGACATTGACGGCGAGTACCTCGGCAGCTCTAGCGATGAGAACATCAACATCTCTCATGCTTCGTTCCAGGTAGTCAATTTGGCAGTAAATGGGTTGGTTCATCAGCGTTCGTTGGGAACCGAAGGCTCGCAAAGCGAGAGCGGTACGCTTGGGAGCAGACCCGACGGGGGTGCTTCGGAGTCCGCTGGCCTCGGCGATTCAAGAGTCAGTGACACGAATATCACTCCGCCGCCCTCTTTGAACGATCCAAAGTCAGTTGGAACCACTATCAGCTGTTATTACTCCGAGGATTCTAGATCCAACGCCTCAGATCAGAAGAGGAACTTTCGTCTCGACACCATGAGCAAAGTCATCACCGTTGTGGTGCCCATGGTTCTCACCAGTCCCTCATTCGTTATGACGGTGAACGTATTCATTGGACTCTTCGCCTATCTTGAAGGCAGTCTCATCGAGGGGGAGCCACCTACGCTCTATCGACCAACAGAATTCGAGGCGAGCTTCTGTCTCAGTACTGATGAGTATCGGAAGACGTGGGGGGACCGGTCGGGGAAGGGGTTTGCCTCTCAGCTATCTGACTCCCTCGTGGCCCGCGATACGCTCCTGTCATGGCCTAGCAAACGAGCTCTCCGCCGTACTCAAACTGCGAACATGGAGTTACCGATGGCGAAGACCTCCCAAGAGGAGCAGGAGCGGGAGGATCCAGAAAATCGGGAAGAGCGGGAGCAAATCCAACTCAACCTAAAGCAGTTCGACCAGGCACAGAAACACATGAAAGACTGGGTCTTTGAGGAAGACGGTGTGCGTGTTCGCTGCGACTGGTATGTCGGAGCTGTCTGCATCACAGCTGGCTTACTGGTTCTTGGTGGGATCACGGCCGGCCTCACTATGGGGAATCGACTACGTGGTGTGGATCCCTTCAACGTCACGTCGTTCAGCTGGGTCCTGGCGGCGTTCATCGTTCTCATTGCGAAGAGTGCTCGCGTGGCGAGCTGGCCTTGGTGGGACTTCCTCCATCGACAGGTCCTATGTCGCAGTGTGTCTGAGCTGAGGGCCGTAACGGGTATCGATGATCAGTTGCTCCTTGCACGCTTGCTTCAGGAAGAGTCAGGAACGAGGCTTCAGACGCGAGGACCATACAATACAGTATTCTCACGGAAGGCAAGCGGCGGCGACGGCTTTTCAATTGACCAACCACTGAGCATTCGGACCATGCTACTCAGTGGGCTCATCATGATCCAGGTGCAGGCTGTTTACCATGGCAAGTTCCTGGTCTGCTTAGATCTGCGGAGAGGAACAGAACTTGGTTTGGTCTCTCAGACGAGGGAAGCGGTTGTGGATGAAGAAGAGTGTATCATCAGCGAAAGACTGACTGATGAGCCGGCACAGGGCACGATACACCGCATTAATTTGAAAACGGCCAAGGCTTCTTGGGGCCGTGTCGTTGGGGTATTTGGGCGGAAGAATGCGGTGTTTTGTTAATATTAAATAGAGCAGAGCTAGATAAAGGATTACCATCCAGGAAGGACTTAGGAGGCGCTCCTATTTGCTGCACAAAGCTTTGCTATCGTGAGAGTGAAATTACATAGACACGAGAGTTCACCTGTGAGCACCCCTGAAGTTTTGCGTTCAAAGGGATCCATAACCCAATCGGCAGCTGGCAGAGCCAGTTTCGCGTCTGGCAATCAAAGTTTACCCCTGGATCGGATCGTCCCCAGCTCCTGTGGACTGGCCGGACCCACTCTGGAGAACCACGAGCTTTCGCAAAAAGTGTCCTCGAGAGAACAAGACGCGACGGGGGCAGACCTTCAATTGACGAACCCGACCTTGTGCGCTCCTTTACAACACACAACTTTCACCAGACAGAATCACCTATCACTGCTGCGACTTGCAAAAGCGATCGATATCGGATTTCCTGACAACTACAAGCTTGTTTACCCGACCGACTAGCCATCACCATGACGCGTGCCCAGCAGACCATCTCCATCGCCCTCCTGGCAACCTCTGTGCGCCCCTCCCTCGCCACTCGACTTCCATCAGAGAATGGGAACATTTGCTAACACCAGCGACAGCTCTATCTTGCTCTGTACCTCGAACTCGTGCCCCTCCCGCCCGTCATCCAGACCGAGATCGTCCCCGTGGTATGTTGTCCCCTTCTCAAAGCTCTCACCCCCCACACCCCCATGGTGAGAGGATCAAGTGATTATTGCTAACAGGTGGCCAAAACAGCTTCCCTTCTGGTTCCTCGTCTCCTTCGGCGCGTACCTCCTCTCCCGCCTCGGCTGGGGCATCCTGACCTTCAACGACATGCCCGAGGCGCACAAGGAGCTCATGGTCGAGATCGAGCAGGCCAAGAAGGAGCTGCGGACGCTAGGCGTCACCGTCGACTAACGGGTGCGACCAAGGATCGCCGGTTTGTGAAGAAGAAGAAAATGAATTGATGACGGGAGGTCACGGAGTTGGAAGACAATGCCAATGGCCGGTTCAGAAGGGAGCAAAGCAAGACTTGTGTTCTTCAAAAAATGCATGCTCGTCACAAGGTCCAGCGTGTTGCGCTGAGTTGTTTTGATCAAGAGGTAATTCAATAAAGGTCCGATAATAGAGCACTGTGCCATACTGCGCCCCTGCTGTTTTGTGACGCCTTTACATATGATATGTGCCGCTCCCAAGGTATCGTTCAGACCAGCGCATGGCTCTGCAACCAAGCAACGCCAGACCATGCCAACATATGTCCCAAGCCGAATTCATGACATCCCCGTTCTTCTAGCCAAGCCAGTTCTTGATTTAAACAAAAAGGGTGCGAGATCCCCAAGTCTATTTCACGCAGGCGCATCGCCCGCCAGCAACGCAGCCACCGTACGAACCGCGTCTATCTGGTCCCCCTCATCCTGGACCAGATCGTTGAAGATCTTGGGTATCCTACCGAGCCTTCCTCGATCATCGGCTTTGTGCCCTGCATTTTACCGTTTTCCATTAGTCATTTGCTAGTTGCACTCATAAAAGACAACGAGGTGAACGACTTACACTTGCCCGGAACTCCGAGCAGAACCCCAACCTTACTCTGCGCGTCCCCGCTCCAGTCAAACTCCACACGCCATTGCACTCGCATCGCGCAAGCCTCCTCGTTGGGGAGGTCGATGTCCATGGACATGCGGCCCAGGTGCGGCAGAATATCCTCGGTAGACACTTCAGCCGACGCGTCCAGTTGTCGTTGTTCGCCTTCGCCGGCGGCGTCGGCGTCATCATCGTCGTCGTGGTCGGCCGCCTTCCTCCGGCGCTTCCTCTTGGGCCGGTTGCGTATCCTGGCCACCGTCTCGGCGAACGCCTCCTTGGTGCCGAGCTCCCTGCCGAGCAGGACCCAGAAGCGCGCGCGGCGCAGCGCGACGCGCAGCCACTCCCCCATCGCCCAGGTGAGCACGCTGACGTTGCGCGCGAGGCCGCTCTGCGGGGCGAAGTCCCTCCTGCTGCTGAGGACGCGCTCGACGAGCGGGTTGAGCTCGGCCATGGCGGCCGGGTCGAGCTTGGGCACGGCGAGGTCGGTGATGGCGTGCGTCTTGGTGTTGACCGTCATGTCGACGCGCGCGGCGAAGACGCCCGGCGGCGAGGAGGACGAGACGAAGATGCTGTGTCGCTGCAGGGGCGGGGCGTCGGGGTCGTCGGCCGGCGAGGGGAGCATGGCGAGGGTCGACTTGAAGGATAGAGGGGTAAAAGCTTGGAGGTAGGGTAGTTCTTCCTCGGCGGTCATGGGGATAGGGTGGTGTGATATCGGGTCCTTTTCGTCATCCTTGTTGTCCTGTTCGGTTGGGAAGAGTGTGGGGAGCGATGTGCTTGGCTTGCTGAAGGGCAGGAAGGCAATCGGGTTGAGGGCCGCTCGAAGCCAGTCTGTCGACGCCGGGGGCTGCACCTTTTGTTCTTTCTTCGATAGGACATGGCGGCGCAGGACCCCCAATATCTCGTCCCTGTTAGTTGGGGCGGATATCTCGGCGCGTACTTGCCGTAGATTCGCGATACGCTCGTTCTCTGCGGAGGCCAATGCGAGATCCGCCTCCAGTCCTGCCACCTCTGCGAGGAGCGCGTCGCGTATTTTCCGCTTCTTCGGATCAGGTTCGACGGGAGGTACACCGCGACCTGGATGTGGTTCGGGTGGCTGAGGGCCGTTCAGTCTCGCGGATCGTCGCCGTAGTGGCTGTGGCTCCGACTGTGGACTGGCTCGACGCGCGACATTGCGCAATTTGGACGGTGGTTGCTTCAATGGGGAGCTCCTAGGGACGTTGAGAGCCATGCTTCGGCGCGGGCGTTTAGAGGGCGTGTTATGGATACCGGAGGGCGGCGTGGTAATTTCGGGATCTGGGTGTTCGGGGGTTGGAGGCAGCTCCGGCTCGGGTTGACTTTCGGTAGGCAGTACTCCCAGTCCTCCTGACCTTCTCAATCCTCTGCCAGCGAAAGGGTTGAACAAGTCTTCTGCTTCTTCGGGTCCCGGTGGCGGTAGAGGCCTCGGCTTCGGTCGAGTTGGCGTGCGCTTCGGCTGGTCTGCCAGTGCTCCTCCAATCCGCCTCGTGGGCGAACGTCTGCTTGCGTCTGCGGGCGCGCTTCGAGGATTGTAAGCAGCACTCGAGCTAGGGCCCGCGGCTGTTCCTTCGGATCGTTGGCCCAATTGCGCGTCGGCCATAGCATCAACGTCGCTGTGCCGACTAGTGGGACGCGATGCGCCGGGCTGAGGAGCGGTTCCGGTACTACCGCTACCACCACGCGATGTTGGCCGCCTTCTCTGCAATATCTCGGGATTGTGCCTCGCAAGGCTTGACTTCGTTGGAGATGCAAAGGACGGCCGGTTGGAACGGGTCGGGGGCGGAGGATCGGGCGGGGTTGTCGACTCGGCCTGTGTTTGTTGGCTCTGGCTCTGTTGTTGCTGCTGTGGCGGCGCGCCCGGGTGGATGGGAAGAGAGGTCCTTGGAGATGTTCTCCGGCGCTTGGGCGCCGAGGTCTCCATTGCGGACACAATTGGCGCGGGTCGTCTAAGAGATTGAATTACGGTGGCAGCTGTGCATTGTGCCAGATCCCCGAGCTATGTATGCTGGTGGTGGTGAGAATCGACTACCCTGAGGATCGCGCAGTCTGGTGTCTGTTGTGGCTGTATCAATGCTGGGTGAATAATGATTGGCGACGCGACTTGGCGGGCAGTTGGAGTTGGCCCGTGCACGCGTTACAGTGATCTGTTGCGCTAAACCCAACCAAGAATAATTGAGAATAAAAAAGGACCCTGTCACCCGCCAAAAATGACGTCTTTTTCTGGTTCCTGGCGCCTCCAAATTTCTTGCTTACCCAACCAATCAGCCCAAAACCGAAATTCCGAACATCGCCGCTCGCACCAAACTCTCGAATCACATCAGCGAGATATAGTCGCCTGCCAGCTGGTACACACTCTTCCCTTTCTTTCAAACCCTCTTTGACTCTTCCATGCATGCGCAATAACATCTGTCAAGTCTGCTACCTGCGCTGTGGCAGCATTCTGAAGTCGAGATGAGGGCCTTTTCAAGGACCACTCTCCACAGCTTGCCGGAGGTTACCCGACACCAACCTCGGCGTGCGTTGCTATCAACAACGTCAAGACGACAGCAAACAACGGGAACTTCAACAGAAACCTTCACTCAGAAGGCACCGATAGGAGCATATTATGAGAGTATCCTCAGATCTCCCCCACCTTACTCAGAAACCAAACCTGAGGCCCCACCTGTCACCTCACAAGCAGGCCAAGCGCAGGGTGAGATCTTCAAGACGTCTACCTCAACTCCCACTCCCAAAGAAGCTGGCGTCAATCTCTCACCTCCACCCTCTGAAGAGACCTCTCCTTCCCCCATCTCACCGCCACCCACTACTGTCCAGGAACGGGCACGCATCGTCTTCGGGTCCAAACTGGCCGGGCCAGCCGAGCGTGCAGAACGGCTCAAGGAGTTGCGCTCCCGCAGCAAGCTCATTGCTGGTGTGCTAGTGCCGCCAAAGCCAGAAGAGCCTGACAACTGCTGCATGAGTGGCTGCGTCAACTGTGTCTGGGAAAGGTACAGGGACGAGATGGAAGAGTGGTCAGCATCCAGTGCAGAAGCCCAGCGGCGGCTCCAGACTCAAGCTGCAGGCCCTGAGGGCACGGCAACGGCACCCCCGCCGCCAGGAGTTGGCCACACTCCGTCATCAGACCACCATGCTGTCAGTATGGATGACGACGGTGGCGGCTCCGAGAGCAACTGGGATGCAGGCACTCGGCAGGGAGACAGCAACTTTGCTAAGAACCTCTGGGACGAATCTCTCTATCGCGACATCCCTGTTGGAATCAGAGAATTCATGAAGACAGAAAAGAAGCTCAAGATCAAACACAAAGAGGAGGGCACTAGTGGAGGCTAAGACCACGCTCCCAGAGAGAGCCACATGTCGGTCACGCTACTGTCAAGAGCATGTCAATTCTCCATCAGATCAACATCACTGTCCATCACTATTCTCGCAGACAACTCTCAGTTCTCCTCGGCATCACATCAACCACGTCAACACTTTAGATCTGTCACAGCATTATACGAGCTCACCTTTCGTCAAGTTGCAGTCGGTTTCTGGAGGCTCAATCTGTACATTATACCAAAAGCAGAGCTACCTGCGGGTGGCACTTGATACCCTATACACACTACGATTCTCAGTACCAGCAACTAGCCATCGATGATTCACAGCAAAGATGCTCAGCGCATGCTCATGCTCATGCCCACTTCCTTCCCACCAAGCATAGCTTCCAGCCCTGCTTGACAAGGTACCCACACGCTGCCGACAAATGCCAAGTTACTACGATATGGTAGAGCTTCTCGGTACCAAGCTTCCTCAACCTTGCACCGGAGGTATGTTGATTCTCTTTCACTGCAGCAGTGAAAATCTGCACTCAAACTCACTCTTTCTCTGACAGGCACATCGCAAAGGTGTTTGGAGCGCTGCATCCCCACCACTGTCTCCAAGCACAACCTGGATCTTTTCTGCACTCGCATTGCAAACACGTTCAATCTCAACTCGTGCAGCTTGCGGCGCCGCTTCAAGTCTAAGATGAGCCCCAGCCAAAGCAAGATTCAAGGGGATGACAAGTCCTTTTTATCCGCCCTCAATAGAGAAAGCCAAGCAACTCAAGAAGGACTTCAGGACAGCTCGAGCTTTTTCTTTCTTGAAACCCCATCCGACATCTGTCTTCATGACAATCCCATCGAAGCTGTATTACTTGTCAGCTATGCGGCAGCATTCAGTCTGATCAACACCATCTGAAAGCTCAACAACAACCTCTGTCATATGTTCAAAGGCACGTCTCCTGACCCTGATGAGTCTCCCTGTCGTCCAGAGCACAACGCCTGCATGTATCTATGCACAATTCTCCTGCCGATCTATGCATGAAGGCCGGCATGGTCAGTGACCCTGTTCTCAAGCACAGGCTTGATTGTTGTCTGGGGACAGCGTATAGGATGATTCCTGAGTGGAACCTCAGCAACATCACCAAATCTGGACCTGACTCCCTTCTCAAGATACTTCGATTTCGCGCCACCACACATTCCTGAACACTACGCTCCCGAACACACTCCCGAACATCACACACTTCCGAACATTCTCCCGAACACCATACACTCCCGAGCACCACACCCTCCCAAACATCCTCCTGAACACCACACCCTCCCAAAATAGTGCCGCATTGGCATTTAGTCACGAGGCGACCAGGATGGCCCTTCATTAGACGCTCTATCGAGGAGCACGAGGAGCAGAAGCAGAGGAAAGTGGTCAAGGACTACTGCACTAAAGCTGAGCTCATCGCCAACGGCGGAATCCCCCCGCAAGCTTCGGGGGGATGAAGTCGTCATTCAAATGTTTGGAGTCAGGCTCAAATTCTGTTCCAGGTGCCTCACAGCATCAACCTCGTGCACGACATCGCCGACTATTTTGCTGTCAGAACACTGGTCAGCTATGCCCGTCAAGAAAACTGGGCCGCCGCCTGCCCATGTACACTATACCGGATCCTCTTGGAGTCTGTGTACTCGAACCATCCTATTCTGGAGGAGGTCTACTGGACCTCCTCCGCACTATATATATAAAGTCTTCTACTATTATTCACGGTGATCAAAGCCTTCCGCCTGGCAAACCCAGATTTCATCCTCGACAAGCATGAGCAGCCAGTTGGCTTGAGGCCATTGGTGGCGGCGCCATGAATGGCGCCATGGACACTTCAACAACCCCAATGCTACCAACGCGACCAATTCCAACAACGCGACCAACTCTTACAACGCGACCGTACTGGCCTCCCCAACTGACGAATGGAGATACGGAGCTAACCATCTGAAGCCAAGAGAACCCAACTGCTCACTTCGTTTCCTCCCCTCCCCGCCATGGGCAACCAGGGCGGGCGACGAGTCTACCAAGACTCTATGGAGATCGTTTCCTCGTTGGAAAACGCCAAACTTGTATCGATATCTTCATGGGATGCGAGAACTCGAACCCTGGATGGACGAAGGGGACTCCGGTGCCTCGTTCTATACGCTTGTCGGTGCCTGCCACATGGCTCACATGTACGCATTCGACGAGAGCATGCAGTCCATCGCGGACAAGGGCAAGGCCCTCAAGATCTGCGCGACTTGCGCTGGCTGGCCGACGCTCGCAAAGTCGCGATGAACGCTGAGCGCACCGAGTGGAGGGTGGGGTTTGCCAAGAAACGTTTTCTCCACCGTATCCGGTGAGGGTGTCGATGCCAATGTGATCGTCGCCGGTGAAGACGTGAACGTTATCCTCCAGTCCTTATTGCTATTGACGCATGGATCATATTTGTCCATGTGTCAGTAGCATTAGGGATTGGAGTGGCGAGTTGGAGAGAGAGCTATTGTGTCTATTCACTCAACTGTACTTTATATAATCACCGAAATATCACTCCCCTGGTACTAGAGTACCCCTTTCTTCACATCCTCCATGACCATAAACTTTCAAAACTACCTGTCACCCTTGCCCTTCCTATTAATCAAGGAACTTCACAACCCTCGTCCTCTCAGCTACGTTGTCATACCTCTCAGAGAAAGCTTCCACTGTTCTTCCTCGGCCTGTGACCCTTCCACCAACTCCCTCCTTTGTCAATCATCAAAGCTTAATATCAGTCAGGCCCCTCCACCAAAATGACTACCACCAAGAAGCCTTTGCTCTCCACATATTCCTCCTCAACTTTAACAAGTAACTCTTTCCTCAACCATGCGCTAGTGCGTTCCCCAACGCCTCGACTACCACCAGCTTTTCCTTGATTCCATCGTTTAACACAGTCAACCATTCCTCTGCTCAAGGTGGATAGACCTATTTTTGGAACCAAGGACATCTATCCGTATTTCAACATGATGTCTCGACCTTGAAGTATCCCGAGAGCTACGGCTGTCTTCGGAACTGCACAGCTTTCTCGACCATTCAGCATGCGCATCACAAATCTCAACAGTGTCTGCTGCTGCTATCTCCAACTACTGTTCTTTACAACCTAATGATATTCAAATTCAACATCACGTCTACCGACATGTCGACAAAGAACTGATATCTTTCTCGAGTTCATTTCCTTGTATGATTACCTGTATGAGCTTTTGTATGAATATCTGTACGGTCTATCGTAATCATTATTCATATGTGACATGTCAGTTCTTCCTTCACTTGGAGAAGTAGAACAAGACTTATCCAAGATCGCTGTTTGCCCTTTCATCGACACCCCCTCCTTCCACCCCATAAATATCTTTCTTAATAGCATTCATCTTCCACAACGTATCTGGTGAGCTGGCGCCAGAGTAAGGGGCCTGGGTCTTCTGCGATTGTATGGAGCCCAGTCGAAGACAAGTCGTATTATCATAACTATAACACTCACATGCACCTACCAGCCGTCCCTTAAGAGCCCTTTCTCGCAAAGCATGCGGTAGCTTCCCATTTTCATCTCCTTGTATTTCCTTTGGCTGGTTCTACCCGTTATGCGGAGCCTTCCTGGTCTTGCCAGCAGGCTGACCGGAGAGAGATGTGTGATAAATAGTCAGATAATAAAGCAAAATCTACTGGAGTGTCTCTAGGAGAAGATAGACTACGTATTACCAAATCTTTTCCTAGAAATGCCATTAAGCTGTGAGAAGGCTCTGAGCTCGTATTCTGGTGGATTGTGAGACTTGGAGATGATGGTAATGTAGTGTTATGCATTTTCGGTGTGCATCATTATTCTCAACTTCAAAGTGTTCCATTCAGTCTATCAATCCCAAATCTTTTCTGACGGGAGTGCCGCAAAATCTCGGTCCTGTTATCAAACACCCATCCAGTCAGTGAATCCCTGTTGGTGATGTTCACTTCCATTTCGGAATATGCACTGACCCTACACAACCTTCAAACCGGTGCTGATACGGTTCGTGGCACCACTGTGAATAACTTCAAGTGTAGCGGAAGGGGTCATTTCGATCCCCCCTCCAGGAGTTAGCTATCTCATTCTCTGCAACTCCAAATCGTCCCCGCGATCAAGCTTTCTAGCTTTCGCCCAATTACCCATTTTGAAATGGTTGTTACTCATGGGAGCCTTACTCCTCATTCCACCGACTTCAATGCGATCCCATCGCCGGATAAACCAGACCGAGATGGTAACAAGAAGTAGTGTGAGCAGTACTGTCAAGGCCTCAGAACCAACTACATGACAAGTAAGCCACGCGCAATTTCACAGCGAAGTATTTATAGCACAACTCACAGAAGATCCCCATCATTGCTTTGCTGCTGTAAACATCCTCCTTATCACTGACCTGGAATCTCTCGAATCCATCAATCTTCAGGGCGAATAGCGAGGTGAGGAACGAGAGAGGCGCGAAGATGATGGTGATGACGGTAAAGCCAATGACCGCCGTACCGAGAAGAAGACTGCTGCGCGCGTCTCTCATTGTGGCGTAGGTGCGTTTCAATTCCAGCATATCCATTACCTTCTTCTCTATCCTTTCAGCATCCTTTTCAAGCTTTTTCCCTCGCTGCTGATACTTGTGAAGAGTTGAATGTGCTTTTTTAATAATGCTGCAGCATGCTTGGTGCTCTTGTTGCCGGGGCCATGGTATGTCATCTACAATGGGATCAACAGGCCGGACTCTCCGGTACTCCTCGCTCAACATCACTGAGACAATCTCCTGTTGTTGAGCTAGAATGCTGAGTACCATAGCAAGCTCAGCACGAATGTCCGAAAGATTTTGAAGAAAAGTACTCTCTTTCTTGTACGAGTCGTCAGTAGACCCTGCTTTTGCCTGGTCGACGTATTCGTCTACATCAGAAAGTATAGATACGATCGCCTGTTCGAACATATCCAATGGGGCCTGAAAGATCATGGCATCAATCTTGGTCTGTTTCCCAAAATTATCGATGTGACTCTCGATGGTCTGGTCGACCTGATGATCGATGCGCCGTGTCACATCTAGAGAGAACAGACCGTCTTCATAACTTGCATCGCGCTCCTTACTCTGCTTCGGGAGGTTTGACTCTTGTATCGTGGGATAACACGATATTATGAAGCTTCCAACGCGCCATATCCAAAGCTGGGTAACTATGAGGAGCGGTGTCCTGTGATCGGAGTCGCTCTCGTCTCTGAGCACTCTGGACAGCACTTGCTTCTCATTTCTTCTTTGGAGAGCGGCAGCATCAAGCCCGGGAAAGTATGCCTCATCAAGAGTACGTTCGAAGTGGAAGGTACACTCTGTTGAAACACGTCCCTTAGGGTTGGTCAACAGTGAATCTCTAAGGTATCTGTACTCTTTTCCTCGAGATTTCTGTTGATGAATCGTGCTGACCCCGATGCATGGTAACTGACAACCTCAGATATTAGTGAGTGCTACTATTGGATTCTTGCCCCAGCAGAGTTGTACCACAATCACGGAAGCCTTGACAGACACTCCATTTTCGAACCAGATATGCGGATCCATGCAGTTCAAATATGGATCTCCGGGTGTGACAGTTGCTTGGAATTGATCGTAGAAGACGCTAGGATCTATTCTAGCTTCATATTCAGCGCTTTCATCGACCATACTGAGGAGTGCCTGTTGAAGTTAGAAAGAACCAGTCCGGATAGTCAGGCCATACCAAGACTGCAAGCCCCTGAATTGCACATTAGCTTTCTAGATTCATACACAACGAGAAGGAATACTATATACATTATTTGATGGTAAGTGGATATGGGTTCCATAAGAGTCACCCCTGGAAAACACAACTCGGCGTTGCTGGTCATCAATAACCGTTTCATTTGCCATGGCCTTAAGAATTATCTTCAGTTGCCTCGTATACTGAGTCCGATGGCCCCATTCGACCGCAGCTGCGAGAATGGTAATGTCTTGATCAGTATTTAACGAGCACAACTGGCTAAGGTCTAAAAGGTCTCGTAATTCGCGGAAATCGATCAATCCATATTCTCTAATGTCATCGAGAGTCGATTTGGACATCGTGTCGCGCGCGTTCGATGCTGGTGTTGTGTCTCTCACATCTGCCAGTAGCGACGCAACTCTGTCCCGGTCATTGTCCTGAATACATTTGGCAAGAGCCATTTCAAAAGCAAGTTTTCGGTCCAGGTCATCGGGCATCACATATGGGATCTCCATATCTGTGAGCATGGGTTGGTGTAAAGGCATAGAGTCGAACAAGGAGAGAAGGATGCGGTGGGTTGGTCGAGAGGTACGACATGGGGTTCTGTATTGCTTAAAATGAAAAAGCCCGACAGCAACGCCTTGTCAGGCCGCAAGGCCGATTCGCTTCAGTGATCCCCTCACTGGGTTCAATCCCACTTGATTGGGCTCGTTGGGTAGGAACGGCAGCGGGCACATGTATTATGATGCAGGCAGGGTGTCCTATTGGATAATGTGTCCTTGTCCTTGATGAGAACATAAACCCGCTTTTCCTCTAAGAGAGGTCTCCAACATTATAAACCACCACAGCTACTGCACACCCGCCGCACATGGCGGAGCCGGGACAGCAGAGGCCCACTCACGAGAAAGGAGATCTAGTTTTGAGATGTTCTGCTTTCGCGATAACACCGGGCTCCATACGGATACAACTCGAGACATACTCGATATGACAAGAGCTGGCATCCCAAATCACGCCATGCCAGTTGTGTGTATCCATCCTCCAAATCGTATCCTCGCTTTCAAATCATATGGGTCAACGGGAGGCCTCTTTTCATATGCTGAACTCGCAATCACATCGCCCCCTATTTTGTCTCCATCTAAGCACTGCCGTTCGCCTTTTGTTGCCGAGCGAGCTCGTCGTGCTCCTCGATGTCGATCGCCTCCCACGGGTAGCAAATCCACTCATCGCCGACCGTTCGCGCGGCCTTATACCTGCCGGACTCGAGCATGGCGTGGGGCAGGACGCCCTTCTTTTGCTTGTCCTTGTTCTGTGATATGGCAACCCCCGCGTTAGCTGTCTGAGAACCCTCTCACGACCCGCGTATACAAGAGAAAAAAACGTACGTGGAGCACGAAAATGCTGAACTGCGTCTCCTCGCCCTCGGCGCCCATCTCCTTCCTCGCCTGCTCGACGTCCTTCTCGAGCTCCTTGACGGCGTACTCGAGCGTGGTGCGCGTGTCGTCGACCTCGTCGACGATGAGGATGCGCTTGCCGACGAGGTTGCTCATGCTGCCGAGGCTCGAGAGGTCGAGCCACTGGGTGCGCGTGACCTTGGTGCCGGGCTTCTCCTCGACCGTGTCGGTGGGCAGCGACTCGTAGAGGGACAGGCCGATGGCCTGGATGGGGATGTTGGGCGAGCCGGGCTTCTTGAGGAAGGAGCGCAGGATGCGTGCGGGGACGTAGCCGCCGCCGCCGATGGCGATCATGAGCTGCGGCTGGAACTTCTCGAGGATCTCCGGGGCGGACTCCTGGCAGAGCTTGTGGACCTGTGGGTAGAGGAGGAAAGGATTAGCATTCGGGGGGGCACGATGCTTGGATTGGACGAAGAAGAGGCACATGGGAAGAGTGGGAGAGTGTGGGAGATGGAAAGCACAGCCCGAGTGGAAGGGGGGAGGAATGCAGCCCTGTCGCCTGCGACTGGCCACAAGTCGGGTCTCGGGAGTGTGCATCGTGGATGTAAGGCGCACCCGTTCTGGTGATCCCGGCACGGCAAGGGAGGAGGGGCTTATCGCGGACTCACATCGTTGTACGTGACGTAGAGCTTCTGTACCATCTTGGCAGCGGGGTGCAGGTGGTTCGCCTGCGAAGGAAGAAGAGGGAGTAGAATCGGGTTTGAAAGAGATTCAAGAGATGACAAAGAGGCTGGAAAGTCAAGTCCACGACAAGGTGCCAGAAGCAAACCAGAAGAAGCCTGTTCAAGAAGAGTAATCCGATCTCAAAAAGTCAAAAATTTGACAAGACTAAACAACGGCGCTTCTGCCTTCGCGCCGAGGAAACCCCACATTTCCGCCTCTCCCGCACCTGAACAGGCCCCGCCATCAGCGGGTGGGACAGCCAGATACAGCAGGTGGGGTCCCCTGCAGAAAAAAAAAACGAGCAAGCATGCATGTGAAGCTTGTGAGAGTCGGAGATGGCCGGAACTGTGCCTTCAATCACGCGACTGCACACAGAGACACGTACACAATTAACTGGAAAAGAAAAGGATCCGGCGATGGCTTTCCTTGCGTAACTATCATGTTTCCTTTGCCAGGTTTGGGTTGCTTTAATGCTCTTAATCATCAACTGCACAATCAGATCAAGCTCTAAAATCCCGGTCAGCCTGCAGATGCCCAAACCTGGTTTAGGCAACATTGTATATCAAACATGCGGGGGAACATCCTTTGTCTGACCTTGAAAATAAAATGAGCCGACGGTTGGCTGGCTGGCTTGCTGACCAAGCTCGGTGTCATCCCAGGATTGTACCATTTCAACAGATAGATAGGTCTGTCGAAGGGATCTAGAGGCATTTCGTCTTATCAACTTCTCTCAGTTTATAGATGCGGGCTTGCTCGCGAGAAACAAGACCTTGAACTTGTACAAGAACTCTCAGTCTACCTCTTTATGATGTAAATGGCCGGTCAGAAGTCAGAGATCGAAATCAATACATAGAGCTAGTCATGATCCTAGAACCTGAAACAAGGGTTGGGAATCTCGTTAGACAAAAGACATACAGCCAATTTATTTACTCAGAACACCCTCCCTGATAATATTGTGTCAAAGCTAATCTGGAGGAGCATTTCATTGGCCGCCGATGTTATATAGGCAAACCACGGCCGGGTCCGTCACATTCGGCGAGGTCACATTGAACCCATCCACGCTGATCGTGACCCAGTGGTTGCTTTCAATGCCCGGATTCGCAATCCTGGTCAGAAGGCCGTTCTCCAGATACCATTCCTCCCGAAAACCACAGTTGTAGACATTTTGCATGACGCTGGCAACATACGATCTTGCGTCTCTGGTTACCCGTGTCCCGGTGACGCAGACATCTTCACACTCCCAGTGACAGACTGTCCTGAATTTGATAAACGACCAGTGGCACTTAGTTCTGCAATCCGGATGACAGTCGCTCGAATCCTCGCAGTCCGATAACGCGCCATAAACGGCTCCGCGAATGGTGTTGTTGTGATTGGCAAAGTTGCGGCGTTCAATGGGTGCGTGCTGTGTGCAAGGGTAGGATTGCGCTGGACGACCGAACACGGCGAGTAAGACTGCAGACCATTTCCGCCAACGCCCCTTTCCTCGCCCTGATACCGTCCGTCTCTGGCTCCGCGCCGCTGCCCGGGCAGCATGTCGCTTCGCTATGGCCCGCCGCAAGAAGTGGAAGATCAACCAGCCGACCCCGAAGGCTCCAATAAGGATCAGGACCGTCAGGCCCATCAGCCGCGACTTGCTGGCCTTGTTGTCGGCGAGAGCCTTGTCGCGGAAGATGGCGCCCACTGCGTCCAGGCAGTGCGCGGGATATCGTTCTTGCCAGTTCCACATGTGCTTCCCGTTGCATGCCTCGCCTAGATGGGATTCGCCGGTGCGGGCACACGCGCGTTGGGCAAAGGTGACGTCCGTCTCACAGCTGCCGTCCCTACAGCCTAGGTAGCACGGGTCGTATGCTTCCTGGACGGCCTGGTTTGACCATTTCGCGGGGTTGCCGTCTACCTTTGCTGTAGCCACGAGGTGGTTTACACGGCGAACGAGCAGGTAGGTGCAGGCCGTAGCGGTGCCGATACCGAAAAACAGGCCGAGGAAGAGTGGGAGCCGGGAAAGAAGCTTGGGGCATCGTTTTGAGAGGCGAAAACGATGCCTCTTTGGTGGAGGCGTCGGGTTTGATGTGCCAGGCCTGGCATTGTTCTGAGTCGATTGGGAGGCTGGAGCGGCCCCTGTGTCTGTGGCTGCTGGTTGGCTTGATTTAACGGCCTCCGAGTATGGCGGAGGAGCTGGATCGCTCCCGACATGAATATTGTTTAGTTCTATCGGCATGGTGATATCAGTGTATGCGCGGGGATACCAGTGATGATATTGGAAGGGCACTTGATTATTATCAAAGAGATATTAATGTGCACCAGGAGGAGATCTCGTTTCAGAAACGAGCAGACCTAAATGCTTGCAATGGTCATAGCAACTGGCCATGGTTCTGCCTTGCTCTTGCCCGCAGATATGGCCAACCTCTGTAACCATGGAAAGTGTGGTCTTGGACCATAGATGGCCACCCGGACCAACCTGTCTGGTAGACAGGGAGGGATACTTTCCATTACTGAGATACGGTGTTCGTCACCTGGGGACTACATCCTTTGTGTAGGTGCTTCTCCTCGGTTGTAAGAGCCTGGACGGATGCTGGTATCAGAAGGTCAGACTCCGTGCAATAGGCCGAATTGATCTATATCAGCAGACCAAATCAACTCTATTCGGGCCATTCTTGTGGCGAATAAGCTCACCACAGCCACCGTAGATACCGGACTGCCCAAAGATCATGTCAGTCCGGTAGCCTGCTTGTATCACAATTTACCGAGCCCAGCCACTAAGACGCTAACAATACCTAGGTACTTTCTTCCATCCAAATATGTGTCTTAGGTACCTAGGTAGGTATTCTGCAAAAGCATGCAGACTGTCCATACTATCCTCAGAGGGTGTTGTTCAAAAGCCAATCTTGGGTTTAAGGTGTGTACAATAATGAATTTACATTTTGATCATCAAGTCTAGGAGGGTCGGCTTGAGAGCAGGTGGACATGAGTATGTCTCCAGCTCCTTAGGCCCATGACATCACTGCTACGAAACCTTTCAGCCTTCGTCTTTTGCGGGGCGACTGCGAATGCGTCTCCCCATCTTCCACAGCCCCTTGCATCAGACACAAACTGAACTACCGCACACATACGGCAGCTACCTAGTGATCTAACAGCGATGCGGTCCATACGGACTTCTCCAAGGAACATTCTCCGGACACCCCGGGTACAATTTGGGCGGCAACAACAGGCTTTGTCGGCTGCGCCACTCACTCAACCACCACCGGCACGACAGCCCGCCAACGAGAAGAATGTAGATGCGCGCAGTGCATGGGGAGCAGCACAATCCCCAGTCACTTCCGGACCCGAGACCAAGACGGGCCCCAAAGAACAGAAACCCAAACAGAAGACAATGGCTGAGCTGGACGAGGAGCTGCGGCTGAAGCTGGAAGGAATCTCTGGAGATGGAGGAGCCTCTGGCGTCGAGTATGAGAATGGCAGGGCAGAGGGCTTGAAGAGAGGGGTGAAAGAAAACATGTTTAGATTGATCTAGTCTTCTCAACCCACGGCAACCCACGGGCAACAAAGAAAGACAAGACAGGACCGGCCTGCGGATCACCCAAAGGGAACAACACCAGGACAAAGTGGTTCTCACAATCTTTGTTAGGTCAAGCCATACCCCCAAGGGACTTTATTCGTCGACAAGGGCTTTATTGTTCTTGCTGGAAGATGGATTGTTCGGCTTTGAGAGCGACTCGACTGTGACTGAACCAGTTAGATGCTCCCTTTGTATCGGAACTCTTCAAGACTTCAAGATGGAGAGTATAAGATCGATGCCGACACCTCGTCTCTCTCGGGGATATTTGGTCAGACAAACCCAGCTCCTGTCTTACTCAATACACAACCAATTCAGCGCAGATCCTTCTAAACACAAAACCTCCACGAAAACTCAGAATAACCACCATGGCCTCTTCAACCTCTGGCGAGAATGCGAACATTACGTTCGTCGACACTGTGGAGGGGATCTCCCAGCTCGTAGATGTACTCTACGAGCAACCCACGACGAAGCCCTCCATCGCCGTTGACTTGGAGGGCGTCAATCTTTCTCGATACGGGACCATTTCCATCATGCAGGTATTTGTCGCCCCGACCAAGCACACTTTCCTGGTGGATGTGCACACGCTTGGCGAGAAAGCGTTTTCAACAGCCGGAGGACGGGAGCGGACGCTCAAGGACTTGCTTGAGGACGAGGACATCCCGAAGCTCTTCTTCGACGTACGCATGGACTCGGACGCTCTGTTCAATCTCTTCGATGTTGCGCTGGGCGGCGTTGAGGACGTACAGCTCAGGGAGGTGGCCACTCGGGGGGAGGGCCGGATGTTTGTCCACGGGCTGGTCAGGTGTATCGAGCAACACTCCTCGATGAGCTGGGACCAGAAGAAGACCTGGAAGGAGGTCAAGCAGCAGGGAAGGTCGCTTTTCGCTCCAGAGCTGGGAGGCAGCTACGAGGTGTTCAGCCAGCGCCCTTTCCCGGAGGCCCTCGTAAAGTACTGCACGCAAGACGTACAATTCCTTCCTGAACTGTGGGAGAAGCTTGACCGCCGGATGACCGGGTGCTGGCGCTCCAGGGTCAAGTCCGCCACTGACAAAAGGGTGGCACTGTCTCGAGACCCCCAATTCAAGCACTCGGGGAGTGATATGGCCTATGCACCTGAGGGTTGGGAGTATATCTATGACGAGTACAACGAGTACGATGATACTGAGGAGGAGGAGGAGGATGAGGATGAGGATGAGGGCGAGGAGGAGGAGGAGGATGAGGATGAGGAGAACGAGGAGGAGGAGGAGGAGGAGAATGAGGAAGAGAATGAGAATGAGGAGGAGGAGGAGGAAGAGAACGAGGGCGAGGAAGAGAACGAGGGCGAGGAAGAGAATGAGGACGAGGATCGATGTGAGGTCGAAGGCTGCAGGTACTGTCGCCTTGTGTTCTACGAAAACTATGGTGTCGACTACGAGGATGAGTGCGAAAACGTTGTCGAGATCCACGTCGAGCCAGAGGACGCTGCTGAAGGCGAGAATGTTGCCGAAGGCGAGGGCGAGGGCGAGGGCGAGGGAGTTGCAGAGGACAAAGTTGTCGAGGAGTTTGCCGAAGACGGTGACGAGAACGAGACTGAACGGTGAGATATACGCCGTGTATGGCTCCTTCTCCGTCGGCATTTTTGCATACACAAGGTAGATCTCCCTTTGGACTCGTTATGGGCTGGCATTTTAGATTATCGATAGATCTCCTTTGTCTTTCCAACAGACTTCTCTTTGTCATTAATACTGATCAAACCTTGGAATACTCTGGTCCTCTGTGCTTTTTTTGGGGTTTTGACTGCTGATTGCGCCCGCCTGTGATTTTCGTGCTTCACTCCAAGACTTATTGACTCTCCAAGGCTCCCTAAGGCACCTAATAACTACCTAGGTAGTTTACTCACTGTAAATTTAGAGGTTACTGAATTCCCCGCAACCCGCCCTGGAGGAGCCTGGAGGAGCTTATCCATCTTATCGCGGGTCGCCTCGCCTGGGCAAGACTGGAACATCCACTACGTCATCATGAGCCGCCCAGAACCCCGTAACACAATTACCTATCACACTCGTACACTAGTATTGCTCGCTGCGCCAGCTTGAAAGAGTCGATGAGGATCATGGGCGAAACGCTGCCCAAGAACCGATAACATCTCTTGTCTTTTGCTGCTCGTAGTGAGCTGCACGGCCTCGACTCCGGCACAATGCTGTCTGACTGCTTCGGCTGGTGCCAGCCCAGCGAGGAAGAGGAGCGGGAGCCTCTGCTGCCCCAGTATCGCGATGAGACGGTCCTGCAGCGGGAGCTTCACCAAAAGCTGCACACGTACCAGATGCTGCGTGCCTTGAGCCAGGGCTTCATGCCGTCCAACGAGCAGACCATTGTCAACCTCCGCACGCTTCTCGGCTCTGAACTCTTGAACTCGGACAATGAGGACCTCAGCGAATCCGGACGCGCGCTCGTGCACTACACCAAGCAGTGGCTGAGGCAGTTCATCGAGCTCTTGCAGCACAAGAACTCGGTCGATCAGATCCAGGACTTTATCTGGTACCTGTCCAAGGCGAGGGTGTCGGTAGACATGGAGGACATCGCCAACCGCGCAGCCAAAGCAAAGTCCAAGGCCAACGTCGCGGCAGCGTACCGGAGCTTGCAAACTGTCGGATCCCTCCTCCTCACCAATTCCGACTTCAGGCTCTTCCTCTCCGACCTTGGTACAGTCGGGCGCGAGGTGTTCAAAGAAACTGCTTTCACTCTTTCAGAGGTGTCGAAGGAGGCCGGGAAACGACTGGAGCCGACACAGGAGGAACAGGCCAAGCTGAAAGAGCCAGGCGCGGATGCCGAGCCACCGCCTACGAATGAAGAGCTGGGTCAAGAGGTCGCCGAAGTCACAGAGGTCGTGGCCGAGGGCGCCTCCAAGGTGCTGACGGATGCGAAGGACAGCCTGGTCGAGAAGCTGACAGGCGACGAAAAGGACACACTGCTCTACCGTCTAAAGCAATCTGTCACCAAGCTGCGGAAGCGACAGGACTACTCTGACTCTGTGTCTACCCTGTCGCTGCTACTGAAGCGCTATGCAATGGTCTATTCCCACGTCGTCGAGGACACCCTTGAAACGGCCGAAGAAGATGTCAGCGCCAATAGAGCAACAGATCGAGCCATCCATAATTTCTGGGCATTCCTCAAGTCCTTTGGTGATGCCAAACAATGGAAAGAGTTGGAAAAGCGATTTCAGACAGTCGCCGGGCATAGCAAAAGCGATCCCGAGTTTGATGAGCTGGTTCGTCAGCTCGGCAATGCAGTTCAGGAACTGCTCACAGACCCCAGTTTCTTCGACCGAGCAGAGGAGCGATTCCAACAACTTCGAGAACAGTCCAAGGACCTTGCCTCGGGTTCATCTCTCCGCGATGATATAGATGCTCTACTCTCCCAGGCCGAAGCTACGTTCAAGTCTGTACTACACGATAAGGACATCGCTCAGCTCCTCGCCACTTCAAGCAAGATTGCAGCGATCCTGTCCCCGGCCCACCAATACACCAACACTGACCTCGTGACCGACTCGATCAACGTGTTTGTGCCGTTCATCGTCCAGGCGATCCAGTACCTGCCTATCCCGCGACTTGAAATTTCGACACCGGAGATCGATCTTCTGCTGGAGAATCTGATTCTCGAGCCCGGCAGAACGGTGAATCACTCCTCCTTCTTGCCTTACAAGCTCAGAGTTGCTACGTACAACGACCTTGAGATCCGCAAAGCCAAGTTCCGTACTACCTCCAGCATTCAGTCGCTCGTGGCGATCCGGGTCGACGGCATGTCGATCGCCGCCGAGGAGATTGGTTTTTGGCTCCGCACGCACTCCGGCCTGCTCCGTTTTGTGGATGAGGGCATCGCCGGCTTCCATCTGGATGAGAGGGGCATTGATATTCAGATAGATATAGAGGTTGGCAAGGAGAAGCTGGAGAAGATTCTGACTCTTCGCAAGGTCCACGTCAACATCCACAAACTGGACTACACCCTGCGCAAGAGCAAGTTTGCGTTCTTCGCGTGGCTCTTCAAGCCGCTGGTGAGGCCGGTCATCCGTAAGGCGCTCGAGATGCAGATCGCGTCGGCGATCGAGGACGGCCTGCACTTCCTCAACCGCGAGCTCCTCTACGCTCGCGAGCGCCTACGGGCGACCAGGATCGCCAACCCGGGCGACCTGTACACGTTCGTCCGGGCCGTCGCGGCCAGGCTCGTCCCCGAGCAGGACCCGGACCTCTACACGCGCGTCGGGCTCGCGCAGCCCGGGCAGGGCGTGTTCAAGGGGCGGTACGCGCCCGGCAGCATCGTCAAGGTGTGGAATGAGCAGGCGGCGCGGGCGGCGGACCGGATCCGCGAGTACGAGCAGGACGGGTGGAGGAACGACATCTTTGACGTGCACACGGTGGCGGCGTGAGGAGGTAGGTACATGCACTGAGGGATCAATGGCTTTTGTGGTTTTCAGACGGCGTTTTTTATGTTTGGCACAGCATACATGGGGTGCATTGAGGTATTGGGACTAGCAACAAAATTCAATGGACAATTGATTTTTCTTCATCATGATCGTTATTTCAGCGATTTGACGATTTACACATCCATGGATGCAGCCCTGGAGGTGCTGCTGTCCACCATGCCTAAGGTAATTCAGATGGCGCTAGATCCTGAAGCTTTGACAGTGACAACCGCTGACAAATCGGGCTCTTTGAATCCTCCATTTGGTGCATTAGTGCGTCGGGTTACAGGGTCTGATACAGCGCTGAAAACCTGCCTCCTAGGCGGGCTCCGCCAATGATCCTGGCGGATTCGTAACGAATCCTCTGCCTAGACCTAGAGATCGGTCGCGGGATAATGACGATCTTGTAAGACACTGTGACGCCTCTAATAGGTAAGTTGCTGCGCTCGTGTGTGTCTGGGACTGGGTGTGCAACGCGGTGTCTACGGTGTCTGGAAGGAATTGCCCCATCCATTGTCCCTCGACTCTTCTGACAGGGTGCATGACACGTAAATACGGCGCTACCTAGCGCAACGCCCGGCCCGCCTCGCAGGAACAAGTGCTGACCTCATCCGTCGCATCCGTTTGCGGCCCCTTCTCGCATCTTGATGACAGATGTGAAAACATCGTCGCTTTTCTCTCCTTACCTGGTCTGATCAACCTCTCAGGGCGCTTCTTGACGAGCGCATTTGAATAGACATGACGGACAGGATATCAGCGCAGCAGGACGAGGTCGTCCAAGAGACAAACTTCACCGAGGAGCCGCTCCTCCGCCGTGATAGCGGCGCACCAGAAGAGCCTCGTAATGGGAATGCTTCGCAGTCGCAGTCGCAGTCGCAGTCGCAGTCGCAGCGCAACAGCTATGGCTCCATGTCCGTCGCAGCGAACGGCTCTGGCGCCTCCAACGGCACCAACAAGGCAGCCAACACGCCCGCGAAGCCTGCCCGGGACCTGGCGCCCGACCTGCTCCGCGGCGTGCTGATGGCCCTCATGGCCTTTGACCACGCTGGCGTCACCCTGCGCGTCTGGCCGCACGGCCAGGGCATCCACTCGGAGCTCGACTCGGCCGTCGTCGAGCAGTTCAACTGGTGGCTGCCCTACACCATCCGCACCCTCACCCACCTGTGCGCCTCGGGCTTCACCTTCCTGCTCGGCATGGGCATCGTCTACTTTGGCCGCTCGCGCGCCCGGCTCGGCTGGAGCACGGGCAAGATGGCGCGCCATTTCTTCCTGCGCGCCGTCGTGCTGACGCTCGTCAGCGTCGTCTTTGGCGCGGTTCTCTCGGGCTTCCAGGTGTGGTTTCTCAATATCGTGCTGTTTGCCCTCGCTGTGGACTATTTGATCGCGGGGCTACTGTACCTGCTCTTCTCGGGCACGGAGCAGGCGCTGGCGCGCCTCTTGGTCAGGGAGATCCCCGACGAGCCGGAGGAGGAGGTCCGCGAGCCGATGCTCTCCGCGCCGCCGGGCGAGGGCGAGACGGTCGTCCGGTCTTCGGACCGCGTCATCGTGCGCGCGTCGCGCATCTCGTGGCACGTCCACAACGTGCTGCTCATGGTGCTCGGCGTCGTGACCATCTGGTGGAACATATGGATGTCGCCCACGCACGGGTACTGTAAGCCCCAGGAGAGCGAGCTCCTCCCGACTACCGCGTCCTCAGCCGCCGCCGCCGCGCCTCCCTCGCCCATAACCGAGGGGTTCTGGCCCATCTTGCGCGACATCTGGTTCTACCCGCTGCTCGGCCACCGCGTCATGTCGGGCTTCCCGCCCATGGGCTGGCTCTCCTTCGCCGTACTCGGCCTGCTCTACGGGCGCATCGTGCTGGCGCGGCGCTGGAGCCCCAGGGCGGTCAACGCGGGCAACGCGCTTGCCGCCGCGGGCTTCCTGCTCGTCTTCGCCCTCACGCGCGTCCTGCGCATCGGCAACCTGTCCGAGGACTGCCTGCGGACGCCCGCCCAGACCGGCGCCGGCGAGGGCAGCAACCCGTACCTGCAGTCCGCGCGGTCCTTCTTCTACACCGTCAAATACCCGCCCGACGTCGCCTTCTGGGCCTACACCCTCGGCGGCAACTTCGTCATCCTGGTGCTTCTGGGTGTCATCCCGACGAGCATCAGCAAGCGGTTCGGCGTGCTGCTGGCGTACGGCACGTCGGCGCTCTTCTTCTACATCGTGCACATGCTGCTGCTCGTGCTGGCGGCGGTCCCGCTCATCGGCCTGTTCGGCGAGGAGCTGGGCTACGACGACGAGCTGACGGGCGAGCCGGCGGTCGGGGTCAAGAGCGTGCCGGCCTTCTTCGCCGTCTGGGCGGCCGTGCTGGCCGCCATGTACCCGCTGTGCCGGTGGTACGGGGCGTTCAAGGCGCGGCAGGGGCCGGATTCGCTGTGGAGGTTCTTTTAAGGCGGAGTTCGTTCGGTGTTTTCGGTCAATCTTTATTGATTTGAAGAATGGCTGCTGGGGTGGTCAATTGCGAGGGTGGTGAAGCATGCATGGTGCAGTGATAAATCAAGGAGATATTATTCATTTGGGATTCATCCTGTCAAGAAAAGAAGATATTCTATCCTGCTAGAGATAAAAGGGAAAAAAGGAGCATACAGTCTACATTAGGAATTCAGACTTACAAATCAAGAGAGAGAAAAAAGACGTCGCATCGCTGGCAGATAACACCACCCGGTCGCACCTTTGATCACCAATGATTGCGTGATCCCTTATCAGCCACGCCAAACCACTCTCATCCATCAAAGGCCTTGCCCGCGTCGACGGCCGCAAACGCCGCCAGGGTGTGCTCCCACACCTTCTCCACCATGCCGTCCCTCCGGTACGCGTCCGTCTGCTTCTTGGGCTGGATGATGTCTCCGTTCCAATGCACCCTGTACGCGCCGCTGCCGACCCCGCCGTCCGCGCCGACCGCGACCTCCAAGGAGTCGGCGGCGGCGGCGGCCTCGACCTGATCGCCCCCGCGCGCGGCGGCGTACCGGCCCGACGCGAGGAAGTCGACGTACTGCCCGCAGTCGTCGTCGCCGACGGCGAACAGCTTCACGACCGGGGTGCACAGCTTCCACGCCAGGCTCGCCCAGCGCGGGATGGGGCTCTTGGAGGCGATGTCGGTCATGACGAAGCCCGGGTAGTAGTGGCTCAGGGCGAGGCGGCCCGGGTGGCGCGCGGCGAGGGCCTCGAAGGCGAAGGTCGTGAAGAGGGCGATGTGCGAGCTCAGGGCGACGAAGCCGAAGTTCTCGGCCCCGCGCAGGGACAGGTCCGAGGCCGCGAGCTTGCCCTCGAGGTTGGGGTTGAAGACGGAGACGACGTGGCCCGGGGTTGAGGAGGGGCTGCCGGAGGGGAGGGAGGTGAGGAGCGGGAGGAGATTGGTGACGAGGCGCAGGCGGGAGTAGTACATGAGGGAGAAGTGCCGGTCTAGGCCCTCGGATGTGTCTGTTTGCACCTCACTCATGCCATGTTAGTAAGAAAGTAATTCTCCTCTCACAGTGAGAATGTGAGATATAGCGCAAGATTTGAAAAGGAAATGAAAAAGGGCCCAGAAAGACGCACCCATCCGCCCGCCAAAGTACAACACGCCCTGCGTGGCGACCAGCAGGTCGATCTTGGCCTCGTGCCCTTCTCTAGCCGATGCGGCCTCCTCCAGGCGCGCGATCTCGGCGCACGCGGCGTCGACGTCCCGCAGCATGGCGAGGTCCTCCGTCTTGATGAACACGAACTCTCCTCCGGGGCCGCAGGCCGCGGCGCACTCGGCCATGAGGGCGTCGGCGACGGCCTGCTTGCGGCCGATGATGTAGGCGCGCAGAGGCCGGCGGGAGGGCCCGGCGGAGGGCCCGTGGTTAGAGGCCAGGGCGCGGACGGCGCGCTCGCCTATGCCGGAGGTGCCGCCCGCGAAGACGGCGACGTAGGGCCGGCCGCTGGGCTCGGCGGATGCGGCTGCGGCCTTGGCGGCGTTGGCAGCGCGGACGGTGGCGATGGCGACCATGTTGGATGGTACGGTGGTAGGTAGATGAGTAGTTGGGCAAGATTTGCGGGCACTAGGGAATGTTTGAAGTGGTATCTCTAATAATTGGGGCTAGTTGGTGATTGTTTGGCGATGTTGAGTTCAGAAGTATGGTTCAGCTACGAGGCGATGATCAAAGAACCTCCTTTTAATACTGTTCTCATGGGGGCGCCACTCTTGAATTTTGGCATGGCGGCACTGTCTGCTCAACGCCATCATGAACAGGAGTCGGGCTACCTATCAGGCCGTCGCTCCATGTCTTAGCCTGCCATATCTCTGGTGGGGAGATACATGGGGCCTGCCGGCGACGTTCAGCATGGAAAGATCATCATTGCTTGACTGCATTGAGACGCATCTCATAGACATGTTTTGACATGCAATGCAGTAACGGAGGTAAAGATTAGTAAAACCGATGCATCCGTCATGGCTACATGAAGGTACCATTTTGTGCACACTGGCTGGACTTGATTGGCTCAGGTCAAACTACGAGGCCCGAAAAATGGACGAGGCCGAAAAATACGCGAGGCCAAGATCGAGCTTTGTGTCCCTGGACAGTGGTTTGCTGACGCATTTCGGGGGTGTGGTAGGGCCCCGGGTTGAATGAAATACCCTTTTGCAGCTGCAGGGCATGCAATGTCGATTTGCGGCGCAGCTCCCGTCTTCCCGGCCCAATGTGCTGCCATCATGCACCGTCGGCCGAACATTGCCCCGCCTTGCACTCTGGCACAGCCTTGGTTTGAGCGCGGCGCCGTGGGGGTTTAGCTGGAATCTCGGAGAACTTGCAAATTAATTGAATGGGTGCTAACGATGAAATTCGGTCATGTTCTAATGATCACCGGCGTTGCGCCGTGTTGCAGTGCTACCCGTCAGCGCCCAGCCGGCTGGGAAGGATCATCAACCATGTCCGACGGGCGGATTCGGCCCCACCTCCGTCCGGCAGGGCGAATCCCCACACCGGCCGGAAGGGCATGGACGCCGGATGGACGCGAGCAGGTCTCTGATTGTTGATTGGACATTGTACAAGTACACAAAAACAGAACTCATGTTATGGATTCGGCGAATCACGAGTCCGGTCTCGCTCAACGTCGTGGTTCTCAAGCCACTGGAAAGATGGAGTGGCGTGCCTGGGTGTCACCGGGGCAAGAGACTCACGATCTGCAGGCGCGGGTCTAGCCTAGCAACAAATCACGGAGACATCGCCAGTTACAGCTTAGATGGGGCCAAGTGAGATTTGGGCTTCTTTGTCGTGACGGCGTGGAGGCCGGAGGCATAGGCGATCTCCCGGCCTATGTCGCCGTTGCTCCAGGATGGAGAGGGCCGAACCGACCCTCCACTCTTCTCTGTTGCGGAGTTCAGCTCCGCTTTGATGAATTCTAGTTTACATCCATCTGTATTATTCTGGACTAGATATCCATGCTCAAGGCTGAAGAATTGCAGTATCGCAGCCGTTGAGGTGTAGTGCCCTTGGTCTAGGCTTGTTCCAACGGCGGAGCCCACGAGGAATGGAGTTTGAACCGCTCGACAGAATATGATGAGCACGTCACCGTCATGCAAAAAGATGAGTTGGAGGGCAATTGCTCCTGCCTCAGTCGGCGCTGATAATCCGTCGGCGCTGACAAGTTGGGTGAGTTTCTCGATCTGTGGCTGCGGACAAAGAACCTGGCTTGGCTGACACATGACAAATGCTTCTCCCGCGATGAGACAAAACACAGCCATCACTGTCGACCCGATGCTTCGGATCGATCTCTGGCCGAGTTCAGTCTGGGAAGCCTTCTCCAAGACACGGCTCGGTCGCCATGACAGGGGATGCAGCATCCAGCGCTTCGGTGATGTCTTACCCCACGAGGGAGCATCTCCACGGCGTTCTCCGTGGCCTTAGCTGGCCAGACACGGCACGGAGATTGTTCGGTGAGCAGCCTTCCCCCACGGAAGGCTAAGGGCTGAAGGGGTCTCCCCCGAACCTTAATCTGCTTGTGTGCGCACCTAAAACCCCAGGCAGTATTTCCACTCTAAACCCCCCACAGGCGCTGAGCTATGGCGGGTGTCTACCGGGATTTAGGGGGCCGGTGGCTGTGCACGTCATTTTGCCTCAGCGGGGCAAGCGCTGAAAATAAGGTTTGGCAGGGCCCAATTACAGGGGCTTTAGTGATGGGGTTTGTGCAACCCAGATGTCGTCATTGGCAGAGGCAGAGATTGCTGCACGGTGGCAAATCCTCCTCAATCTGGGGGACATTCCACTGCTGCAAGGTCTCCAATCTGAGAGCATTCCTAGTCAAGCTTCAAGAATAACAACAACAGTCTCCAAGATCGACCGCTCCCGGGATGCCCTCAGCCCGTCTCACCGGCGTCGTTGTGCGCCTTCTTGGCTCCGCGGAGTGCGATTCATGAACAGGTACTCACTGAAAATTAGACGTCATGTTTGGCTGATTGACGCTGTGCGTCATCTCAATGCTGGTTGAACAGGCAGAACATTCACCAGATGCGCGGTTGTGTTTGCATGCATCACACAATCTCAGTGATCGGACAAGATGAGTGCTTGACGTTGCTGTTGCTTCTCCTGCGGCTTCTGGACCCCCGTGCCTCACCCTACGAGGACCGACTGGCGTTGTCCCTCTTGTGGAGGATGAGGGTCTGGAATCCGATCAAATTGGGGAATCCGGACTACGAGAGTACTCCGTACTTCGTAGACAATACCAGGCTCTGTGGAGGGAGATTGAGCCCAGGCTTGGCACGCCTTTGTGAACTGGTCTAGAGCCTCCTCACCTGAAACCTTATGCAGTGGGAGGCGATTCCAGCCATTGCTGAGTCAGGATGGGAGTACCTAGGTACCAACACCAGGTTCCTGACCCAAGGACCCTGTGAATCAGGTCTCACTCCTCGCGTGCGATCCCTTCGCACATGGCTGGTCTTCCCAGCTTCTTGGGCCGTGTCACCTCAACTCACGAGGCATATGGGCACAAACTCTGATTTGTGACACAGGCCACAGCGAGCATTGTGTCACCTTCGGTCTTGAGCCCGACCATGCTGAGGAAGAGAGACAATCACCAATGCATCGGTAACTTCCATGATCATCAAATGCAAACCCCGCCGGACACCTGGCCTTGGCGATCTGGGGAAGGGGGTGTTAACCGGGGTCGTCAACCTCGACACCCCTGATAGCACATGGAGATGCCAGGAAGACCCTTGCTCAGAGGCGGATAGCATATGCACGCTTATTTTGACAGGGCTTAGTGGCTTGACCTGGGCCACGAATCAAGTGAATTGGCCAGCGGTGATGTTTGTCTACTGCAGCACTTCGAAGCCACACATAGGCAATGGTTTGGCCGCCCAGAGCAAGATGCTCTTGGCAACAGCCGCGTTTGCTTGCCGTCTTGACACTTACTGAACACCACAGCCTTCCCTCCGCGAGAAACGGGGAAGAGGCCGTGAGGTGGTGCTCCTCGAGTCAGCTGGCGTTGTCTCGGAACATGTCCACTTTGGGTTGTGATCAGCAAAAGCCACGCATGTCTCAGAAATTTTGCACTCTAGAGAACAATTCCACGCCGGTTCTCGCTGTCTGTGTAACCCTTCCAGATCTTTTTGCCCTGCTGGGACTTGCGTTTAGCGTCGGGGACCCTGTCGATCTCTACGTAACGACGGGGATATGTGACGTTTACAGTAAATGATCAGCTCTGTCAAGTGTCATTCACATCTCCGGCAACCCCAAACTAGTGCAAGAAATTCTACATCTGATCCGAGACATATCCTTTTCTAGGCCATTGACGATGTCAAGAATTGATTTTCATGTTGATTTTGTATGGCTTCAACGCAAAGGTGGAATGTGTATAAATCTGGGCTCTTCCACCCCTGCATTCCAGTCGAAAGAAGATCATCATCAACACACAAGCCTCCAAGAGCCTCAATCACAAAGCCTATACTCCAAAACACTCCAAGCTTTTCCATCTTCTCTATTTCTATATCTTCTTCTCATCATTAAAGACATTCTCACTTGCTATCTCCACTTTTATCCAAGATGAAGTTCTCCAGCACCATCTTGGCCTACTTCGCCGCCCAGGCTGTTGCCGGCCCCATGGCTCCCATTGAGGACGTCACTGCCGACATCACCTTTGTGCCCCGCGAGCCCCGCGCCGCCCTCCGCAAGACTGGCCTCAACATTCTTCAGTCTGACAATGGCGCCGACCCCGCCGCCTCCCTCTACAACAAGACCACTCGCGCCGTCGATGTCGAGGAGGACATCGTCGGCGACCTCGTCGAGGACATGGACGAGCTCGAGAAGCGCGCGGCCCGCAACGTCGCCTACTCCTCCAACTGGGCCGGCGCCGTCCTCAACGGCAACAACTTCAAGACCGCCCAGGCCACCATCAAGGTGCCCAACCCGGCCATGCCCCGCGGCGGCAAGGCCTCCACCCAGTACGCCGCCTCCGTCTGGGTCGGCATCGACGGCAGCAGCTGCCAGCGCGCCATCCTGCAGACCGGCATCGACGTCTACTTCCAGAACGGCAAGGCCTCCTTCGACGCCTGGTACGAGTGGTACCCGGACTACGCCTACACTTTCCAGGGCTTCGCCATTCGCGCCGGCGACACCCTGACCATCACCGTCTCCGCCAGCAGCAACAAGGCTGGCTTCGTCACCATCCAGAACCTGACGACTCGCAAGCAGATCACGCACAACTTTGCCAACCAGCGCGCCACGCTGTGCCTGCAGAACGCCGAGTTCATCGTCGAGGACTTCCAGTCCGGCGGCTCCCTCGTGCCCTTTGTCAACTTTGGCCAGGTCGCCTTCAGCAACGCCGTCGTCCGCAACAACAAGAACCAGGTCCAGTCCCTGGCCGGCGCCTCCATCCTCAACATGCGCCAGAACAACAAGGTCGTCGCCAACTGCGGTGCCAGCAGCAACCTCGTCTCTTGCAAGTACACCGGCTAGATAATAGCCTCTTGGTGTCTTGCGTCACTTTCTTCTTTTGCACATCTTTTCTTTTACATATTGCATAACACTAGCGTTTTGGGATTAGAACAGGGACTATCATGAGCATAGAGAACTTCCACATGGAAAAAGCATTATTCGGAGTTTTGGGCATTACTAGGCTTTGGGCTATCTTGGAGATAAAATCATGAATGAGAAACTTCATCTACAACAAACTTTCACGATCCAATCTTCCGTGTGACTGAATAGCTTCAATTGATCGTACAACGAATCTAAACAATCTCACCATCCTTGACATCTTCCCATCTCTAGCTTCCCCTCCAACTATCGTGATCGAGACACCAGCTTCAAACTTCCCGTTGCCGGCCGGATCACGATGGGAACCTCGTCGCTGTCGCCTCCAGCGATCCGAGCCACTGGGTCGTCCCAGACGATCCGGGCCTGTGTCAATCGGCGACCGTTGCCCCAGATCTGATCTGCGACCCTCCCCTCCCTTCACTAAGGTCTCGGATCCCTGATTGGGAACTTACCCAAGACACTGGGTGTCGTACCGGCATGGCTCGGCGCGCTCTTGGCCACCGATCCTAGCTCTACCCATACCACCTAGGAACCTGACCTTCCACGTCTACACTCTCAATGTACCGCAATGTACCTATTCCTCCACGTCTCTTCCCTGCGAAGTTCTAATTGCCACACCTGTCTAACCTGTACCATCCATTCATGAGGCACACCTTTTCAACTTGATGCTTATTGCACCGTCTATTTCTGATTTTCTATACAAGATACAGAATATCCTCCATTAAGTCTATGCTAACACTCATACATATGCATTTACGCACCCATTGGTTACATGTATGCCCTTAATACGGAGTCGGCACCATGCAGCCCACCATAAACTCTACACCTGTAGAAACGTAAAGGAACATGGAACGCACAGAGCACTGGAGTGGGGGGCACCGTTTGACCCTGAAGCACAAAGCAGTACCCTCCCCCCGGAACGCGAGCGTGGCCTCAAGAAAGTTGGTACAAACATGTCTCACTCTTTTACCATGCTTTTGGGATCATACATCATGTCTCGGTACTATTCACATTTAGCTCATCACGACATTCTATTCCAGCATCTCTAAGACATTGCCTACATTGATACTTTGAATAGTGGTTGTCTTGGCAGGCGGATTACACCAAGCCGGTCCCACTCTGGGAAATAATTGACTACATACTTCGTAGTAGGCGTTTACCGCACGTTTCTGCTTCTGGATAATCTCCGCGACTATCCCCCTCTATTGCTTTATGGTCTTGTGTAACCTGAGCCGTTTATTATCCCTGGCTTCACGCGGTCAGCGTAACACAGTTCGGGTGGCGTGGGTGGCTGAGTTGCGGGAGCGGCATGGGCGTCCTCGGTCCCTTGTCCGACTTCCCAGCATTTTACGGAATAGGATTTCCTCTTTGGGTAGGACGCCGTGTTGAGACAACGCATAGCGTCGTGTAACAGCGAAGTCCGGCGCCGTCGATATTTTTGAGTTACACAGCCATGAGAAATGAAGCGTTTCTGTGTAACAGTACCACGCACCCGCTGGACCCCTATCAAGAGACTCGGGGGTCCAGCGAAAGGGTCTGGGGGGATGACGACATCCCGGTGCTCCCCGCTGGTTACACAAAACTCACCGATGTCTCTCCGGACATGGCGAGAGCAGAGGAGCAGGCTTTCCTCTTTGGGAATGTCCCCGGCCCTGTTGATCTCCCGAGGCTGGTTGAAGCCTGATTGGTGCAAGGCTCCCAATAACGCGGATCATGACTGCTGGGCATGCGTCATTTGTGTAACGGAAAGCAATGAAAACTTGCCACAGCTTCAAGTTATTTGCAACTTTGCTGACAAGAATGAGTGGGCCTTCAGATGGGTGTCGATATACGTTGCCCATGAACCCACGCATGATCTGAATAATAGAACAGCGAGGAGAAGTGAATTTGAAGAGGGACTGCAGACGCAAGATGCTTTATTTTGCAGACTAATTTGATAAAAGTCGGCATGCTGGCATGACATGCATGACACGCATGATACATCACGCGGAGACTCGCCTTGTCCCCGCGTGCATCCCAGCTGCTTGTCGTGATCGACAGGAACTCTGCGTCGTACGACTCTCTCTCTCACATGGCCAGAACCATTTAGCTGGAAGTGCGTGGTGTTTCATTGCCTGTGGCGCTCTAAGTCTTCCTAGAACAAAGAAAAGAGACTCGAAAACCAAGACATGGCACCGAGACATGGGGAGTGTTCCCTTGCCCATGCATGTCCAGTACCATCAAGCTGGGAAAGCATGGTGTCTCATCCGCCCGAGCATTCCTAGTAGAACAGCGGCCAGAGGATCAGAATGAAAGACACCCAAGAGCCCCTATTTTCAAGTTAGGATAGGTTGGAAAGCTTGTTGTGGCCGGTAAGACATCTCGAGGGTCCAGCCACCTATGGGGCGACAGCCGTTCGTCGCCAAGCCACAGCTTCGGGGGAATAAGGATGAGGTGTGGCAGGCGAAGCCACAGTCAGACTGCCAGTGAATCTGAGACAGCCCGCCTTTTGGCCTGTCACCTGACTCTGGCTTGAACAAAGGAGAGTCCGGGGAGTAGACGGGCTTACTTGATGTTGATGGTGAAGACACGGGACATGAATCGCGGTGGGAACACATTTCCCCCCCCAGCCGAAGAAGATGATTGGCCACGATCAACGCGATGCCAGTAATTGTGTCAACATCGAGGCTATTTGGAATGCTTATTAAGTCATGGGCAGTCGCAAGCGACGCGACGCGCGACCGTCTCCTGTCTCAGCCTCGCCACTGTCTAGCACAGCCAAGACACGGGACATGCAGTCTGACAGACAAGCATTTAGGTAAGAATTGCACAGGTTCACTGTTCCAGAGTATTGAAATTGAGAGTGGACTATGGTACGTGCATGCTCGAGAATAGCGAGAGCAGGTACATGAGACTTATTCGTGCAGGCGCTCAGATCAAAGTATGCTAGCCGCTCCTGTTCGCCAATCAAGGGCGCCACTTGAAGGCAGGATGCTTCCAGTCGAGATCCTCGATTTCTTTGTCGGTGAGCCCTGTCAACTCCTCCTCTACATTGCGCTGGGCGCGTTTCTTGTTGTCGCGCTTCATCCACAAGAGGGTCAAGATGGTGACGATCAATACGGTAGACGAGGTAGCGAGATTGAGCCCGTTGCCAATGTGATAATCCGGTCCGTCATACCAAAGGAAACTCCAGGTCTGAAGGACGTTAAAGCCAGTTAGTCTCTGTGCCGAAAAAAAGATCGAATATCACGATCAAAGAAAAACATAGACATACCGCGATCAATCCACCAATGTTGCCCATCATGACGTTCATACCGATAGCGCTGCTGCGAGCCGTATCCGTCACGACGTTGGCGCTCACCTGCGCGTTGGTCAAGGCGCCGAGGGAGAAGGCCGACAGCGCGATGAGGAACGTCGCGGCGTAGCGCACCTTGGCCACGTTGGACGCCAGGAACATGATGTAGCCGACCATGGTCAGCGGCGCGCTGATGACCATGAAGATCTGGCGGCGGTCGAAGCGCCAGCTCAGCAGCGGGATCAGCACGGTGAAGAAGGCGCCCACGACGTACGGCGGCACCGTGTACAGCTGCTTCTGGATGGTCGACTTGTCCGGGTAGATGGTGGCGACGATGGTCGGCGCGAAGAAGGCGAGCCCTTGCACCGTGACGTTGTTGAGCAGGAAGACGAAGGACGTGGCGATGGTGAGGGGGCTCGTCAGGCCGCGCTTCAGCTTGATCGTGTCGATGCCGTCCAGCACGTGCGTGGCGCCCACACGCTCCGACTTGACGCGGGCGATCGCCAGGGCCTGCTCGTCGGGCGTGAGCCACCGGGCAGTACTGGGCCGGTCGGTCAGGGTAATGAAGGCGATAAGGGAGAGGCCGATTGTGATGATGCCTTCGATGGCGAAGATCATGCGCCATGCATGAAGACCGCCAAAGTGCGAGAGTTTCAGGATGGCCGAAGCGAGCAGGCCACCGAACGCGCCTGCGAGCGGCGCCATGACGATGTACAGGGAGAGGCGGAAGGCGAGCTCGGCACGACGGTACCACCGCGATAGGTAGTATGCGATCCCCGGGAGCATGCCGGCCTCAAAGATTCCGAGGAGGAAGCGCACGCCGCACACGGCGGGCATGTCCTTGACGAAGGCGGTGCCGAGCGACGAGCCCAGGGAGATGGCGGGCAAGAACCAGCCGGGGCCGACCCATTTGCAGAGGATGTTGGACGGGATCTCGAAGATGATGTACGAGATGTAAAACACCGACAAGACGGTGTTGTAGTCGTTTCCCTTCAGGTGCAGGTCCTTTTCGAGGCCGGCAAGTCGAGCGTTACCTGGTGATGCATTGGCATGAGTCATGCAGCTCAGATAGGGCGTATGAGGAGCCCTGGGGCGCTCCCGAGAGCAAGAGAACTTACCGATATTGGCTCTGTCGATGAAGCAGAAGAGATACAAGACCGCGACCGTGGGGACGATGAAAAGATCGATCTTGGTGCGCAAGCGAGACTCGGCCTTGGCATCGAACTGGAACAGCGGCTGACCGTACCTTTACCATTCGAAGAAAGTCAACTATCAGCACATTGCTTGACCCTCTGGACGTGATCACACATGGGATGGGTGTCTTGAACACATACTTGTCGGTGGCCATTTGCCCTCGCTCGGCGACATGCTGGATGTCTTGCTCCCGATGGGCGGCCTGTATGACATCCTCCCCCTCGCTGACTGGTGCTGCCTTCTCGGGAGACGCCATGGTCGGGATCCGAGTTGAGTCTCAGGAAGACCAAGAGTATTAAAGCGACGCCGATGGGCAGGTGAGAACCACTCTGTAAAAATCCGAGAACACAAGAGTGTAAATCGTCTTGAAAATTTGGAGAAGATTTCAGAGCCCAGAAAACCGCTGTATCTAAGTCTGTCCACACAACATCAAAACAAGATTTGACAAGGGTCGGAATAAGAATGCCGCTCTTTACCCTTTCCGACCTGGTGCTGATTCTTGAGTCACAACCCCACGACAGGCCACTCGTGGGTTGAATAAGGGCTGTACAGAGAGGCAAGATTGGGTAATGTATTGCTCAGAAATACGACGTGCAGAACCCAGGCCCGTGGAGTTGGGAGACTGCTGTGCTTTTTATTGAAGACTTCAGCTTACATAGTGGCGGAGGAGGGCTGCTTATCCTTTCGAGCCCACGAACCCCCAAGCACTCCTCTCGGACATGTACGCCAGATTCAGGTCATTCACCATCGTCGCCAAGACCACTAGCTCCAGCTCCCCAAGATGCTCTCCGCACAACATCTACCAACTGGAATGCGGAGCAGGGCGAGCTAGCTGTTCTCCAAATGCCGTTTGCCACTCCCGACCTCAGTGGGGTGGGACAGGGGGGCCAGATATGGCAAATGCATCGGCAAACTCTTCCCTGAAAATTGGAATCCATCCAGTGACAACCTACGGAAGCCTCGGTTTGTCCCCACGAGGTTGTGCCTGACTATCGTTGCTCCGTTAGAATGGAATGTCTGGGCAGTGCTGTATCGCTGCAGAGAGACAACAGAACACTCGTAGATTGCATCCCCTTTGCATCGCCGCTCTAGCTCCCGTCCGGCATGGCCGTATAAACATAAACCCTTCTCCTAGATGCGGCTAAGTCACCTTGACGTTGTTGTTATTGCGTCCCTTAGCGGTTGAATGGAGTTGGTATTGTAAATGCTACCATGGCAAGAGGATGAGTAGGAAATCCCAAAAAGCCAGGGATTGGTCTGTATTGAAGCCTATCACGATGCAACAAGTCATCTGGCCCCTTCTCAGGTCCTGAATACTCTCAGCTCAACTCAGCCTGCCCTGTATTTCGTAGGCAGTGCCTGCGGCGGCATCATGCGTCATGCCGACGAGCGTTCCGATGGCATGCAGGTTCTTCAATTGATACTCCCGGGGACTCGGATCGCTGACGAGCTGAGCTGCCCCGGGTGGAGGGCAATGCATCCAACTCTGGCACCTATTCTCTCGCTCACGAATCATATCAAGTCTAGATCATGTTAGCACACCAATCTCCGCGATGGGCGGCGGATGGATGTGTACCCGCCTTTGGAGCCTTGGCACGCCGTCGCCAAAACACGATGAGCGCCAATTCCGTCTGCAATCTTGTCGACTTCGGCAGCAATATCGGCAGCTGTATAAAGCTTACCTAAAATCTTGGCACCCATGACCGGGCGGACACAGCTTTCTCTTGGCTTCTCCAAAATCGCAATTGGCGCGACTCCATAAACCTGGATTCATTTTGTCAACCTCTGTGACCCCTTTAGCTGGCTAACGTCTTTGGTAAGGTGAAGGAGACAGTATATGAAAGTGAAGGCCGGGTGGAAGAGGTCCAGAGCGCGTCCACTAAGAATCCCTCAACTGATTACATTGCAGGAAGCCTTTGCCGATATTTTGTCAACATTCAGTCTCGATTTCTCTGTACACCGCCTGACCTGCGATTCCCAGCATGGATATCAGTAATATGTTGATACCCAGTATTGTGTCAGACCAAACGTAGCGCCAACGCTCAAGACTCCTCCAACCGCAATCAGAGACACGCGACTGGTGAAGGTACTGCCCAGATTGACGGCAAGCACGTAGGCAAATGTGAAGAGCAAACAAAAGCTCCATAACCAGACCACAAACAGGTCGACATCGTACCACCCAAGACTGGCATATCGAAACGCAGCTTCGTATAGGTGAAGGCTCAGGCTTAGTACAATGACCGCCAGAATCCCACCGATGATCAACCAGGTCCCCTCCTTTCTCAACCATGCCCAAAAGCCTTGCACGAGTCTATAAATGCTTGTCTCGAATGGCAGCGGCAAACGCATACTGCCCCCCCTCAAGTCCTTTCCGACTACAGAGCAGACTTCTTGGCTATTTAGCTGAGTCGGGTCATAGCCATTCCTGTGAAGCTCTGTGTTGAGAGACTCTGAGAGGTCTAGAATCGCCCGGTATTCATTTGGGACACATGGGCAACCGAGCATCCGAAGAGTGAGTCGCCCCTTTAACCACACCAGATAGACGCCCACGGCCCAGACATTCAATATGACAAGGACCACAAAAAGCTGTATGAAGGAGAATCCCCACGAATATCTTGTCTCTGATGAGTCGCTTGCCGTATCCTACACCTATAGATCAGCCTAGAATTCCAATGTGTATTTGGCATTAACACGAACAAGTAATGGCTGGCAGCTGCCATATTTCTGAATGTATTTTCTGTCATAAACGGCGTCTGAGTATGTCAAGGCAAAGTCGCTAGAGTATTGGTGTTGTAGGGGACGCCCGAGGGACTCAGACTCCAAGTCTGGCTTGAACGGGTAGAGTCCATGGTCCGAACCCCACTCCACGATATGACTATGCAGAGAATATGGAAGGGTCGACGAAATGTTGAGCGTTGGGCTGGGAAGTGTAATATTATTCCAGGCCGATGTTGTCGTGTTTGTACCGAAATAGCCATAGTCAGCCACATCTGATGGCAACTCTTTAGCATTACAGAAACATCATGTGGTCAATGGACACTCACACTTAGATGCTCCCTGTTGCATCCTACACAAGGGTATAGTGGACGGCTCAGCATTCGTATTGTCCCTAAAGCAAACACGAAGTGATTCCGTATAAGCGAAGTAGTAGAGGGAGTCGATGTTGACTATGCGGAATTAGTCGGCTGGGTTGCTCATCAAGACCATCATCACTTTGGGTGGAGAATTACTTACAGTTGTGTGCAGTCAAAGAGACATTCCAGAAGACGATGGGATACTCATCTGCGAGTCCTATGCGGCTGCCATCATGAATAATGTACATGACTGGATGAAACCGGGAGAACGCGGCAAGGTTATCGTTATAGTCTCTAACATAAGCCGTATTCCGGGGGCTATATCCTGTCATAGCACTCGCCAGAGTAGGAAAGAAGAGAGTGAGGGACATTGTGATGACCATAAATGACATGACGAATCGCGACTCGAGACAGTGACCTGAGACGAAGTCGTTCAACACTTCGATGGTGGACATCAAAGTCGGTTCTCTGTCCACAAACAAGGTGCGAAAGACCCGGTAAGTGATTGGTCTGAAGTGCATAGACGCGGCAATGTATGCTGAGAAGGATCGCCAAGATAGGTAGGCTATCAAGGCCTGCCCAAGCCGTCCAATGACCTGAATAAGGTGAGCCAGTCACCTAGACATCCTAGACCATTTTGGTTCTCCAGACTTACAATATCCCACGCAACATCAATGACTTTGGCCTGAGTGAAATTCAAATCTCCAAAAGCAAGAGTGATTTGGAAGAAACGGCGGATGTCCCACTGCGAATTCATGTGGAAAGGGTCGAACGAGGCATCGGGAGTACAGACGGAGGAGAACGATGGCAAGGAGGAGCCTGCCCCAACATATGGCAGAACGAGCAGCATGGTAAGCAGCCCTGAGCCAACAATCGAAAGGCTTGCCCATTGGAGAGCCTTCGCCCATCCCACTCTATTCAGATCGTTGAACACCTCGTGTTTGATGACAAACATGCGTCTCAGGAGGAAGAAGACCAGTATACGAAGACGGTCAAACATGCCGACCCGGGCATGCGGGATTGGCTTCGAGGCCGCTGGCATTGCGATGCCTTGACGTTGTCATAAGTGTACTAAGAAATCATGTCTTCGATGGGAAGAGTTGACAGCGCCCGGATTATGTGAATTCTACAGTCCAACATGACTAGAGAGTATTCTTCGATTTAACCCAGCTATAGAAACTCAGCTTTCCACGATCTTGGTACCAATAATAGTTCCCCCCCAGTCAGCCTTTTAATCAAAATAGATTGACATAAGCACCATACTATCGGCGATCAGCTCTGCTCGTCCTTGGTTCGTAATTTGATTGGCCTTGTTTCCAGACTGGCTCGGCGCGAGGCAAAATCTGATTCGTCCGGTGCTGCCGGGAAGCTGCACTGCCGGCTGACGCCTGGTGTGCCTGTGTTCCATTGCATTGGGATCTGGGCCGTCGTGCGGGCGCGCTCAGGTGCAGATTTCTAGCAGAGACCTCCCGTCATCACAGCATCCGTGCTGCAGGTTGCAGTCACGGCCGTCCTTGTAGCTTAGCCACTTGCCAGTCCCTCCACGATCCCCCTTGCGACCTCGACGGGAGCAAGCTAGAGTCTAGCGTGCTGCTCACCCCTCGCAAGGGCGGAAGAGCGAGGTCAGCGTCGCAAGCAAGCCTTGAACTGACAGCCCGATGATCTGGTAGCGTAGCAAGTAATGGTCAAAGAAGTTGACGGGCTGCTAACAGGATTTGGCTATGCATCAAAACTATCGGGATGAGGTAGTGGGATGACACTTCTGACTTCACGAGAAAGGATGCAGTGTTGCTATTGAGGTCGCTCCTGATGGAACTTCCGTCCACTGTTCTGACCTTGCTAGCGTAGACCACCTAAGGTAGTTAGGTAGATGCTGGCCTCGAGACGAACACGCAGAGCTCTCCCTCTCGGCTCAAATCCGTACTTGCCCTGAAGAGGCGATCCTGCCCGCCCCTTTGCAAGCACGCGCCGGTCCACTGCCGACCTCTTTATTCTCCTTTGGGGTCGTGGGAGGCTGGAAGAGGGATGGTGGGAAAAAGCAAATACAGACCTGGACTGACCTGCCCACTAAGCGCGTACGCTATTAACAACAGTCTTTGCTAGGGCTCAGGCTCCCAAATCGACACATGGCAAATGCCATGGTACTCCAGATTCTCGTGCTCGGCAGGGCTGAAAAGGACAGGCCCTAAACTCGAGATTGAACAGGTTGTCAATTGCGATATCGACCCAAAGGGCAATTGTCTTAGTGATCATGTGCAGTTCGGATGCAGAGTTTGAAGTGCATGTTCATAATGGGCTTCCCAGACCTGTTCTCCGTCGATTGCCAGATCACCATCAATACCTAGGTAAGTACTTCCTCGGCATGCAAGCTACCAATCCCATTCATGCGTAGCTCGTTCTGTTACTGTTGATGATATTCTCCGACCAAACGAGTCTGTGCCATGGTCTTGACATACGGCAATGTGCCATCTCGATCGCAAACGAGCAGAGGGGCTGCAGGACCCTGGCGAAAAGGTCCAGGCCATGACCGCCATCCTCGATCTGCCCCATCTTCCCGACCGGGCGGCCCGTCAAAGATGCACTAGGGGCGATCCTAGACAGGCTCTAGAGACGCAAAGACGCCCCTAGATCCAGCTAGCGGGGAGATGCCACGCACAAAAACAAGGGCAGGGAGACTCGGTTTATGGAGGGAGCACGGAGTGCGGCCCTCGCGAACCTCGTAGAAACAGCAGGATGTTCCTGTTTTGGCTGGGGTTACATTCAATGTTCAGCTCGTCGATATTTGTGCCATGTGAATTGCCGTGAACGACGAGGCGACGGCCCGGATCGGCAGCATGGGTACATGAATGTCTCATGGAAGCTGAATTCAAAGCCCTCCAGGCTTGCCCCCAATGATTGATGGGGGCGGGCTGGGGTCCTAAAAGGCCTGCTATCCCGTCCCGTTTTTACAGCGAGCATCTGCCCGGCAAACGCTACCGACACACGAAACAAAAGCAAAACTCTCGCCCGGCTCGGTCCCCGCCACCTTTTGTACCTCCGTAGCCTTCTCCCTTGCGTCACTTAGCCGCAGCCGGATCTGGCCCCAAAGGCGTGTCACTGGCTGCCTTTAGGGTGAGTCGAGGGAGGGAAACAGCTGAGCGAAAAAGCAAAAAAGGGCAAAAATCTGTCGTTGACAGGCTGGGGAACTAACGCGAGATGGCAGGCATGCGCACTTGACATGTCTATTAATACGGAGACGATGCCCACCGAAGCCATGTGGGATCGGCACTGGAATGCTCTCCTGACGTATTTGCCGATGTTTGATGCCTCTCGTGCCGTTCAAGATGAGGTCGTCAGTATCACGATTGTTCTTGATAATAGCCCTGGTGTCCCAATGGCTCGTCGCCGTCGTCGCTCAGGGGACGCCGGGCAAGTTCCCGACCCTCCCTAGCTGCGCTGTAAGTCGATGGCCGTGTTGATCCGTGTATGGGTTGATCTTGTACTGACAAACTTACAACAGACTCAATGCCTCGTGACCGCCGCCTTCAACTCGCCCTGCCAGATCAGCAACATCACCTGCATGTGCACGACACCGTCGCTCCAAGCCGAGGCGGAAGAGTGCGTCCTGCGAACATGCAGTCTGCCCGACATCCTCCGTCAGTCCTTCTCCCACCTTGGAAAGTTACTTGGTTACTGACCAGGGCCCTTTTAAAACCAAACAGTCGCCAAGAATGGCACGAGCACCGCCTGCGGCGCCCCCGTCCGGGACCGTGGTCCCGCCTACGACCGCATGAACATCACCTTTGGCGTCATCTCGGCCGCCATCTTCCTCGCGCGGCTCTTCTTCAAGCTCTTCCTCGCCCGCACGGGCTTCTGGGCCGACGACTGGCTCATCGTCGTCGCCTTCTTCTCCGCCGTGCCCAGCACCGTCATGAACTCGCGCGGCCTCGTCGCCAACGGCCTGGGCCGCGACATCTGGACCCTCGCGCCGGACGCCATCACCCGCTTCGCAAAGTACTTTTACGTCATGGAGATCATGTACTTCACGCACCTGCCCCTGCTCAAGGCGTCGATGCTGCTCTTCTACCTGCGCGTCTTCCCCTACGCGCAGACGCGGCGCCTGCTCTGGGCCACGCTCGCGGTCAACGGCGTGGCCGGGCTGGCCTTCCTGCTCGTCGTCGTCTTCCAGTGCGCGCCCGTCAGCCTGTCCTGGAGCAAGTTCTTCGACGCCTCGGCGGGGGGCACGTGCCTCAACCTCAACGCCGTCACCTGGTCCAACGCGGCCTTCAACATCGCGCTCGACCTGTGGATGCTGGCCATCCCGCTGTCGCAGCTGCGCAAGCTGCGGCTGCACTGGCGGCGCAAGCTCGGCATCGGCCTCATGTTCTTCGTCGGCGGCGCGGTGACCGTCGTCAGCGCCGTGCGCCTGCGCTCCCTCGTCCACTTCGCCAACACGCCGAACCCGACCTGGGACGAGCTCGGCGTGGCCTTCTGGTCGACCGTCGAGATCAACCTCGGCGTCGTCTGCGCCTGCATGCCGGCCCTCCGCGGCATCCTGACCTACTTCTTCCCGGGCCTCGTGGGCGCCTCGGCGCTGTCGATGGACCGCCACAGCGGGGGGGCCGCCACGCCGGGGCCGGGACTCGTCGAGGTCGTCGAGGTCAAGGAGCAGGAGCGGCAGCGGGAGAGCCTACAACACACAGTCAGCGTGTGCCCTCGGCTAGAGCTCGACCTCGGCACCGGGGACCATGCGACCAACGAGGCCGCCTCTTCCGAGACCTCGAGCACTCGCGACAGTGGCTTCAGCGACAAGAGCGTGTTCGACCCGACCAAGTGGTACGTCGTCGAGCAGCAGGACGACAACGACGAGTCGGGGCTGGTCATCATGCGAGAGGCCTATCCGGCGTTCGGGCTGCAAGGGGCGGAGAACCCTGAAGGCGATGCGGAGAAGGGATATGCGAGACGGGGCTAGGTGATGGGTTGGACTGGCGCCCGGATGATTTTATGATTTGATGAATGATGACTTGACGACTGATGAGAAAAAAGGTTATAGACTTAAGACATGTATGTATGCTGATGAGCGATCCATGATGTTTAGACGAGAATTCAGATGAAATGACTGTTGATGGTTTGATGACAAGAAGAACAGAGCTTTTTCCATTGCATGCTCTCATCGTGAACGTCCACTCTGATCTTGATGAACTATCTCAATTGATACCTCAACACCGACACTACTATACTTTTCACATGCCGATTCAGCTGGGGAAAGCAAGTCTTCTCGGGTGTGGAACTCAAGGGATTCTTTGACTTCCTCCGGCCACGAGCTAGAGGCCATATAAACCGTACAAGGAATTACCTGCGTCCACCCCTTCGTTATTGTGTACCATTTTGTGCAGGTCTGTTATCCCAATGCGCTGCATCAGAAACCTCAAGGCCAAGGATCCGTACTCGAGATTCTGCCGGATCGGGATCTACCGTCTCAAAGCCGAGGAACTCTTTGATGACTCCTTTAAGGACTTAAGACCCGTGTCGATACGTTTTAACATAAAGCATAAAGGTCGTCTCCGACCGCATCCCAAGCAACGATGACGAGACATAAATTTTCTCCGCGGGTATATACCGCTTCTCCAGAATCAAACACTACACCCCTAAGCCGCTCATTAAGACTATCGTAATCTCATTACTCATGCGGTATGTTGACTGCGTGTCTACATGGGCTCTATTGGCCTTTGCTTGAGAGGACTTCAAGATGCTTCACTAATCTGCAGCGGGCTTGCCGGATACTAGAGGATCCTTAGCGAAGGCTTACAAGTTCCCAACACTGCGTGGATCTATAGCTGCAGTCCATTGGGCTCAAGCAAGACGTAGACAACCTTTGCCTATGCCTGGTTGTCAACCCCACTTGGCTATGGCCAAATAGCTGTGCAAGCAAGTAATTATTTGGACCTGGTACGCCGCCCAGATGTGACAACACAACCTATACGCGAAAGGCTCAAGGCCGCGTTTAGAGTCACGCTCGCTTGTCAACCCCCTGACGCCTCACACCGGCGTGTGCAGCGAAGGTGACCCACATCTACTCGGACGTGTCTCCTGCTCCTCACAATATCAGAGATGCAGAGACGCACTGCGAGTGGTACATGCCGGAGAAAATCACAGTTCTAGACTCGACTTGTGATTGCCGGCTCCATAGCTCTCACCCGGGTCTCCCACAGAATCGAATGACAACCTACCTAGGCATGCAACGTGCCCGGGGACGCGCGCCGGCGCCAGGTCGCCGTAATACTCGCTGATGCGGCTGACCACCTCACCTCGCATGGCAGGAGCAGTAGCAGCGGCAGCGGAAGTTAGGCGAGGAGGGGGATCTGCGGTGAAGCCCCGGGTCTAGAAACTGGCACTTTTGACAGATGCCACACAGGCACAGTCGGGTACGACGGTCCGGGATGAATGCGGGCCAACTTTGATATGACCAGCTTGTACTTCCAAGTCGCAAAGATGGATGTTCTAGATGCCCTTGGACGCGGATCCGGTACCGGCACCGTGCGGCTGCCGTGTGAGCCGCTAGCCCCGAGAGCGGCGCGGTGGATGAGCAGTCGGCGCTGGCGTAATAGCTCGGGCTGTGGTGTATCCGGGAGGGCACCCTTGGCGGCGCGGGGTTTGCTCCTCGCTTGATGGACCTTGGGGCCCGATGGGCAATCCATGGGAAGAGTTTTCCGTACATGCATGGATATACAGGCGAGAATAGTCAAGTCGCATCAAAAATAGTCTGTTGACATTGTGATGCATCAGATTATTCAGAAGTCGAGACACAGCAAAAGCGGCGACGCTGCAGGATCTGTGGATACCGGGACGTGTCACGGCGACCGTATCACACCTTGGTCTGTGGAGATACTGACCGAGATCGAATGCAACTCGAGAGTGCTCCTGTACCTCATCTATGTAGGTAGGAGAAAGACACCCGCCCGCGTGCAACGGTATCCACGACGAGCACGAGGTCGTCGTACCCAGGTCGTCTTGGCACAGGGGGCCCTGATGCGATGATGGTGGTCTGAGGAAAGGCAGATGGAATCCTACAAGGCGGACCTGTCACAGCAGTCCTGTGTCCAATCTCAGGCACCTCAAAACAAAAGTCGGTTCACAGATCTAGGTAAAGACATGGAGACTGGCTGGTTCCATGCTGCTCCTAACCGTCGTCGTCCCTGGCCTGTGCCAGAAACACAACCTGAGTCCCGAACGGCGATCAGGCACGGTTTCCAAGGTTATGCATCCTGGATTGCCAGTTTTGGGCTGCAGCCGCCCCGCTGTTAGTGCTGGAGGCTGGGGGGCTAGCGGTCGGGCTAGCAGGCTAGGGTACACCACCTGGCGCCCAACGGTGGGACACTCTTCTCTGTGCGAGGGGGCTCCAGGGCTAGTTTAGCGGACCAATGTTCCATCCAAGGGATCCAAGGCAAGGTCCGGCCCTCCCGCGGGTTAGAACGATTCGAACCTTAAAAGACCCAAGAAGCAGATATCCGTCTTCGTACTGCGCTCCTTGACCGGACTCGGGTCAGTGTCTTTTTTTCTTTTTTCCTTTTGTGTGCAGAGTAGCAAGAGAAGGTCGCATTGTGTTGGGCTTGAACAGTCATTGAATCATTGGGCTCTGGCTCTGGCTGGTCCGAAAGACTGGGATCATGGCTGCAACTCAGCAGACTCGGTCTATCCCATCAGCCGACCAGGAGAAGCTCGTGCACGGGGTTTTCGCGTAGTGGCAGTGGAAGTGTGAGGTCATATGGGCAGCCGGCCCAAGAGGCACAGCCAGTCCCTGAGCGGAATCACCAGTGAAGAAAAAGCGCGCAATGGGAAAGGGCTTCACCGGCACCCGTCTTGCATCTTTGCTGCTGCAAATCACCGAGGCAGAAATAGGTAGGGTTGACTTGACGTTCGGCATCTGCGCCTGGGTAGGTATCGTCGCATGGATATCCCGTTCCTGGCCATCATCGATCCATCTTGAGCATCGGCACCAGTCAGTGATTTCTTGCAGGACGGGCCCCATCGTCATCCTACAGCCCGCCCACCGCTCATTCATCCGCATCCATCCACCTCCATCCATACCTGTCCATCCCCATCCACCCTCCATCCAGCGTCCAGCATCCAGCATCCAGCCAGTCACTCGTGAGAGGGCACATCCCACCCCTGTCCGTCCGTCTAGTTAGCTCTCTCGCCTGACTGGCCTGGTCTGGCACAGTCCGGCACGCCTGGTCTCCTGCACCAAGCAGAAGAAGAGAGCACCCTAGCAAGGGTCCTCCCCTCCAGAGTCCAGACTGGCGACGCCCCTCCATTCCACTTCCACTTTCCGTCCGTGTTCACGCCCACTTGGTCTGCTGGTGTCGTCATCGCTTCCCAATCCTGCTGCACTCCCAACCTGCCCACTCCACCCATCCAACCGACCCATGGGCCAATTCCGCCGTCGACCCTGACAAGACAACAAGTCGAATTCTGAAGGGTTCATTAATCTGAGCCTTTTCTTCCCATCTATTGATCAACAGGGACAACCGCTCCTTCCATCAAACCATATCTCAAACGGCGACCGTTGGGGACCCGGATTCCAAAACCAAGGAACCAAGTCTCCCAGTCTTCCCACACCAACTCACACCACCCACCACCTACCCACCACACAGACGCACGCACACTCACAAACCAGATCAGCCTCTTCCCCATGGCCTACAGAGCATCAACCGGCGACCTCAGCCGCGGCGAGCGCTGGGACAGAGACCGCTTCCTCTACGAGAGAGACCGCGACCGCTACGGCGACGAGCGAGTCCGCTACGAAGAAGACGACCGCGCCTACTCCAGAGAGCCCCGCGGCCTGCCCGCCCGCTTCAGAGACCTGTCCGTGTCCGTCGACAACGAGCGCTACGACCGCCGGCCGCCGCCGCCGGGACGCCCATACGACGACGAGCACGCCGTGCGCGACCGCCGCTACTACCACGACGACGAGCCTCGCTTCGTGCGGGACCGCCACTCGCCCACCTCGTCCGACTTTGACCGCCGCGTCGTCATCGAGAAGGAGCGCGTGGCGCGCAGCCCCTCGCCGCGCCGCCGGCCCGCCACCCTCCTGCGGCGCCAGTCGAGCCTCGACACCTTCGACCGCCGCCCGCGGTACTGGGAGCACGAGGAGGAGCAGCAGCAGCGGTACGGCCCGCCCGCCCGCAGGGAGGACTTCCGCCCGCCGACCAACGTGCCCATCCCGCTGCCGCGCACGCGCGCCCTGCCCCCGCCGCGCCGCTTCGCCGAGCGCGACAGCTACGAGGAGATACGCGTCTCGGACCCGGACTACTACGGCGACGAGGAGTTCCGCCCTTATCCGGAGCGCATCCGCGAGAAGGAGGTCGTGCGCGAGCGCCGGCGGGACCGCAGTCGCAGCCGCGACTCGCACCGCAGCCACCGCAGCGGCGGCGGCCACCACCACCACCTGCACCACCACCGCGGCCGGAGCCACCACGGCACCAGCGTCACGACGAGCACCTCGCGGTCGTCGAGCACGTCGAGCAGCTCGTCGAGCAGCAGCGGCGGCACGACCGTCAAGAGCGAGTACCCCAAGAAGGGCAAGACCAGGATCCCGGCCCGCCTCGTCTCCAAGAGGGCCCTCATCGACCTCGGCTACCCGTTCATCGAAGAAGTGAGTTTTCCCCACCAAACCCTTGCGCAGCATTTGCTCTTTTTCTTTCGCAGTTCGAAACAACATACTGACCGGAAGAAACCAGGGCAACACTGTCGTCGTGCAGAAAGCGCTTGGACAGGAGAACATCGATGACCTGCTCAAGCTCAGCGAGGACTACAAGCGAAGTGCGTCCATCCCTCCCAGCCAGCCAACCAGCTTTCCCCGGTTATCATTACACTGTACACATTCCTTTGCTAACAAAACACTCCTCGTTTCACAGGTGAGATGGAACTCGTCGTAGCCCGCTCCCACGCCGGCGACATCATCGAGGAGCGCCGGCAGGAGGTCTACATGGCGCCGCCGCCCCAGCCCGCCATCCAGGCCCCGCCGATGCACCAGCAGCCCCCGCCGCACTTCATGCCCGTCCGCAACCCGCCGCCGCCGCCGCCACCCCCACAGAACGTCGAGTTCGTCAACAACACGACCATCATCCGCGACGCCTCCCCGGCCCGCAGCTACACGACCTCGACCTCGTCGTACCCGTCGGCCGTCGTCGTCGACGCCCGGCCGCGCGAGATCTCGGAGGAGATCCCCGTGGGGCCCCTGGCGCTGGTCACGGCGGACCGGGAGCGCGAGGTCGTGCACCACCACCACCACGGCTCGCACTCGCGGCACCGGTCGCACTCGCGCGTCGGCAAGGAGATCGTCACGGCGGAGCGGCTGAGCAACGGCGAGCTCGTCGTCTTTGAGGAGCGGGTCGAGAAGATCGAGGAGCCGAGGCGCGGCGTGAGGATCGAGAAGGACAAGAAAGGTAGGATGTCCATCAGCGTGCCGAAGTATCCTCGGTGAAGAAGGTGCGCGTCGCCACGCCTCAACCCCTTTTTGGTGGAGTTTGGTGGTGCCAAAAGAAGTGGCTAACCTGTATTTGGTTTCCTGTTAGGTCCGCCTCCCGGTCTCATGAGGGCTATGCTTGCGACTTTGACGTGAAAGATAGCCGTAGGCTGGTTTGACGACGACGGCACGGAGCGAGAACACGCGTGTGTGGGTGGGGATGGGATGGATGAGATGATACATGATGTGTGCAGGATTTTTCAATCATGGCATTAGAGATTGGGACATGATGAACCGATGTTTTCTTCTTCTTTTTCTTCTGATATTCATTGCTTCCTCGAGACCCGGGAATCTAGAGGGTTACTGGGGCGGCAATTGTGTGTGCTTCTCGTCTTTCTGGAGGAAATCTCAGGCGTCTCGGACACTTTTGGTTTCACAATATCTCAAGTCACGACTAAACAAACGGACGGCATTTCTTGATAATGACGAGAACCATGACTGGCTCTATTTCATTCCATCTTTCTTCGGGTTTCCTCTCTTTTGACTTCTCTCGTATGATCCTTTCTCTGGATACATTTGGCAAAGCAAAGGTGTCGAGGGATATCAGACACTGCCTTTGTACCTTTTCTTCGCCATATTGTTTACCATCCAACTTCTTTTTTTTCATAAGACAACAATCATATCAAAAACATCTCATCAAAAAAAAGCCCAAGGTCAGTCCATGAATAAAAGTTGTGCTGGTAATCTGATAGTATCAAACGATGCGTTGAATGCAGGTTTACGTTTACTATATAAAATTCATCCGCTCGGAAATAAAGAGGTGGGACAACGATATCAGAGAACCCGCTCGAACGAGATCTCTCTATATGCTCCAAGCCTGTGTGCATGCAACACATGAATATAACCCCCCGAACCAAAACCACAAGGATACAACAATAGCGCCAAGCATTTCCAAAAGTTTCAAACAAAAATAAAGGGGGGAGGTTGGTTGGTGGGCGAAACTTGAAACTTTCTCTCAAAACATAGCCTTCAGATGGGGGTACAGCCCCTCGTCCGTGTCGGCATCCATCGGCACGGCATGCATCTCCGACGACGTGTAGGAGGACGCGCCGTTGGGCCCGTACCGCCCAGAGTGCTGGTGTTGCTGGCGGTGCTGCTGCGCCTGCGGCCCCTGCTGTCCCTGCTGCTGAGCAGAACCGCCGGCGGCGCCCATGTAGCCCTCGAAGATCCTACCCATCTCGTACTGTATCCTGAGCCCATTTGCCTGCTCCTCCGTCAGGTTCGACTGCGGCTGCTGCTGCTGCTGCTGCTGCTGCTGTTGTTGCTGAGCAGCACCAGGGCCCAGACTGCCCGGCCGCGCAAAGTGGCTTCCCCCGCCGCCCGTCGTCGCAGGCGAGCCCATGCTCGCGGTTCCGGGGCTCACGCTGTGGTGGTGGTGGTGCTGCTGGTGGTGGTGATGGTGCAGCTGGCCCGGCCCGCCGGCCGCCATGCCGGCCATGGCCAGCGCGGCACTCGAGTGCGCGTCGCTCGCGCCCGAGACACCTGCTCCACCGCCACCCGCACCCGCACCACCCTGGACGCCGCCGCCGCCGCCGTGACTGCTGCCGTTGCTGCTCTTGTTGCCGTCCTCCTCGCCGAGGCCGAGCTGCGGCGCGTACGCCTTGAGCGACTTGATGGTGCGCCACAGCCGCTGCGACACCCACGACTTGGACGACATGTCCTTGACGAGCTCGAGCCCCATGTAGAACTCGGTGCGGCAGTTGGCGCTGAACTGCAGGGGCGCGTGCGTCGAGGCCAGGAACAGCACGGCGATGGCCGAGGTCAGGAACTGGTGGTAGAAGACCTGGATGCGGCGGTACAGGTTGGTCGAGTTGTTGAGGCGCGTCAGGTAGCGGATCGTCTCCTTGGCCAAGTCGACGACGCGCTGCGCCAGGTGCATGTTGTCGTGGATCGACGAGGCCGAGTGCAGGACCGGCGTGTGGAGCCATATCCGAATCTGTTTGACAGTAGCATCGTTAGTGATATTGGACTTCGAGGAGCGTTTTGGAATTGGTTGTTCATGAGGGGTGCCTGTCTGTCTCTTCGTACCTGGTTGAGACGGAGGCGGGTCCAGATCTGCAGTCTCTGAACGTTGTAGGACGGCGTTGAAGGGAGGGGGAGGTCTCTGTCGAGGTTGCTGATTTTGACGTCGTCGGGTACCGTCTCGTACCACTGCAGGATCTCCCGATCGAGACTCTCAAACTCGTCTCGCTTGACGTCTTGGATCAGGGCCGGCTCGAAGTAGTCAACCAGTCTCCAGATCCTGGCGCCGAGCTTGGAGTAGGTAATCATGGCGACGAGGTAAGGGTAGTCCTCCTGGCATGTCGGTCAGTCTCTTGTCCCATTTCTAAGCCAGAAAACGAGTAGCACTCACGGGATACGGGAGCTTGGGGTCAATCTTGTCGTCGTGGACCACGTACGGCAAGCCCGTGCCGAAGCTCCACCTCCGGTCCAGGACGTACGCCGTCCAGAACGTATTGAGCGCGTTCCTCCTCTCCTCCTCGTCCGGGATGCGCGCCAGGCCCTCGCGCCGGTGCAGGCCGAGCTCGAGGCAGTGGCGCGCGACCTCGCCCATGACGCGCCAGGCCAACACCTCCTCGTTGGACAGGAAGCGGTACCCCGCGATGAGGGCGAGGAAGGGCAGGTTCTTGATCTCGCCGGGGTCGTTCATGAGCATCTTGTCGGCGACGGGCTGGATGCTGTCGTAGAGGCGCGAGGCCTTGGCGCTGTTGCCGTGCTCCTCGACCACGAGCGCGCAGCACATGATGATCTTGAGCTGCAGCGACTTGATGTCGCTGATGCCGTTGTCGACGCCGAAGGGCGGCACCATGCCCTGCTGCTTGATGTTGCCCAGCCACGAGGCCAGGAACTTGGCGTGGGAGATGACGCTCTCGATGTTGACGACGGGGTACATGATGCCGACCTCCTCCTCGTGCAGGCGGCACAGCCTGATCATCTCGTCCTTGTCGTAGTCCCAGAGCGGGTCCGGCGGCCGTCGGGGGTCGAAGTCGGACGTCGTGTTCGCGGCGTCGTCGACCGACCGTGGGGGCTCGTCCGCTCCGGTCTCGGGCACCCCGCTGTATCCCATGTTGTGCAGCGTGTTCTTAGCGACGTCGACGGTAAAAGCTATGCTCGTCGGGCCTCGGAAGGAAGGGGCCTGGTGTCGCAGGGGCGCGAGCTCGGGTCGGTTCGGAGACAGGATGGAGGAGGAGGGCGGGGAGGGCGAGACGGCGTTGGGCGAGGCGGAGGCCTGCAGTGCTCGGTTCTGGATCGGGGCGAGTCGCAGCGTCTCCTGACGCAGGGCATCCATGCTCTTGTAGAGCGAATTGACCTGCTCCTGGAGGCGCGTGACATCATCGCTCATGCGGCGGAACTCGTCCGAGTCCTTGAAGTTGTTGGAGCAGCAGTTCGGGGCGTAGAGGCACGCCAGATTAAGGTTGCCACACCGCTGGCAAGGGGTCTCGCCATTGCACTTGATTTTGCGCCGTTTGCATTCATTACTATGGGTCAGTGGGTTAGCAAAGGGGGGCTCTTTTTTGGACGAGAAGAAGCCAACGACCACTTGGATCCGGAGTGTCGGGACCGGGGCCAAGGCTGGTCGGCAGACCCGGCACAACCTCGCCCCGAGGCGTCTTCAGACTCGGCGCATAGAGGTACTTTTCGCACAGCGCTTCGTTCGCTCCGGTCAGGCAGGGAAAGGGGAGATGTTGGTTACACATACCAGGCAATCGAGATGTACTGCGCCAATCAGACATGGTCAATAAATCGATCCAACAGCCAAGGTGCATACAATGACAAGCGGTGAAGGGGGGGGGTCGCGAATGGGACGATAACGCAACAAGAAGGACAAAGACAAAGACAAACAAGACGTACTCTATTCCTTTTGCTCCTCTGCTGCTTGCCAGCGTTGGACGCGGCGTCCTCAGCGTCGGCCTTCCTCTTCTGCGAGGCACCGGCAGCAGCGCCGGTAGATGGAGGACCACCAACACTCCCACTGCGCGAGGCACCCCTAGCTGCACCGACGCTGGAGGCAGCCCCAGGCGAGGCGCCGGACAGCGACGGTGGTTGTGGAGGGAGTGGTGATGAGAAGGGCTGATGGGCGGAATTGTCTCCGGGCGCGGAAAACAGCGAGGCGTTGAGGTTGGGATTGCTGGGATGACGTGGAGAATTGGCGCTGGGTGATGCGCCCAAGGCCAGCGGCGGAGGCGGCGGCGCATGCGACAAAAAGGTCCGCAGGTCGCTGACCTGTCCTTCTAGGCCTTCCATCGTCGAAGCGCGGATTCTCCCAGGGCGCGCATTGGTTTGCAAACCCCGGAAGGGGGGCGGGTTTTCCTTATGCTGCCCGATTCGGGGAGTGTTTCTTCTCTGTTTCTCGCTCCCCTGTGCCTGCCTGCGAGAGTAGGAGGGAGGGGGCGGGTGTGATTGTTTGGAGGATTACTTTTTCTTAATATTTTTTCTCCTCCTTCCTTGCCGGGATTATGGGGTCGACTCTGCCATGCTATGTAATCCTAGCAAATCGATTTAAAAAGACGGCGCGCCGGAGGGAGACTGGGGGGCGGCGGGCGCGCGGGCGATTGCTTTGCGCTTTTGCTTTGCTTTGCCTTTTGCTTTGCTGGCGCTGCTGGCTGGGGGGGGGAGGAGGAGGCGGAGGAGCGGGAGAGACAAAAAAAGCGGCCTCTGTCGGGCTTGGAGTCAGCCAGCCAGCCAGCCAGCCAGCCAGCACAGCACAGCACAGCACTAAGAGGGCTCAGCCGTGTTTGCGCTCGAGGCAATTGGCCGGACGAGAGCTTGAATGACGCTCACGGGAGAGCTCGCTAGGTAGGTACTGCTACTGGAGGGACGGGCCAGCTCTGGTGGGTGTGCGAGGGCGTCGGCCAGCTGTTCAACTGTCTTGCATGCCGAGCTACCCCACGTGATAAGCAAGTTTGGGTGCTAATGCTGACAAGCAAAGCAGAAGAAGCTCGGACTCCGGCCTTTTTTTGGCTGGATGCGGCGGGCTTGTCGGATGGGCAATGGTGAGGGCGGGATTGGGACTGGACTGGAGGAGATGGCTAGAGTGGGTTCACCGACGCTTCCAATCTGAGCCGAGATGAGAGTTCACAAGTCTCCACCTGTGCCGCGACAGCCATCCTACACAAAATAAGTAGTTGTGCAGCGTGCACAAGACAGATGCCATGCACAAAATCAGCAGAAATGCGTCTCATTCACATCGTCACTACCGGACTCCTGGTCTTTTGATCCGCCCCCCCTTCTGGCTACATGCATATGGACATCTGATCCCGATCCAAGCCCTCCCTCACCTCACCTCTGGATCGCACTGTAGATCCTGCCAACGCAGTCCCCAAAGCCCACGCGCTCGCCCTCGCCGCCGCACCGCCCGCGGATGGAGATGGTGTCGCCGTCCTTGAGGAACCGCCGCGTGTCCATCCCGCAGAGCATGATGTCCTTCTTGCCGCCCTCGCTGATCTCCAGCAGGCTGCCCCTCTCGCTCGCCTCGGTGCCGCTGATCGTGCCGGACCCCAGCAGGTCGCCCGTCCGCATCGGGCACCCGCCCAGCGAGTGGTGCGCGATCATCTGCGGGAACGACCACATGAGGTTCTTGGCGCTCGTCCTGGAGATGGTCGTCGTGTCGCCCTCCGGCGCTGTCGTGCAGTCAGTGTCACTCACAGTCCTACAATACAAGAACCCGCTTCTCGGCATCCCCGACCGGGTCAACTCACTCGTAATGTCCACCTCCAGCCGGATGTCCAGCACGTTGTCCTCGCGCGCTTCCCTCAGGTAGTCCTGCAGCTCCGTCTCGTTCTCGATCCCCTTGGTCCGGAACGGCTCCAGCGCGTCCGCCAGCACGACCCAGGGGCTGATGGTCGAGCAAAAGTTCTTGCTGTTGAACGGGCCCAGCGGCACGTACTCCCACGTCTGGATGTCGCGCGCGCTCCAGTCGTTGAGCAGCACGTACCCAAAGATGTGCTCCTCGGCCTCGTCGACCCCGACCGGCGTCCCCATCTCGTTGGGCTTGCACAGGAAGCACCCGAGCTCCAGCTCGATGTCGAGCCGCCGGCACGGCGCCGTCGTCGGCACCTTGGGCTCCGCGGCCGGGTCCAGCAGGATCTGGCCCCAGGGCCGCCGCACGGGCGTGCCCGAGACCACGACGCTCGAGGCCCGCCCGTGGTACCCGACGGGAAGGTGCGTGTAGTTGGGCTGCAGCGCGTTCTGCGGCCCGCGGAACATGACGCCTAGGAAGTAGGCGTGGTGCCGCCCCGCGTAGAAGTCGGTGTAGTCGCCGATCTCCATGGGCAGGTGCATCTTGACGCCGCGCTGCGGCAGCAGGGCGCGCTCGCGCAGGGCCGCGTTGTCCCTGAGGAACGCCGCGTGGGCCGTGCCCTCGGACAGCAGCTCCTGGATGTCCTTGCGGACCTGCCTGTGGACGGGGCGGCCCAGCGCCGCGAAGGCGTTGAGCGAGTTTGCGGAGAAGACGTGCGCGCCGTCCTGGAGAGAGGGGAAGACCTTGCCGAAGTCGGGCTCTGCGGCCAGGACCTTGAGGTCCAGGACGGAAGATCCGATGGCGACGGCAGGGTGCGGCGACGAGTCGGCCGGCGTCGAGATGATGCCGAACGGGATGTTGGCCAGCGAGAACTCGCTGGCCGGGTCAACGTTGGGAACCCAGGTGGCCGGCATGATGCAGTATGTTCAGTTTGACAGTCGATGAAGCTCGCTCTGTGTCTTTGCAACGGGAGATGGTATGCTGGTGCATCAATTATTTACAGTGCTGTGCCGTCGGGGAAGTTCGTCATATTCGCGGAGGTGGGGTTAGTTGGAGATTCCGACGAAAGCCGCAAGCTAAGCTTCGGCATTGTAACAGGGCAGTCAATTCCGCACTTCCCTCTCGCTGAGCATCGGCCCAAGCTCCACAAATGGCAGGCGGAAGGTTGAACCTGAAGCCGGGGCAGCCATCATGTAGTCTTCTGCTTGTAATGAACGTCTCTCTACTCTATTAAGCTAGAATATATCATAAATTTTGGATTGAAAAAAAGATAGGCCAAACCGGAAGAAACGTTCCTGCTAAAGGTATTTTGAACCTGCCTGTTCTCTTGGAACTTTTAGATTTCTCAAGTCCAGCCAGCCTTGAGCCTCCACCAGCATAGTTACAAAATCAGAACGAGACAACCAGTCTTCCTACACACGGAAAGACAGCAAGACAGACAGGTCTGTTTTCGGACAACCAAAGGCAACCGCATGATTCCACAAGAGAAAAGTCGCAGGCTATCATGGCCATCAACACCGATGACACGAGTTTGGTGTGCACCATAACCCCTGTCCAATTCTTCAGATGCAATGTCGAATATTGGAAACTTCATGTAATCACAAAACACGTCCGGTTCCGATAATTCTGCCCGAGGATCGTGTGAACAGGTCTCAAGGATCAAGGCTTGCGAGAGATTGATCAGAACTTGAACCGGAGAGATCGTGTAGCTCGAGAACACATCCGCACCGTCCAGTCCTAAGCCAACAGTAAGCTCTCTATTCCCAATAGCGGTTCTGAAGGCCGCCTTGACCTGTGGAAAGAGATTGAGTGGCCCAAGGACTGGGCGTGGATCGGGCGCTTGGACGACGGTCCATTGACCGTTGTAGTTCCCCGACCCCTTTACCTGTTTGTAGCTTGCTCCTCGGTATTTCAGGTTGCCACGAGCCCAATTTAAAGTTAAAAAGCCATGTTTCTCAATGACTTTTGTGTCGAATATGGCGGGCCAGACCGCTTGTCCCATGTAGCAAGACATCACCCAGTCCTCGCTCATGACTTGCTGAGTATTGTCGTGACCGGCGAGAGCCAAAGCGTGGGCGAGCAGTTGGAGGATACTAGCCCGCTTCGGCTCCCCAGTCTTGAGAATGTGCATGACCTGTCCGGGAAGTGCGTCGCCACCACGGGAGTGCTGGGGTATGTCTGGCCTAACAAGAAGGCCTTCCGGGTAGTTGAACAGCGATAGAGCAAGTACATCCGTAACGATAACAGACAGATTGAAGTAGAGTAAGTCGATATCACAGCCCGAGAAGCTTTCTCCAGTGGGTGGTGCCCCCTTGTCAAGAGGATTAATCCTGCATTTGGAGCAAAGACATGATTTCCGCCTTGACTCGAGAAGCTCCTTCGTCACTGGGTATTGGGCGATCAACGATCCGTTTCTCAACGGAGGCAATTCCCGTGGGTCAAGCCGAAACATCGTTCTTAGCATGTCACAGACGGACTGCCAATGCCTGCCTGGAAAGGGGTGGAGTCCAAGTTCGGGTGCCGGGGAGAAATGCAGGCAAGAGAGGCATTGGTGAAGGGCATAGGGGATGGCTTCATCAAAGGCTCTCTTCGCCAAGCCCGCGCCGAAACTCCTGCTGCTCAGCAGCCATTGCCCGTAAGCCTGAATGCTCGGCATTCCGCTTAAATGAGTGCCGCTGTCGCTAAAGTCAATAACAACAAGCTCTCTTGGCCCTTCTAATCCAGGGCCATGCTGAACCGATACCTCGCAAGAAGGCAAGACAGACGGGTCCTTCTGAGAGATGATGAGGGATACTAAAGACCCGGGCGAGTTGAGAAAAGTTTTGACATCTCTTCCATCATCTATGAAGATGCGAGGGGGTTTCCCCAGACACCATTCCGTGAAGGCCGCTATCCAGGCCATCCAGCTAGACGTCTTAATCGTCGCTCCGGTTGCGGACGCATCGCCCAGTCGCCCTATCTCACGAAACGCGTCCACCAGGCGTTCCACCCCATGCCCTGGGGGACACCAGATTCGGAAGTCTCCATGTTTGGGTCCTGGGTGTGAGTCATGTTCCGCCAACACAGCTTGCCACGCTAAGACGCTCTCCGTGAACCCGGATAACTGGCATCGCGGGGCCAGAGCCTCAAGAAGATCCTGGATCTGAGTGACGGTAGGGACTAGGTCCTTGTCCGCAGCTGTGTTCCGAACCATTCTCTGTAGTGCCGGTGCATATCTGTAGGGATCCGCCGAGGATAGTGATGCCGCCAGACCTAGGAATTGAACCCCAGGCTGTGATTTTCCCAGATGCGACGCGGAATCGTCTTTCGACCAACCCACCACGGCCTGAAGAAACGGAATCACGCCGGGGTTTGGAGTCGGGACAACTAGCTTTTCAATCAAGGTGCAAGCTCTCTCACTCATTGTCAAGGTAGTGCCAAACCTCTCGCAAGCCAAAACAGCAAGAGGCTGTACATTGTCGCTCGTCGCTGCGAACATGATTCCTCGGGCGACCTTGAGGCTCTGGTCGACCGTGGTGTCGAGACTCCATTGGACCTGAATAGTAGACATTGATAGATATACCGGCCCTCGATTTCAGAATCAAAATTTGAGTAGTATCAAGACGATGTTCTGGTAGGCAGAGTGCTCATTCGTTACCGGAGAAACTCGAGTCTCATTTTGAACGCGCAGAAGGGGAATGATTACGCTGGGCGGGCAAGTTGGGCACATTCGTTGGGCCGTATTCCAAACCTACTTCCTCGTCCTCGCAATGCCCAATCCGTGCCTGGCATACTTGATGCCAACAGTACGCTGAGCTGATGCAGTATCTACCTAGGTACACTGTCCACGAGCCCCACCACTAGGTACTTAGAGACCCGGATTTCATGGAGTTTGATTGGCCTAATTGAAGATTATCTGCTTTTAGTGTTAAACGAGGTACAAAATTGGGTATTTTTTGACAGTCCCCGAATGAAATTTACCAGTCCCGATCGGGTCTCTTTTGAAGACAGATGGGAACGCTGAACGTGACCTCTACTGTGCCGTATCGACTACTTGAATTCGTGGCCATTTACTACACAAGTCACTAACAGACAGTCACATCACATGGATAACCGATGAGTACATCTCAAGGTTCGCAGGAAATGTAAGTTTGTTGTATATGGTTGGTTAAAAGAGTGACTGGAAGCACCAAATGCAGAAAAGTCAGAGCTGATTTCCATTGTCAACGTTCTCCCCGCCCTTGTCGTGAGCCGCAGGCTGCCACGATGATATGCCGGGCTCGGTTGTTGTTGTTGTTCGGGGTTTCGCCCTTTAGAGGCCCTCGTCCTCGGGAGCCTTGCAGCAGGTCCAGCAGGGGCTGTCTCCGGTACCCTTCGATGAAAACTGTCAGTAGCCATCCCGAGCAGCTCAGTTGCAGACGCTGTGCGTCCGTCGATGAGGAAAGAGCTCGGACTTCTCTACGGAGGCGGTTGGAGGTTCTGCTCCATTGGGGTTCACATGGGAGACGCGTTGTCTCTCATTGGTGTCGCAATTGGCGAATAAGACGGGCCCGGATCACACCTGGAGGCTGCCCGACCGTGTCTCGGGCCATTAGTGATGATCTCGCGGTGGCGCTACACCCGGTTGAAGATCTCAGCTGGCTTGATTAGGTGTAAATTCATGGCATCGTTCACGGATCAGATAATAAAGCCAAGATATCCAACTGGCGAAACATCACAGACATTCACATACGTAAACACACCGACTCAAGAAAACTGCCAGGAACATTTTCATCCCAGGCTTGATCTGGTGTGTCATAGTCATTGATCAACGGGAAGCACAAACCCCTTCCCCCACACCACAGAGGCAGTTGCACAACGTTTCGTATCAGGTCGGAAGAGGATCTGATCCCGGGAATCAGCCTCTGGTCCTCCCACTCCCCCGCACTTTGCGGAAGGTGCCGTCACCGGTAGCACGACCGAGCCGTGCGTTTCGTAGCATAGCAGCGGGGATAGCTGGCGTGGCGCCGGCGTTAGTACTGATTCCCGGCTGAGACCTGCATATATCTGCCCTGGTATGGTATGGAGATGCGATGCATCGGGCTGGAGGTGCATGACATTGCATGATGTGGTACAGTGACCGTCCCGTCCAGGTTCGCGCGACAGAGGCTTTCGTCTCGATGGAGATCGAGGTTGTATTACGATAGATCTGCTTCAGAATGATCCTATTGATCTGCTGCCCCGAGCTCAGTTCAAAAGCAATGGCAAACTCGGAATGGCTCTTCCTGTTCTTCCAACCCACCCGGATCCTTCTCCTGATGTGCATGGGCTTGAACCGGTCTTTACATGCCGTAGCATTTCGCCTCTTATAAATCAACGCTAGAGAACACCAACATGGTCACCGCCTCTCACCCAACCAAAGCATCTGCACTGCATCTCAGTATTGCTTTTTCCGTACGATATTAGTTCCGATCTCGCCAACGCGGGAGCTGTTTATTGGCTCGCCAAGATGGCCTCCATCTCGCGCAGGAAGATATCGGCTATCAGACGCATTAGCATATTATTTTTGTCTCATGTCGGATGCGGGTTCCTCACCGTGATGCTGCTGCAAAATCAGCATCGGCCTGAGCCGGATGGCTGACTCGCCACTGACGCCAATGTTGATACCCCGCGCCTTGGTTGCCTTCATTATCTCATCTCTCTTGGGCGAGTCCCATGCAATGAATGTGCCGCGGCCCTTGCCACGTAGGTTCTTGATAGCGTCGGGATGCTTGGCAGCGAGCTTCTCCAAGCCACTGTAGATGTAGTCGCCGAGCTTGGCGGTGTGCTCCACCAGGCCCAGTCTCTCGATCTCGTTGTAGATGGCACGGAAAAGGATGGCCCTCACCGGGTCACCCATCCACGTGTTGAACTGGCGGTAAGCACGGTCGGGCCGGAGCGCAGGGTTCCCGAAGTAGAAGCCTGCGGCCTGAGCCTTCTTGGAGAAAGTGACCATGTCGGGAGGAGTAGTCAGGTTCCAGTGCTCATGCGCCCAGAACTTGCCGGTGGCTCCGACACCAGTCTGCACCTCGTCCACAATGAAGAGCACGTTCTTCTTCTTGGTCAGATCGCGAAGGCCTTGGAAGAACTGGTTGGAGGCGTGGTTGTCACCACCCTCGGACTGCACGGGCTCGACAACGACGGCTGCGACAGGCCTCTTCTTGGCCCACTCGTCAATGAGGCTCTCGACCTCATCGAGACACCGCTGCTCCTCGGCTTCGTTGGCTGCCTTGTTCTCCTCGAGAGGGTACTTGAGGGCGGGGAAGGGAGCAGCAGGCCAGTCAAAGGCCGGAACGTCCATCTTGTGAATGGCCTTGCTTCGCGTCGTCGACAGAGTGCCAAATAGGCGGCCGTGGAAGGCGCTGGTAAAGGACATGATCGAGTAGTTGGGCGAGCCTGGAGACTGGTTGCGCATGACCGACTCGACCTCGGCGTCGCTGAAGTCGCGCGAGCCTCGGTCTTGGGTTCCGCGCCAGATGCACGCCGCCTTGTACGCGGTCTCGTTGGCGTCGGAGCCAGCCATGGCGGTGAACACCTGGTTCAGGCCCTTGGGCGCTGCCTTGAGGATGCCGCCCTCGAGCTCCTGTCCCCATTCCGTAGAAGGGAACATACCCAGGGCTGGCCTGCTGGTGATGGCACGGATGGCTTCCGGCGTGGAAACAGCCTTTGCTAGCTCCGGGTTGTTGTATCCCAGTGGGATAGACGCAATCTGAGCGAACATGTCAAGGAAGACATTGCCGTCGGCGTCCACAAGGCTTTAGCGATAGAGGAGCGGTGAGCAGGCCATTTCACAGGTCCGGAAGATTGGTGGGTGGAGTGAAGCACTTACTAGTTGCCAATCGACTTCTCGTAGTCGACGAGAGTGCTGGCGCTCCGCGTGTCAAACACACGCTCCAGGTCCTTGAGACCAGCGGTGACAGCAGGACCGGGGAGCTGGGTCTTGACGGAAGGGCCGGCAGGCTCGCCAGCCACGTACGAATCAGCACGATGCTGGACAGACGCAGAGAAGGCACGGGCCGAGGCGCTCGCGATCTTGAGCTGCGGCGTCGCCCTTCGAAGGGCAGACGCCATCGTCGTCCCCGCGGTCCGGTAGCGGAGGGCCATGGTGCTGACGGTGATCGAGATACCAAGGAAACGTGTTGCCCCAACGACACAATGACCACGAAAGAAGGTTAATCCAGGACCTTGAGACGTAGACACAGGATGAAGGACAACAATTGAATGACAATCTAGTGAGTGTCCTTCGGTGTGGGATTTATATATGTTGTGAGCGTGTTGAGCGTGTCGTCGAGCGAAGACGGATGCTGGGGCAAACACTATCGTCATTGGAGGAGGGGAAGCTGTGGAGCAGGGTTGGCCAGGAATGAGTGATAGCTCACCGTACCAGCCAGTAGGCGCGGTGACTGGCGGGGTGCTCTAGCCCGCATCTGGCATGTCCAGCCGGTCTGGCCTGGTCCACAGCGGTCGACAGTGGCTCCTCCGGCGCGATAACAGTGGCATTTGGGTGGGAAACAGCACACTGGCCCCAGTGCCAGTATCCCTTATCTCGGTGCGCTCTGGAACCGGGGACGCCTGCCCCGTTCAGCCAGTTGGCGCATCGACTTTCCTCGTTGGTGCTGGTAAGACTCGACTCCCGTTTCGCTGTCTCCATCGTCTCCTCCGAGGTTCGGGAAGACCTTCGATTGTGACAAAGACTCTTATCTACCCCAGACGAGATACAAGCAGGTATTTAAACCCAGTGTGCCTGGTTCTCAACAGGCTAGACCCAAGCTCTGGCTACTGTCACGTATCGAAAACCTTGTGGAATTGAACATCACCAGTGTATTTTAAATCAGCGCAAGCATGAGCGATCTGAGCGTGAACCTCACAGCGCCCAACGGCCGGACCTACACACAGCCTTTGGGTCTGTTCATCAACAATGAGTTCGTCAAGTCGTCGAGCGGACAGACCATTACCTCGATCGATCCCGCGTATGTGAACCTGAAATAACCATGTAAGAACTCACGATTGACTTATTCCTCTACGTATAGTACAGAGAAGGAAATCGCTTCCGTGCAGGCTGCGAACGCCCACGATGTTGATAAGGCTGTTCAAGCAGCCTACGCAGCTCTCAAGAACCCCTCATGGAAGAAGATGGCGAGCTCGGATCGCGGCATCCTCATGAACCGCTTGGCAGACCTGATAGAAGCCAACAAGGAGATCTTTGCTACTATCGATGCTTGGGATAACGGTTTGTCTTATTCGTGCATGGAGCCATATGCCAGCCTCAGCTGACCATTCGATCCAGGCAAGTCCTACTCCGAGGCGCTAAACACCGATCTGGTCGAGGCTGTTGGCACCATCCGCTACTACGCGGGCTGGTGCGACAAGATCTTTGGGCAGACAATCCCTCTGCCCAACAAGCTCGCCTACACTCTGCGCCAACCCATCGGAGTCGTCGGTCAGATCATTCCCTGGAACTACCCGCTCTCCATGGCGTCTTGGAAGCTTGGGCCCGCACTAGCATGTGGAAACACAGTCGTGCTCAAGGCCGCTGAGCAGACGCCGCTGAGCATTCTTGTGCTCGGAACTCTCATCAAAGAGGCTGGCTTCCCTCCCGGAGTTGTCAACTTCATCAATGGTTACGGCAAGGACGCCGGAGCGGCCTTGGTCCAGCATCCGCTTGTTGACAAGGTTGCATTCACTGGCTCCACTGCTACAGCGGCTAACATCATGAAAATGGCTGCTGCTACGCTCAAGAATATCACTCTAGAGACTGGTGGCAAGTCACCATTGCTAGTGTTTGACGATGCCGACCTAGAGCAGGCAGTTAAGTGGTCGCACCTGGGCATCATGTCCAACCAAGGGCAAATCTGCACCGCCACCTCCCGTATCATGGTGCACAAGAACATCTACAACAAGTTCATCGAGCGGTTCGTCCAAGAAGTCAAGAATACAAGCAAGGTTGGGCTCCAGTGGGACGAATCCACTTACCAGGGGCCACAAGTCACCAAGCAGCAATACGACCGCGTCCTCTCCTACATCGAGTCGGGCCGCGCTTCCGGTGCTACCGTCGCCACGGGTGGGCATGCCATCACCAACATTGGCGACGGCAAGGGATACTTCGTCGCTCCTACCGTCTTCACCAATGTCAAGGATGACATGTCTATCTGGCGAGAGGAGATCTTTGGCCCTGTCGTGGTCGTGAGCGAGTTCGGCGATGAGGAGGAGGCGATCCAGCGGGCCAACAACACGACATACGGCCTCGGCGCCGCCGTGTTTACGACCGACCTGGAGAAGGCGCACCGAGTCGCGAGTGAGATCGAGGCCGGTATGGTCTGGATCAACAGCAGTCAGGACTGCGACCCACGCGTTCCCTTCGGAGGCGTCAAGCAGAGCGGTATTGGCCGAGAACTGGGCGAGGCTGGGTTGGAGGCATATTCGCAGATCAAGGCTGTCCATCTTAATATGGGCAACCGCTTGTAGGCATAGATAATAAAGAAGCATGAACTAGACCCAAAAGAGCAACCTGCGAGATAGACTCTTACCTTGGGGGTGGCTATGGGAACACATGTCTTTCGCAATGGGTCCGCAATGTCTCCAACAAGTTTCAGGCAGTTGGAAACGATCCGGTCAAGGCGCCCTGTCAATAGCGGCAAGGCCTCTGGGAATGAGAAGACAAGCTCTCTGGTTCACCTTTGACAAAAGGCGCTAGATACCTAAGGACTGAATTCTGGGAAAGAAAAGGCAATGTTATCAAGATATGAGTGACCGCTATGATACATTTTCAATCTCGTTTTGTTGTGAGTTTGATAATTGGCTCTGGGTTGGACTAGTTTACAAGTGGCTGGAGGAGTGAGTTGCTCATTCATATGATGGTCCGGGAACCACACAGAATCCCTCCAAAACAGCAAGTTACATTGTGATATGTATAGATCACTTGGCTTGCTCTTGATCCGTTCGGCAAACTTGATATCATCAGCTGCCAGTACAAGCGATTCCGCCCTGTTTTCCTAACCCTATTTTCTTGGAGTCACCCCCCTACGATACCAAGCTACAGTGTATCATGGGTCTCACCTGCAAAGGTTTACTCTTTGATTCATTAGGTCACTAACCATGTGAGCGAGCTACTCAAGGCCTCTTCCCCCGATGCAGGGTGTATACCGTGCCTTTGCTTCGCAACTGTCCATTATACATGGGTTTTGTCGAATTACATCACCAATGAAGCCGACCACTGTTTCCCTTCGAAGATAGATGGGTTGGTATGACGCACCCCGACTACCAGAGAATGCCACTGATCAAGGAACAAGATCTGCAGCCACCTGAATATGATTATTAACCATGCGTGAGACTACCCATGAGGCTAATTAGTTGTGCGACCCACAAGGGCTCACATCATGGCCACCCCACACCGCGAGAAGTGGCTTCGAGACCGGACCTGGAAGATGCAAAAGTGGCTGGGCTGGCAACACCCTTCCGTGTCGCTCTCGATTATCTACGGAATCATGTCGGTATCACGTAGGTTGCGTTCTACGGAGAAATGCCGGAATGTGCAGGTCATACTGTCACACGCCTCGCCCCGACTCCAGTGAATGGCCTCGACTCAGAGACAGGTGGCACACGTGGAAGAATTTAACAGCCCCCAACATGTGCTTTAAAGATCTCGTTACCCCAGGGCCCATCTCTATTGGGCATAGCACTCTACTGTCGTGGCCTAGAGGGTTCCGCCGGTGGTCTCCAAGTGCTGTTTTTGGCTTGTTTCGCCAAAAGCTGGACCCTAGGCACCACCTGAATCGTGGAGAGATCTGTGCTCCGCGGAGATGTCAAACCCACACAAATCTCAACTGTGTGGTATGACGGTTAGAAATCCACCTGTAAGCCATCTCAGCATGTGCAAAAAAGTTCATGATCACGACCGAGCTCGGCGCTTTGCACTGCATATAAGCATGCGGTCCCTTGCACTGGGCGGGTGGTCCAGTAGGGAGACCTTCACATCATCGTTCCAAACTTGAGGCGACAGACTATCATGGAAGCTTCCAAAATTATGAAACTTTTGCGAATACCCTTACGAGCATGCTGTCCCGCCACTTTGGCAGCTGAGAAGCGAGTAGCTAGTAACAGCCACACAGCCTTTCTATCAACTCGCGCAGCAGCTCCAGCATCATACCCTAGAAGATGTGCTGCACGTCTATCTAGACAGTACTTCTCTTCTACTTCTACACCTCAGACTGGTCAAGAGCGCTTCAAAAATGCACAGCTGAGTTCGATACTGGCCGTCTCTGCAGGTGTAGCAACAGCTGTCATCTACGCCACGTGGTCTCAAGAGCCAATGAGAGCAGACTGCGAGTGCTGTGGCCACGAGGAGGGATTGCTAGAAGAGTCAGAGCTCAAGGAAAAGAAGGCACGCTTACTTCATCCCAAACTCTCACAGACATGATGCTAACACTAGACAGCCATATATTTCTTTCACGCCTTCGACCCCTGTCCCTGGTTCAGCAGAGCCACCCAATCTGGAAGTCTACGAGTTGCTCGAAGAGGCGGTGCCGGACATATCGAAACTCCCCGTGGAGAAGGCCGTTCTTACCACTGCGCCATACGTGCCCCCGACTATCACCCGCGACTACCCTGTGCTCCTCAAGGTCGGCCTGACCACCGGACCCAAGCTCGCGCAGCTGACAAGCCAGTACAAGTACGAGCAGTGGACTTTCAACAACACGGTGCCCGGCCCCTTCATCCGCGCCCGCGTCGGCGACGTGGTCGAAGTGACTCTGACGAACCGCGACGCCGCAGGCAACCCGCACAACGTCGACTGCCACGCCTTCACCGGCCCGGGTGGCGGTGCCGCCGTAACCACGGCCGAGGAGGGCGAAGCCAAGACGGCCAAGTTCCGGCTGCTGTATCCGGGTCTGTATGTCTACCACTGCGCCGCGGCCCCGGTGCCGGTCCACATCTCGAACGGTATGTACGGCCTCATGTATGTGCAGCCCGCCGAGGGAGACCTGCCGCCGGTCGACCGCGAGTACTACGTCATGCAGAGCGAGTTCTACCACGAGCCTCCCGAGACGCTTGAAGATGGTCGTCGGTCCGACATCGTCGAGTTTTCCTATCCGAATGGCCTGCGAGAGGAGCCCAATGTGGTGGTGTTCAACGGCAGCGAGTCTGCGCTGACAAGAGACCACCCACTCAAAGCGACTGTTGGGGAGAGCGTACGCATCTTCTTTGGTAACGCCGGACCCAACTTGCGGAGCTCGTTCCATATGATCGGTACCGTCTTCAAGAATGTCTACCGCGATGGCGATGTCGTCAGCCCGCCTGGTCACTTCATTCAGACCGTCAGCGTACCTCCAGCCGGATCTACTATTGTGGACATGAAGATGAGCGTCCCTGGAACCTACACCATGGTGGATCATGCAATGTTCCGACTCGACAAGGGCGCTGTGGGGTTCTTGAATGTGTCGGGAGACCCGAGGCCAGATGTGTACCAAAGCTCACAGCCACCAGCTCCTTGTACCGGGTGCAAGCTGCATTCTTGATTTGTTCATCATTTCAATCTGATACGAAGTCATGATATCATTCTCATTATTGCGCAGCAGGACTAGGGCTAGCGAACATCCAGTGCATAAAAGAGTTTTTCTGGTCCTTCCATGAGCAAGGAAGTATTGCCAGGATGAACATCTTCCACATGGCAAAGACAGTCGATCCCATATACTTTGAGTTACTCGTGCTTTTTTTGGGACTCTTGCTTTGACGGGGGCTCCAGACCGTCTAAAGTCCCTTCTACCTGTAGTTCAAACAAGAGCAAAAGTCCTCACGCAACAAAGTCTCGTGTAAGATGGTGTATTGTGTCAAGCATGGGGAGACAGGTCGTCAAAGGCGGGTTCAGTCATTTGTATGCGACATAGCTGGCTAAGCTTTGTTGACCTCTAACGATCTTTCGTTTAAATTTCGGTGACAACGCAAACAGTCGTGGTGAACGTGCTCGTCTCGGTGGCGGTTGTGATCTCAGTGCTATTCATAATATCAAGTCAGTAAGATATCCCCGATACAAAAAGTTTTCGCTATCAAAGAATCAAGGAATGAAAAGCAAGCTTAAGCTCTTCACACTCACACCGTGATGGTATCCACAGCAGTAGTTCTGGCAAGAATATGGTCAGCAGGGATCATTATTCGATATGTTTCAAGAACTCACGAGGCAGTCGAAGTCGAAGTTGTGGGAGTGACATAGACTGTAGGCGCCTCAAGCGTCTCGGTGACGGGCGTCAAAGCGGCCGCAGCACTAGCAATGAAGCAAGAGCACACGCTGCTAACGGATTTCGTTGATGGATTGAGGTTGGCGATGCAGGCCAGAGAGGTACGTGCCACATCACGCTTGTAAACTGTGCTCGTCGTTGGGCATTGATTCTGCTCACTTGGAGGGGCTACAATCGTGATGGTGGTTCTTCTCTTGAGCTTCGCAGTAAAAGTCTGAGTCGTGATAGACGGAGGCGCCGTAGTTGTCGCCACGCTAGTGGTGGTCGTCGTTGATTCAGAAGTGGAGGTCGAGGTCGAGCTCAAGGTCTTTATGGTCGTAGCTTGCGCCGTAACAGTGCTGCAGTTCTTGTTAGCCGCGGTCAGGCAGAACTGAGGAGAGAGAAGCATACACGGTGGGAGTGACAGACACCACGGTTGTGCTAGCTGTGGGCGAAGCAAAGCCGGCCCTCGACTTGCAGAACGGGAAGGCCAAAGTCGGAGTAGCGATGAAGCAACGGAGCAGGTTGTTATGGGCACATTCGCGCTTCTCCAGGCTCAAGCTCCCATCACGGTTGGGCAGAGCACTACTGAGGGCGCCCCCAAGAAGGCAAGACGATACCAGCACAGTAACCTTCATGGTCACCGAGGAACGAAGATCGAGCTGCTAATTATGCAATGGAGATACAGTCGAAAGTTCTATTGTGAAGGAAAGTGTGGAGTATGTGGGATGTCTGTATTCTTATGAGAAAATAAAAACCATCCTCTCCTCTCTTTTAAGCCAACCCATGGCGGACATCATTCATATTCTTAGCGTTCAAGACTACTGCCGTAAGCTGAGCAGCTCGCCTCATTTCGTCCCGTTGAAGACCCAACGCCTTGGGCTGACAGTGTCGAGACCAATCAGATTGTGAAGATAACAGCCATCCGCAAAAGCCCTACAACAAATTCAGGTCTTGTCTAGCTCGAATTGGCTTTCACGGTCTAGGCTGGTGATAGTCTGAGGTAGGCGCCGCTCCAGCTCCCAGACTATTGGCGTGAGAACAGGGGTTCGATCAACGGACGGGGCGTAGCGCAACTGTAGCGCCGGAATGTCGCCGCATTTGGATTCCACTTTGTGCCCTGAAAACGCGGAGGCTCGACTTTCATGGGCTTTTTGATGGTGTTGATGAAGGAAGCCACGTGAAACGATCTCATGTCGCTGCATCCCGTCTTCGCGGGCTTCCATAAGTTCGGGGTTATTTTTCGCCTCACATCTTTCTACAGCATCCAGGACACCCAAGTTATGATTCGTTATACTATATATAATGTGTGACGCCAGGTAAATGGGTAGGATAGGACTTCAACTCCCATTTCACATACGCTGAGATCGGTTAAAACGAAGCCTTATCAAGTTTGCTGTTGCCCGTTACTATGCATGGCATGTTTAAGACTGTATATCCGACAAACCTTGCCGACAACAGCAATTGTCCCAGGTCGTCGGCACTACCTTTCAGTGCAAAACACTTCGAACATCATCTGTTCCAATGGGAATAATAAATTCAAAATCTCCTTCATATTGCCATATGAGGTCTAAATTCGCAACATGATACACCCGGTAATTACTCTTGGATGACAGCCCCAAGCTCAGCCCAAAGGGCGCAGCGCTTGCCCCGACCATCTTCCCAGGCATTCCCGTCGACCACACTGAACCTTGCTTTCCCTGGGCTAGACTCTGTACTGTTCAAGTTTAGCATTGGATGGCCAAGTCCGTCTCCTCCCGTATACATGCCAACAGTCCCCCAGGGCAGCCAACTTGAAGGCCCAATCGCCGCTGTCTCGTCCCCACCAGCACCATCAGTGTCATTCGGGCAAACATTCGGGGCCCCCTTGACGATGAAGTTGCCATACATCTTCTGGAAATCCAGCTTGAAGGCCCTGTCTTGCTTTGCCCCCCGGGCCGTCTGGGTCAGTAACCAGGGGTGGCCTATCCGCGCCGTGGATAGCGTCCGGCGTTGAGTACTGGTAGCGCCACGACTTCTTCCCGGCTGCGTTGGGATTGATCGTGTCCGCATACGCTGCGGCAAGCCAATAAGAGGTGCAGACAAAGGTAGTCTCGGCGTAAAGATTTCGAGCGGCTTGCATCCAGCCCGCTGCCAGATGAGAGACTGCGGTAGCATAGGGCGGCGCGAGGCCGTTTGAATCGAATTTTAGGCTTTCTGCTGTGATAGTTTCCGGAATCTTGTACAGTTCCATGATCGCCGATATATTCTCGGCAGAAAGCAGTGGGTAATCAAGCCTGATCATGGCCTTGAAGTCTGCCTCGGTTTTGATATCCTGAATGACGAAGTTTCGGGCTTCATTCGCGTTGTTCCCCGTAAGCATGCTCTCCCCATTGACCTTGCCATGGAGAAGCTGCTGGGTCGGCCGCTCCCGAATGAGGGTGCCGTCAGTCACAGGGATGAATGCCCACTGGCCTAGCTTCGATGCCACGCTTGTTCTGGCGCTCGCCTCCTGTAATTTGAACGAGTCGACGCTTCGAAGACACTCAAAGACTGAAGAGTTCTGAGTCACGCTCGCGTCCAAGCACCCTGCCCGTGCGGCTAGACTGTAATAAGACTGGGAGGGCTGCATGTCGTCGTACTTCCTACAATCGAGTGAGTCGGTCATAGTTACATAGCTGATCAACCTTGGAAAGTCTTACCATTGAGTTGGCAGGTAAGAGCTGCTGGTCAGAACTCGTTTGAATAGTCTCGTCCCTTCAGTTCCACCGTTGGCCATCGCCATGAGCATAGCAGCTCCTCCCCCGGCAGACTGGCCTGCTAAGGTAACCTGGTCCGGATCGCCTCCAAACTGATGGATGTACTTTTGCACCCACTCCAAGGCAAATCTCACGTCATGGAGTCCTGCATTGGGTACGCCGAAGCGCGCAATCTCGGCGGAAGAGGCGAAGCCAAAGGCACCGAGGCGATATTGAATCTGCACCCACATGAACCCATTACCGGCGGTGCGTGAGACCCATGAGGAATCAAAGCTCTTCGCTTGACCTGTCCCATAACCGCCACCGTCTAGAATATAGGCGTCAGCAGCTAGGGGCACTGTGCGCTGTGCTATTTTCTCGATACTCACGAATCCAGACCATCACAGGGAGTTTGGTCTTATTGGCTGGCTTGAACACGTTAAGGAATAGGCAATCTTCTTGGCCCTTGGCAGTGAAGTTGAAGCTGTCCGGCCTGTTGACGTGATTAGTGCGCGCAATGGGCCATATGTATTCACGAAGAGTGGACATACGACGGGCTTGCAAGCGGTGACTGCGGACAAGAAGGAGGCTCCTCCGTAGCTTGAATCACGGAGTCATCTTCTCTCTCCGGAGCTTCTGGCAGCTGCCATCTCTTTGGGGGTGCCGCGAAGCGAACACTATTTTGAAAGTGAGTCGGTGCGACGTCGGAAAACAATTGAGTCTTGGTAGGATATACCCCTTGTATACTTGTAGATCAAAGGTGTCATTGTAGAAGCCTTGGTATTTGGCGTATCCGAGGTCGATCACTGGTGCAGAGGCTGCTGACGAGGCTCGTCTGATCAGCGCAATGCATAGAGTGACTGAGACCAGGTTCCAATGTCCCTTGAACAGAACCATGGTCACTTATAGACAATCGACAACGCCAGTTACAGTCACCTGAAATATACAAACCTATACTGATTTATTCTGTAAAAGACTGTTCCGGCTTAGATGTTTGAAAGAACCAGTTGTACGGCGTCATGGGATTTAACATTGCTGCGACTGCTTGGAAGAGAGGACGCAGCTCGGAAATGTTGCGGAAAACGAGCGGAAACTGGTCCAATTGACGGGTTTCCCCTCAACTTGGCGGTCTGTTGTTCCCCGCCTTGTAAGTCTCTCCAATACGGGGAATAGGGAGATGGGGCATTAGGTCAAGCTGTGCCGCAAGCCTTTACTTGTCGAGACAATGCGCGGCTGTATAAGGATGCTCCTTTACAAAATCTCGCGTATTGGAAATGACATACATGTAGAGCTCTATAAATTGCAATATCTCCCTCGCCGCATGGTAAATGTTACACAGATTTATTTAGGTAGTGGGATAACCCTCTGTGATGTGAATTGGGAACCTGGTTGAGGGCGAATGTCGATCCCCATCTGATGTGGTCGCCCTTGATCAGTACTAGCAGAACTGCCGGCTATATCACAACGACGAATCAGCCGATATCAAGGCAGACGGTGGGCGGAAGCCCAGATTATCTACAGCAACTTGGGAAAAAATAAATGAGAGTAACGAGTAGGTTGAATTCAGGACAGGTCAGTCATTCTATGAAATCTGAACTTGGCTCCACGGCAACACCCACCGTCAAAGATCACGACAAGATAGACGCTAGAGGAAGAGGTTCGTTGCAGTAAGTCAGAAATGGGGGCAAGTGGCTAATTGTAATTATCTCAGCGCAACATTGAGCTATGTAAGGAGTACAAGGCGATTGCGTACTCCCCGACAGAGAACAAGGGAGCCATTTCCGCCTCTCATCTGTGTCACCCAGACAGCTGGTTCTGGGCTCCCGCCACATTTCCAGGGTGCCAGACACCCATGGACTACGCCGACTCACACGCTGTTGTTATGAAGAGCGTCAGCGATCTCCATATTATCCGCTTCGATCATGGGCCAAAGACGGACATGTGCTGCTGCGGTATTCAGCTGAGGGGAGCCATTGCGGTGAGCCGTACAAGGGCACCACTAGGACGGGGAAACACGCGAAATGGTGCACAGCGGCGATATTCGAGGTTGAGGATGAAAAGATCAGAAATTTTACAAAGAACTGAGATTAGAAGACAATGTAGGGAAGTCATTCAAAGAGGCAGATCAAGGTGACTTTGGCACTGACATGCCAAACAGATACAGTTGGGGTTGAAGAATGTGATCCTGCGGTGTCCCTTCTAAGTAAGTTTAGATGAAGTCCTGTCAACACAGCCAGAAGTCAGCTGCTTTGGTGCAGTTGGATGAAGCAGGATGTTGATGAATATGCTTCCAAAGAGTAGTCTACCTGCTCACCTCCTGGATTCAAAGTTTATAATCCCTCTTTTTTGCCTATTTCAAATTCTCGCTTTACCGATCGCCAGGGTGACCAGAGCTTTGACTCTACTAATTCACTCCTGTGTTGTAGATGATGCTAGTTTCTAGACTGCTTCCAATCTGGCTCTTTGAGCAGTACCGAATAAACCCATCCTTCCCCAACTACAGATCCATTCAATACTTAGAAATGAACAATGGGAGGCGGACAAACTAACATTAAAACCTAACCTGCACCCTTAAGATCGGGTGTTGGGTTTCGCAGTCCCAATGGGTCGCATAAGAGATCGCATGATTCCCTGCGGTAAGAATGCAACCGCCTCTATGCGCGGTGATAATATTGTGGATGCCGAAAGTAATGCCGTGTGGTGGAACACTCTAATACCTCTAACTGTCACACTTGAAATCAAAGCAGAGAATCATCGCACCGATAGGACGCCTTAAAATCCATCTCGGCATTGATCATTACTTATTGGCCCAAATGAAGGTTGCAGGCGCACCGTATTCTCTTGCTGACAGCACAATCCTGCCTGGTGACTATTTGCAACGCCAGGCTCTCAGACCCGCGAGACCGAGGGCTTTCAAACTCATGTTTATCCATGTCGGTATAAGAGGTGCTTGCCACAGGCTCCGATTGAGGCCTCTCTTCTCTCCTCTCCTCCTATACGAGAGAGAAGAACTACTGTATAGAAGTCTAATACTGCACCAAGTCATTTATGAGCAAGCTCTATCGGGCATGCGATGCCATTCGCATTCGAACTATTCCACCCATGCCATGATATGTCTAGATGATATACCGAAAGCTGACATGGAGATCCTGGACGTCCTCCAGGCTCTTACTCTCGTGTGGGTGGGCTTCACCCCGCGCCATGTACGCGCCCACCTCGGCCTCGCGGCGGACATTCTCCTTACGCATCCACCACATGAGCACCACGCAATCGATAACGCCAAACGCCAGCAGGCCCAGCAGCACGCCGTGGCCCTTGAAGTAACGCGGCGGCGTGTTGTAGATCTTGGTGGCCATGATGGATAGGCATTGGCCGGTGATCTCGGCCATGGCCCACGTCGTGGCCCGCTTGGTGAACCCTGCAATGTTGGATCCGCACCAAGCGGCCAACAGAGTGACCGAGGGGTAGACCCCGGAAGCGACGAGACACAGGGCCGCCATCTTACCAGCTGTTGGCGCCTCGGTCATGATGACAATGAGGCCGATTGTGGCAGTGGATAGACAGCATACTAACGGAATGCCTTTCTTGTTGAAGCGATCCGAGAGGTGGTTGGCGACGAGAATGGATACGAAGGCCACGGCGTAGGGGATGACGCTGAAGAGCTGGGCATTGACTATTCAGAGAGTGTTAGTCATTCACTGCATCTTGCCGCATTTCATCGTGCCTGAACCCAGGTAGAATGCTTGCTTGCCTTTCGAATAGCCTAGCTCGCGTACAAAGGTAGGCAAGAAGACCCCGATGGTTGCAATGCCCGAAGCTACCCCTCCGTTTACCAAAGCAAAGCCCCACGATAGAGGACTTGTGAGGGCAATGAGGATCTGGCGCACCTCCACCTTGGCTCCCATCGTATTAAAGGAGGAGGTCCTCTCGCACGCGACATCTATCTCCTCCTTGGTGAAGAACCAGTGCTTGCCGCCCCTTTCCTGTAGCTTGTCGGGGAACTGGGGAAGCATGGTATAAAACAGTATCCCGACAAAGACGCCAATGCAACCCTCAATGATGAAGAGCCACCGCCAGGGTTCAAGGCCTGACACGGCAAGGCTCAGCTTGGCGTTCTTCTCGATACCGTAAGCGATGAAGCCGCCGAAGGCACCCGAGATAGTGGCGGCCGAGTAGATAATCGCTAGTCCCGCCCGTTATTTACTGTTATATTGCACAGGGTATGAGCGGATACATGAGATGAAGCGAGGTCGCCTACCTGCGATGCCAGCTATTTCATCCCGCCGAAACCACAGAGATAAATAGACTGTCATGCCCTGGATGAAAGACTGGGCGAAGCCGACGAGGATACGCAGACCAAGCATGGCCCCGTAGTTTCGCGCGGCCGCCATGCACGCTACCGAAAGACCAAATATAGTACATGAAGTGCCAACGATGTAGTGCGGAGAGAATTTGCGCTGTATGATGTTTGCTGGGAGCATGCATATAACATATCCGACATCTAGATCAGAACAAAGGGGTCAGCTCATCTCTGGTATAAGTGACAGGAGTGATCAGGGTAGCGTACAGAACATGGAGAGGACATTGGAATAGTCGTGGGCTCCAATATGTAGGTCCTTTGCCATACCCATGACGGAGGCATTTCCAATGCTGTGGCGGTCCTGGAGGTTGTTTTAGAGGCTAGACCCAGAGACTCGGCCAGTGAGGGATGAATGCGCACCAAGTAAGCGGCGAAATACATGAGTGCCATCAAAGTGGCCAATAGTAAACGAGCTTTAATCAGCAACCTCTTTTCAACAGGAGACATATCCACAACGCCGGTTGCGTAGTCTCCCCGGAAAGCCTTGCCTGGGGTTTTCTCAGGCTCCGAGCGAGTCTCGAGAGCCTGAACTTGCTCGATATCGGAGTTTCCCATCTTGAGGTCTTGTCTCGGTTATTGTACGGAAAGAAAGTTGTAAAATTGTCGAAAAAGAAATGGACTGATTATAGAATGTAACCATAATATATATGTTTCGTTCGAGATCCTACCAGCTCCCGAAGATCACAAAGATCAAGGTTGCTGAGCTGGGGAAATCTGGGGTCCCCGCAGTTTCCCCTATCATGAGTTTATCTTGCCGTGTTTCACCGATGTCATTGCAGAGTGTGGGCCAACGTGTTGGCCGACTCCTGCCGATCGCCTTTGACGCCCAGCTTTCCAGGTATTCACGGTTTGCCCAGCCGCTTTTATTGTTGGAATAGACACTTTTACGAAGCTAGGAGCGGTGGCAACACGAAACACCTACTTGCCTAAACAGCTACCCACAAGTGTGTTCCGCACATCCCCGAATCGGTCCCGAACTGTCTCCAGATTAACCTAGCAATCAGCAATACAAATTCATGTTTCTAGACATCGCCTATAAAACACGAAAAGACGCTGTGCTATTTTCTCAACTCATGCAGCTGAAAAGAATCAGATAATAACGCTCGTTCATGCGGTCTCTACTCAACCCTTCACCCCATTGGAAATGAGTCAGCCAGCAGTTCTCGCCCAGCCCGGACCGACCGCCGAGCTTTGCCGCTGGATCTCGACAGTTCAGCTTGGCGACATCCCACCCGAGCTCCTGACGCGCGCGAAATACCTGATTCTCGACGGAATCGCCTGTGCCCTCGTCGGTGCTCACCTGCCATGGTCCGAGAAAGCTGCCGCCGCCCTCCTCGATCTCGAGTACAGCGGGCCGGGCGCTGCCGCGACGCTCTTCGGCTGGGACCGCAAGGTTACACCACTGACCGCCGCACTGCTCAACGGCACATTCATCCAGGGCTTTGAGCTCGACGACTGGCATCGCGATGCGCCACTTCACTCCAATTCGATCCTGCTGCCCGCTCTTCTCGCGGCAGCAGAGCATATGGGCACTCCGCCGCCGCCTGATCACTACAAAGGCGACGGGCGAGCGGCACCACGCCACTTCTCAGGGGCTGACTTGCTGCTTGCCTATGTCGTAGGCTGCGAGGTCGGCCCTCGCGTCGGTCTAGGTCTGCGAGGCGCAGACGTGCTCTCGCACGGCTGGCATTCTGGCGCCGTTTTCGGGCCATCAGCCGCCGCCGCCGCCGTGAGCAAACTGCTAGGCCTGTCGGCCGAGGCCGTGGAAGATGCGCTGGGGATAGCCTGCACTCAGGCGGGCGGGCTCATGTCGGCACAGTTTGAGAGCGAGGTCAAGCGGATGCAGCACGGCTTCGCCGCGCGCAACGGGCTTCTCGGTGCGACGCTGGCACGGGGCGGTTATGTCGGCATCAAGAAAGTGTACGAGCGCAAGTACGGCGGCTTCTTGACCATGTTCAGCTCGGGTAATGGGAAGGAGCCGCAGTACAAGCCCGAAGAAGTGTGCAAGGACCTGGGGAAAAAGTGGCAGATCGAAGGCGTGCTGGTCAAGCCCTACGCTGCCATGGCGGGAACTCACTGCACCGTTGATTGCCTGGCTGCTCTTCGCGCCGCGCATCCGGAGCGAACGCGACAGTTCGATAACATAAAGAGCATCCGAATTGAGATGAGCGAGGCCGCTTTCCATCATGGAGGCTGGAAGCCAGAGCGACCGCTCACCGCGACCGGCGCGCAGATGTGCAATGCTTATGTTGGGGCTACGTATCTGGTGGACGAGCAGGTTACGCCGGCGCAGTTCAGAACCGACAAACTTGACCGTGATCAAGTCTGGCAGCTCGTGGATGCGACTACCTGCGAGGAGAACAAGAGCTATGCATCGACTGGATTGGGCAAGACCTCCCAGAGGGTGACTATATCCTTCAAAGATGGTTCTCCTTCTATATCGCATGAAGAACTAGCTCCGAAGGGCGTACTGCCACCTTTAACTAACCAAGAGATTTTATACAAGTGGAGGCTGGTAACACAGAGTGTGATCGAGGACAAGAAGAGAGATAGCATCGAGCATGCCATCTTAAAGTTACAGGAGTGTACAGATATATCTGTCCTGGGCACATTAATGGCGGGAATGACAAAGAATCCTATAGCCTGAGCACTGATCGGTATTTCATTATTGAATGTCTGTTAGTACCAAGCTCACGAGATAACTATGTGACAATGAACTGCCAACGCCTTGATAATGACTCATGACTTCAGCGCCCACGAAAGCCATTGATATTGTAATCAATCCTTCCCTAACATCCACAGTCCTGCCGACTCGGCACCGGCTTGGTGGAATGCTTCTCCTTGTCAGATCATGTGTTGATTGTGGGTGCACTGGATATGGTGGTCTTCTCGCCGAATTTGGCCGGACTGGGGCAGTTTAATTAGTTGATCAATCTGAGCAGGAAGGATTTTGATCACTGCACATTTATTAGTCACGTTTGATCAGGTGTGGTCTTGATTTATCTTGAGAGGGTATATAGTGCATACATGGTTAACCTTATCGAGTTCGAAGATTCCTTCATCAAGGGGACGAATTAGTGATGACGAAGACTGTTTCCCCGACGTCCATGTCGGATATGATATACACATAGTTTGCTCTGGAGTATCCGACTAGTTCTGTATGGCTAGTGCATGCCCAAGTAAAGTGTGCGCCGGCGTCATCCCAGAAGTCGGAGCAATACTGGGCTGAGCTGGCTTCACACATGTCCTGTGAGGCCCGCAGAGTGGCCGTGCTGCACAAAAAAGAACGACTCTGTTTATATTAAAATAAATCAACAGATCCCCGTAGCGTGCGGATTGTTGGTTTCTAATGCTGTCCAATTTTGATCAACAACGTCTGTAGTCCAGCCTCATAAATGATAGCTCTTCGGAGAGTAGGCTGGCTTTCTTGCGTCTGGCTGAGGCGTAAAGGCGAGTCGCAAAGCGGGTATCGCGGAGTTTGGGGGTGTCCGGGGTCGTACACTGTATTACCCGTGGCGTTTTCATTATCTTGTGAAACGTATTCATGGGCTTAATAAAAAGCCTCACTGGACTCCTCTCTGTGATCGTCCCATCATGAACTTGCTCATATCAACTGTGTTGCAACGTCCCCCCTTCTATTCAAGGCCACTTTTGTCAATACCGGCTTATTGTCCCCTATCGAGATGGAGTCTGCCCAGGATAGATCGATGGCTCAAATGCCACATAGGGATATGAAGGATACCATACCGGGGACGGAAGTTATGAAACAAGTAGATCAGGATGGCGATGAATTGACTCGGAGAACCCTCATGCAAGTACATAATCTTCGATTTAACAACTCCGGTTTCAGAACGCTGACAGCCTTCAATACTAGTCTAGTTCCGCATCCAAGTCTCGACCCTGCTGATCCTTTAAACTGGTCCTCGACACGCAAGTGTAAGCATCGGCCCATGGCCTCCATTTCCCCTTTATTGGACAAACACAGTAACAAACAATAGTACTTGCTGGAATAACTATTGCATTCTATTCTTTGCTGACTACAACCTGCGCTATCTCCATGGCACCTATGTTCCCCCTCTTTGCGGAGACTTTCCATCTCTCTGAGGAAGAAGTCCCTCTGATCACGGGTGTCACGGTAGTTGTCCTTGGGTTCTCCAACTTCATCGCCATCCCCTGTTCTAGAATCTTTGGACGTCGGGCGGTAGCCCTATCATTTGGCATTCTGTTCCTTGTTACCAGCATATGGCAGGCTGTCGCACAAAACTACGCCAGTTTCATGGCATCTCGTGCTGTGATCGGTATTGCCGCCGCACCTAGCGAAACGCTGATGGTGCAGGTCATTGCTGACCTCTGGTTCATTCACGAGCGAGGATTCTGGATGGGTGTTTATTTGTGAGTATAGTATCGAAAAGGCATGTCTGGTTGAGTTGCTGAGTTGCTACATGCAGTACTTCAATGTCTTTTGGAGCATGCATTGGGCCTGTCATCTCCGGGAATATTGCTGAGAGGTAAGCACCACATTTTATCAGCTGACCGGCATGATGATGTGGTACTAATGGAGGGCTAGACACGGTTGGCGAAGCTTCTTTTGGCTGTCTGCTGGCCTCATTGCTTTCAACCTGATACTGATCTTGTTTCTGTTTCCCGAAACCAAGTACAACCGCGAGACGTTGCTCAATTCATCTGAAAGTCCAGCCACGCCGGCAAGTACAACTCACACTGACGACTTCAAGGTTGAAGCTGAGTCACAATGTGTGCAGCAGCATGTCGAGACCATCGGTCACGCTGTGTTAGTCGGAAAAGGTCGGCCGAGCCGGGGGCAATTCTGGTTGTTCCAAAAGCCCCATCGTCACTACAAACAATTTATCATTCGCGACTTTGTGGGACCAATCCGGGCTGCGGCTCTTCCCATCGTTCTATTTGCTTCGTTGAATCTGATGGGCACGGCCAATCTAGCGCTGTACTGGAACATCACAGAATCCCCGATCCTGGAATCCCCACGCTACGGATTCACTCCTGCGCGAGTCGGATTGTCCAACTTTGGCTTCGCTGGGGGTGCGTTCGTTGGCATGCTGACTGCAGGACCTCTCTCGGACTGGATGGTGCAGAGAGCGACAGTACGCAATAACGGCGTGCGAGAGGCAGAGATGCGTCTCCCCGCCCTCATACCCTTTGCCATCACCACCGTTGTTGGAACGGTCATAGGAGGCATCGCAGTCCGCGAGGGCTGGGACTGGCCTCTCATCGTCGTGATGGGCTTTGGGTCGTCTGGTCTGGCTGTCTGTTCGATCGCGGTAATCGCTATTGCCTATGCCTTGGACGTGTACAAGCCTCTCTCTGGCGAGATCATGGTCGTGGGCACGGTCTTCAAGAACGTGACGGGCTTTGCTATGACCTACTGGGTGCCGCCCATGGTTGTCAACCGCGGCTACATCTTGCCGCTGATGATCTGGTTTGTGTTCACTGCCGGTCCCTTTCTTTTGGCCATTCCTCTCTACATCTGGGGCAAGAAGCTGCGGGCAATCCCTGCGTTTCGGGGCCGTTCCATGCACTGGGAATAGTAGATACAATCAGATAGATAGCTGCATCTCCGCGGTAATTCCCCGAAACCCAAGAGCCGCACTTCTGTCTCCCATCCGCCCACGTTCCATCGTGCCACCGCCGGAGCTCTTTGTGTTGTCTCAGGGATGCCAATGCCGGCCAGGGTTGCACCAGTGCGCCTGATTCGGCTTGGCTTGCTAGGGCAGTCCAGTTCAGGCAAGGATCTCCTTTGCAGGGTCCACCTGGCGTGAGTTTACTTGCACATCAACGTCCGCCAAGTCGAGCTAGATGCACAGCCCTACAGCACACTAAGCCGACGACCTCTTCAGCTCTGGAGCAGCCCGGACTGTGACTGGCTCTCGCCGGGGGCATTGTCTCTCATGTCCCATGTTTTCGTTTCGTTCTTTTCGTGTCCACAAAAGAAATGGCCTGCGTGTCCCAGGGTGCCCAGCTGTCTTCGCGCGACGATCAACCCTGTCCGCCTTGCCCAGATCGTCAGGCTTCGATGCACGCGCTGGCCTGCCCGCTCAGTCACCACAGCCATGCGGTCGATCATTGCGCCGTTTCTTACGGCTGAGGTTTGGTGCAATGAGCTAAAGCTGTGCCTCGCTCTGTCGGTCATCGAGAACGTCTACACTTCCCCTGCGCCTCGATTTTTGTCTCTTCTTCTCCCCACAATCGTCTTGTACTCTCTAACTACTTTTCTTTTCTTGCTATTTTTATGCTGGATTTGCCAGAGGCATTTGTTATTTGTTTTCTCGGCTGTCTACCCCGACGAATCTCTTCTCCTTCTCAGCAATCAATTTTGCAAACCCATTGACCTGCCTGCAAGTGCATCACCAAAATGGCAGATGAAGATTTCATCTACGCTTGTGTCCATGCCGGCATGGTTGGCGTCTTGATCACGCCGCTCTTCATCCTCTGGTCAGTCAGTCTTTGCCTGGCTCGTCGACGCAAGGACCCTGCCCGTACTGGCATCACATGGCTCAAGATCGTATATCCTGTGGAGATCTTGTAAGTTGCTCCCCCACGACGTACGCTCCTGGCGATGATGCACCCATCCAATGGACCCGCCACGTCGCAAAGCTCTAACACCGACTTTTTCCTGCCTCCTAGAGCCCTGATCCTGATCACCGCCGGCGATGCGATCTATGCTGCTCTCATTGCCTACACCAACGGGTACAGCCGGCGCTACAACCGAAGCTACGTGTCGTCAATGAGCAACGCGCAGTACCGCATTGGCACTGTTGGTGTTCTCTTTGAGCGCGTCGCCAACGTCCTGCTTATTATCACCTTTGTTGAGCTCGGCAATGGCTTCATGTACATCCTTAACTACAAGCGCACCGCCATCCAGACTACCCTGCGCTATGTCAGCTTCGTCGCCGCTGTCGTCCTAACTGCGCTCAACGTGGCCACGACGGCCCGCTTCAACGTCATCTACGGCCAGTACCTCAACTCTAGCCGCTACACCGACTACAACCGCCAGATCCGCGACGCTCGTAAGATCAGCGGTGCCTATGATGTGCTGAACTTTATCGCGTCGATCGGGCTGCTGGTCTATGCAAGCGTGATCATGCACAGGTTCCGTAATATCATGTTCACCAAGAACGTAAGTACTCTGCTCTCCCTGTGCCATCTCTCTCCGCACACACATGGAGAAGAGCCTCGGCTCACCACCTTTGTAGTCCGCAGTCGTCTTGCTCGTCGCCGCCGTCCTCAACTTCATTCGCTGGCTGTACGCCCTGGTCATTGCCGCCCTGTTCCTCCTCGAGACCAGCCCTACGGTCTCCGCGCCCGAGTATATAAACATCATCGACGCCGTCCTCAACACGTGGATCTTCTTCGTCGTGCTCGTCCTCCTCTTCGTCATCGGCGTCTGGAAGCACAAGGGCCTGTGGTCTACCGCCCAGCCCTTCATGAGCGGGCCGGCGGCCGCGCCGCCCATGGTGTACGCGATCCCCCAGCAGCAGTACGGCTATGGCGCTCCCCAGCAGATGGCCTACCAGCCGCATGGCTACCTCCAGCCGCAGGGATGGCAGGGACAGCCGGTGCAGCAACCCCAGCAGGCGTACACCGGCCACACCTCGGTCAGCCCAGTCGATCAGCAGGGCACTCTGCCGCCGCAGCAGCAGCAGGTGCCTACTCCCGGCCCCGAGGGACAAGCCAACGGATTCTACCCTCGAGAGATGAAGGCTTGATCGGCGAAGCCTCCGTGATACACTCGTTTGACTTGAGAGATTTGCTCATCATTTGAGATTTTGCATGATACCATATCGCGCTGCTATTCGACACTTCACTCGTTTGGATCGAGGACATAATATTATCTGGTGTATTGGCCGGCCCTAGGTTTGTGCCGGGCGTCTGGGAATTGGACTGCGATAAGGATGCGGGTAATGTGTTCTGGGATTGCTCTAGGTTGAACTGATATCTACGAGATCTATCAATATACATATATACATTTATCTACTTGTCTTCTTTCGCCTCTGCATATTCGTTCGGGGCCGTGTACGATTCGTGAGCACCCCATGCTTGAGCGACGTATCTTTCTGTAGGTCAGCATCCGTTTACTGCAAAAAGAAGAGACGGGCTCACTTGGTGTGGCTTCCCCTGGCGGCAAGCTCCCCCTTCTTGTTTTTGAAGGTGACTTGGGTAAAGGCAAGGGTCTTGCCGACTGGAATGGTTGTCAATTCAATCCTTGGCCGTAGTACGAAGCGCGAGAACTCACTCTTTTCGCACACGGCAGTTCCATGAAGCTTATCGCCCACTTTGCCGCCACCGCTGAGGTAGGTCACTGTCCCGAGAAGGTTAGGATCCGGCTACGCGTAGGTGTGCGCAGGCAAACTAGGGTACACATTTCGGCAGACTTACCGTTCAGATCCGTCGAGACACCCGTCGCGAAGAGTCCCATGGAGGCTACAGCCAGTGAGCCACCGAGATCGACCAAACTGGCAATCGTCCCTCCATGCAAGATCTTTAGACGGTTCTGTGGCAACCCGTCAATGAATGCTTGATCACTATGGCGAGCTGCAAAAGTGTGGCTCATACCGTGTGGTCCTTGTGGATGTCCAGCTCAAAGTCGACCTTGCCCTTCTCCGCATGGAGGACCCGGAACTAGGGCAATGTCAGCTTTTGAGGTGCATAAGACAATACAAGTATCCCTCATACATTGTGAGGGCCGAGGAGTCTGCAATTCAGTTAGGGGCGTGGCTCGTTGAAATGGGGAGTTAGGGGGAAGGACGGGGGAAGGACGGGGAAATGCCCGCACCTCGGCTCCAGGCCGGACTCGGCCATGAACGATCTCACAACCTGTGTAGCACGTGTCAATCACCGGCTGTCAGGCTCATAGTGGTTTTGTATGCGTACAGATCGAACAAATTTCGTGGGCGCCAGTTTCGTCGACATGTTGCCAGCTACCAGTGATCAAATGTCGGGTGTCAAAACAGCTCGTCCTCCTCCCGAGCTCGGTGCTGTTGCAGCGACAGGCTACCTTAGGTAGGTAGTGGGTGCTTCGGCGTCATCTTGGGGGAACGCGCTCCCGAGGCCCACCTTGGAGCTTATCGGCGTGCTTTGGTACGCTAAAGCTTATCGCGAGAAACCCCACTACGAGCGCTCGAGTTGCCTGGAGCTCAAATTTACGCTAAATGTGCATGCATCATCCTTTGTAGGCCTCTAAAAGATAAAAGATCACTGTTTGTTGATGTGCTTCATCTGTAAGGGATAGACCTTAGACCACTTACCACGGCCTTTTATGCATCGAGACGCATACATGACCTCATTCCTGACATGATATAACCACCGCAGACCTCACTCACGCCACGACTGCCGCCAAGATGTCGGTCGGCACCCCTTCCCTCACCCTCTCCGACTACTTGGAGAAGCAGCCCGGCACGAGCTTTAGAAAACTCTACCAGCAACCCTCCACCACCCTAGCTATCTTCCGACGCATGCTTCCCTCTCTCGCCAAGAACTTCGTGCGCATGATCCTCTACTTTGAGGGCCCGATGCTCCTCTCCGACCTCGACAACCTTGTGCGCCCCGAGGCCAGGCGGAAGAAGGACCAGGCCCTGTCGATCCTGCGAAGCCTGCACATTGTCCAGATCAGTGCGCTAAGTAAGGACAAGCCGCAAGAGATGGTACTGGCGACGAACTTCAAGAAGTCTTTCCGGCTGGCGCTCGAAGGCGGGGGCGATCACAACAGCTTCGGCGTACCCAGCGAGAAGCCCGTGGCGGCGGACATCAACGTTGCTTTTCTCGACAGATACGCGAGGCAGAAGTGGGAGGATATTCTGCACTACGTGGTGAACAGCGTTGGATTCTCGTCGGGTCCGTCCGGGGCCGACTCTCACGGGCCTAAGAGGTCTGTCAAGGAGCTGCTGCTCGCTGGGCGGCTAGTCGAGAGACGGACGGGCGCCCCCGGCGGCGTTGGCATCACACAGACCGGCTTCACGTTCCTGCTACAGGCGGCTAATGCTCAGGTATGGACGTTGCTATTGCAGTGGCTGGAGGCGGTGGATCATGCTGGTGGTAGGGACGCAGGCATGGACAGCGTCGACATGCTGAGCTTCCTGTTCATGCTCTCGACGCTCGAGCTGGGCAGAGCCTACGACACCAACTCTCTGACGGAGCAGCGGAGGAACATGCTCCCGTCCCTCGTCGACTTTGGCCTCATCTACATCCCCAGCAACGACCCGTCTCAATACTTCCCCACGCGCCTCGCGACGACCCTTACCAGCAGTGCTGATGCCCTGCGGTCGGTCAGCGCGGGCTTCGACGCGGCGACTACGAATGCCTCCTCGGCCAGCGGCCTACCGGGCGCCGGCACAGATGTCAAGGGCAGCATCATCCTCGAGACCAACTACCGCCTCTACGCATACACATCCTCGCCGCTCCAGATCGCCGTCCTGGCCCTCTTCACCAAGATGAACATGCGCTTCCCCGGAATGGTCTCGGGCAAGCTCACGCGCGAGTCGATCCGCCGGGCCGTCTCGTTCGGCATCACGTCGGACCAGATCATCAGCTACCTCGCCGCACACGCGCACGAGCAGATGCACCGCAGCGCCGCCTCGCACAGCCGCCCCGTGCTGCCGCCGACGGTGGTCGACCAGATCCGGCTGTGGCAGCTCGAGAACGAGCGCATGAAGAGCAACACGGGGTTCCTGTTCAAGGACTTTGATACGGTTAAGGAGTATCAGGCGCTGGTGCAGTACGCCGACGAGATCGGCGTGCTGGTCTGGAGGAGCGACGAGAAGCATAGCTTCTTCGTCACTAAGCATGAGCAGCTGGCTAATTTCCTTAAGGCTCGAAAGAAGGCAGAGGCTTAGGGAGCCGAGCTTACCGTACACAGCAAGGGGCGGCTTAAGGTTGTAAAGTAAGCACGCAGGGTCAAACAGCGTCTGGAAAGGGTCTAGGCTTTGATTATTAGGGTGGATGAAGCGTTGCCATCTCATCAGCGGGAGTTTGATACCCTTTCTTGGGTTTGGATCTATTTGGGCGGGCGTAAAGGTGCTATTATCCAAGGATTACTTATGACCCCTGTATTCGAAATACACAGCGTAGTACTATCAACATGATCTGTCATGCTGCTGTATGAGGTCTTACCCAGACTGTCCCTCGCAGATGTTCACTCGTTGTTACCTCGCTTCTTGGAAATAGTTCCACCTGCCAACCTGGAGAGCTCAAATGGGTAACAGGGAGTTGAGTTCCTTCCAATGAGTGCGGCTGGTACCAGACGTGGCAAGGGCTACTCGTTAAAGAGCCAGGTGTGAGTCGTAAAAATTAATCACTGAAGAAAATCTGCCATCTACCTAGGCATTCACCTCTTTACTTCACCATCAGTCCATTCTCCAACGCACTCGTGGTCCCAAGATCTCACCTTACAATCGAACTGACTCCGACTTGGCCGCAACTCGCATTTCTCTGACCCTTTCAATACCCTCCTCCTAATCTATCTGACGAGCAATTTAGTGCACCGCTGCCAGGACTCAAGATGGTGCGCGAAAACCAGCCAACAACCCAAGCTCCACCACAGAATCAGTCTCGACGGTCGTCAACGGAAGCGCGTGACGCCGACTATTGTTCCCCATTCTCCAATGCCATACGCCGACTCATCGGCCTCTTTGAGTCAAATACCGACCAGAATATTCCCTGGATGGTTGCCCTCTCCTGTGGTCTAAGGCTACTTGGAAGCTTTCTCAATCTCACCACGAGAACCGTTGGGCTCTTGCTCTCAACTACCCTCTCAAACCACCGCACTCTGCTCAACCTTGTGATTACAAACTCCACTATCTGCTGGCAACTGATCGACCTCTGGGCGAGCTTCATAGTCGCTGTCTTCAACGCTTACTGCGCTTGCACATTTATTATCGCTGCGTCTTTCTTGCGGATCGTACTCTGCCTGGTCGCCGAGCCTCAATGCAGCACAGAATGTCCGTCGCCGGCTCAGCCACCGCCACCACCACCGTACAACACAGACCTCGAGACGAACTGGCCTTCGCATTGGGGCAAGCCTCAGGACTCCCCCGAAGAATCCCTGCCGCGGTCTCCATCCACGGACTCGAGCGAGACCGGAGGGGCGCTGTTGGCGTCCACTGTCGAGCTCAACAGGCAGGTCCGAGGCCAGACTCTGGGCATTCCTGTGGATCTGGAATCGGAGATCTTGCCAACAATCTCTCCCGTTCTACCGGACATGTTGCCTCCCAAGTTGGAGACGCCTCCCAAGAAAGAGACGCCCCCTATCAGGAGAGTCCCTCGGTCACCCACAGTCTACTTCGAGTACCACGATCACCCGTTCTCGGCGTACCCGCGAAAGCGCCCTCCGCCGCTTGCAGAGACAGACTCCGATACGACCTCGGTGTCGACGCAGGACGAGAAGGCCGAGCGCTTCTCCATGAGCCCGACGTCGGGCAGACCAGGGTACCTCCCGCCACACACACCGCCCAGACCCAGACCCGTCGTGGCTTCCTGCCCAGGTTCGTAGGCAGGAGCAAGACGACCAACAACATCCAACTTTCGAAATCCTCAGGAACCTTGAGCAAGGCTGGGAAAGGCTCCCACAGTATACCAGACGAGCCTTCGACCTCTACATCTTATACCACAGCCTACCCTCAGAAGACAGATTTACCCGCCGCTCAAAACGAGAACACGCGCCCTCTTGACGGGGCATTCAGTACGAACCTCCGCGTGCCAAAGTCGCGCACCTTGAATGTCTTGGCAAACATCACACAATCCCTATCTCGAAGCTCCCTGGCAAGCCTGGGCAGCAGTCGTAATGTCAGCCATTCATCGACCAATACAAATATCAGAGAGTCCTCGACTTTCTCAAGGTTATCATCTCGCAACTCCTTTGGCAGATCTGCCCGGCAGAGCCTGGAGGAGAACCAGGCCGCCGCCTTGAGGGCCTCAAACCCCAGATTTATATCTACGCCTCAGCCATTCTCCTACTGGTCCGGCCGCTTCATGGCCCTACACGACCGCTTTCACGGCGAGTTGCTCACGCCGTTCAACTTGCAAAGTGTCATCGATGCACAGACAGCTCAGTCAACTCTAGTCAACGACCCGGCGCCGACGCCGAAACAGCGCAAGGGCAACCTGCCGGCCTCGAACTCAAAATCTTCTTATCTACGTTCCTCGCTCACTGGAACTTCGCTGGCTGATTCCCCGTCCCACGGCACGTTCCAGTCCATCGCGCGGACTGACGTGAGCTTGCTCTTGGACGAGACGAACCGGTGCAAGCGCGTCTTCCTGCACCTCGAGGCCATGTGTACGACGAGCGAGGCTAAGCGGAGCCTGTTCCTCTTCCAGCAGGACTACGCTAGGAAGCACAACCGCAAGGCCTTGTTGCCTACCGGCGGTACCATGGTTGCGGGTCGCCAGGGCCTCGTATCCCGAATATTCAGCGGTGGCAAGTCGCAACGTGGGTTTATGAACTTATGAGTCTATGTATGGGTGATGGACTTTCTGTTATTGGAAGCATCATAGTGGGTGGTAATCTGCATTCTGGGGCGGGAGAAGTATGCTCGGGTTGTCTTTGGGAGCAATCATTATTGAAAAAGGCCATCTGTCTTTTTCCTTCTTACATGCTGTAGAAAACGACACTCGCAAGGAGCATCTCATATCCCCTATGACCACTCCCAAAATATCTTTCTTTGACTACTAGGTCCTCATACTTAAATAAATGCAATCCATTTATCCAATGCTACGCTGAGGATGGGTTTCATAGGCACCATCCTTGTTCTAACGTGATGTGATGTGATGTCCCTCTAAGCCCCATGCACCACCTGAATAGCTCAGCCTCCCGAACTAAGGCTCGTTCTCATCATGTACCGTTAAATCCTCTTGAAATATTCATGTGTCTAACTAACATCACCCTATCCACCACCAGCCGGTCAACTCAAAGATCGTCCGGTTTTTTTTCCTCTGCTTCTCATGAGCCCCAACCCTCGACCTTGAAGCGATGCGTCACGTCGCCCTGGCCACGCTCGATAGGCCTGCCGTTGGAGTCGTACAGCGCCCGCTCCGTGTAGCGCACGTTGCCGTCCCAGTCGACGAGGATGGCCGTCTGGCGCTGGGTGCCGTACATGCCCGTCATGAAGCCCATGGGCTGGGCGTCGGGCCGCTCCTCGCCGCGCAGCTCGGCCGTGGCCTCGGGGCTCAGATGGTCGGCGTGCGGGGCGCCCGTGACCGAGGCGCTACCGCGGCGGCGCGCGTGGTCCATGTCGCGGCGGTGGTCCTCGTCGCCGATGGGCGGGATGAAGATGGACTGCTTGAGCACGCCGATGTACTCCTCGAAGCTCATGGCGTCGTCGCGCGGCAGCGTGTCGGCGTCGAGGATAGCGAACAGGTCCGCCAGGAGCTCGTCCTCGGGCGCGGACCGGGCGACGGCCGCCTCGACCGTCTGGCGCAGGGCGAACTTGCCGTCCTCGAGCTTGGGCCAGACGAGCGGGTCGTCGAAGCACGTGTTGGACAGGCCGTAGACCTCGCCGCGCTGGCCGGCGACGTAGGGCACCTCGGCGGCCGTGTCGCTGCGGTTGGAGATGATGGCCAGGGGCTCGAGGGTGCGCGCCGCCGGGTCAGCCGGCGAATCCTTGTTGCGGCGCAGCTTGCCGCAGATGAGGGAGAAGCCGCCGACGCCGTGGGTGCCGCCGTCCTTGAGCATGCGCTCGACAAAGGACCGGAGGTCCTCGTTGGGGGAGGCGGTCAGCCACGCCGTGACCATGCCGCCGCGGGAGCGGACGCCATGAACCGGGTGCTGGGCGTCGGCTGTGTCGGTCTCGCGGTAGTTTGTGAGGACGGCGAAGTGCCCGGCCTTGGTGACACCGAGCCAGGTGCCGCGTTCGGCGCGCTGGAGGTCCCGGGAGGAGAGGATCTCCTGCCTGTCCTCCGGGGTAGGGGCCTCGGGCTCTGGCTTCCACCAGTGGGGGCGCGAGGTGGGGCGTAGGATGAACTCGTCACGGTTGTCGATGACGATGAGGGCGTAGTCCGGGTGGGACGTGGTGAGGAGGACTATGCACATGTTGGAGAAGGCGGAGTGTCTGTGCTTGCTAAGGAAGGTAAGGCTGGTAGACTGTGCGATGCGGCTCAGGTCTGAATTTATGGGGAGATGAGCGTGGTGATGTGTGAGTTTGGCGTTGTTGATGGCATGAAGTGAAGTTGGGCAGTGATTCGTATGTGCACTACCAAGTCGTCACTAGGCGAGAGTCCACCACTACCGCGAAAGTGACTTGAACGTTTGATATAGTGAATCTGGATCTCACGCCACTAAAAGTAATGCCGGCAGTCAGCCCAGTTATTTTGTCAGGTGAAGCGAGTGAGGCGACGCAATAAAGCTGATACTAGGGCCCGTGAAGGAGGGTAGTCGGTCCAGCCCGATTTGCCTCGGCCGGAGAAGGGATGGCCTGATATTTCTGCTCGGCGGCAGGCGTCACCACCCACACACAGTGACACACTCGACACATGGGAAGGGAAGGTGGGGTCGCGGGGCGGACTCGGCAGCGCTCTCCCAGCCTAGGCAATCGTTGCCTGTGCCTGATAGTGGGGACAGACGGGGAAGGAAGGAATGCTGGCCCAACCAAAAAGGGACAGTGGCGTGGATGCAGACTCGAATTCGAGATCAGGAATGGCCTTCAGTCTTGATTCTATCAGAATCTGTCCATCTACGATGACGCTGGATCATATATACCAATCATCGGGATGATCTTTGTGTGACCCAAAGGCTCGCTGCAAGCCCCCTCTTCGTTGATCCTGCCTGCTCTGTACCTGCATGCTACTTCGACTCACGCCGCACGTCGTGTTGTACGGGGACGGCAGTGGATTCATGTGAGACGGAATACCCCAGCAGCATGAAGTAGGTGTCAGAAAAGTCGATGATTCTTGATCAATCTGTATCCAAACTACTAATAGACTGCGCGGTCCACCTACACTTAGGTAGTAGGATTATCCTCTCCCACACTGCCGGCAAGTTCGCTAGTGATTGAGGTAAATCTATTACGAGACCTGGCAACTAATATGTCACCCACTTGACCAGATATGAATGAATTGAATCAAGGTAGCGTTTGCAACCAGCTCGTTGTGGCGCCCTCATGAAATGATCGATATCGTGTATCGGCAGAAATGCCAGATATTCAGACCAAGCATCACAAGAACATTGCCAGTGGATAAGGCCGTCTTGGAAAAGGAGTCGCCTTTTAGCGAACAAGAATTCTTGAAATGTCCAGCCCCGAGAGTAATAGTCAGGGGGGTTACCGGTCCTGCCCCAGTGACGGTGCTTGACTGGGAGGACGGAGTCTCCGTTCCCAATCCTGCTCGGGGTCATCGTGACCCTTGGCTCAGAGATGCCGGATATACCCCGCAGGCCATATTCGGCATCTTGACCATCAGCAGCGACAATAGTGAGGTAGGAGTTGAAGAAGATCGCATGCATATGCTCGAGATGTTTATCGAGCAGTGATCACATGCATTGTTGTGATCGCTCATTAAGTGTCTAGCTATCCAACACGTACCATCAAGACGATAGTTCGGTCAAGTGCCACCAGAAACAAGCTCATGAGAATGCCAGTCACCAGAAGTAGCATGACCCATCCGTCTTGCGTTTCACTGATGGCCTTGGACTCTTCTGCATGCTCATTGATGACGGCTGTTGACAGCATCAGACGCACTTTGAGTGGCAGCCATATTATCTAATAGATAGTAAAACACATCTAGCTATCCATAATACCTCAAACCGAACTCAAGAGGGATATTAGGCGTTTAAAAGAAGGATGTCTTTCCGTTATCACAGTCCGTAAGGGAAGTCAGTTCGAAGAAATCAGCATTGCTATCACGAAACCATGCAAGCTCGGACTTTCGAACGCCCGCTTTGTTTCCCTCTGCATTTGCAATGATAGCAGCTCGTACCAAGTCCAGTGCCCTCTAACTTCACCGAGAACCTGCAGACGGAATACTGGATGCCAGATCTGTCCAGCCACTTGGTCGGGAAGCTCGATGACGGTGGTGTGGGCCCAAAATTACTGGCTCCTCCAGGGCTATTCTAGAGCAGACATATCGCGGAGAGATCGAACTGTTCACCTCCCACATAAACCCCGATGGAAGCTCGTCGCGGATATCAATAGTAGGCCCAGCCCTGCGGCGCTAAAGCCTTCTGTCGTCCTTTGCCATTGTACGTTGGTGCCTGAGATGTAATGACCCTTTCCCTCGAGGCCTCTGCAACCCTGGAGCGCCACGTCTTGGACATCCTGGCATTATAATGCGACCATAACCGAGGCAGAAACTGGACGTCCTGTACACAGTAAATCCAAATATCCCGAGGGAGCGGGCGCTTGTTGAAGACTTCGTAGCTCCCTCCTTTCTCTGGAGCAAACATTTTTACACCCCGTTCCTTGACCTCTTTCCAATGAGATCTCTCATCCGGAGTCATAGGGCAGTCATTCTCGATACATTTCGATAATCCATTGACGAATTTTCGGTTGAACCGGCGAGTTGCAAGCTCCATCAGCTGCAAGTCCTGGATTCCAGCAAGGCGTACCTGAAAATGACTGAACATCGCATCGGAATCGTTACGAACGTCAAAGAAAACTTTCGGGATGGTATCAGTCTCCAACAGGTCTTTCAAGGTGTTGTCACAAGCCCCAGGTGTTAAGAAGGCTTTGTCGCGAAGAGTGTATATATCGACGAGATATGTACGATTTTCGGGTTGAATAAAGATCTGAAGAATAGATATAGACCCGTGTCTAGACAAAAGGACCCCTTCAAGGTCAATAAATATAGACGGTGGTGCTGTTGGCTGGCTATAGAGGACATCCACAAGGGTGGAGACGGATTTAGGTGTGTCGATGAGGTCGGTGCTGGAGAGGCTGTCGAGTTTGGTTTTCGCAAGCTCCCGAGTGATCACTTCGAGATCTTGCACGGTCCTCGCATCCTGATCCATGGTGAGGGTTGAATTAGGTTGATGAGGTCTAACTTCAAGAACAAGCTACCGAGGGCGAGGAAGAAGTGGTGGTTTATAAAAGGAGGACTGAAAACCGCCAACAAGTCTTGGTCAAACATGCATTGGTATGCTGTGCTACCTCTTCGCCTTGTCATGGAATTCAGCCAAAGCAGCCACCCATGTATCCCTCTAGGCCAGATCGCGGACGTATGAGATCCTTTTGGGCCGGTACCTTCCGAGACAACAGCAAAACACTGGAATGTGTTGGGCTCGGGGCTGAGCAGATCATTCTCGCGCATCAGAGCAGCGTTGCCCCCCCCCTCCCCCCCACCCCCCTCCTAGATAGTTTCTTCCCAGGCTTCACTACCGTCTTAACCGCCCTCCTTGCGCTTCTAGCTAGAGATCTGAACC